CGAACGCCATAACGATCTTGGTCAAGGCAGGAGTACGCTTCAACGGAGCCGATCTTCGGGGTATTCGAATTCCTGGAGCGGACATGTCTGGAGGCCAGTTCGACTCTGCACAACTGCAGGAGGCTGACTTGACGGAGGTCAACTTCACCAAGAGCTGGATTCGTCAGGCGGACTTCACCAAGGTGCAGATGGAGAGAGTTCAGTTCGGGGAGGTGGCGTACCTTAAGGAGGATGATGCGGTGTACTCGTGCGCCTATTCACCTGACGGAACATCTCTCGCTGTAGGTCTGGGAGACCGCCGCATCAACATTTACGACACCTCCACATGGGTAGTGACTCGCACTTTTGAAGGGCATCAAGATGGTATTAGGAGCATTTCCTATTCGCCTACCAGTCTTCAACTTCTTTCAGGCAGCTACGACAAGACAGTACGATTGTGGGACTGCGAGAGTGGCTCATGCATTTTTGTTCTAGAGGGGCATACCGAAAATGTGTTTACTGTGGCATTTTCACCCTCTGGCAAGCAGGTCGCGTCGGCTGGGGACGACATGACTGTAAGGCTATGGGATGTTCAGACAGGCGCCAATCTATTCAACTTGACCGATCACACTAAGTGGATTCGTAGTATTTCCTACTCACCCGATGGACATGAGGTTGTATCTGTTGGCGACGATGATATGATCCGGTTCTTTGACACACAGACAGGACAGCCAGGAGAAGTCTGGGAGAGTCAAAGTGAGTTGATGGATAGCGTCGCGTGCTCCCCTGGAGGCCTAGAGATTGCCGTAGGGGATGGCAATGGGGAGTTAGTGCTCTACAATGCAGCTACCGGCAAGCCAACGAGGAATTGGAAGGCCCATGGCTCCAATATCGCGTGTGTAACGTTTTCACCGAACAGCCAATGGATCGCCACATGCAGTTGGGACTACACGGTGAAGGTCTGGAGCGCAGCAACAGGATCGGTCCTTTTTGTCTTTACAGGTCATAGTGCTACTGTCAGTCAAGTAGCCTTTTCGCCAAACGGACTCCAACTTGCCTCATGTAGTTTTGACAGCACCATTCGACTCTGGGATGTGAGCTCGTTGGGTACAGGTATGGACATAGAGGGCGGATCCGACCCGTTGACGAGCGTATTATTTTCCCCAGACGGTCGAGTTCTCTTTTGTGGTACCAACTCGGGAGCAGTGCGGCAGTATGATGCAGTCACTGGAGAGTCTGGTCCTTTCGTTGTTTACGGAGACAAACCTGTCAGATGCCTAGCAGTCCCCCCGGATGGTCTTCGAATCGCGTCAGTAGGAACGGACTACAAAGTCGTCACTGTGTGGGACATTGGAACAGGTCAAGTCGACGTTGTCTTGCGCGGCCACACAGAATACGTGAACGTCGTGGCCTTTTCAGCCGACAGCCGCTGGATTGCCACGGGCAGTGTCGACAACACAGTGCGACTATGGGACGCTCGCTCAGGGAGACTGGACCGCGTGCTTAAAGGCCATACCGAGACAGTTGTTTGTTTGGTGTTCTCGCCGAACAGCCATGAAATTTTGTCGGGAAGCCAGGATGGGACTATTCGAGCCTGGGATTTGGACAGTGGTGGGTGTAGAGTCGTTGTGGTTGATGGCGGAAGTATATATGATTGGATTTTATCGACTTCACCCAATGGCTTGAGGGTTGCTTCTATAAGCGATTACACAGAGGCTGTTGACGTTTGGGACGCGGAGAGCTGGCGTCCCCAACAAAGGCTGGAGCACGACTACGACGACAACATACAATGCATTTCATTCTCGTCCTGTGGGCAATGGGTGGGCGTAGGCTTTGGCCGTTCGGTTCAGCTCTGGAATTTCGTCGCTGACACGTCGGCGGAAGGAGGAGGTGGAGAATGGAAATGTTCGGGGAGTATCCGAGATATCTTTGGAGATGTCAAAAGCATTGCTTGGAAACCCGACACGCTGGAGTTTAGCATCGGATGTAAGAATGGGTGCCTTCAAGTGTGGAGACTGGTGGAGACGTTGGCGTTGTCGGATGCATGGTCGACTCAGTTGGTTTGGAGCGCTGGAAATCCTGTTCTAGCTGCCTCGGATGCTGTTTTTGCCGATGCTATTGGTCTCTCCTCAGTCAATCAGCAATTGCTTACTCAACGTTGCAAGGGTGCTGCTGCTTAAACAACATAGTCCATAACATATTTTTTTTTCATGTAGAGAGACATTAGGCATGTTCGTTGGTAGCCTTTCAATTTTTACTGAAGGCGATGGCGCAAATCAATAGCAAATCGTATTTTTGATCATTGAATGCGATGCATGTTTTTTAATCATGAGAGTGTTGATGAGAGTGTTGCTGAGATACGTTTGGTACAAAGAATAAAAGAGAACAGCATACTACTTTGAAGTACCATCCGAATCCCATGTCCTTCTCTCAAACCCATTCAACCCATCGTGATAATCTCGATAAGTCTCATACACCTCCTCCTGGGTATTCATCACAAACGACCTAATCTGAACCACAGGCTCCCTCAACGGCTCCCCCGCTATTAGTACAAAATGCGCTGCCTCATCTTTTGTCTGCACCCTGACGGTGCTGGTACTATCCTCGGAGAAGATGAGGGTATGATGCACTTTTGCCCCGGTCTCGCTGCTCGGATCCCAGATGTATGCAGTGCCGTTGAGAAAGTAAATGAATCCGTTGTATGTTGTCGGGATGGTTTGGGTGACGGTTTGGTTCTTGTGCATCTTGAGGTCGAAAAACATTTGTCGGGGTGCGGGTATAGATTTGAGACTTGACACCGTGCGAGTCTCCTGCGATGACCTTGATAGCAACTCTATCCTGGGGTCTAGCGCGTGGTATCTGAGCGTCCAATAGTCCCTGATACTGTGGTTCACACATCTTTGTGCTCTTTCGTCAAACTGATCCACAGTTGCAGTCCACGAGCGCGGGTGTGAGATTTGTCAGGCATCTCAGAATGACCAGCAGTCATGTACGGCAAGTCTCTTGGCCCAATGGCCTCCTTGTGTCCTGCGAAGTTCCTTGTACTGGAATTATCCCTCGAGCATTAGTCACTGTTTCGAATACGTGGTGGGGGCGGTCATGGAAGCCGCCGCTCTTGTCGACAGGAAACTCGTTAAACATGAGGAACGGGTCGTGGTTGCGGAACCTAAGGCGTCCTATAAACCGACGGACATGGGCGCCGACTCATTCGAGTTATTCGCTAGAGAGGACGCAGCATGTAATGTAGCGGGAGAAGGGGGTTGATGTAGCAGCCATGCTGTTGTATTGTCGTTGTTTTGAATAAGGAATAGTAGCTGTATGGATGTGAGTTGTGGAAATGGCTGCAGTCGAGTGAACGAGTGATGTTTTTTGGTTTAGATGAAGAAGTGAGCTGAAGATCAGTCGCTCTATACTTTTTTGATGCTCGATGAATTGATCAATTGACCAAAGTTCGGAAAATCGGATGGCTTAGATATCCTTTCATGATTTAAGCATTGCACATGTCTGCCCAAGAAGCAGGTCTCACACAATAATAGAAAGATAACTCCCAGATACGGATGAAGTCCAAGAGTCCTGAACCACTATCGTCCATGTACTGCAGGTCACCTAGGTCACCATTGACTGTAACACATTATGTGAGAATAAAGACACCTCTCCCACAACATCGTGCTCAATTTCTGTGTCGTTTTGGATAACTTTCGTCGACACCAAATCCATCTCACCCAGCTCGATCAGTAGCCAATGCTGTGCCTGAAAAGAAGACACGTATGGGTTATATGGATTGCAAGACAGTTAGTTGTGAATACTTGAACAAGGCCAAGCTGCTGCCTCCGAACTACAAACTTCACACCTTGGCCTTTCATTAAGAGGTCCACGGTTTGGTCTTTGCGTTCTCTGTTGAGGTGCAAAATATAATCATATGGCAAATTTCGCTATGGCAAGGAAGAAAAGGAAAAGCAAGATGGAGGGGCGTTCGTGCATGAGATGCATGAGTGGTCAGAGCCCAGACAAAGCAAGAAAGGAAAGTACCCCCAAGGGCGACCTTACTATTTCCTTTTTCTTTTCTCTTTGGCTCACTCCCTTTTGTTACTCGCACTTCTGGATTCGACATTCAGCACGTTTTTCACATTGTGAATTCACCTTGCCTTTGTTCATTCACCACCTCGTTACTCCACTACCAACATCAACGCAGACACATACCGTTCCATCCTCTTGCTCGCTCGTCGAGGACCTCAACCGCAACTCAACTCAACAAAACAAAACAAAAATCAACAGAAAAAGGCTCGTCTCAACGTTGCAGAGGTATGTCCTTCCCAACAAGCCATCAGGTGTGAACCAATGTGTGTGAATCGATGTGTGTGTGTCGCTGTATCAAGGATGGAGAACGAGACTTTTACACAATGCTAATGCAGATTGAAACGCACATTGATACCTCTCCTGCCAGGAACATCCGAACTCACCAAAAGCCCTCATAGCCGCGACTCACTCAGAAACAATAAGCTAGTGTCCCTCTCATCTCAAGGTAAGGAAAAGATCGTGTGAATAAACAGGAGCAGGAGAAGATTCTTCAATTACTCCTTCGCTTCCTTCAGGACTTCGTATTGATAAACTCATCCCCCGTTGGACATGTATTTGGTATCAAGGACAAGACAACTTTTCTGCTTGCTACACACTCGAAAATCAAAAACAATAAAACCAAAAAGATCGACACAAAGTCCACGACCAGTAAGCGTGAGAGGACAAACACAGCAAACGAAAAGTGCAATTGCCAGCTGTTCTTAAGCTAAACACGATTCTAACTGATATCACCAATGTCTTATGTTCTTTGCTCATAGCTTCGCACTCTCATACCAGCCATCCATCCGCTCCTTCTCAACCCTTTACCAGCGGTCAAGTCAATCTTTAAGCAAACGCAAGGTAAAAAAAGAGCGAGTAATTATTATGATTGATATACTTATTTCAACAGAGTTGTCAAGACAATTAACCTAGGCCATCCATGCTTGATGTGTGTAGTTGTAACCATGTCCTCCTCGTCACCCCAGGGCAATTCGCCTTCACCCCCTCCCGCGCCTTCCTCCGCTCCCCCAGGACATCCGGAAATAACTGTCGATGGGCAGCTTGTCCTTTCTCAACTCGAGGACAACGCAACGCTTGGACGTGCGTCGTCAAAGTCGAGTGACTCTCCGACAATCGATCAAGGATTGGCCACCGTTCAGCTTGGACCTGCCAACCTGTTGAACCTCCTTGGTCATCGCGCCACAAGGGCTGTTGCCACAGACGTTGATCATGGACCAGGTGACACCAGCGATGCCAGGTCGGTATCCATGGGCCGTTCGTCAAAGTTTGGATTCAAGAAACGCTTATTGAGATTTTTCAAGGGCGACCCCAAAGTCGAAGAAAATGTTCCCGCCTCGGTAGCCTCATCAGCGCCTGCTATACTGGTTGGAATTGAGGTACGCATCCAGTCAGCCGCACCTGATCGTAACACCGTACCTGTCTCGTTGGGACTGCACTCACCAGCACATTCCACTGAAATGTCGTCTACGCCACTCGTTGTCCCAGCTACCCAGCCGCAGCCGAGCCCTGCTGTGAGTGGAACCCTCCGCGTAGACATCTTCCCCGAAAATGTTATCAACCCCACCTACAAGACCGACTTGCCCAAGCCGCATGCTCGTGTTGACAAGACCCCGCAGCTTGTCTACTGCTGTAGTGTGCTCTCCAAGGTTCCAGGACCGTTGCAACCAAACTCAGACTGCGATGTCTCTCAGGATTCGCCTCTCGACGACAAGGAGAAGGAATGGGTTCGGCTCATTGACCCCGTCTTGCAGGACCGATATCGATGGCTTGTCGAGCAGTTGGTCAGAGCGTTCGCTGACAATCCACTCAAGACATCTGATGTGGTCACCGAGATTGTTCTTGTTGGTTCCGTCCTTGACCGCGGTACCTACCGCAGCTTGCTCTCTTGTTTCATCTCCAACTTTGAACAGACAACAGCATTGGATGTCACTCTGCTCCAGGGTCTTGTGCAACTGGTCGAGTGCGCCTCATCTGGATACCTTGTTGACGATGATTTGGTTAGGATCGCCACTGTTCTCTCCAAGGAGCTGTGGATCACCCACATTGGCACGAGCGACCACCCCTTGCACCTGACATTGTCGCTCGCTCGAGTTCTTGATGTGATGGTGGCTGGCAAGGTTAAGGATCTGAACCGTGAACGAGACCATCAGCCGATGCTGCAACTCTTGGACGGTCTGAAGAACAGCGACAATGTTGTCCAGAGGTACGAGGCAACTTACGCCTACCAGGCTCTCCAGTATGCACCTGACGGCGAGACTCCGCTCCAGGTGCTGTGGAGATATGCCAAGGTTGCAGCGGCGGGTGCAGGCGCAGTGTCGAGTGCTTTCAAGTTGGATCCAGAGGGACTCCTCAAAGGCATCGAGAGTCTTCAAGAGATCGGTACAGGGGTTACGGGAGCTATCAGCACTAGAATTAGGGTTATTAAGAGCCTTCGTATTGGTACTAATGGGGTCGTCTGGGCATCAGAGAACAAGTTCGACTTTATGAAGAAACGCTCGTGGTACCTCGCCCTTCAAGGGACGGCCCTCTTCATCCGCCAGGGAGGACTTTCGGACTTTAACCTAGTCGTCAGCCAGGCGCCTTGCCGCCACAACGCCAACTTTCAATGGGGGATTTGTCGCCAGGTCGGAGAGATTGCAGTCGACCCGCTCTGGGATGTTCTTGTCCGTCAACAGGCCGTCGACTTTCTAGGCGAGTTGTTCAGGAGTGGTGCTCACTGGAAACCGCATGTCGATGTCAAGCGCTGGATCCTCACCATCCTCATCCAGATCTCGGGGATGTCGGATGTCTCTATCACGGATCGTGCAGTTGCTTTGCTGCTAGACCTGAAGAAGGGCGATATCGCCGAGTGTCCTGGTTCTTTTCCGTTGAGCAGACGCCTCCCTCTGCCTTCAACCTTTCCGCTTCTTACTAAGGTCCAAGAGATTCCAAAACTCGAGTACGACCTGCACGTATTGAGGTTGATGAGGATTGCCGACTACAAGCAGGCGGTGTACGTCGACCCCATGGCCAAACTCAGTCTCCATGACACGGATGACAATTTGTTCCCTCTCATGGACAAGGTTAGAGACTTTCTTGCCAGCGACACTCAGGTCATGCTGATCCTGGGAGATTCGGGAGCGGGTAAATCGACATTCAACCGGCATCTGGAACACGAGCTCTGGCAGGAGTACAAGGCAGGAGGCCGCATCCCTCTTTTCATCAACTTGCCATCCCTAGAGCGGCCAGAGAGGGATTTGATTGCGGAGCAATTGAGGACCTACAACTTTTTGGAAGACCATATCCGTAAGTTGAAGCTGCGCCGCCAGTTTATATTGATCTGTGATGGATACGACGAGAGCCAGCTTATATCGAATCTGCATACCACCAACCTCTTCAACCGATCTGGGCAGTGGGACGTCAAGTTACTCATTACCTGCCGCACTCAGTATCTCGGACGCGACTATCGGAATCGCTTTGAGCCAAAGGCGGTGGATCAGTACAGTCGTATCGCCAATGATCTTTTCCAACAAGCCGTCATCGCCCCATTCAGCAGAGAGCAGATCGAGGGCTATGTGGAGCGTTATGTTCCTCTCGAGCCGCGCACCTGGGTCAAGAAGGACTACATGGACAAGCTAGAGGCTATCCCCAATCTGATGGATCTGGCCAGAAACCCGTTCCTCCTTACGCTCTCACTGGAGGCCCTTCCTACGGTCGTGCAAGGAATAACCGACCTCTCCAGGCTTCGTATCACTCGTGCGGAGCTGTACGATACCTTTGTGAGGCACTGGATGGCTGTCAACAAGCGCCGTCTAGAGGATCAAAGGCAAAGGCTGGACAGAGAGAACCAGGTGGCATTCGAAGAGTTGTTGGAGGCCGGATTCGAGCAGAGTGGGGTCAAGTTTCAACAGGATCTGGCATCTGCGATTTTTGTGCATCAGGACGGGAGACCCATTGTCGACTACATCAGCAAACACGAGAAATTTTCCTGGAAAGCAGCCTTTTTCAGCATGGACTGCGAGACGAGTCTTCTCCGTGGCGCCAGTCTTCTCAGTCGAGCCGGCACTCAGTACCGCTTTGTCCACCGCTCCGTGTTGGAATACTTTTTTGCCTGCACCATCTATGGCCCCCCCAAGCAGCATGATGAATTTGATCCACCTGTCCAATCCAATACTCCCGCCACTTCGCCCACCATCAACGCACATCCACTGTCTCAGAGGAACCTTGTCGTAGAGCCTTCAATCGTCCAGTTTCTGGCGGAACGCGTCCAGCTGGATTCTGGATTCAAGGACGAGCTCCTCGCCATCATTGAGAAGTCCAAGACCGACGACCAAGCAGCTCGATCCGCTGCGAACGCCATCACGATCTTGGTCAAGGCAGGAGTACGATTCAACGGAGCCGATCTTCGAGGTATTCGAGTTCCTGGAGCGGACATGTCTGGAGGCCAGTTCGACTCTGCACAACTGCAGGAGGCTGACTTGACAGGTGTCAACCTCACCAAGAGCTGGATTCGTCAGGCGGACTTCACCAAGGCGCAGATGAAGGGAGTTCGGTTCGGGGAGATGCCGTACCTGGAGGAGGATGGGTGGGTATTGTCGTGCGCCTATTCTCCTGACGGAACATCATTCGCTGCAGGTCATTCCAGAGGAAGCATCAACATTTATGACACCTCCACATGGACAACGACTCATACTTTTGAAGGGCATCGAGGCCGCATTAGCAGCATTGCCTATTCGCCAACCAGCCCCCAACTCCTTTCAGGCAGCAACGATAGGACAGTACGATTGTGGGACTGCGAGAGTGGGTCGTGCATTTTTGTGCTGGAGGGGCATACCAACGAAGTCTGGACTGTAGCGTTTTCACCCTCTGGCAAGCAGGTCGCTTCGGCTGGAAAGGATGCGACTGTGAGGCTATGGGATGTTCAGACAGGCGCCAATTTATTCAACTTGACCGGTCATACTGAGGGGATTCGTAGCATTTCCTACTCACCCGATGGACATGTGGTTGTGTCTGTTGGCTACGATGATATGATCCGGTTCTTTGACACACAGACTGGACAGCCAGGAGACGTCTGGGTGAGTCAAAGTGATTGGATGTATAGCGTTGTATACTCCCCTGGAGGCCTAGAGATTGCCGTAGGGGATGCCCATGGCAAGTTACTGCTCTACAATACAACTACCGGCAAGCCAACGAGGAATTGGAAGGCCCATGACGAACGAGTCGAGAGTATGAGCTTTTCGCCGACCAGCCAATGGATCGCCACATGCAGTGAAGACAGCACGGTGAAGGTCTGGAGTTCAGCAACAGGATCGGTCCTTTCTGTCTTTACCGGTCATAGTGCTTCTGTCTGTCAAGTAGCCTTTTCGCCAAACGGACTCCAACTTGTCTCGTGTAGTTTTGATTGTACCATCCGACTCTGGGACGTGAGCTCACTGGGGATTGGAATGGGTGTGGAGGGCGGATCTGACCCGTTGACGAGCGTACTTTTTTCTCTAGACGGTCGACTTCTCTTTTGTGGTTCCAAGTCGGGAGCAGTGCGGCAGTTTGATGCTGGATCTGGAGAGTCTGGTCCTTTCGTTGTTTGCGAAAACAATCCTGTCGAGTGCCTGACGGTCTCCCCAGATGGTCGTCGAATCGCGTCAGTTGGAACGGATAACAGAGTCGTCACAGTGTGGAACATTGGAACAGGTCAAGCCGATGTTGTCTTGCGCGGCCACAAAGAACGAGTGAGAGCCTTGGCCTTTTCCACCGACGGCTGCCGGATCGCCACAGGCAGTGGCGACAATACAGTGCGACTTTGGGACGCTCGCTCAGGGAGACTGGACCGCGTGCTTAAAGGCCATACCGAGACAGTTGTTTGTTTGGTGTTCTCGCCGAGCAGCCATGAAATTTTGTCGGGAAGTCAGGATGGGACTATTCGAGCCTGGGATTTGGACAGTCGTAAGTATAGAGTCGTTGTGTATGGCGGATTTGATAGATATCGCCGTTGGATTATATCAACTTCATGCAATAGCTTGAAGGTTGCTTCTATAACCCATCGCAGCGGTGTTGCTGCTGCTGTTGACATTTGGGACGCAGAGAGCGGGCGTCGCCAACAAAGACTAAAGCACGGCTACAACTACCACGTACAATGCATTGCATTCTCGTCCTGTGGGCAATGGGTAGGCGTAGGCTATGGCCGTTCGGTTGGGCTCTGGAATTTCGTCGCTGACACGTCGGCGGAACGAGGAGGAGGAAGTGGAAAGTGGAAGTGTTCGGCGAGTATCCGAGATATCTTTGGAGATGTCAAAAGCATTGCGTGGAAACCTGCCACGCTAGAGTTTAGCATCGGATGTAAGAATGGGTGTCTTCAAGTGTGGAGACTGGTGGAGACGTCGGCGTTGTCGGATGCATGGTCGGCCCAGTTGGTTTGGAGCACTGGAAATCCTGTTCTAGCTGCCTCGGATGCTGTTTTTGCCGATGCTGTTGGTCTCTCCTCAGTCAATCAGCAACTGCTCACTCAGCGTGGCTAGGGTGCTGCCGTTCGAGCAACATAGTCCATTGCACAATTTTTTCATGTAGAGAGACATTAGGCATGGTCGTTGGTAGCCTTTCAATTTTTACTGAAGGCGATGGCGCCAATCAATAGCAAATCGTATTTTTTGATCATTGAATGCGATGCATGTTTTTTAATCATGAGAGTGTTGATGAGAGTGTTGCTGAGATACGTTTGGTACAAAGAATAAAAGAGAACAGCATACTACTTTGAAGTACCATCCGAATCCCATGTCCTTCTCTCAAACCCATTCAACCCATCGTGATAATCTCGATAAGTCTCATACACCTCCTCCTGGGTATTCATCACAGACGGCCCAATCTGAACCACAGGCTCCCTCAACGGCTCCCCCGCTATTAGTACAAATGCGCTGCCTCATCTTTTGTCTGCACCCTGACGGTGCTGGTACTATCCTCGGAGAAGATGATGGTATGATGCGCTTTTGCCTCGGTCTCGCTGTTCGGGTTCCCGACGTATGCGGTGCCGCTGAGTACGTAAATGAATACGTTGTATGTTGCTGGGATGGTTTGGGTGACGGTTTGGTTCTTGTGCATCTTGAGGTCGAGAAATATTGTCGGTGTGCTGGTATAGATTTGGGACTTGACTCCGTGAGATACTCCGGAGATGACTTTGACGACGACACCGTCCTGAGGTCTGGCGCGCGGGATCTGACCGTCGAGGAGTTCTTGGTACTGTGGCTCACACATTTTGTGCTCCTTGGGTAAGTTGATCCAGAGCTGGAGTCCATGAGCGCGGGTCTGAGACTTGACCGGCATCTCCGAGTGGACAATGGCAGTCATCCACTGCAAGTCGCCAGGTTCAATGATTTCCTTTGCGTCCTACAAGTCCTCGTGCTGGAACTCACCCTCGAGCATGTAAGTCCCATTCTCGAATCTGCGGTGGGGATGATCAAGGAAGCCGCCGTTCTTGTCGACCGAGAACTCACCGAGCACGAGGAAGGGATCGTGGTTACGGAGTTCGGGACGTCCGATGAATCGACGGACACGGTCTCCGACTCACACGGGTTCTCTGGAGAAGAGAGATGGTGTGATGAAGCAGGAGAAGGAGGTTGATGTAGCAGCCATGTTGTTTAGTTGTCTTTGTTATTGGATAAGGAAGGGTAGTGTGTGAATGGGGGTAATGAAAAAGACTGTTGTTGCAGTCGTTTGAAGCAAGCTCAGTCTCTTCCTCTTCCTTGATAAATCAATGATCGAATGGCCAATGAGAAGTGAATAAGTCAAGATAACCCTTGTGGCTTTTCATGATTAAGCACATGGCATATTTGACCAAGATGCAGGTTCCATACAATGACAGAAAGATAGGTCCCTGATAGATGATATCTAAAAGTCCTGAACAATCATCGTCCATGCAATGCAGGTCGCCCAGGTCACCATCGACCATGACGCATTACGTGAGAATAAAGGTCTCAAAAGAAACTAGAAGATCTCTCTCTTTCTGCTGCTGAGCAACATCGTGCTCTAGAATAGGCCTTTCCTGTGTCGCGTTGGATATCTTTCGTCGATAATCAAATCGGTCTCACCCAGCGCGATCAGCATCCAACGCTGTGCCTGAAAAGAAGACACGTATTGTTCTATGGACTATATACCTTGCGCAACGGTTACGAATACTTGGACAAAGCCAAGCCGTTGTCATCGAACTACATACTTCACACCTCGACCTTCCATTTAGAGACCCATTAGAATTGCTTGCGTTCTCGGTCTATGCGCAAAAAGAGCACACTAAAAATCAAATGGCAATTTTCGCTGTTGAAAGGAAGAAAAGGCAAAATGGAGTGGCGTACATGCATGAATGGGTCAGAGCCCGGACAAAGCAAGTGGACGAAAAGAGAAAGGATCACGGAAAAGAACCCCCAAGGGCGACATTTCTATTTTCTTCCTCTTTTCTCTTTGGCTCACTCCCTGTCATCATCCTCTCCACCACCATCTGTGAACCCTCATCCGTCGTCCCTCTCTCTTTTTCTTTCATTACTCACACTCCTCGATTCGACATTCAGCACATTGTTCACATTGTGAATTCACCTTGCCTTTGTTCATTCACCACCTCGTTGCTCCATTACCAACATCAACACAGACACATACCGTTCCCTCTTCGTACTCGCTTGTAAAGAGCCTCAATAACTCCAGAATAACGCTCGTTTCAACGTTACAGAGGTATGTCCTTCCGTCGTGCGGTGCGTGGATCTATGTGTGTGTCGTTGTATCAATTAAGGAAAACAATACTTTTGCACAATGCTAATACACGATTGAACCGCACAGTAGACACTCTCTCCTGCCAGGAACAACCGAGCCTACCAAGAACCCTCATCGTCGCGACTCATTCAAAAACAATAGACCAGTGCCACTGTTGTCTACAGGTGGAGAAGAGAGACGACTCTTTTGTCAGCTGCACATTCACGAAGCAAAAAACAAAGACCAGAAAGGTCGGTACCAAGCCCGCACCCAGTAAGTCGAGGACAAGCACAGCAAACAGAATATGCAATTGACAATTGCAATTTCCCTGAGCACAAATTCTGACCAATACCTTTTCTACATAGACCAACAAGGCTCGCCAAGCCACAAACAAGCCTAGTCGCACCGAAGACTAAAGAAGCAAAAAAAGGGCCTCTTACTGGTAAGGAAGGCGAGCGATGCACAACCATTCAATGCATATCTGGTCATAAAATGCCGTCTTGTTTACAAACCTCGCCTAACATTGCACATACTTTTATTGATAGCTTCGCAGTCTCATACCAACCATTCATCCGCGATCAGCTCCATCGCGACTCTTCACTAGGCAAGTCAGGCTTCAAACCAATGCAAGGCAAAATGAAGAATTATGATTGATTGATTTCAGTAAGGTTGTCCAGACTATTAACCAGGGCCTTCATGCTTGATGTATATAGCTGTAACCATGTCCTTCTCGTCACCCCAAGCCAATTCGGCTCCTTCCCCACCGTCCTCGGCTTCTTCTGAGCACCCGGAAATAACTGTGGATGGACAGCGTGTCCTTCCTCAAATCGAGGACACCGCAACGCTTGGACGTGCATCGTCAAAGTCGAGTGACGTTCCAACAATCGCTCAAGGATTGGCCGCCATTCAGCTAGGGCCTGCCAACTCGTTGAGCCCTCATGGACCAGGTGACACCAGCGATGCCAAATCCGTATCCACGGGCCGTTCGTCGAAGTCTGGATTCAGGAAACGTTTGTCACGATTCTTCAAAGGCGACCCCAAAGTCAAAGACACTGTTCCCGCCTCGGCAGTCATATCAGCGCCTGTTACGCTCGTTGGAACTAAGGGTCGTATCCAGCCTGCCGCACCTGACCGTAACACCGTGCCTGTCTCGTTGGGACTGCACTCACCAGCACATTCCACTGAAATGTTGTCTACGCCACTCGTTGTACCAGCTACCCAACCGCAGCCGAGCCCTGCTGCGAGTAGAACCCTCCGCGTAAACATCTTCCCCGAGAACGTTATCGAACCAATCTACAAGACCGACTTGCCCAAGCCGCATGCTCGTGTTGACAAGACCCCACAGCTTGTCTACTGCTGTAGTCTCCTCTCCAAGGCTCAAGGGCCGCTGCAGCCGATCTCAGACAACGATGTCTCTCTAGGTCCCCCCCTCGACGACAAGGAGAAGGAATGGGTTCAGCTCATTGATCCAATCTTGCAGGAGCGATATCGATGGCTTGTCGAGCAATTGGTCAGAGCGTTCGCTGACAACCCTCTCAAGGCGTCTGATGTGGTCACCGAGATCGTTCTTGTTGGTCCTGTTCTCGACCGTGACACATACCGCAGCTTGCTCTCATGCTTCATCTCCAACTTTGAGCAGACAAGCGCGCTGGATGTCACTCTGCTCCAAGGTCTTGTGCAACTGGTCGAGTGCGCCTCATCTGGATACCTTGTCGACGATGATCTGGTGAGGATCGCCACTGTCCTCTCCAAGGAGTTGTCGATTACCCACATTGGCACGAGCGACCACCCCTTGCGCCTGACATTGTCGCTCGCTCGAGTTCTTGATGTGATGGTGGCTGGCAAGGTTAAGGATCTGAACCGTGAACGAGACCATCAGCCAATGCTGCAACTCCTAGACGGCCTGAAGGACAACGAGAATGTCGTCCAAAGGTACGAGGCAACCTACGCCTACCAGGCTCTCCAGTATGCACCAGATGACGAGACTCCGCTCCAAGTGCTGTGGAGATATGGCAAGGTTGCAGCAGCAGGCGCAGGTGCAGTGTCGAGTGTTTTCAAGTTGGATCCAGAGGGACTCCTCAAAGGCATCGAGAGTCTTCAAGAGATCGGTGCAGCGGTTGTTGGAGCTGTCAGCACAGGAATTGAGGTAGTCGAGGCCCTTCGTGTCGGTGCTGATGGGGCCGCCCGCGCATCAGAGAACAAGTTCGACTTTATGAAAAAGCGGTCGTGGTATCTCGCCCTTCAAGGAACGGCCCTCTTCATCCACCAGGGACGACTTTCAGACTTTAACCTAGTCGTCAGCCAGGCGCCATGCCGCCACAACGCCAATTTTCAGTGGGGAGTCTGTCGCCAGCTTGGAGAGATTGCAGTCGACCCGCTCTGGGATGTTCTTGTCCGTCAACAGGCCGTCGACTTTCTGGGTGAACTATACAGAAGCGGCTCTGACTGGAAACTCCATGTCGATATCAAGCGCTGGATCCTCACCATCCTCATCCAGATCTCGGGAATATCGGATGTCTCTATCAAGGATCGCGCTGTTGCTTTGTTGCTAGACCTGAAGAAGGATGATACCACCGAGTTTCTTGGCTCTTTTTCGCTAAGCAGACGCCTCCATCAGCCAACAGCCTCTCCACTTCTCGCCCAGGTCCAAGAGATTATCAAAGTCGAATATGACCTGCACGTATTGAGGCTGATGAGGATTGACGACTACAAGCAGGCGGTCTACATCGACCCCATGGCCAAACTCAACCTCCAAGACACGGATGACAATCTCTTCCCTCTCATGGATAAGGTTAGAGACTTTATGGCCGGCGACACTCAGGTCATGCTAATTCTTGGCGACTCGGGGGCGGGAAAATCGACATTCAATCGTCACCTGGAACACAAGCTCTGGCAGGAGTACAAGGCAGGAGGCCGCATCCCGCTTTTCATCAACTTGCCATCCCTCGAGCGACCAGAGAGGGATTTGGTTGCGGAGCAATTGAGGACCTACAACTTTTTGGAGGACCAGATCCGTGAGTTGAAGCTGCACCGCCAATTCGCATTGATCTGTGATGGATACGACGAGAGTCAGCTTACATCCAATCTGCATACCACCAACCTCTTCAACCAGTATGGGCAGTGGGACATCAAGTTGCTTATTACCTGTCGCACGCAGTATCTCGGACCGGACTATCGGAGTCGCTTTGAGCCCAAGACGGTGGATCGGTCTGCTCGCGTCGCCAACGATCTTTTCCAACAAGCCGTCATCGCTCCGTTCACCAGGGAGCAGATCGAAGACTATGTAGAGCATTATGTTCCTCTCGAGCCGCGCACCTGGGTCAAGAAGGACTACATGGACAAGCTAGAGGCTATCCCCAATCTGATGGATCTGGTCAGGAACCCGTTCCTCCTTACCATGTCACTGGAGGCCCTTCCTACCGTCGTGCAAGGGAAAACCGACCTCTCCAGGCTTCGAATCACTCGCGCGGAACTGTACGACACCTTTGTGGTGCATTGGATGGCTGTCAACAAGCGTCGCCTGCAGGATCAACATTTGAGCGAGAGCAGTCAGACAGCGCTTGACTTTCTTTGTGACGACGGGTTCGAGCGCAACGGTATTCTGTACCAGATGGATATGGCGGCGTCCATCTTTCAGAAGCAGGATGGCAGACCTATTGTTAACTACACTCATTTGAGAGACAGGAACACATGGAAGGCTCAGTTCTTTGGCGTTGATCCTGAGAGGGCGCTCCTTCGAGACTCCAGTCTGCTGAGTCGTACTGGCAACCAATACCGCTTTGTCCACCGCTCCGTGTTGGAATACTTTTTCTCTTGCACCATCTCTGGGCCTATCAAGGAGCATGATGAATTTGATCCGCCTGTCCATCCCGAAACCTCCGCCGCCTCACCCAGTATTAGCACCCATCCGTTGTCCCAGAGGAACCTTGTCGTTGAGCCGTCGATCATCCAGTTTCTGGCCGAGCGCGTGCAGCTGGATTCTAGATTCAAGGACGAGCTCCTCGCCATCATTGAGCAGTCCAAGACCGACAACCAAGCAGCTCGAGCCGCAGCGAACGCCATCACGATCTTGGTCAAGGCAGGAGTACGATTCAATGGAGCTAATCTTCGGGGTATTCGAGTTCCTGGAGCGGACATGTCTGGAGGCCAGTTCGACTCTGCACAACTGCAGGAGGCTGACTTGACAGATGTCAACCTCACCAAGAGCTGGATTCGTCAGGTGGACTTCACCAAGGCACAGATGGAGGGGGTTGAGTTCGGGGAGATGCCGTACCTGAAGGAGAGCACATGGGTAGTCTCGTGCGCCCATTCCCCTGACGGAACATCTCTCGCTGTAGGTCTTGGAGACGGCCGCATCAACGTTTACGACACTTCCATATGGACAACAACTCGCACTTTTGAAGGTCATCAAGGGTGGGTTAACAGCCTCGCCTATTCGCCTACAGGACATCAACTTCTTTCTGGAGGCGACGACAAGATGGCGAGATTGTGGGACTGCGAGAGTGGGTCGTGCATTTTTGTTCTAGAGGGGCATACCGAGTATGTGTTGACTGTGGCGTTTTCACCCTCTGGCAAGCAAGTCGCTTCGGCTGGAAAGGACTCGACTGTGAGGCTATGGGATGTTCAGACAGGCGCCAATCCGTTCATCTTGACCGGTCATACAGAATGGATTCGTAACGTTTCCTACTCACCCGATGGACATGCGGTTGTGTCTGTTGGCGACGATGAGACGATCCGTTTCTTTGACACATTGACTGGACAGCCAAGAGAAGTCTGGGAGACCCAAAGTGGGGATATGAGGAGAGTCGCATTCTCTCCTGGTGGCCTAGAGATTGCCGTAGGTCATGGCAATGGGGACTTAGTACTCTACAATACAGCTACCGGCAAACCAACGAGGAACTGGCAGGCTCATGGCAACGATATCACGGGTGTGAGTTTTTCTCCGAACAGCCAATGGATCGCCACATGCGGCTATGACAGCACGGTGAAGGTCTGGAGTGCAGCAACAGGATCGGTCCTTTCTGTCTTCACTGCTCATGGTTCTCCTGTCTTGCAATTAGCCTTTTCGCCAAACCGACCCCAACTCGTCTCGTGTGGTTTTGATTGTACCATCCGAATCTGGGACGTGAGCTCACTGGGGACTGGCGTGGATGTAGAGGTCGGATCTGACCCGCTGACGGGCGTACTTTTTTCTCCAGACCGCCGAGTTCTCTTCTGTGGCACCGAGTTGGGAGCTGTGCGACAGTATGATGCAGTATCTGGAGCGCCCAGTCTAGATATTCCTTGCAGAGACAATCCTGTCAAATGCCTAGTGGTCTCCCCGGATGGTCTTCTAATTGCGTCAGTTGGAACGGACGACGAATTCGTCGCTGTGTGGAATATTGGAACAGGTCAAACCGATGTTGTGCTGTGCGGTCACAAACAACAGGTGAATGCCATGGCTTTTTCAGCCGACAGCCGCTGGATTGCCACGGGAAGTGACGACAACACAGTGCGACTTTGGGACGCTCGGTCAGGGACACTCGACCGCGTGCTTGAAGGCCATACCGATCGTATTATTTGTTTGATATTCTCGCCGAATAGCCATCGAGTCGTGTCGGGAAGTTGGGATGGAACTATTCAAGCCTGGGATTTGGACAGTCGTGAATGTATAGTTGTTATGGATGCTGGCAGTGGTATACAAAGTTGGGCAATATCGGCTTCATCTGATGGCTTGAGGACTGCTTCCAGAAAGTTTGCCAGCAGCACTGTTGAGCTTTGGGACGCGGAGAGCGGGGAACTTCAACAAAGTCTAGAGCACAATGACAACGTACAATGCTTTGAACTCTCGTCCTGTGGTCAATGGGTAGGCGTAAGCTTCCCTGGTTCGGTTTGGCTCTGGAATTTTGCATCTGACAAGACAACAGAAGGGGGAGAAGGTCGAGGAGAGTGGAAGTGTTCGGTGCGTATCCGAGATGTCTTTGGAGAGGTCGCCAGCATCGCATGGAAACCTAACACGCTGGAGTTTAGCATCGGATGCTTGAATGGTCCCCTTCAAGTGTGGAGACTGGTGGAGACGTCGACATCGTCGTCGGATGTATGGTCGGCCCAGTTGGTTTGGGGCGCTGGAAATCCTGTTCTAGCTGCCTCGGATGCCGTTTTTGCTGATGCTGTTGGTCTCTCCTCAGGCAATCAGCGGTTGCTCACTCAGCGTTGCATGGGTGCTGCCGCTTAAACAACATAGTTCATTACACAATCTTTTATATATAGAGAGACATTAGGCATGTTCGTTGGTAACCTTTCAATTTTTACTGAAGGCGATGGCGCCAATCAATAGCAAAGCTTATTTTTGTTCTTTGAATGCTGTGCTGTGTTTTTCATTATTGGTGCTGATAGAGTTGCTATTAGTGGTGCTGAGATACGTTCAGTATGAGGAGTAAAAGATAACAGCACACTACTTTGAAGCATCAACCAAGTCCCCTTTTCAACCCCATTCACACCATCGCGATAATCCGATAAGTCTCATTCATCTCCTCCCGGGTATTCATCACAAACGGCCCAATCTGGACAACGGTCTCCCTCTACCCCCCCCGCTATCAGTACAAAATGCGCTGCCTCATCCTTTGTATAGACCCTGGCGATGATGGTACTATCCTCGGAGAAAAGGAGGATATGACGAGCTTTTGCCTCGGTCTCGCTGTTCGGATCCCAGATGTATGCGGTGCCGTTGAGAAAGTAAATGAATTCGTTGTATGTCGCCGGGATGGTTTGGGTGACGGTTTGGTTCTTGTCCATCTTGAAGTCAAGAAATATTGTCGGTGTTGGTATAGATTTGAGACTTGACGCCGTGAGATACTCCGGGGATGACTTTGACGACGACACCATCCTGAGGTCTGGCGCGCGGGATCTGACCGTCGAGGAGTTCCTGGTGCTGTGGCTCACACATTTTGTGCTCCTTGGGCAAATTGATCCACATCTGGAGTCCATGAGTGCAGATCTGAGACTTGGCCGACATCTCCGAGTGGACAATACCACGATCAGCACTCATCCACTGCAAGTCGCCCAGTCCAATGGTTCTTTTGCGTCCTAATGTCCCCGTGCTGGAACTGTCCCTCGAACGTGTAAGTGACAGTCTCGAATCCGCAGTGGGGATGGTCAAGGAAGCCACCGTTCTTGTCGACAGGGAATTCGTCAAGCATGAGGAAGGGGTCGTGGTTGTGGAGTTCAGGGCGTCCGATGGATCAGCGGACACGGGCACCGATTCACTTGGGTTGTTCTCTGGAGAGGACGGACTCTGTGATGGGGCGGGAGAAGGGAGTTGATGTGGCAGCCATGTTGTTTTGTTGTCTTTGTTATTGGATAAGGAAGGGTAGTGTGTGAATGAGAATAATGGAAAAAACTGTTGTTGTAGTCGAGTGAAGTTTGAAGACGTTTTTGGTGAGATGAAGAGGCAAGATACGTGGAAGGTCGTTCGCTTTTATACTTTGTCCTTCTGCCTCCATCAATTGATCGATTGACCAATGAGAAGTGACTAAGCATAAATGGGGGGGAGGCTTAGAAATCTTTTCATGATTAAGCATTACTAGATACGTCCTAAGAAGCAGGTTCCATACAAGGACAGAAAGATAGGGCCCAGATACGGACGATATACGAAAGTCTTGAACAGCCATCGTCCATGTAATACAGGCCACCATTGACCATGGCACATTACGCGAGAAAATGGAGATCCCAAACGAAACGAAAAGGGTTTTTCATCTTGCTATTGAAACGGTGGAGAATATCACATCACACCTTTCTCGTATCGCGTTCCAACAATATTCATTGAAGATCAATATTCCTACAGCAACAACGTATCATCTTTTTATTTTTCATTATTCTTAGTCCTGTAGATGCGCAAAAGGTATTCTATTTGCGGCGCCAGACACCAATCTTCTCTTTTCCTTGACGCGCCTCAAACGAGGAGCAATCATCAACAATGAGGCAATCAAAGTTGGCATCGAGGAAAGAGTGGTACTGGTCGACACTGACGGCGAAGGGAGGTCCGTCGGTGTGATTGCCGATGGGAAACATCAATGTGATAAGAATGCCGTCCTTGGGGATGATTTCAGCCATACGACGACCCCAGTCTGCGCGAAGAGTTGGAGGAATTGCGCAGAAGAAGCTATTAACCAATGAGATGAACAACACGTTACAGTGAGATTGGGCTGTCCGAAAGGAGATAGGAAGAATTCAATTGGTAACAGTAAGTACACAAGACGATGATGACGTACGTGTAGTCGTAAACGAGCTGGAAGCCGCCGGCGGGGGTTTCAAACTCGAAGAAGTCGCCAACGAAGAACTCGGCGACCGACTCGGAAATGCCCTTCTCAGTGCGGATCTAATTACCATAAAGCGTCAAACCAATTTATGTTTGTAAATATTAGTACGCGTCTACTTCCTTACGATCCTCCTATTATGTCACTCCGCCCTTGTCATACTCCACACTTCGCGTCCACACCGTTTCAGCACCATCTTCTTTCAACTTACATCCTTGCACTGCTGGACAGCAATGGGACTGATATCCAACCCATAGGCCTTGCGGTGCTCATTTCCGAGGTAAAAAACATCGACACCACGCCCGCACCCAGGGACGAGGACGTTGCCGGACTTGGGGATCTGGGCCGAGATGGGCTTCTTTTCGATGACTTCGATCAAGGCGGGGTTGGGGACGGCCTGGTCCCAGGGATGGATGTCGCGGCGCCAGAGCTCATTCCAGCCGTCTGTTAGTGTTTAGGGCACCGTGGGAAAGTGGGAAAGGAAAGGAAGGAGAGATGGAAGGAGAGTGAGTTTGGTTAGTAAGAGTGAATGAGGAATGTCAATGCAAGAGTGTGATGGTGGAGGTGACAAATATGGAGAGTATGAGAGTGGCTGTTACCTTTCTGTTTGACGATTTCTTGGGTATCGTTGCTCATGGTGATCCGATGGTGGTTGTGTGTGTGTGTGTTCGTTTGTGTGAAGGGAGGGAGGGAGGTGTGGGGAAGAGTTGCAAAGAATATGAAAAAGTGGGCGTGCGATCCGCCTTATATACTTTTTTGTCGACCGGAAGCCGGCAAAATAAGAGTCGCAAACAGCGCAGCGTGTGTTTGTGGGTATGCAGAGAATTCGATCGAAGGCACAGATGGAGAGAAGGAAGAAGGTAGTCTCGCTGCCAGCCCATTTTCACTTTACGTGGGTCGGGATCCTATCCCGAAGCCTTCACGAAGTGAAGGTCTGGGGGAATACAAGGGGTAGACATGCCTGCACACGAAATTTCCATCCTAAAAAGGAAATAATCTTTGACAGGCAGTGAGAGCACCCTCAAAGGCGCTGTCTTTTTTGCTTCATCATCCCACCTCTTCTTCATCACCTTCGCCATCCCCCTTCCTTCCCGCCTAAGCATCTGATCCTTTCTCTTTCAGTTCATACTTCTTCTGCGTCGACCCATTCCTTAAGCAATAAACTACTCTCTCTTTTCCCTCCATCTTTATCTTCACCTTCCATCTGCCTGTTGCCTGGTGCCTGTTGCCTGTCCGTTATGGCCAAAGTCAAAGGATTCAAACAATATCAGGGTCCTAAAAACCAAACCATTCAAAAAACATCTAATGGTATCGACCCTTCTCTCCCGCCTCAGACACCCCCTCGCCCTCCTTCAACTCCTTCAACACCTGCCACGCCTGCCACGCCTGCCACGCCTGCCACGCCTTCTCGCCCTCCTGCCACGCCTTCTCGCCCTCCTGCCACGCCTTCTCGCCCTCCTGCCACGCCTTATCGCCCGCCTTCAACACCTTCCCGTGCCTCTGCCACCCCAAGTCGACCCACTGCTACACCTAGTCGGACTTACGGCACACCCATTCGCGCCGGCCATTATCCAAATATAACCTTTGCTTCTCAAGCATTTGTCAAGAATGCAGATGGCTCCGCGATCAATATCTCGGCTCCTTCGCCTCCGCCAAGGGGTGTGACAGACCGCAGGCTTTTGGATATTTTCGACATGTTGCATTCCCATGGTTTCAGTATGGGGACGTTCTTGGTGGAAGCTGCCGATTCCAAGGACCCCGAGGTCAAAAAAAGGTCGACAAGTTCTACCAGCAAAATGGCCCTTCAAGAATCGTCGAATGCTGGGGCAAGCATCTAGAGCGAAAATGGACGGATTACACCTTCATCGAGAGCGCCGTCAACGTAATCAGAAAGCGAGTTCAGACCGACCTCAACCGGATTGTCAACAAAAAGGCCTTTTGTCATCCTGCCAACTCAATCAGCCGCAAGAAGATCCACAACTTTTCTATGAAGCGCCTGAGGCGCACCCTTGAGACAACAGCACCCACTCTCACTCAAGTCCTTGTTGCATTGATGCCAACAAATGTAACAGCAAAGGCGCAAGATTCGAGTCCGAATATGAATGACGAGGACGTTTTCTCTCTTGCTTCGAGGATAGATCCCGAGGCACCTCCTTCATTAGTTGCAGCAGCGCCACCGTCCGCCGTGAACCTGGAATTGGAATCGATTGTAGGCTCGGATGACGATTTGTACGCAGATTCAGAATCGGACTCGCACTTGGCCCTGGACTCCAATTCGGACTCGGACGCGGAGTCAGACGCTCTTGTCGACACTGTAGCGGCTCCAATCACCGTGACCGCTTCAGTCACCGCGGCCCCTACCCTTGTGGACACTGTTGCCGGTTTAAATACCCTTATAGAAATACCCGACCAGATTCTCGACTTTGAGAAAATGTTACTAATTGAATCGGATGCAGAGGACGAGGACGAACACTTATGGGTGGATCAGGAGCGGATATTGGCAAACAAGTCAGACCCTAATCCAGACCCGGACCCAGGCTCCTTTGTTGCTACCGTCGGCAGCATGTTGGTGTTTATGAGGAGCGAAAGATCCAACTATCTACAGATGATGATGGGTATGTGAAATATATATTGTTTTGTTGAACCAGAAATTTAATTAACAAAAACCGCTCTGTCAAAACCATGCCCACTTAAACATTCATTTTTTTTATTAGGGCTTCATTTGCGTGGAATGTCTTGTCCAAAGCAGTTGATCACACTTCTCAGCGTTATGAATCTCTCGATGAGCTACAAGACCACCACGATTGGACTCAAATCGTTGGCGAAGGACCATTATAGACTGCTGCGAGTAGCAGCACACACTCGCCAGGTACGTATAGAAGTCGGTCGTATCTAGAGCATTAAGACACACATGCAAGTGAGAAGCCATAAGCTGAAGTACCAATTCATCGTTGGTCTGAACGAACGGTCATTGTTAGGTCAACTAAAACTGGCGCAAATTTATATTGCGGACAAAATTAACCAGTTTTTTTCTTACTTTTTTACCAATCTACATCTCTAACACCAGGTTATTTTTTTATACGACAATTTCAACCAAGTGAGATCGGTGCGCCATCAGACCAAGGACCACAAAGGATCGTTTTTAAGTGGTACAACTGGAACCATTGTGGTGGGAGAGAATCTCGGCGAGGAGTTGACGTCTCGTGGTCCAATCACACCAGCACTTCTTGATATCATGCTCAACAAATCGGATATGGAGCAGTTCAAGGTTGTTTACCGGCATCACCTGTCAAGGGTTCTCAAACCGGGACTCAAAAGTGGTTCTCTATCCACAAGCCTTAGGATCCCCCCGATCACACCTTTATCACCCCCGGGTGACGGAGGCTTACGAGATGGCAGCTATGGAGATCGACCAATCGTCCGTGGAAGAAAACATGCTGGTGCTGGAAGAGATGCGGAAAGTGATTGGCAAGTGTAAGGGGTCGTTCGAACTATTGAAGATGCTTATTGCTGGGGATCACCTATCAGTCTCTAGGATCCATAGCTTGAAGGAAAGAAAAATTGGAGACGTTAATCCATTCGACCAACTGCTATGGGCTATTCCAGTCTTACAGCTGTTTCACATGCAGATGATCCTCTGTTCGGCCATTCTTCGTATACACCATGGACACATTGCTCAACCAGGATCACTCTACTACTACAAAACCAAGTTGGGCCGCAGGAGACTGAACTTGGATTCCCCCTGCCATCATTCAGCTGATGAGTTTTTGCGTACTGTGTTTGCTGCAATGGTCAAGCAAATGTGGCAAGCGAAGCATGTAAGTTTTGTTCAAAAAAATGTCTCTGATATGCTGTTTTCATCTGAATACTAAGGTCTTCAACTTTCATACCATCGCCTACTTTTTAGAATAGCAACCCGCAGGGCGCAGGATCCATACCAGGCGACAACTTTCTCACAGAACTCAACGACCTCGTCAGCTCCAACTTTTTCGACTCAGACACTCTACGCGGTGAATACTCTACAACAAACGTCAACTGTCTTCTCTTTATAAGAGATATGGTGGTTTACATTGAGTTTTGTAGCGCCATCAAGGACGGGGATATTGGGCGCATTGAACAGATTCTGAAAAGAATCACAATTATGTTTCAAGCCAGCAACAATAAGAACTACGCCCTAGAGTTGCTTCGCCTCAGATACAATATTAAACACAAATGGACCGACACTAGGAAACGCGCCATCTTTTCATCTCTTTTAATCAACACACAAGGTCTTCCTCACCGATGGATTGCCGGCGACTTGTATCAGGAATTCAACAACCTTCTTACGAAGAGGACCCATGCCACTGTCGGCTTCAAAACCTCAACAATGGCGTACATCACTCCTTTGATTCGTCTATTCCATGTGATCCACAAAAAAATGCGCGCGGAGTATAAGTTGACAGAGGAGTCAGCCTTTCATAGGGATGTGACGCCAGAAGGTGATATTCTGATCATCATGAACTCGTTGAAGGAGAGCAATATTTTGGGTGTCGAAAAGTGTCCCGTTGCACACGAAGGAGTTGCGCCTGTTCAAGATTTGATGGTGGAGGGTGTGCAAGCTTTGCAGAAGGGAGGCTTTGCGAGATTCGTCAAGCGCATGACGGAGGAAGAGTCCGACAGGGTCGATAATACTGCGACAGAGTTGGAGGAAGCCTTGTCGGATGAAATGCTGATTCGTCTTGACAAAGAACGCAGTCGAAGTGAGAAATACCTGAACTCGTTATTTAATTAAATAATATGAAATCAAAAGTGAAAGAGTGAAAGACAGGGCCACCGGCACAATTGTTGAAGTGAAAGAAGACAAAAGGTCACTCGTAGTTAACCACATGTAAAATAAGAAAACGCATCAGCGGCTAATACACGTTACGTTTTGCCGCCTAAATAAGGTACACACACTCAAACATTTTATTTTATTTTTCGACGCTTGTCCTCAACAGCTGTTTTTGTTTGGCGCCGCTGTTGGCGCTTTTGAGGTAACTGAAGTTCAGGTTGGGTTTGAGGTAGTCCTTGAGGATGCTGAGAGCTTTCTGGATGCAGGCCCGGCAGATGAATGTTGGCGATTTCCAGGTTGTAACAAATAAGAATATCCTCGAGTCGATGTTGCGCTCCCAGACAAATCTCTTGCCAACTGTCGCCAAGGATAGATGAGACGGCCCCACGGCGATCGATGCTCCCAAACTCCTCAACAAGCTTATCGATAGTCTCGGTCTCCATAATACACTCTGCAGTGTAAAACTCGCACTCGCTTCTCGACTGTAGAAGCTCCTCCTGCCTCCATCCAAGAATCCTTCGTCTGGCCTCTTTTTGCTGGTCGCTAGTACGCGGAAGATATGGCGTTTTTGGGATAGGCGTTGAAGTCGGATGAGAATACAGCCTGTTGGAACTGTCTAGCGGTAAGGTGCACAAGTCTACTGGAGCCATTCCTTTCCTCTTGTCGCAACCATCACAGCAGTCCAGATAGATGGTATGGGGATTGCAGAACACCGTGTTGAAAACTTTCCTGCGGCATTCCTTGGTGGTGAAGAAGGCATCCAGATGCTGATCTCGTTTTCGATAACCGTTCTTCCTGTTGGTTGTGTACACAATGCCTTGACCTCGAAGTTCCGGATTGCGTACTGCTCGGCCTAGACGTTGTGAGAGGGCGCTGATAGTCTCGGGACACTTGAACTGGATTACTCGAAAAATATCAGGGATATCACATCCCATCCCTACTGCATCGGTTGCGAGTAGGATGCGGGTCTTGCCTTCCCTGAAGTCCTGCAAACGCAAGAACTTGGCGTCCTCCGTTAGATCCGACATGAACTCGGCAATAAAACGCTTCCTGTCAGGGAACATCTGGCAGAAAAGTCGATGAGCCCTCTTGATGTATTTTTTGTCGTCGAAGTATACAATCGTCTTGGCGAGATCCTGTATAACGGTCACCATATCCAGGAGGCACTCATCGTTGGTGGACTTCGTTTTGACAAAATACTTGATGTTGGGGCGATCACTATCGGCTTGGACAACGTTGACATCTGGACGGAAGTAAAGGCTCGCCTTGACAGTTTGCAAAATTGCCGGAGGTAGAGTTGCCGACATGGCAACAAATGGTAAACCAGGAGGAACAAGAGCACGTAGATCCCCGATCTTGGTGTAGGCATGCCTGAAGCTTGGACCCCACGTATGGATGCAATGCGCCTCGTCCACGATTACTGCAAGCAGTTTCGATTTCCAGCCATCCATGTTCCAGAGTCTTGGGAATCGAGTGATATTGGTCGCCAACTCAGGAGTCATGAAGACGGCCCTATACTCCCCAGCAGACAACCGATCCTCCAAGTTGCTTGGCGGTATATTGTCGCCGTGAATCGCAATACTGTTGATTTTGGCTTGCTGCAGCTTCCCTTGCTGCTCATTCATCAGCGCCTTGAGTGGTGAGATAATAACAATGATTCGATCCGTCCAGAGAAGCAAGGGCAGGAAATAGGTCAAGGACTTGCCCCAACCGCAGCCAGCAACCAGAATACAGTCCTTCCGTAAGGCAATGCTCTCAACGACCTCAAGTTGCTCTTTCTTGGGAGGAAATCCAAAGAACCGAGTACAAATGGCAACTGTATCCTTTGGAAGGGAGAGGTATCCTCGAGGAGTCAGATTGCCAGAGTCTACAAAAAGGGTCGAAGTATCGAGATGTTCCGATGTTGAGTTGCTGAGATGTTCTGAATGGTCCAGTCGAGTCGATCAAAAACGGGTTCTCTCCACTATGCTGCTGCTCAACCTTGCCCCATAGCTGTCTCCGGACCCCATCGTCCGCAATCATATCGTAGTCGTCCATGTCCATGTTCTCGGAAAAGTCGCCGTCATCCGAGAGTGGCTGTAAAGCGCCGATAGGACTGGCCAACGGTGAAGGGGCCATAACGGACAGGCAACAGGCAGATGGAAGGTGAAGATAAAGATGGAGGGAAAAGAGAGAGTAGTTTATTGCTTAAGGAATGGGTCGACGCAGAAGAAGTATGAACTGAAAGAGAAAGGATCAGATGCTTAGGCGGGAAGGAAGGGGGATGGCGAAGGTGATGAAGAAGAGGTGGGATGATGAAGCAAAAAAGACAGCGCCTTTGAGGGTGCTCTCACTGCCTGTCAAAGATTATTTCCTTTTTAGGATGGAAATTTCGTGTGCAGGCATGTCTACCCCTTGTATTCCCCCAGACCTTCACTTCGTGAAGGCTTCGGGATAGGATCCCGACCCACGTAAAGTGAAAATGGGCTGGCAGCGAGACTAGGAAGAAGGGTCTGGACCCTCATAGATTCACGCCCTTGGGAAAGGACGCGTTTGTAATCGAGAAATTGAACAGCCAAAGCGATGGATAGCCAGAGCCAAGAGATCTTCTCTTGGACACGTGGCTGCGACAACGACTAGGACCAATGGTACAAGTGGTATATTACTATTACCATGACACACCAAAGACAACTGCGCATCCGTAACCCTCCTCTCTCTCACTCTCTCTTTATCCCAGGTGTGATAAGTGGGTCGAGCGCCTGGATCGATCCGTTTCATTTCTCTTTCTCTGCAGTCAGGGCAAATGGCGATGCAGCCTATGCGATCAAAACACGTCACGAAAAGGAAAGGAAACCCTGACTTACTTATTCCCATCACTTCTTTCTTCCCCTTCTCATCACTCCTTCTTCATCACACTCACAACACAACAAGACACAATGGCCACCTACTTCCAGACCACCGCCCGCAACTACACCGACGTTACCGTCACCTCCGAGGGCATCAACACCGACGAGTTCCTCCAGGCCACCGAGGGTCTCGTTAAGATCTTTGGTACTTCTTTTCTTATTTTTGTTCCCACTGTCATCTTGCCTCTCATCCTTTAGGCCGCCATCTCTTCCTTCATAGTTAAACGCAACTAACACTTCTTTGCTTGAATAATAGACCTTTTCGGCACCGTCTTCTCTGTTGTCCAGAACGATATGAACGGAAACATCAAGGTAATGGCCGACAGCCAACGACACTCACGTTTCCAAGATAATGGCCCAAGTGTACAAGGCAATCGATACACGCGATCACGATAACCCTTCAACAGGGAACAACAACTCTACAAGGAGAGCGCTCTCAGGACAAGAAGCCTCGTTGACCTTACACGACCTGGAGAGACAGGAATGAATGCCCCTCTTTGTGGCTCATGGCACCTCATCCTTTTTCACGCGATGAAAGAAAAAAAAAGTGGAGTATAAGGACACTCTATGTTAGTCGTTCCTTCTTCCCCAACCTGACCCAACCCAACCCAACCCCACTCAATGCAATTGGACTTTCTTTGACTAACCCAAATTGCACACTTCATTGACGGCTCACAACTACGCCAACAATCAACATTGGATAACGACAATAGAAAATTCGCGAGCGTTTCCTCCAGAACCCTGCCGCCAACTCGACCCTCCAGAACTTGGTTGATGGCGAGAAGAAGGAGAAGAAGAAGCCCGCCACCGAGGGTCTCTTGTGGCTCACCCGGTATGTTTTTATATAAGGATAGAAGGAAAAGCAGAAGTAATTGACCGTGGGATATGATGGTGGAGCATGACAGTGTGTTCTTTTAGACATCGTATGATGACGAGTTATTTTTATATTTAATTTTCCTTTTCATTGCAGCCAGAAAAGGATTTATCGAGATCCAATTGGAACACACCAACACCCACTCATTCTATCTATTACGGGACCCAATTAACCCTTTTCTTGTCATCGTCTTTCTACATAATAGTGGTCTTGACTTCACCCTCCAGTCCTTGGAGAGGAGCGAGGCCAACCCCACAGAGGAGCTCTCCGTCTCCTTCACCAAGGGTTACGAGGACACCCTCCGCATGCACCACGGCATGCTCGTCCGCCCAGTCTTTGCTGTACGTCTCACCCTTCATTGCCTTTGGAATAGTTGTTTTTGTTTGTTATCTGTTTGTCGGGGTAGCACAAAGGATATTTATCTGTGGATTGTACATGGACCGTCTTCTCTTTTTGGTTTCCCACCCTCTCATCTCCTCTTGCCCCTATGCCCCTATTCTCCTATTTTCATTCTTGCCCTGATCCCATGATACCCGTCACACATACACCAACACTAACCCACACATCTCCTTTCAACCTATAGCTGGCTATGAAGGCTTGCCCTTACCGTGCTGACTTTTACGCCAAGTTGGGATCCGACCAGGGCTTGGTTAAGCAGGACTTAACTGCCTATTTGGCCGGTCTCCGCAAGATTGTTGTCGAGATCCAGCAGTACTACACCGCCAACAAGTTGTAAATACGATGCACAAACATACACATACCACTACACTACTTGAATTCAGTTCGGTTCAAGAATGTTGCCTATAAATGAATGAGTTACCTTTTTTCTCTTACACCATCGGCAATAGCTATTGCTTGCTGCTTTTGCTCTCATTGGTTAGGCTCGTATGGCAAGGGTGGTTGTAATGGGTGTAGATCTACTCTCCAGGGGTAATCAACTTCGAATTTAGTCTGGTTTCTCTTTTTCATGATCTGTCGGTAGCAACGTGGGTTGTCAAGTGGGGGAGAAAGGCAGATGATAGTAAACTAGGGGGGTGGTTCATCGAAAAAAAAAGTGGAGGGAGTCGAAAAGTGAGAATGGCTTCCCTTTTTTGACCCGGAAAAAGGGTGAGTGCGACGGTCGAGATTCAGGGGAGACGAATATGAATGGCCACGAGGTCCAAGCCAGCAAGCGCGGTTGACATTTAGTAGAGCGTGAACAGGACCAACAGGCTATTACAAAAGTCAGAGATCATCTGGGTTGACGAGTGTCTGTCCACCTGCTTGCCCTGGCTGACGCCTGGGTGCGTGTGAAGGGAGTGAGTGAAGGAAAGAGGGGTAGACACAGAACAAACAAACAAGACACAGGCAGGCAATAACGAGAAAATTCACCGAGTGGGTGAATGAGGGAAGTGAAGGAAGGAGTGGAAGAGGTCATTGTTGTGCCGCACCACGATCCGTTCCTTTATAAAGGACGGCGATGTGTCGTCTTCTTTCATCTGTTTGCCCAATTCCCTCCTGTTACCCTCGGACACTCCCCATCCACCATTCTTCACTTTCTCTTTTTCCCTCCTTTCAACATACTCAATCCAAGACCGAGACCATTGCCTCACTCATCCACCCGTCTTTCTTAGTTAACAATAGTTGCAACACTCAACTCTCGGGACCTGTTTTCATTGTCTGCATTCCTCGATACATATCGCGGTCATTCCAGTCCCTTCCAGAACTAGCGCTTGAACGCGACCGAGGCACTTGTAAGTCCATCCAAAGGATTTTACTCCTAGTAGAGTCTGATTCCCATCTTCACCTTCTCGTTCTTCTTACCCTTTCTCCCCTTGATCTTGTTCCTTTGCGCTCCTCGCATCGTCTTTCGAACAGAACTTGTCCGAGGTATAAAGAAGCATATCCTCTTTGATTTCATACTCCCTCCTTTCCTCGAAGACAACCACATATTACGATTCGGACTTGACTTTATTTCGGTAAACGAGAGCACCCTCAATCCCTTTATTCCCTTGTGGACCTTCTTCCTCATATCTCCCATCTCTATCTCCTTCTTCCGTTTCCATTGGCAAAGTACATGCTTGTTACGTCTGCATCCCTATTTTTTTCACGTTCTGCGTTCTTCTCTCGTTTTGTCTGCCTGTCTCTGCATCGGTCGCTTTCGAATATTTCTCACATTTTTTGTCCTTTATTCATCCTCCCTTCCTCTCCTTCGTTTACTTCTTCTACCTCTTCCTTCCTACCTTCCCCTCATTTCCCGCCCTCTGTCTCAGCTCCATCGACATTCGCCTTTCATACAGGACTACCAAAGTCTGAACGCTATATATACCAATCTATCACCAACATGACGTCCATACCCGAATCAGCATACATATCGCACTACAGCAATGCATGGGAATCAAATCGACTGGTAGCCAAGGACGGATGGATCCTCGATCCACAGAACAGAGTCGTCATCCTTCATGGAGTCAACATGTCAGGTGCCACCAAGGTGCCTTTCTACAAGGCTGCTGCTTCAGAGACTGCAGAGGCCGTAGCAGAAGCCAATATCCGATCTACTGCGATGAACCTTGCGCCCGGGTCGCCGGTCTACTACGGGGCCACTCCTACAGCTGCACCCTTATCGCCACCATCTACGGAGGAATCTTCAATAGGAGGAAGACAACACGCGGCGTCAGAGTCGAGTTCTTCGACATCAACGACGGACAGTGAGAGGATAAGGAATAAGGGCGAGATACCGGGGGTGATGTACTCGTACAAGGACAAGCACTTTTTTGAACACCGGAGTGTCTCATTTGTCAATCGGCCGTTCCCGTTGGTCGAGGCGGAGATGCATTTTGAGAGACTTGCGCGGTGGGGGTGTCAGGTCCTTCGTGTCTTGGTACCCTGGGAGGCACTCGAGCATTCTGGACCGTAGGTTTCTTGTCCTTTTGCTTGTTTGTGCACTGACAATTTTCTTTCCATTTTACCCCTGTTGATCTTTTTCTTTCTAACATACATTTGTGTTCTACTATTATAGAGGCATCTATGACGAAGAGTACATTGACTACCTCATCCAGCTACTCAAGATCGCCGGCAAGTTTGGACTCAAGTGCTTTCTTGACCCCCATGTCGACTGCTGGAGTCGATTCACAGGTGGTTCTGGAATGTAAGTCGTCTATGTCTACGTTTGCCCGCTGTCGCTCAACAGATATGATTTATTCTATGTTTTTTGTCCTTGAACCTCGTCCATGTCGTTATTCTAATGTGAACTTGCCAACATAACCTCTTGCGTTTGCATAGGCCTGGATGGACAATTGAGCTCGCAGGGATGGACGTCACTAAACTTGAGTCCACAGGATCTGCCATCACCCAGAATGTAAGTAGTCATATCATTTCAAGAGAGGAGAAGACGCATGCTCAATGCCACTTTCCAACAGCGGACTAACTAACATAATGCCGACATTCATAAAATAGACGTACAAGGACAAGCCGAATTACCCGAGGATGATTTGGGCGACCAACAACAGCAAGGTCGCATCAGCAACCATGTATACCCTCTTCTTTGCCGGCCAGATCTTTGCCCCCCAGGCCATGGTTCCTCTCTCTCAGACTGTCCTTGACCATTTCCGAAAAGTCCACTCCACTGTCGTCTCGGATGAGGCCTTCCGCAGGGGCATGGTCGGTGGTGTCAAAGCCCCCTCGCCTATTCAGAACCTTGTCGAGATCCCAAGGGTCGATGCGGAGTTTGTTCAGCGCGGGCAGGTTAATATCCAGCATTTCTTGCAGGCTCATTTCATGGAGGCTTTTGCTCACCTTGCGGACCGGATACAGAAGGACGATGCAAGGGTTCTGAGGAGTGGAGGAAGGGGTGGGGAGGTTGCGTTGATGGCTTCGGGGACTGTGATGGGATTTGATTCCTTGAATGAGCCGGCGCCGGGGTATCTTAACCATCCGGATTTGAACAAGTTGCTTGAGTTGGAGGATCTGCAGATTGGGACTTGTCCTACGCCAATTCAAGGGATGCAGTTGGCGCAGGGAAAGACGGTCGAGTGTCAGGTCTGGGCGACAGGTGCTTTGGGACCGGGCAAGAAGGGGAAAGTCAAGGTTAATACTGAGAACGTCAACCTCTGGAAACGACCCTACTGGAAATCGAACAAGAATAATAAGCGACATAACCATGACCCTGACGCGATTGGCGAGCACAGGATTCATGCACCGTCAGCGCCACCTATGACTCTTTCTCATGGAAACGGAGGGTATCACCCCATGGCGTCCCCCTTCCATATCGTCTCTCAGCTCGATATTTCGGCCGCGCAATCTGCACTTACGTCCTTCCTTGGCGGTCGTGGATCCAAGCAGCCAGGCGAAACAACGGCGACCAGCGAAGTCACAGAGGCACACATCTCCAAGACCAACTGGCCTGAACCCGCAGGCTACAGCAACCTCTGCATCTGGGCCGATCACAAGGTCTGGGACCCCGAGACAGGCAAACTACTCCAACCCAACTACTTCCAACGGATACCGACCAGGGGATACATACCGCCAGGGTTCCAACCAGGCAAGGAGGTCGAGTGGAAACAGGACTTCTGGCTTCCCTTTGTCAACACCTTTTCGCTCCGTCTTCGACAGCAGGATCCGAGGTTGACCATCTTTGTGGAGCCGCCCATTAACGAAGCGCCGCCTATGTTCCGGTTGCAGAAGATGCTGATTGGTGGAGCCACGGATCAGTTGGTGAATATGTTTCGGTCCCTGGTGAGGTGGAAGCCTCCAAGGTCGTTCCATAATCAACATACTACCGCTGCTGTCAGTCGACATGTTGTGCCTCCTGCGCCTACCAGCGGGACTACAAGGAGTAACAACAGCAGCAGCAGCGGTGATCCGGATCTGGAAAAGGGCAAGATGGCGTCGCAGACTGTCGAGGACGATCTGTACGAGAATGCATGCCAGCATCCCATTTTCAACCCTGTCGGCGATGTCAGTGACAACATCGTCGTCGCACCTCACTTTTACGACGGCTACTCCAATGTCACCCGCGACTTTGTCCCTTTCACTCTGGATTTCCTCGGCTACAAGCGTGGTATCTATTGGTCGGTCCTCGGAGCTCTGAAACTAGGCTGGTCAGGTGTAGGAGGCGCATGGAAGGACCAAGTCCAGGGGATCCAGTCCGACATCCGCTTCGCAATGGGTTCTCAACACGGCATCCTCATGGGCGAAACCGGTCTACCAATGGACATGCACGACAAAGCCAGTTTCAAGCACCGGTACGGGTCACCCAAACAGCAATTCGCCCTCCAGATGCTCCTTGACGCCATGGATGCCAACATGCTGAGTTTCACGCTGTGGAACTATTGTGACGACAACTCGAATGAGTGGGGTGATCGATGGAATGGGGAGGATTTCAGTGTCTGGTCGCCTGAGAAGAATGGCTTTATGCAGCCTGATTTCCCGGGTAGTACGGAGGTTATCCTGGGAAGGATGGAGGAGATGCAGCGGCCTCCGCCTCTTGCTGGTACAAGACCTACTGTGACCTTGACAGAGTTGGGGGCCGATGTTGGGTCTGGGAAGGAGACTGCAGGGTGCAGTGAGGGGTTGATCTGGTGGTGCTGTCGACCCAAGAATCATATCTGGACAGAGCGTACGGCACCCAAGCGACTGGTCGTCATCTCTGTGGAACCTTCTCCTACGTCTGAGATGGCCTCAAACCCTCATGGCCTCTCGTCGTCGACAAGACTTGTTGAAACCACCAAACCAGCACCGTCTCCTCCCCTTGCAAGACTCAAGTCATGGCAGGACCTCTTGCCGCTCTCTTTGCAGATTGAGCGTGGTCGACAGGAATTCTACAGCGGTCTCCGGGTTGGCGAGTCGTTTGTAAGAGCCTACCCCCTGGCTGTCTGGGGCGAACCTCTCCACTACCGCTTCGAGCCTGGGCGTCCCGTGTCGGATGCGCAGTTATTGACGAAGGATCATGATCTGGCCAAGAAAAAGACGAACGATGTTGGTAGCTGGGAGAACCGCTTTGACCTATTCTTTACCCTCGCATGTGACCGTCGATCTCATCGGGATGTCGACAGCCAGACCTGCAGTGGGAAAAGTAATGAGGACACCATTACTCGCACCGATGATAACTCCTTGTCAGCACCATCGACAGATATCTTCTTGCCCAGATTCCATTTCGCCCTCGATTCGCCTCTCAACACCGACACCTTCGAATCCCTCCAAATCGTCCACCAAATAATTCAGGACCCGATATCATCACTTTCGCAGTCACAACTCTCCACGCGACCTATGAAACGCGAAAAGGGCCGCTGGCACCGGATGGACATCCAAACCTCCGACGGCCACATCTCCATCCAACCCACCCACCAACGGGCTCAATTCTGGACCTCCCCCCAACCCAAATTCAACCCGCATGACAACCTCTCCAACACGACCGCATTCTTTGACGCCGCCGAGGCTCGCATCCGGGCCTTGTTCGCTATAGGATGGGATGGGGTTGAAGGGATTAGCACCAAGGCGGAACAGGAGTGGGTGCAGAGACTGTGGAGCGAGATGCAGAGGGGTGATGCGGCCGCCGAGGCGTCCGTTGCGCCATTCTCGCTGTTCTCTTGTTTCGGTTGTTGTTCGGGAGGAGGAAGGGGGAAGGAAGGGGAGGATGTAGCGAGGGAGGAGAGGAGGCGGTTGAAATTGAAGGAGCTCCAGCTGAAATGGAGGGAGCGTATGGGGATGCCAGGGAAGGGTAGTGTGTTCTGTCATGACTGCGGACAGTTGGAGGTTATGCATGTGCATGGGGTGAGGGCTAGTACGCAGATGTGGTCTGGATGGAGTGAGTAGAAAAAAAGTCAAATGGGAGTGGTGTGATGGCTTAATAGATTTTTTCATAGCCCAAGTCAGCCTCGAATAAGTGTGTCATGAAAATACGACGATGTGATTGGTGCAGAATAATGAGAGAACAATTTGTTGTATGGAGCAAGCTCCCCTCTTCATCCGTACCATCCGGTGATTCGGTAAGGGGACCCTGCACCGACCTCACACCAGTCTGTTCGTTGCTCTTGTCTCCCTATTTCTGGAGGGCTTTACGTTACGGCCCAAAATTTGGACTGTTTGGCGGAGACTTTAATTGGAGTATAAAAGGGCGCTTAAAACGTTAAAAAAAATCTCCAAAAACCAACACACACACGAATAAAACACACACGAATAAAACACACCCACTCACGCTCACACCCACACTCCTCAACCATGTCACGCATTCCCCAGCTCCCTCGACCCACTGGGTACACTCCTATCTGGCTTTCCGACGATGTCGTCTCGTACGACGAGTCTCCCTTCATCCAGTCCCCTCTTATGCAAGACCAATTGGCCGCCGTGCATGTTCAACTGGAAGCCCTGGCCATTGATGCTGCTCAAGAACAAGATGCTGAAGTGGACCATGCTGTCGAGACCTAGAACATGTAGGTCGATCATGTCGTACATTTTGAGTTGAGGAGGGGACACAACAACAGACGTGATCCACCGTGACCAAATAATTTCGTCGTGTATGCTGGCCCAGGCACAGCTCTCTTGTCTCTGTTAGGTCCCCGCGTTCTGCCCTCTCTGTTTGAGCTTATACCCCTATCGTCCTGCTTATGGTTCATCTGCCCCTCTGTGTCGCCCATTCACCATTGTCATACCGTCCTTCCGCCTGTACCATCCTGTGTTGTCCGCAAAGGCAGCCCCTCATCTTCTCCCTTCTGTTGTCCTTATTATTCCTCTTGTTATCTTACCCCATCCTCCTTACTTTTTCTCTCTTGACTACTCAACCCTCCACCCTTCCCTCTTCTTTCTTTCTTTCTTACTTTCTTGTTCTCTCCCTCTCTCCTTCCTTCTCACACATACATTCGCTCTCGCTGCCTATACGCACAACTCCCTCACACACAATTACCTACTTACATACAACATACATACATCCTCTTTCCTCTCGCGTCCACGCATAACTGAACATACAAATACAACAACATACAAACATCACTCTCCTTCTCGCGTTCACTCACTGACACATCAACATACAAACACCATCCCCCCTCTCGCGCCCACGCTCAACATTTTTTCCTTCCATCTGCCTCACTCACATCTTTGTGCGACCTTCATTCCTTCGTCCCTTGTTACCTCCAAATGGCCACTCCAGCAATCCTACTATTTTGTTCTCACTTTGCCCATCGCCTCTTTGTTCCATAAACTCTATCCTTTTGGTTTTTATACCCTTTCTGTGATTCTTTTGAAACTAAATAAAGTGTTGGTCTCTTGGTTCTTCCCCAAATAGTCGGATGCCTCGTTGTCATATAGCTTCTTGATTAACTCACGTTTGATTTCCGTTGTGTTTCATAGTTGAGATCTTACCACGCATCTCCCTCCTGTTATTTCCTTTTTTTTTGTCCCTTCTTTTTTAAGCCCTTGCAGTTCGGCTCTTGAAAGGAGGATCGAGGATCGAGAGGAGTGACTCCATGAGAAAGTCTCTCTCCCCTTGTATGTTGGTGAGCTCCAAAACCTTTGATATGAAAAGGGAGACGTTGAAGAACAAAGTGAGCGATCTTGGTGGTCGCTTTATATCTTTTTTTTATCATGGCGTCCGTTTGTGCATGCAATCCTGATCTTGTTCGATGCAAAAAATGGGCATGTGACTTCATTGGTTAATGATATTTTTGACTTGAGAAACGTGAGAAAGAAACGAGACATAACACGATTAGACTTTCATCCTTCCAGCATAGCAGCTTAAAACAAAGTTTCATCCCCCAGTTTGAATGCTTAAAACGGGGGCACACCCTGTTGCCAGAAAAAAACTAGCACATCCTATAACAACAGCACCACCAACGCCCATCCCCATACACACACACTCACTCCACATCCACCCCTACTCCTAAACATGAACAGCACACGAAGATCGATGACGGCAAGAAACTATAGGTATACTTTCTAACGGCAACACTACGAGGAGTTTTGAAAGTGATCTATTCTTTAGTACAGATGATGTCCTCGAGTTTGATATGCCCCTCCCTGTCCAACAGGCCCCTTCCGAAGTTATACTAAATGTTGTTCAGGACTAATTCCAGGCGTTGGCTATTACCATCCTAGACGACGAAGATGAACAGCAAGAGGAACAACAAGAAGTACAGGAAGACCCTCGTGAGTGCTGCCGAAGCCGGGGATAGTTTTGTTGGTCTGGTTGATGAATAGGTTTTGCCTGTCCGTGCATTCTTTTTTACCTTAAGTCGAACTAAATCTGATGATAGAAACTGATGAAGGATCTTCGATTACTAGCCAATCGCGTTTTAGTAGTAGACGAGAGGTTATTCAGTTCCCACACTAAAAAAATGCGTCATTGCATTACTGTTCAAACTTGTTTTCTGGCAAGACAAAAGAGTAACATTTCCATGGTTATTTTGTCGGTTATTTTGTCTGAGAACGGTTAATGGACTGGATAATCCATCCCAATCATGCAAAGAAAACAGCAACACCACAATACAATCTCCAAATACTAAGGGTACCTAGGCTGCACACATAACGTCAAGTTCTACTCAAGGCTGGCTTACCGGTAGAAATTCTCCCTCCTTATTTTTTGATCCGTGCTCCCTCGTTTTTTTTGTCTCAAACTTGGACCCGATGTCAATTTGCTGAGTTTTTGTTTATTCATAAACCGTGTCATCAGTTGTATGTAATACCTCTCCCCTTCTTTTTCTCCTCCTCCCATCCCTTCTTTGTTATCACCCTTATCTTCGTTTTCGTCCCCCTCCTTTCATTTTTTGTGCCTCCTCTTTTTTTTTACCTTCTCACTCCCTCGCTTTCTGTCTTACTGCCATCCTTTCGCCATTCCTCTCCATATGTCCGATCATGTCTTTTGCATGACCTGGCATGATTGTGCATTAATTCATTGGGTTAAAGAGAATGTTAGACCTTCGCCACAGTCTCAAAAAGGTCCTCAATATCGCAACCATTCTGCTCGCGTCGATTAATATGTATTTCGAGATGTGATCTTAGCGACAATGGCAATTGACAAAGGGACGTTGTTTTCCTCAGGGCATTGCAATGGCTAAAATGCAGTCTAATACACAATACATTGTCTGTCTCTTGTTTGTTCCTTCATCAGTCAGTTGGTGCGTAGGAACTGTGGTCGGTGTAACTCTCCGTGGCAGTTTGTGAACACGCTGCACAACGAACAAAACTTCGCCTTCTTTGTTCTGGTTGAATGGAACCAATTGAGAGCGTTCAATTTCATGGTCCCGTTCCTTTGTGCCTCGCATCTTTCATCTTGCTCCTTTCTTTTTCCCGCTCGTCGAGTCGACATTTTCTGTCCTTTCCTTCCTCTTCCCCCTTTCTTTCCTTTCAATTTCCCAATTTTCCTACACCTGCATTGGACCAATTGGCACATTGAGTCTTTTCCTTTTTTATTCTCGTCGCGCTTGTCTTTTTGTTGATTGTTTGCTTCCTCCCTTTTTTCTTCACTCCCTCGCTCTTCCACTCCATATATATTTCAAAGTGGAGCGAGAACAACTCTGCGTCAACTGTCAACTGGCGGCGAAGACACATTAAACACACATAGAGACGCATAATGTACACAGGACACGTCGCATTTCACTGCTTCTCCTCACTCATTGTTTACCCAGAATCTATTCAAACCAAACAGAGGAATGGAACTAACCAATAAAGACAGCAGGAATGAATTAGAGGACAAAACAAGAGACGAAGCACCTGGATTCGAAAAAAGGCGAACAGACAATGCCTAATCAATTAGGTTCTTGCACCCCTTTTTGGTGCGACTTCACTACCTCAATAACTGCCTTTCCTTACCATAAAACAAGCAGTGGCCGGGGAAGCCTGGAGTTGTGATTAGTTAGCGAAGGGGATGTGTGAGTAGCTGAGCATTGTCCTTTAGTCATCAGGCCTTACCACTCGTCAGGGTCCAACAAAGGCATGGTCCACAAATGCCATGGTAGCCAGCAACCTACCATCATTTGTCCTATATAAGGATTGCAAAGCATCCTGTTTTCACCCTCTCTATTCTCCATCTCCTCTCACTCAGTTCAACAGCAACAACAACAAACAACAGCACAAGGCAATCGTCATCGCTATACATCACCACTCTACAGCATGTCACACAACTTCGAGCGTATTTACGGAATCCCAAGACACAACGCCAACAACGAGCCAGAGGTCCTTCCAAATACGGTCATTTCGTACAACGAGCAACCATTTTTTCAGCCCCTATACAACAACAATTACAACATCCAAGTCCAGATGACCATCATCCAAGCCGATCCAATTGTCGTCCCTCGTCGATTGATCACCATTGAAGTTCTTCTCGCCCTTCGGACGATCCACCCTTGACCCGGACATGGAGACGTCGGTCATGGAAACTCTTCTGGCCTTGACAAGTAGGCCAAGGCTGTCGCTGGAGACACGAGTCTAAGAGGACACCGCTCAAGAGCGGCACCAATCTCGCGCAGGCCATACTTCCCTCTTCCCTTTTGGGACTGTTGGCACAGAACCTGGCCACCTTGTACCTCCGCCTTTTTGCGTGCCATAAAGACCTTGTTACTTCTCCTTCTCGTTCACTCACTTTTTCGCCACCTCCAACTACACTTATTAAACTTATCGCAACGGCTAAACGCCCACACAATATTGATCCTTGTCCACTTTTCCCCTATTGTTATGATGAAAAACCTCCAAACTGACCGCTCAATTGCATGTGCATGGTAAAAGGGGAGGAATTAAGTTTTCTATTTTTACATCTCCCTTACGCACAGCCCGGTTCCATTAGTTCCAACATTACATTCGTTGTATTTAACGCTTTTTCTAAAAAAGACCTTGGTGCACTTGTCCACCTTGCCACTTGAACATGGTTCTAACTTCCCTCACCTGACCAGACTCCCCCCTCCATGCTCCATGGTTGGATTACCACGCATTCACTTCTCTCTCATCTCTTAGCAGCTTTCATTCACTGATCTCTCTCATCCCAACAAAACATTCATTCACCGCTCTCTGTTCAAGGCCACACGCCCTATTAACACCTCAGCACCTTCTCACCCTGTTGTTGCAAATATCAAAGTCTCCAGAGTTAATGCCTCAATTACTTCATATCGTACGAGAACGACAACAGAAAAACAGGGGCAGTTGTATCTACTCTGCTGATTGACCAAAGGAGGAGCACGGCATAGTATGAACATCACTCCCCTTGTGTCGTGATGACCGTAGTGAGACTCTGTAAGTGCCTCAATCCTGGTGATATATGCAAGGGCGAGTTAGGGCTTGGAAGAATGAAGAAAGCAAGAAAACAATGGCCTATCGGTGTGATTGTGAGTGAAAATATCATTAAAGCAATTCATGAAACACACTTGACATTTTTTTGGAACGTCTACCCTTGGATCCAAGAGCGATGCATACCCATTCCCCTCATTCAGCATTTAGGGCAGGGGTTCTTAGGGTTTATGGCCAATGGCAAGTTGAGTTTTTCGATTGTTAGGTCGAGGAAAGTTGGGCGTCCCCCTTCCCCCATGGCACAGCAAATGCAAATAAATGTGAGCCATCTTGGCCCATTCTGTAAACAAAGAAAAACAGGCGCCCAATTCGATACAAGTCCAGCCCCTTGCAACTGAGGGAACGTTACCAACAGCACAACACACTATAATCGCTTCCTTTTTGCCAAGTTGCCTAGATTTTGCAGAACAGCATATTATCGGCACACCAAGGACTCATCATTGATGTAAATGACCTATATCTCTCAGACCCAGAAACTACCATTGCTTCATACGAACCCCCTGCCGTTCTATCACCAAGCATTCGGGATCACCATGACGCCGTTCGAGTACAGTTGGATGTTGCTCAAGTTCTGACGCGTGTCCTGGTCGTCGCTGCTATTATGATCGCTATCGCTGTCCTGGTAGTCGTCGCCCCTGTCTAGGGACACATCAATGACGACCCAGTCAATCGCGCCGGGAATGGAGGAGGAGGGAAGGGTGATAAGATCGAGATGAAGAGAGAGAGGGAAGGAGGGCAGACGCCCATGAGGAAGAAAATTATTTTTGGTACTGCGCTGTACATAAAGCGAGATAGAGGTGAGAGGTGACAGATGGTGTTGAAAATATATCTGCTTTGCCACTCTTGTTTCCCATTTTTCCAAGAGTCCTTTTCTCCCCTCTTTTCTAACAGTCTTTTTCTCCCCTCTTTTCCATACTCATTCTCAACGCCTTCTCGTCAATCGTCACCTCTAAAATACCCGCCTTCTCCTACTCGACTACCCACAAGCAAAGAACGCAATTGCCATATTGCCATTCCCACTTCATCAGATGTCGGGCAACACCCCGGACAACTCACTGCACAAACCCTTTGCAGCGGAACAACTGCCCTCTGTCAACCCCATAAACTCGCCCTCCGTCAACTCCTTAAACTCGCCCCTCGTCTCTCTTCCACCCAACATCCTCAAGCTTGTCACCTTCTATTTGATCGATCCTCTCGACCTGCTCCGGCTCTCATACACCTGCCATGAGCTACTCTCGCTCATTACCCCTGCCGACTGGTATTCCCTGGCTACTTACACCTATACCAACTGGGTCCAATCTTGTGGTGGCCCTAACGCAAGAGATTGGAAGACGATGGTCCTCAGGGACGCTGCCTTAGGGGTCCGTCTTGGAGCTACTCTCCCTCTCCCTGACGTTACTTCGTCCATGTCGTCCCCAATTTCTTCCGCCCTAACGACTGTCTCTTCCCACTCGACGTCTGCTATGTCTCTTCCAATCTCAGGGACCTCGCCTACTACAACAACTGACGTCATCCCATCAAAGCCTTCGCCACATCCCTCACCGTTACCCGCCGACTCTGAATGGCCGCAATGGACGACCGGTGCCTCCCCCCACCTGCCTTCCTCCTTGGACGAGTTTAACCGTCGCCGCCCTCTCAGAGTCAAACTTTCCGAGGCACAGTTCTTCAAGACTGACTTAGAGACCCAAGATTCCCCTGGTGCCCCGTGGGTACGCATGGGATCCCCAATATACGACATTGATCGAGACTCTCACACTGCCATTGCCGCCTCGATGATCACCCGTCCAAAGTCCGTTCTCTCTCAGAGCAACGGTAGCGGTCCTCGCCCTCATGATCATGGGATCCTGTTCTACAATTTTCCCGATCTGACGAACCCTATTGCTCGTTGCGGCAGTGATGTGTGGGAGAAGGACATAAAGACCGGCACCCAGGCACAACCTTGGTACCATCCCTTCACCCGCGACATGATGCAAGTTGCACAAGTGGTCGAGATCAAGCACTACCCCGAGGATACCGTTGGGGGCATGCGTGTCGTCGTTGTCATCGCTTTCGGACAGCGTGCTCGTCCTTGGGTCAATAACGCTACCAACTCCCACATCCTTGGCGTTTGGCTGATGCTCAAGGCTATCGAGGTGAGGGTACCAGTGGCACCCATGACCCGTCTGTCCAACTGGATGATGAATCATTTCCGATCATCGTCAGGTCTTGAACCCAAGGTGGCTAGGGAGTGTTTTCGGATCAACCCTGACAGTGTTATCAAGTACGAGAGTATAGATCCTCACCTGGGCGCGATCACAATGTACGGACGCATCGTCAAGCTTTACTCTGCGTTCGAACCTCGTCCACTTCCAACGGCGACTACTGAAGATGGTCAGCCATCAACAACTATGGACATGGATACTGGGAGGATGGTTGATTGCATCACCATTTTTAGCATCCAGAACTCGGAAATGGCATCGGCGATGATTCTCAAGAAGGTCCTTTTCTGTGATGACGACGCATCGGACCTAGGCAGGAAAACCTGCTCGAACAAGGCTCTGAGTCGCGGAGTGAGCTGCATGACGTTGTTTCCGGATCACAGTGGATACGGGCACTATCTTGTCTTGATCAACCAGCACGGAAGAGGCATGGTGTGGGATTGGGTTCACGAGAAGCAGATCACGCAACTCCACATGCCCATCGATAAGAGCAAGAGCACTGGAGACCGGAGAGTTAACGATGAACCAGCGAACATCGGAGTCGTTACTGGCAGTGCCTTAGCGACGGCTGGAAACCCGGCGGGCGATGCTATCGTGGACGGGGCTCCTTCTCGTCGCCGCAGAGTGTACTATTGGGGCGTGCAGGTCAGCGCAGCCCTAGAGGTCTCTTTCCCGGAGGATTTGAACAATGTTGACAACAGCAACGGCACTTTCAGGATTGTCACGATGGCGGATGGCTCTGACGATGAGTGGGAGTCATGTTGGTGGAACATCACCATCGACGAGTTACAGCAACCAATGGCATCGCTGCCAGCGCCACCGATCATCGATGGGATCAAGTCAGGATCGAAATCAAATGCGACCAACGCGCCCAAGCCCCCTTTGATTTCGAGCGTCAAGCGTTTTGAGCGCAAGACCTACGGCGTTTGTATCCCCGAGCAACAAAAGACACATTCGGCCGAAAACAACAAACCTATCCATTTCATTTCCTACGTTATTTGGAATCACTACAGGATCAGTTTGTCGTCGCAAATGGGTATTTGCATGATGGATTTGGAAGAGCCCGAGTCTCATCTTGTTGCCGATGGACAGTGGATCACATTCCTGAAGGACCGTGAGGATCTGATCGACATTGCCGTCTTTGGCCACAATCTCATCGTTACTCTCAAGACTGGCCATCTCGTCTGGTCGTTCTACGGACAAGACAGGACACCGTTCGTGTCCAAGGAAGGACTCGGTCTCCGCATGCACAAGGGACATAGTTCGGAGAGCGATAGTATGAATATTTAAGAACCCTCCCCTCCCCCCCCCCCCCACACACAAAACTTACACCTAAAAAAAGTACAAGATAAAAGAAGACGAAAAAAAGACATGCACCTGCACATGTAGTCAAGACTGTCGAATAGAATAATGAAGGAGGGTTGGTAAAGGATGCGTGAATGCATGAAATTGTTTTGTATCCCCGAGCTCTAAAAAACACATCCTGACGAGAACGGAAGATCCATCCAGTTCATTGCCTACGCTGTTTGGAGTCACTACAGGATCTGCTAGCCCACATAGCGATGTAAGTCATTATGAGTTCCTTCTCATGACCTACCAGTTTATTATTTGTTGGTTTCCACTTTCATTTCCAATCTTTCCTTGAAGTATAAAGTCTTCCCATCCTCTGCCCGTATATTCAACCTCTTTCTTCAATCACGACTTTTAAATTCCTTTGCAATTATTACGTTAATTCATAAACTCCTTTTTGAATCACAACCACCACGTTTATTTACAATCCCTACATTCAATTACAACCTCTACCTTCATACACTACTGTTACAAGACATAACAGGGTGAGAAGGTTGTCGGTCATGGTTTTGCGAAGGTTGTGAAGAAAGTGAGTGTTGTGGAGAAGGTACGGGATGTAAAGAAGGCGAAGGGTGAAAGAAAAAAAAAGCAAAAGGGATGAAAGAGGGCGAGAGGTTAAAAGGAAAAGTAAGAAGGGATGAAATGGGCGTGGGAGTGGTAGAAATGGCGATGAAGATGTGGGAATGGTAGAACCAGTACACAAACATGTTTCAGGACTCAACAGCATCGATCTCATCGTAGAAAATGTCGGGAGAAGGGTAGAGGGGAGTTCGATATGGGATAGAGAGAGAAATAGACTGTGAATGAGCCACCAATACCTCGGAGGGTTGTCGACTTTACTTCAGTTGCTGGGGCAAGCACATAAAGATATCAATCGAGCTTCTCTTTCCGAGTCAATGCAAGATTGTTGGTGAGTTCTTTTTTTTCCTCCAATGATAACCTTCGCCAGGGACGACAAACGTGTCCGTGATCGTAGATCGTTCTCCCAGCCCTTTCCATTCTAGTTCTCCTTCCTTTGTTACCCTATTTTGGGGTTCGCGGCGTGCTTGCTCGCCAGGTACGGAAAAGAAAAACAACACCGCAAAGGTATAAGGGGTGTGCGATTTTTAAAGTTTTTTTTGGCGTTTTCCACTTCTCTTCTCCTTCGCCCCGCACAAATATCTGCTCTTTCTCTCTCTTTAATATCGATAGTCGACAGGTACTTCCTTGTATGCCTGCATTAATCCATGTATGTCCTTTGTAAGTGCGGTTGTGAGGAGGATCGACTTGCTAAAAGTGAGGCAGTCGATGTTCTTTGAGATGCTCTGTCCAGCGGAACCTGCACGCGATGACGATGACGATGACGCTTGAGGTGAAGAAGTCATGGAGTGAGTGTTGGTGTTGGTATTGGTAAGGAGGTAGGTAATGTGAGCTGTCTATGGGAGCTATTGGAATTGTACTCCATGATGGGGTTTGAGGAGGGGAAAACAGGGGTGTGAGACCGGAAGGCAAAGGGTGGGGTGTTGAAAGCAAAAGAAAAAGAACAGTCACACGCACTGGGCCTCTTTAAGTGATTTCAAAAAAAAAAAGGCTGCTATCTATAGCAAGCCTTCCATTCATTTTAGCCGCTTGCTGCTTCCTTCCAACCTGCTCACTCCCCCATTCACATTCATGCACACCCGCTTACTCTTCCCTGGTCACCCACGCCAACATCTCAAATTTTGGAAAACAACACTTGAATATAAAAGGTGAACGCCCCCCACTTGATATATCAAAAAAAATATCTCGCAAACAAACACACGCATGAACAAACACCCACACTCTTCAACCATGTCACGCATTCCCCAGCTCCCTCGACCCACTGGGCACACTCCTACCTGGCTTTCCGATGATGTCGTCTCATACGACGAGTCTCCCTTCATCCAACCCCCTCTTATCCAAGCCCAATTGGCCGCCGTGCAAGTTCAACTGGAAGCCCTGGCCATTGATGCTGCTCAAGAACAAGATGTTGAAGTGGACCATGCTGTCGAGACCTAGAACATGTAGGTCGATCATGTCGAACATTTTGAGTCGAGAAGGAGACACAACAACAGACGTGATCCACCTTGACCAAAAAATTTCGTCGTGCATGCTGGCCCAGGCACAGCTCTCTTGTCTGTGTTAGGTCCGCGTTCTGTCCTCTCTGTCTGTGCTTATACCCTTCCCGTCCTGCCTATCCAGTCTCCCTGTTATCTGGTTCATTTGCCCCTCTATGTCGCCCATTCATCATTGTCGTACCGTCCTTCCGCCTGTACCATCCTTTGTTGTCCGCAAAGTCATCCCCTCATCTTCTCCCCTCTGGTGTCCTTTTTATTCCTCTTGCCATCTTGCCCTCATCCTTGCTTTGTCTCTCTTGCCTACTTAACCCTCTACCCCTCTCTCCTCTTTCCTTCTTTTTTCTTTCCCTTTTGTTCTCGCCTCTCTCCCTCTCCTTCCTTCTCACATATACTTTCGCTCTCTCTGCCTATACGCAACTCCCTCACACACAACTACCTACCTACATACAACTTACATACATCCTCTTTCCCCTCGTGCTACGCACAACACCATAGAAACACCATCCTCCCTATCGCGCCTGCAGTCAATATTTTTCCTTCCATCTGCCTCACTCACATCTTTGTGCGACCTTCATTCCTTCGTCCCTTATTTCCTTTAAATGGCCACTCCAACAACCCTTTCATTATGATCTATCACTCTACTGATCGCCTTTCTCTTTCTTCCATAAACTCTATTCTTTCATTTTGTTATCCCTGTTTCTATGCCGTCTCTCATTCTACTGAAACTAATAAAGTGTTGGTCTCTTTGTGGATAATCTCTCTTCCTCGAATAGTCGGATGCCTCGTATTCATCCAGCTTCTTGATTAACTCACGTTTGATTTCCGTTGTGTTTCATAGTTGATATCCTACCAGGCGTGTCCTTCGTGTGATTTTTCTTCCTCCTCTTTTGTTCACATGAATTGTAAATCGTTCTCCTTCCCCTATACCCTTGCTGCCCGGCTTCTTGAAAGAAGGATCGAGGATCGAGAGGAGTGACCCCGTGAGAAAGATTCTCCCTCCTCTTGCACGTTGGTGAGCTCCGAGAATTTGTTGAGAAAAAGGAGACGTTGAAGAACCAAGTGAGCGATCTCGGTGATCGCTTTGTAGCTTTTTTTTTATCACGGAGTCCGTGTGAGCATGCAATCCCAACCTTCTTCGAAGCAAATAACGTTACTCCAAGCAAAAAACCTTTAGTGGTCAACTGCGTCTTGGAGGAGCATAAAAAAGAACCATAGATCTGCAAACAGAGTTTCATCTTCTTGCGGATAAAAAAGTTATGTAGACGGGAGCAACTTCAGCGCCAGAAAAAAACCAGCATAGTTGACAACAACAGCGCCATCATCCCCATCCGCCCCCTTCCTCCTTGTTTCCCTCTGACAACACACAACAATCAATGGTGGCACGAAAATTTAAGAGCCGCAAATGATCTAATCTTTTGCATTAGTGATGTCCTCGAGTTCGAAATACTCTATCGTGGTCAAAAGCCGGCGCCCTTTGAAGTAATTCCAGGCATTGATTAATGCACAAGTCCACAAAGAAGAGCAACAAGCTGAACAAGAAGACACCCATGAACCATGCCAATCTCATTTCCCCTTATTGTGTACCGTTATGATCACGTTTTTTGTTTCAATCGCCCACGTTCTCCATTGTGCCTTTCTTTTTCTCTTTGCCTTCCTTCTTTTGAACCCTAGTAGACTTTTCATAATCATCTTCACTGCTTTCATCTTCCCTGACTTTTTTTCCGACTTTCCTTCGATTGACAAGACTTTTCTCCCTCTTATACCTGATACAACACAACACCAACATTGACCCAACCCTAACCAGCCCTCCTCGTCTTGACCACCACTTCACACCCCATTGTCACTTTACTCATTGCTGCATCACAAAATAACCAAATCCACCTCACTCATTTCACACTCTTCACTAACACGCATACACCAGTACCTTGTTGATGCCCAACACCCTGCAGCAGTGTCATTGTCAAGAGAGGAACAGAGATAGCACCAGTGGTCCATTCATGCTTAACACTTCTTTTGCGTCTGTTGGTGTGAGAGAGGATCGTGACAGAGAGGGAGAGAAAAGTTGACGATACAAAAGCAAGAAGGGCAGTGATTTGGTATTGCTTATTGGCCAAGGTGGAGGGGGAGAAACCAATTCGTGTTTTTTTAACGACATGGATTGAAGAGAGGAATGTGTAGGAAGGGAGGGATTCACTCCAATGTCAGTGCAGTTCTGTGTCTCTTCGTTAATTTGTTTGTCGTGCATGGGACACAGTGAAGATCAGAAAAGAGGGAAATCGACAAAAAGTGGTAGGACTTACTGGTGAGTATTATGACAGAAAGGGAGCGATGGTCCAGGGATTATCCATACATTGCCAGTATGTTAGCACATCGTTCCACCATATTTTTGAGAATAAGGGGGACACAAACGAACCTCATGGGCTCAGAGACAGCTAAAATCGAAACGGCGAAGCTGTTCCTGACCCGGACCCGGACCCTGTCAAACCATTTCAAGACATTCCCATCTTCATCCTAATCGGTACCATCCTGGCCTCCGTCTGGAGGTAGCATCACGCCTTTGTCCGTGAGGATCAAGCCTTTGAACCTCGAATGGTCCTTGCCGCGTTGGATTTGGCCATTACCCAAGTTCGCGCTCAGTTGGCTGAGAAGAAGCGCCAGAGCGATGAGCGTGAACTCCCACCCTCAGTCGCGCTCCCTTATTGCCCTTCTTTTCCCCCTCTTGTCCATCTTGTCCGTCGTGCAGCCTCCTCATGGCTTTGTCCCTCTGGGCTACCCGACCTTTTTGTTCCATATTTTCGGTCTCTCCACCCGCTCTTCCTTTGTTGCTGTTTTCTTACTCTCTCTTTCCCTCTCTCCGTCTCATCCGCGCTATCTCTCTCTATCGAAAATACACAACAACACACACCATTCCCCCTCTTTCGTATACACACCAAAGTTTCTCTCCCGCTCCCCGTCTGGTTAAAAAAATTGTGTGACGTTTACTTTTTTTATCCCTACGATTGCTGTCTCCTTTCCTATCAGATGACCTCCAACAACAATCCTTTTTTCGTTCCTCAACCTTTGCTATCAATGTTTACTCTCTTTGCTTTTTATCGCAGACTTTTATCTCCAACATCCGCCAGTAACATCTCCTACGCAGACGATACGACACCCTCTTTCTGTTCTACATTCGCTACTATCACTAAACTGACTCAAATAAATAATTAATTGTTGATCTCTGATTCTGTCACTCTCGCGTTTGTGACGTTTGTCTCTAGCATTTCTCTGATATTCATTTTCTCGCGTGTCCTTTGTAGGATTGCGGTCGAAAGAAAAGTCCTCATTTCTCTATTTTTATTCAATGTCTCTGTGCGTGCTACTCTGTATGCAGTCTATGTTAGGGTATCATTGTGGTAAAGTAAAATACAATCCGGAAAAAGAACTCTAGGGAGAACTTTGGCGATTCTGCTGCCTTGTCTCCCGTCCCAACCTCGTCGACATCACCTTCCAAGATGCTAATTACAGCGCTCTCTATTTTCTTTAGGGGTCAAGGAAGACAAAGCCAATCTGCATGAGGGTGCAGATAAATGCTATTGCGGGATCGAGACAGGAAAGAATAAGCCCCTATCTATCGCACGTACTGGTACGGCATGTTTTTTCCATCCAAAATGGTCCACCTTCTAGGCCTAACCAGATGGCCTGCTCATATTACATGGTAGACTGAAATATAGGCAATAAGTCAATGGCGAAGCTATTACCTTCAATCATGCCCAGGAGCCTCGCCTCGGTGCGGAACAATCTGCATGTACTGTCGACCTTACCTGACCCGCCACACATTCCTTCCCTATGTTCTTCCTCTTCATCTTTACTACCCTCATTTCCCTCTGTTTTGTGCCCCTTTATTTTCTCTCAGCCTCGCTTGGTCTGTTCAGAGCGTCCTTGCTTTTTTCATTTTAATGTTGCCAAGAGCTGTTGAGTCCTCTCCTGGATATCATGCGACAGGACACTTGCATGTCGTACCTGGCATTCGTGTGGTTCTTGGAACGCTTGTGCCAGTCAGTTTCACGACCAGCATTCGTTGTTCCCCTTCAGTTTCAGAACTGGATGATCCCTCCTACGGTTCCCTTCTTTTTTTTTTTTGTTCACCTCTTCTCTTTTGTTACTCTGCACCACCTTTCCGTCTTGTTTCCTTGCAGTTCGTGCTGAGCCCTGCTTGTCCAAAAAAGAGAATCTAAGGGCAAACTGAAAAGCGAAATTTCATTTCAATTGCTCGGGCAAGTGAACTAGGCTCTTGTTCGCAGGTACTGTGGTACGAGAAGGACAAGATCCCCGAATCCCAAGTGTATGATTGTTTCAAGATCGATGCCCACTGCAATGGAGGGCTTGTGGCTCACAAATGCAATGGTTGGAGCAAGACAGAAGTGCCTGGTCACCTCACCTTTCATCGCCTTTGCCAACAGTCGAATCCAAGAGGGGAAGGCCTTGCACCTTCGTCTTTTGTTTTTGTATATAAATGACCATGGACCACCTTCATTCTCCAGGTATCCAGATCACGACCAAGAAAAGTAACGACCCATTCCTTTACGTTTTAATGTCCCACCACGACGTGTTCTACCATCACACCACAAGACAAGTCAACTACCTTCCGTCCTCCCTTCCAGACGTCGTCGTGTCCTATGATGAACCCCCACCGGTTGACCTACCTGCGATCCAACTCCAGCTCGATGCCTTGATTATTGCCGCTGATCAAGAATACAATGATGTCGAGCAAGAAGAAGCTGCTGTCGAACCAGAAGAAGCTGCAGAAGAAGCTGCTGTCGAACCAGAAGAAGCTGCAGAAGAAGCTGCTGTCGAACCAGAAGAAGCTGCAGAAGAAGCTGCTGTCGAACCAGAAGAAGACGATGATACCGTCCTAGAGCTCGAAGATGCCGAGCAAGGCAACCCTCTTGCCGAGAATGGAGATGATGATGGGGATGATGGGGATGATGGTGCTGTAGTTAATCATGCTGACAGCGCAGAGACCCAAGAATCGGAGTTGGACTAGTACTTGAAGACCGTCAGGTTCTCTTCATGCATTTTTTTGTGTCACGAGTATCGTCTCTTTTTTTTCTGCCCCATGCGTATTTTCTCATGTCACTTTTCCTCTCTGAGCTGATAATAAAATTATTCATGAAAACGAACGATGAGGGTGTTCTCTCCTCCTTTTACTTTCCCTCTGCTCCTTCAACTCCCTTCCGGCCGTTTCATCTCTAATCCCTTTTACTCCATTGGTCAAGGGTCCTCTTTTTTCAAAACATCTCTAATGACTGGTTCTCCTCGGTCTTACATGCACAGCATACACCATTACCAACTTACTCATTGCTACATCACAAAACAGCAAGAATTCACTTCTCTCCTCCATCACTTCTTTCACAACACCTCTGCACTCGTACCCTATTGACCACTGACACCTCGTTCGGAGGCTCAATTGCTCTTACTTTCTCTGTTATGTCGAGCTGTGGGAAAGAGAGAAAGAATAAGAGGGGAACAGTGGGACAAAATGGGGAAGGCAAAAACAAAGGGTGTGTGTGAATATAAGTTCGTTTATGCTCGTTGACTATGGTGAAGGGGGACAAGAGAGAGGTACTCTCCTGTTCTTTGAAGCCATGGGCAAGCACAGCAAAAGTGGGAACAAAGTCGATAAAGAGGCCGATATTCTTACTTTTGCATCTCAGTTGTTTTTGTTCTCCGTCATTTGCTTATCTTGTTTAGAGTTGTGTGCGGAGGGGAAAAAATAAGTGGGAGCGAAGAAGTGAAGGTTGTTACAAAGAGAGAGTGGAGTCGTGAGGAAACTAACTTGGAATCTGACATCCTTTATTTTTCTTTCCACAAGAAGTGAGTGAGGTAATGGCAAGTGATACTGAGGAAGGTTTGGCCACTGCATTTGCAACAGCATGCTCTTATATCCTCACTAGCCCTTTGCACCAATCCCAACAAAAACTGGTTTGTACTGAGAAAAAAACAGATGGCGAACTCGTAGCTAAGAATCATGCTGACCAAGAAGGATTAGGTGCTTAGCAAAGCAAACAGCAATTGTAAGATGTGTTAATAAACAATAATGCTCTTCATATTCTCTTCCGTCTTCCCTCCTTCCTCCTCCCTATTCTTTCTTCCCTCTTCCCTCTTCATTCCTCGTTTCCTTCGCAATATGGTAGTTCTTATGAGCGAAAAATAAAAGGCCATATCCACTAGAGCATAAAGAGTTGCATGATTGTGAGCGTGTGCAATTAGACCGACGACTTCAATTGGAGAAAATTCCGGAGATGGTACAAGTGCACCATCTCTGCGAAATGAAATAATTTCAACGGCGAAAGAAATAGAGAGCGATGGCATGAGGGAGGACGTGTGCCAAGCGCTCTCTTTCTCTCTTTCTCTCTCAGCGAACGCACCAACGATCGAAATTTCCATCTCTACTTGTTCTTTGGGTACCCTAATTTGCACACAGACATTGTCAAGAAGTCAGGTGTCAAAAGAAGGTGGCCGTTACCACAGATAACTACGGTTCTCTCTCGCGTATCGCAAACACATGTGCAGCATAGCCCTGTGCTTCTTGAAGCCCTTTTACAACACGAAATGTACCACCAACATCACTTTCCCATAAGAGAGCATCATGTGGGAAAAGATTAGCTACTCCTCTTTTCTCTTTCATACATTCGCAACTGGTAGGAGAGCAGGAGAGTGCACATGTCCATATAAATACCATGCGATGCCCCGGAAAATGAAAATCCACAATAGCCGCCACCTTAACAACAACGACAACAACTCATTACAACAACCACAAAAACATCTACCAAGACAACACCTAACATTCATTTCAGCAATGGTTTTCAACTTTGCCAGACTCTTTCGACGTCTGAGGCCTGCTCATCCCGAGATCGGTCCTGCGCATCTCCCAGATAATATCGCCTCATACACCGAGGACCTGATTACCGAACCCGCCACTGACCAATCACCAGACATTCAAGACGATCCTCCTATCCATTCCCAAGCTCTCGGCATTGATGCTGCAGTTACTCAAGCCGAGTTCGATCAAGATGTCACTTTTGTTAATGAGACTCCTATTGTCGACTTTACGTGGGAGTAGGCATCGAAGGATCATCATGCCCATGCCGCATCACCATGCCCTTCCTGGCTGCCGTCTGTCCCCCTGGAAGCATGATGATCTTCCCTCCTTTTTTGTACTCTGTGCTTTCCTTTGTGTATTTACCCGCCCTGTATCATCATTCCTCTCCATGCTCCTCCCAGTTTGTAATATTAATTTGTTTTAGTGACTGAGATCAAGTGACACCTAATCTTATCTGATCAAACAATCAAAAGATACACAACGTGATTGGCGGAGCCGTTACCTTTGCTCCCCTTAGGCTCCTGAATCCTATTCGGTTGTGATCTGGGCGAAGCAACGCAAGAGCCATGGCTAACAGCTTCCCTTTTTTTTGAGTATGACTTGTACTATCATCACCAACGGCGCGTGACCCGGTGACTAGTGCGTTCTTTATGCATTCTTATTTTCCTGTAGCCATATTCTTCAGCGGTGATAAAATGAAATACTGTTGGTTCATCTCATTAGAAGGAGGTTCCCAAAAGGCGAATAAGAAGGATAGCGATAGCGATAGCGACTGCTTTATAGCGCCGTGCGTTGTGTGAGGAAATAGAGAGTGGGTGTGTAGCTTTTCTATTTCCTTCCCGGTTTTGCTAAGCATTCCCACATTGTAACACTTGCATGTGTTCACTCCCCTACTCAGACAAATGGAAAAACGAGAAACAAAAAAATGGGAGCGAGCGAATTTTTAGGACATGGGCAACGACGGACAAGGAGAGAGAGAGCGAGAGAGAGAGAGGGAGAGAGAGACAGAGACAGATACAGAGAGGGGGGCCGCAAAGTTACACGCCATGTCATTTGTTGTGGTGTTCACAACCAAATAAAAAAGGACAAAAAGACGCCGACAACGGGTGTTTGACCATTTATGGCAGAGATTAAAGAGGGTCTCTGTCTTATCCCTTCGACCGTTGCCAGTCACAAGGATAACTTGGTAAGACCTGTTCGGGGTCTTTACAATTGTGAAGGTTAAACGCTGGGCCGAAGGAGAGAGATCGGTCGAGACTGATCGAAAAGCCATTGCTCAGCGATCAGTGCAATGTTGTGAGCTCCAACCGAGTCCCTGTTGATCCATCGACCACAGGCGAGGCAGACACAAGATCTTGAAGTCGGCTTTGCCATCCTGGAGGTCTCTCCTCGGGCAGTGCAAGCTGGGCAAACGGTCGAGGACAGATATTCATCAACCAAAACGACAATGTGGCCATGTGCTCGCGCCTACGTTAGATAGAAGATTGACGGTTATTGAATGGTCCCATAGCATAACGTTGACAATTGAGCAAGTAAATAATTGTTTGTCGCGGCATAATGACGGTACCTTCTTGGCAAAATGACTCTGTAATGTCTCATGCTTGGAAGCCAAGTTTATCCCCGTTCGAAACTTGCCGTTGCCAATAGCAATAAGACACGGCTCCGGTCCACAAAAGCGCAGGATTGCAGCCACAGCCATATCCAGTTCGGCACGAACGGCTTTCTTCTCCTCCCAGGCGGCTTTTTTCATGCGTAGTGAGCCTTCAAACTCCCGAAGCAAGGGCTCCGTAGACACTCTGACACGAACAGCATCCTCGAAATCCTCCACGGTTACTTGGCCTTTTGGGGGCAAACAACTTTCGATCTCCTGGATGGACTGTACGTCTGTCCTGGCTCCCTTTGGATCGACACCCCTCGCCCAAATTCCTCCATCGATACTCTCGCCCGGCACCACTTGAAGCTTCCTGTTTTTGACTCTCTCTCTTTCGGATCGCGCTGCAGTGGTGGGAGAGTATAAAGCTGCTCGACGTATCATTAGGTTGGTCACAGGTGGATCCCCAGGGTCTGGTGCTCCATTCCACTCACGTTCGTGCTCGATCAGACATAAAGCCGCCGTCACCAACTCCCCAGGGTCCCACCCGCGACATTGTGGTATTTTTCCCTGGAATATCCTGGCGATAGCGTCCTCATCAGGCAAGACTTTTTCGATACGCATGACTGGATCCAGGGCTCCATGTGGCTCGTGTTTGGTGTCGTAGGCGAGGACCTGCAGCTCCAAGCCGTTACTTCGAATCATATTGTTCAAAGCATAGCGTGATTTTGTACTGGGGTTGGCGGGAAACTCTGGCGGTGATTGCGTACATGGTACTCCTTCATCCCGACAGTTCGCAGCAGCTCGAAGGTAGGCCAGCTTCCTGTTACAGTAGTCCTGCAATGACCGATAACCAAACCTAGAAGGATCACCTTCCGCAAGTTCTGCCATTCTTGTCGTCCGTTTTGCGTAGGGTGTCCGTCTCAGGTCTGGTCCTCCGTCGTTGTCGTGGCCAACGGGTCTTCTTCGCCCATAGAAAAGCGTCTCAAGCACTTTTCCATAGTCCGAATCAACACAATCCGACGCCTCCGCGCGACTCAAAATCGTCTCCACGATCGTCTTGGCTGGATTGTTCCTCGCAGTTCCTCCCCATAGAATTCTCCACACTGCTCGCTCCGGTATCATCACAAACGCACCCCGAAGCTTCGGCTGAGGACAGAACACAGGTCGCTTCTCTGCAGGTAGCGAGAGTAAGTGGTCCCACCAATCCCTGAGAAAGCCCGCCTTGAACTTGTAGCATCCGTCGTCGTCGGCCGCATATTCGTCTGATCCCAGGGGCTCAGTCGTTGGAGATTCGTCTAGAGCGTCGTCGTCCTGCTGTCGTTGGGCTTCAGGAGGCACGTCTCCGTCAACGAGAGGTATGATGTCTTTGCTCCATCCCAGTTTTACCATCTACACAAAAGCGCGGGTAAGACATTGTTAGAGTACGAAAAACATTTTGACATTGCATCAAACATAACTCAAACAAGAAAGAAATAAATACCTTTCCAGTGACAGTAGACGGTAGCTTTCTGAAGTGTGTGTGGAGACATACCATCGTGGCAAGTCCAAACTCCATCTGCATGTCGCCCAGGGGGATGTCGGTAGTGTTAATGGGCGAAAAGTGGGGAATGATCGTCTTGTATCGGGCATAGACCCTCTGTGCGAGCTCTCGAGCACGGATGGACTCGGACTTCTTGCACTTTTTCTCAACAATCTTTCCATTCAAGGCCAACGACATTAATCCACGGATGAACATCTGACCGGAAGCCTTGTTCATCACCAGGTCCAGCAGATCGACATTCGTCTCCCCTGAGGCTCCTTGCGGGCTAAACACTGTTGTGACTTCTTCCAGTAAAAACAGCTGTATCATCCTGAACACGTGGGGACGAGCTTCATTGATCAGGCTCGTGGCCTTCTCCAGGAGGCTCGCAATGGTGTCGACTTGGTCATCAGAGATCCCGAGGGGTCGAAGGCTACGGCGCAGGCATCCTTTCAAGGAACCAACTGTCTGGGTTATCGTCGGAAAAGCAAACTTGAAAGCGTCCTTAAGTTTTGGTGCTGTTGGGGTTGCATCGATGTCGCGTGGTCTCGCGAGTTTTTTCTTGGATGACGCCTTCCGTCTTTTGTTCTTCGACGAGCGGTCTGTCGACGATGACGAGGATGCTGAAGGCGAATCTTCAACAGCCTTGGGCTGCTTGTCGACGGGTCGCTTTTTTGGTTGTGACGGGGACATTGTCGACAGTTGATTATCAGAAACAGGGGTGGCTGTCGACGGATCACTGACTCTGTGGGGAGAGTACCGAACCTGATTGTCAGTGCGAGACTTGAACCTAATTAACCACAAAAAATAATAATTAGAGAGACTTAGAAACATTTCCATAACTTGTGCAAACCCGGAGACGTCAATGTGATATTGTCTTACCTGGATTTCCTCCATTTTTTACGTTTCCTGTTCCTTTTCGCTGCCTCCCGGCGAGCTCGCTGCGTTTTCGCTGTCCTGGTCCGATTTACATTCGTTTTGGGAGCCGGCTTCTTGTCCTCCATCGGTGGTGTGAATCCCATTGCCGCACGTGCCTGAGCCTCTGCAACCTTCTGGTACTCAAGATCGAGCAGTGCCCTCATGACAATCTCGTGCGCATTACAGTCTCGCTGCCCTCCCTGCTCAATCGATGTGTGCTGTTGACTGGTAAAAGGCTGAGGGTGTGGGTTCTGATCAACGGAGGATACGGCATCTTCCTGGACGCCCACAAAGGCAGATAAAGCATGCTCGAAGTCGTCAACCGTAACCGATAGCTGCGAGTCGATTCGTTTTCGTTTCTTCCGAGGGACTCTCTCGGAAAGAAGCTGGTGTCGCACTCGAACGAGAAACTCGTGGACGTACCAATGAAACGATTCGACGTCAGAGCCGGGTAGCTCCATTTCCCGAATAATCTCGCAGATCTTCTTGATCCCGAAATATGGCACTCCCCGGGTGTAGTCGTTGCCCGTCACAACAGCCGCGAGTAGTAAATGCCGCTCCGAAGGCAAATCGAGGACCTCCAAAATCGCATCCTTTTCGAAAAGAGTGAGCTCTCTTGACTTGCCGATCGGATACAACACTCTCGGCACAGCCCCGAAACAAATCAAGTCCGAATCACCGGAGACAACAATGATGTCCTGGGGATTCAGAGACTGGGCACAAAGCTTAGCAATGCAAGTATCCGACTGAAAGCGGCAGAGGCATACATGGCAGTCGTACTTTTTGATCAACTCCGCTATAACTTCTCCTTGAATTACGGTTGTTGGCTTGTAGAGATTCCTGCACCGTTTGTAAGCAGCCTTTCGACGAGATCCACCCACTACACGTGCTTGTTCGATTGCTTGGTGAAGTGCGTCGGTGCCCTTACGCAGCTTGTCGTCGCGAGCTCGGTGCTCCGCCTGTTTCTGAATGGATGGCTCTCCATCGAAGTGAAGGGTGACAGATTCGTCTTCGGGAGTACAGAACTGAGAAAGCTTCCTGTACAGTTCATCTGCAATGTGACCGAAGAACTATTTCAAGCAAACGACGACATAGCAAATGATAATTAACTAATCAAGTAAATAATCACCAGTGGACCCATGCTAAATCCCGCATTCAGTCCTCAAGAAGATTCATTACCATAACTCTCTGTTGGTCCGTGCCATCCTGTAACATCCCATCTTTGTCAACGACGACAGAGTCGGGGCTGTTGGGTCCACTCGTCACCATAGCAAGCTTATCTTTGAGATCAAAGAGCATGTTCGCACGTCTCAGAAGGTCCGCCTGGGCATCGTTCGGGTCTGGAGAGGCAGAGTCTGTCGACTCGGGTCGCTCTGGCGCATCCTCCATCTGTGGCATGTGCAGGTTGGCGGGCTCGGTGTTGCGCGTCAGCGTGGTCGTGTACTTTTGTACGACAGAGTAGGCTCGCGCCTTCATCAACCCGTAGTAGGTACCGTTCATGTCGACGTGAAATTCCTTGCCGTTCATTTTCGCCGGCGCAATGCCCGTCGCGTTCTTTATCTCTCCTGGGAGTCCGTTGACGCCCATGACTGACTGTAAAGGAAAGAATGAAGAAAAGCTCATCAGAAGATGGAAACAAACACCACATTGGGCGGACAATGTCGGCGGATTTGAAACGTGATAATACCTTAATGAAGCAGGGGCGTGAGCCGTGCGGATGTGTGCGTGTGCGTGTGTGTGTGTGTGTGTGTGTGTGTGTGTGTGTGTGTGTGTGTGTGTGTGTGTGTGTGTGTGTGTGTGTGTGTGTGTGTGGAGGGGTGGGGTGGAGGTCGCAGTGATTGGATGTCAGAAGTTGGTCGATTGAGTCTAATTGGTTTTTTTGTTTGTTGACAATGACGTCAGTACATTCCTTTTGGTTTAAAGGGTGGGAAGTTGGCTGCCAATCACAAAAAGTCAGCTTACTGTGGCAAGGTTTCTGGCGCGTGAGCAGTTGATCTGTTGACAGAATGAGGTAAAGTCGGCCATGGGGTTAGCGAGGTCCTGGTATTGATTGGTCATCCAAGCTGACGCCAATAGACGGAGAGCGATGCACTTACAGAAGACTAGGTGTAGCTCTGGTTTGGATCTCTGTCCTGATCAACGATGTCCACTTAGGATTCCATGAGCGAACTTGGCAAAGGTGTTGGAGTGGGAAAAGGCAGCCCAAGGACATTTTATTTGCTCCCAAGCGACGCGACGCGACAGGCGGTCTTTTTTTTTTTTTTGGCGTGACCCTGTACCCCTTGACCGTTCACACATTCAAAAAATTCGTGCTAGTCACATGCACCGCCATATGTTAACAATCCGAAAAGGCATTAGGGGCCTTTATTTTTTGTTCTTCATATCTGTTATTATCTTGCATTAGTATCAGAGGGGTGCTTCTCATTACTGGTTAAGCAACTACAACTACGATTTATGGAATTCTCTGAAGCAATTGCGGGCCTTTGACATACACAAGGCAACATTGCAGATCTCACAGGCTATGACTGTTTGAGTTTTTCTATCGTGGTTTTTGTCGTCGAAGACAGTGGCTCTGAAGCGACAGAACAAGCAGTTGGATTTTTGGTCGAGAATTATGGGTGAGTGGGGTCCTGGGGTGAAACGGATGGTGGGCAGATCAGAGCAATTTTTGGTAACATATATCTTCTTGGTTGGTTCTGGTTTGGTGGCTCTGTGAACTCGTGTCCGTTTGCTGTAGTCCATGTGCTGTTTGCTTTCTGCTCCCTTCCTGATCAAATCCCATGCCAACCTGAGACAGAAAGTTTTGTGAGAAAGGGATCCTTTTTGGACGACATAGATTCGATAGGCGTTGATGATGGTGGTGTCGAGAATCCAAAAAAGAGAGGCATCCACGTCCTGAACACGGCTAATTGGGTGCTGTAATATGCCCTGAACTGGTTACTGACATCGACGCCATTCATGTTGTGGTTGTAGTCATCAATCAACTTGGGGATTTTGAGTGCCGCTCTGGGCTTGCCATTGAATATTGCCCGAGCATTGGCTGCGTTAGTGCTAGTGTTGCGAGGGCAGCGTCGAATACGCTCAATGAAGTCATCATCCGTGTTGATTTTGTGGATGGTACTCAGCATGGTGACGGGTGCATTATCCATCCAAACGACGGCAAGAACTTGTTTGTCGATAACAACTCCTGTCAGGGTATTCCATTGTAGTTTCTCACTCTTACCCACTTTCAAAGTGTCAGGGAAGCAGGCTGAGTTGATGCGGGTGGTACCACATGCGCCGATGTTGAGTCCACGTAGGTGCTTGAAAAGCGGGATGTTGGAAAATAGTTGTCCATGTAGATGTTGAATGGACGAGTCTTGTAGGGGAGTGATTTGGCAAGACGAACAACAGCGGAAGAGGTTGGAGTAAGCCCGTTTATCCTGTCTATGCCAATGATGGATTTGATGCGAGGGGTGTAGAGGAAGGAATAGGTGTATCCTGATTGACAAAGAGCGAGAATCTTGTAGCCTTCCGGGGGTAGGCTTACCCTTCATGCGTACGGTGTGAGCACTCCTTCCTGAAAAGCGAACAATCATCTCGTCGATGGACACATTGGTGGAGAGAACGTAGTAACGAGCGAAGTCGGTAGCGAGTTTGGTCGAAAGAGGTTCTACTTTTGAGAACCAATGTTGCTCAGGCTCGTTGGGGTTGGAGACACGAAAAAAACGCTTCGGTTGTTCGAAGCGGACGAGGGACATGAAGTTAGTGATGTTGTGTTGAGGACATTCAGGGAAGGTTGACCAATACTCAGAGACAGAGTTCTGCCTGAACACGCCCATGTAGACAATGATGCCGAGGAATGTGCGCAGTTCGTCAGGTGTGGTCTTTACCCATTGGCGCGATCCCTCTCTTGTGCCGGCTCCTTTTGATGCTGCATATGCGTTAGTGTTGTCTGCCAAATCCGTCAATACCGGGTCGGAGAAGAAGAGTGTGAAAATTGTCAATGGTGATAGTTCGCTGTCGAGTTGAAGTGCAAGGGGAAGGTTGGTTTGTGCTGAGCATACTGTTTTTTGGTGTTTGAAGACGTCCTTGAAGTCAGGGACGGCTGGGAGTTCTGTGGGTTCGCGGGTGACTTTCTTGACAGCCCTCTTCGCTTTCTTGACAGCCCTCTTCGCTTTCGCGAGAGCTAAGGGTGCAGGGGACACCTCCTCTCCCGCCGGTTGCTCTCTTTCTGGTGGTCGCTCTTCATCATCGGAATCATCCTCACCGGCAATCTCTCGAGTTCGGCAAATGACCGAAAACGACAACTCCTCTGTCTCCTCGGAAGTGAGTGTGCTAGTACCTTGACCGTTAGAAACGTCAAAGGAACGTAGGAACTCGAAGCTTGGGTCCATGAGCAGGTTGGGCGAAGTTTTCTTTGTGAGGGAGACAGTAACGGAGGCTTTGGAGATGATGAGAGAGAAAAAAAAGGTCGAATTTGACAGCGAAGGTGGTAATGAGGCGAGCTGGGAAACGACAACCCTCGTTGTTTTCATTAGACGACACGAGACCCTTCCCAACCCGTTTTATTGGAAACCCTGATAAATTGAAAAAGAAAAATTGGAACCAATTTCGATTCTAAAACGGTTGAAGGGATACAAAAAAAAGAGTCGGCCCCTTCCTACCTATTTTTATTTTTTTAATCTATCATTCTACCTGCGCTACCATATCCAGCTGTGCCCAAATGAGAAATGGAATAAACAAGAGTGATGTCACACTGGAATGGCTCCCACTCGTTGTCGGCTCCTTTTGTTAGTGCGACGATCCTGTAGGCCCCGCTGTCCTTGTCAGTCATTTGCCTGTGTTCCTTTGTCCTGCATGTATCATCCATACCCATATATAGTTGTATGAACCTTTTTTCTTGATCCAGTCCCAGACCTCTCCTCTCCCGTAGTGGTGAAACATGCCCAGCGGGTGCTCATAGTCATTGCAATCCAGAAACGAGGTCACTTTTGCTGACAACAATCGCCGTTGCACAAATGTAAGTGGTGGATACCAAAAAGGGTGACTCGAACAATCTTCCCACATGAAAGGATTAGTATCCACGCGAATTATTTCCTGCCTGTTTTTCAGACGGAGCCACAGAAATGGCTCATCGTCCAGTTGCAGATACGGGCCATGAGTGTCACTGGTACCCTCACCTTGATAACCTTGAGCATCAACCAAACGCCAAGGATGTGGGAGTCGGTAGCGTTATTGACCCAAGGACGAGCACGCTGTTCGAAAGCGATGACAACGACGACACGCATGCCCCCAACGGTATCCTCGGGGTAGTGCTTGATCTCGACCACTTGTGCAACTTGCATCATGTTGCGGGTGAAGGAGTGGTGCCAAGGTTGGGCCTGGGTGCCGGTCTTCATGTCCTTCTCCCACACATCACTGCCGCAACGAGCAATAGGGTTCGTCAGATCGGGAAAATTGTAGAACAGGATCCCATGATCATGAGGGCGAGGATCGCTACCGTTGCTCTGGGAGAGAACGGACTTTGGACGGGTGATCATCGAGGCGGTTATGGCGGTGTGAGAGTCTCGATCAATGTTGTATATCGGGGATCCCATGCGTACCCACGGGGAACCAGAGGAATCTTGGGTCTCTAAGTCAGTCTTGAAGAACTGTGCCTCGGAAAGTTTGACTCTGAGAGGGCGGCGACGGTTAAACTCGTCCAAGGAGGAAGGCAGGTGGGGGGAGGCGCCGGTCGTCCATTGCGGCCATTCATAATCGACGGGTAACGGTGAGGGATGTGGCGAAGGCTTTGATGGGATGACGTCAGTTGTTGTAGTAGGCGAGGTCCCTGAGATTGGAGGAGACAAAGCAGACGTCGAGCGGGAAGAGACAGTCGTTAGGGCGGAAGAAATTGGGAACGACATGGACGAAGTAACGTCAGGGAGAGGGAGAGTAGCTCCAAGACGGACCCCTAAGGCGGCGTCCCTGAGGACCATCGTCTTCCAATCTCTTGCGTTAGGGCCACCACAAGATTGGACCCAGTTGGTATAGGTGTGAGTGGTAAGAGGGTACCAGTCGGCGGGGGCTGTGATGAAAAAAAGTTCATGACAGGTGTATGGAAAACGAAGGAGGTTGAGTGGGTAGACAGCGTAAAAAATAAAAGGCTTTAGCAGTAAGGAAGGAGGACTGAGGCGATGCTGGTTCTGTGACGATTGTGAAGGTATGGTAGTCGTCGTTATTAGTGTTGAAATGATGACCATAGATGTGTTAATCTGGGTAAAGACGGTTATAGGTGTTTAGGTTGTCTTGAGAGTTTATATGGTGATCGAGGGTGGAGCCTTTGGGGTCGAAGGAAGGATGAAGTGAATGTGAGTTTGATTACATCCAATGTTGTCGTTATGATTTTTGGGAGGAATGAGATTTTTTTTACACATGGCACAGTCAATTTTGTGGCGCAAAATTACCCGTAATTTGAAAGGGGAGGTTTTGATGCCTCAGCAAATGTTTCGCCAGATTGCAGGCTGAGAGACAAGATTGATGGGAAGCGACAAGTGTCCTTTTTAACTGAAGCCGTCATTCGGTAGAGGATGGCGGCGAATCGAGTTCGAAAAGCATATACGTGGCGCTTCGGTACACCCAGGTGAAAGCACACCAGACAGGGAATAGAAAGTCGGATTGTTGGAGTCTGACGACAACACCACAGTTGCACTGAACTGAGCAGAGTCGCAAAATACGATTGACGGTTGGAAAATTGCACAACGACCTGATCGCATTGACGGATTGGAACTCGATGCAGTCGACCATAAGAGAACTTGAAACAGGGTGCCATCGAAGTGGATTGTCGAGTTGAGGTACCGTTTCGGAAAACAGGTGAGAAAGGCGTCCGTCAGGTAAGAAGTCGCCAAGACTGTAGCAGCAGTTACCGACCGAGGTATCCAGGGTCAGGGAAAGTTCTCTAGTGCAATTCAGTGACGAGAGTGTCCATAGTGACGAGCGTGGAGTGTATGGGGACTAAGTGGGACTTGGGTAAGTGAAAGGAAAGGGTTCTTGACCAGGTCTCATTTTTGTTGTTTTTTTTGTTTAGGGATGGGACATCCACGGGGCACGAGGTTCTGCTTGTCTGGGATAGATGGACCAAAGATATGTTACAGAACTGGGCGAATGAGCTGTCTGGGTGTTGCCCGACATCTGATGGAGTGGGCATGCAACACGGCAACATGGCAATTACGCTCTTTACTTGTGTGTGGTCGAGTAGTGGAAGGTGAGTGTCTTTAGAGATGAAAACTGAAAAGGCGTTGAGGATGAGTACAGAAAAGAAGGAAGAAAGGACATTTGGCAAAATGGGGACACCACTGTTTTAAATATAAAAGGAAGGTGACTGTCTGTCTATCACTTATATCCCCCTTTATGTACACCTGTAGCAGGATGTTTATCCTCATGGGCGTCTCCGACTGGTACTCCCTTGCGTCTGCCCTCCCTCCCTCTCTCTTCGTCTCGATCTTATCACCCTTCCCCCCTCCTCTATCCCCGGCGCAATTGACTGGATCACCGTTGATTTGTCCCTAGACAGCGGCGACGACTACCAGGACAGTGACAGCGATCATGACAGCAGCCACGGCCAGGACACGCGTCAGAGCTTGAGCAGCATCCAGTTGTACTTGAACGACGTCATGGTGGTCCTGAATGGTTGGCGGTAGAACGGTAGGAAGTTCATATGATGCGATGGAGTCTGACAGATAAAAATCATCTTGCCCGCTGATGAGTCTTGGTGTACCGGAAAATTTGCTGTTGTGCGGCATCTAGGCTACTTGGCAAAAGGAGATGATTAAGGTGTCGAATTGGATGGGGGTTCTGCTTTTCTGGAATTGATGGATCAAAGGTTTGCACCGCCGATTTGTTTTTATGCCAGAAAATTGATAATTTTTGTGGCGCAGCTTTAATTTGAAAGGGGGGAAGTTGTCGATCGTTCGTCGGGAAGAGAATCATAAAACAAAATCGGGAAAACAGAGCAACCAAAAGAGTAAGTGTGTCAATGCTCAAAACGACCATGAACGCACAAAAAGGTCCGCGGGAAGGAACCTTTGGTTGATGCCTCAGCAAATGTTTCGCCAGCTTGCAGATTGACAGGCGAGATTGATGGGAAACGACAAGTGTTCTCTTTAACTGAAGCCGTCGTTCGGTCGAGGATGGCGGCCAGTCGAGTTCGAAAAGCATATATGTGACGCTTCGGTACACCCAGGTGAAAGCACACCAGACAGGGAATAGAAAGTCGGATTGTTGGAGTCTGACGACAACACCACAGTTGCACTGAACTGAGCAGAGTCGCAAAATACGATTGACGGTTGGAAATTTACACATCGACCCGGTCGCATTGACGGATTAGAACTCGATGTAGTCGACCATAAGAGAACTTGAAACAGGGTGCCATCGAAGTGGATTGTCGAGTTGAGGTACCGTTTCGGAAAACAGGTGAGAAAGGCGTCCGTCAGGTAAGAAGTCGCCAAGACTGTAGCAGCAGTTACCGACCGAGGTATCCAGGGTCAGAGAAAGCTCTCTAGTGCAATTCAGCGATGAGAGTGTCCAGATTGACGGGTGTGGAGTATAAGGCGACTGAGCGGGCCTTGGGTAAGTGGAGGGAATGGGTTCTTGACCAGATCTCTTCTTTAATTGTTTTTTTTTGTCTAGGCATAGGGTGTCCATGGGAACAGGAGAGGTTGTAGATCGTTCGTCGGGAAGAGAATCATAAAACCAAATCGGGAAGGCAGAGCAACCAATAGAGTAAGTGTGTCAATGCTCCAAACGACCATGAACACACAAAATGTCCGATGGAACAAAACGAGCGCATGAAAATTTTCCTAATGTGAGCCCTTGTGGGATGGACTGGTTTGCCATGGTGGATGCTCCTTGTGTCATAGTGCCAAACAAAAAGGGCGGAAACGTCTGGTGTTTCGACAACGGCAGTGGTGAGAAATGAGGACTCTTGAAAGGAAATTCGAGTGTATTTTCTTTTAAATAGGGTCCCTGCTCCAGCACCAAAAAAAAAAAAAAAAAAAAAGACAATAACCAAACACACATGGCTTCCAACTATCGTCACGTCTTTCAGCTCCCTCTTCAGGTTGATCTCCCTCCTGCACCTCTTCCTGCTACTGTCACCTCATTCCCGGACCCTCTTGTCGCTCAGACTCCTCCTCCCCCTCCCCCTCTTCTTCCCATCCAAGAAGCCGGCGATGTTCACCTCCAAGTTCAGCTGTCGGCCGTTCAACTCCAGCTTCAAGCCCTGGCCATCCATGTGGCTCAGCAAGGTTATCCTGCCGAGGACGGGGACGATGACATGATGATGGTCGATGAAGTCGATGATAATGGGTCCGAGGACGAAAAGTAATGTTTTTTACTTTTTTTTTCCCGACTGTACCCTGACTCTCATACTGTCATACCACTGTCCTTCGCTCTCCTCCGTCTTTGTCTCGAACGTCTGTCCCGTTTCCCTAAGCCTCTTTGTTTCCGCAACCTTTCCTTCCTTCTTACTTCCCGTACCTCATTTCATCACTCACTTCTGCTCCACTCACCCAATTACTTTTTAACTCGTCATCCTTCTTTTACACTTCCAAATCCCCCCCCTCTTCAGTAACATCATCTATGTACTCCCTTCATCTCATCACCTTTTTCGACACCAAAAATAAACGTACTTCACTAATTGCGACTATACCCACCACCCGAGACCAGTATGTGAACCACATCCGAATGAACTCACCTTGGCGTCTTGACAGAATCTACTCTCAGTTGGGAAGTATGAGGTCACGGAAAGAGTAAGCAAGTTATCGAGGCAGAGGCGAGCGTAAGGAAAAAGGGTAGGTCGGAGAGAAAAGAGAAACCTTCTTTCCTTCCTTGGTTCCTACACCCATCTTGCGACTGGTGTTCGTCTTTCACATCACAGTCATTACCTTCTGTTACTCTGGTCTTTTTTTATTGGCTGTATCTGCAACTGGCTACTTAATGGTGCCTGAGTCTTGGGACGCGTTGAAAAGTATAGTATCAGCAAGAACAAAGTGGACGCGACATGACGACCTTGATAGCCTGCACCTTCTTATCCTACTTGCAAGCCAAACAAGAAATCGCAGAACGTGGACTAGTGGCGAGTCGGTGTGGATAGTAGATAAGTACGAGCGAACAAAGTACATTACAATCGATGCAAAACAGGTGAGATATGGATGATAAGGGTTAAGAGTGATAGAGAGAGAGTATGAGTGAGAAATGGTCCTCGGAGGAACGACCTAGTGAGCTACTTGTTCCCCATTTCACATGTGTTGAGATAGCCTTTCTTTCCACTCGTTCGCTCTCGCTTCTTGTTGTTGTTGTTGTGGTGGTGGTGGTGGTGAACCATTCACTTCTCGTTAAGCCTTCACTCGCCTTTTCCTCTTTTCCATTCATTTTTCTATTACGTCCTTCCTTCCTCGCCATCCCCTGCCCCGACTCTTGCCCCTCCACACTCGCCATCGACCTATTCCTTCCTGCTCCAGTACCCATCACATTTCTCAACACCACACAGCATCCACCATCGGCCACCCCCTTCTTTCTTCACTGTCCTCCACATCTCTCTTCATCTGTCGTCCACCTCAAAATAACAACTGCTCTCATCTCTTATCAAACTCACAACAACACACGGACGTAGTCTCACTCCCGCTTCTTAACTGATCAGAGCTGGCGGACAGAGGTCATCACATCCCTAACGGTCATCGCCCTGTTGTTACGAGGACCCAGGGCTATTGTTCAAACCGGTTCAACGCTTTTTCGTTAAGGGTGCATTGGAGGGAGAAAAACAACAAACCAGAGGGAACAACAAGTACTTTGTTTACCTGCTAACCTTGTGGGGGTTGTGTACTATGTGGAGAAGGGACAAAGGGCGGGACAGTTCCTTCCCTCTTCCCTCTGAAGCAATGAATGACTGAAACGAACAATGGACTAACAACAAGCTTGTTGGGGGGGGGGGAAAGAAAAACTACATCGTTGCCACCACCATCAACTCCTGTTCCTTCCACATTCGTCACCCTCGTTGCTCTCTTTACACTCATGTACCTCCCTCTCTCTTTACTTCCATTTGCTCATCCATTAAACTTCCGCATTCAGAGCAGACATCCCATTAGTACCTTTTGTTCGATTCACTATTGTTTTTTGTTTTCATGATTTCTCTGTTGAAAAAAAGGAGGTATGTAACAGTTGTATTATGGTAATGAAGGTAATGCTATGTTTTTTTTGAGAGGTATGCTAAGCCATGGAAGGGAAAGGGTATGAGAACAGTGTGTGATGGTTGGTGGGTATCTATGGGGTTAGCGCTCAAGCTTGGAGCTGGTGCTGGTGCTGGTGCTGGTGTGGGTATAGTCGGCGGAGGTCATAGGAGTATCGTAGAGATGGATCGAACCACCGACCGAGTAGTAGTGGTCGTCATCGTAGTACTCGAATACATCGCAGTGGAGGTGCTGGCTGTTGTAGCCGTTTGGGCTTGCGGCGGGGTCAGCAAAGAATCCGCTGCTGCCAGAGGTGTCTGCAAAGAAGGAGGTCGCCCCGGCAACAACCATGGCTTCTTCGGGCTGGTAGTCTTGGGAAGGGTCTTGAGGCAAGTCTTGGGGGGTATCGATCTCCAGGGCCATGAACTGGTCATCGAGGTTCGACAGATCGTTATTGTGCTCCTCCACGTTGTCAGAAGAGGTGGAGGCGGCTGCTGGTGTGAGGGAGAGGTGCTGTTGTTGCTGGTGTTGCTGGTGTTGCTGATGTTGGTCGTGATCGTCCTGGTGGAAGTCCATAACGACCGAGGAGAGGAAGAGTGATTGATGGGTGGATTCAAGGGAGGTAAGGTACTGGTTGCGAGTTCGTTGCATTTGAGACATGTCCGTCTTGGAGGTGTGTGAGGGCCGTAAAGGGGTTGTTGTGGTGGTAGCGGGAGTAGAGGAATGGAGAGAAGGAAAGAAAGAAAGAAAAGGAAAGGAGATCAGCGGACGAAACTAATTAACGAGGGATATATGTGATGCCGATCCATGGGCGACGATAGTAATAACTGTCTGTATGTGGGGCAGTCAAACAACAACACTGCCAAGTAGACAGGGTCATGCTTCTGTTAGCTGGATGTTGCTAATATTTGCTTGAACATTAGGGCCAGCAGGGTGGACTGCTTGTGCTGCTGGTTTCCCTTGCTGGCCATCATATCATGTCCCAAGTTTTTTTGGTTTGTGCTCGCAACTCATCCATATTTCTCTTGCAATCAAACGAAAAACAAACAGGGACAAAGGGCAACATGTGGTGGTGTAGTCTGGAAGGAATGGTGAGAGTCGCACCAGTTCTATTTTAACAACAACAACAACACAACAACAATGATGGACAGGGACACCTAAAGAGACTTGAAACACCTGCGTTGCCGTGCTCATAATTTCTGGAAATTAAAATTATATTGCTGATAGGACGCAAAAATGAACGAACGAACAAGAGTGAGAACTCACCAACACCCCCCACTGGTACATACACTACACAGCCATGGAATAATCGCAAGTAGGCGGGCCCATGATGTGCGGATGAAGAAACTTGGAGAAAAGACTAGACCAGACTTATAGCCCTCCCCCTTGTCTTTTCACAAATTGAACAATGATCTGAAATTGAACAATGATGTGTTGACACCAATTGCATCCCTCTCACTCAGCGGGATGAATCGTTGACAATGGAGTAAAATAGACTAACAATCCTCCCCTCTTCTCATTTCCTTGTCCTCTTCTCGTCTCTCGTCTCTTTTCTCATCTCCTTCCTCCCTTCCTCCCTTCTCTCCTCTCTCCCCTTTCGGACCATTAATTAAGGTACAAACCGAAGAACGGCCAATGGTATGCACACACCAATTGAGTTCTCCTTACTAAACATGCTTTTAAAACAAAACTCAATGCAACGACGTAATCAGTCGAATGGGTCTTAATTAAGTTTTTTTTTCAAAGTCCCTCTCTGTCTTGCACATCCTTCACATAAATTTTATGTTGTTGTTTTCATAGGGGGCATTAGACAAGAGGTGGAAGAAGAGGAGAGGCAGAGGGGAGAAAAACAAGAAATCTGATCGAGAGGTGTACCTCCTGCAGGAGCTGCGGATGTATCTTTCTTCATTTTCAATCACGACAAACAACACCTGGCATGGCACAGTGTCAATCAATTGATGATCGGCGCTAGTACCTAGGTCTAAGTCTTGGATGTGGTGACTATGTAACAAGTACGATGTAGGAGAGCCACCTTGACGTCGTCGAAGAAGGTGGCCGAACAAAAGAACAAAAAGAAAAAAAAGAGAGCGTGCCAAGTCAGGATGACTCCGTCGCTCATTTCCCCTCGGTACAGTACGTATTTTCTCCATGATGTAATGCTCTCACCCCAACCCCACGCTTGTGCCTGAGAAGAAAAAAGGGCGCTCTTTAGCAAAGCCACTTGGAAAAAAGGGACTAACTTGTTCGGGTCTGGAGTATGGTGTTTCTTTCCCATTCACACGCATACGCTCAACCACATCAAGGAACACGATGCGGGAGGTATGTCTTACAGGATCGGGGTGCTCGCTGCTCATGCCAAAAGAAAGTTGAGCGATGAAAAACACGTACATGTCGACTAGAAACACAACGACAAAAAACGACAACGCCTGGAGGCAGGTCGAGTCAGGTGGGATGGCATGGACGTAAAAGTAAAAGAACTACCGTAATGTTCATCCATTTTTTGCAATTGCCTCGTGGAAAGAATGACTCTTTGCTTCGTGCCTGTTTGACTTAGTCCTCTGACCTCAATCCTCTCAGTCCTTGACCCTTCTTTCGTCCATGAGTCCCTCTTGCAACCACAAAAATAAATACCAAACTGCACATGCCAGACCCTCTCCTCGTTACACTTCTCTTTTCCACATGGCATGAGCATGTTCGTTGCCTGTTGAAGCCACAAGAAGAGGCATGCTAGACCTTGCATGAATTTAGAAAACCACGAAAAAAAGGGATTCATATGTTCAGGAGCGTGCCTAGGTCGAGTGGGAGAGGGTCTTTGACCCTATTGCAATTTCTCTTTTCCCTCCCCATTCCCCTTTTTTTCACCCCTCTGACCTGTGATCATTGTTGAGTCACCGTGTTGTGGCATGTTCGACCATATTTCTGTTGTACTCACCGTGCGATTCACGAGCGTGCATTCCTGTTTGTACCTCGTCTCGCACCAACCGAGAATATGAGCTCTGCGAGGGAAGAGAGCGAAGGAGTCATGAAAAAAGGTGAAAGAGGGAATTGACGCATCACAGAGTTCCCCAGCCCAGAGTACAAATTTTGTTTGTTCGTCATGGAGAAAAAAAAAAAATTGGGCTCATAAGACAGGGTACCTGTTCACAACCAGTTGGAGAACGAGAAGAGGGAAAGCGAATGGACCATGAGCGATTAGATGTGTTCACTCACATTTTCCATGCTAGTGTGTGACCACGAGGTGCGGTAACACACGTAAAACGTAAAACGTAAAAGGGTTACAGGGAACATGGGATCGTGGGATGAGGTACCCGTGTTTTTAATCATGCCGTGCCCTTTGTGTGACCCATTGATTCATCTTGCTGCATTGTTTGACAGACAGGCATTTTACATTTCACCCAGACATGGGATGGCAAGGTATGCAGGCGCGCTTCGTCAATTAGCACGCATTTATGTTCACTAACGTACGTCAAGGCAGCACATGGCATTACGAACTAGTCAAAACATCGACATAAAAAGGACGACCCATTCCCACTTTTTTCTTTGTCTCTTCGTTCACATCTCCTCATTCATCTCTTCCTTCCTCCTCACCCTCCCCTTCCTTTCTTCTATGCAATTTCAATACCCATTCCATCACCCCGACCCTCTGTTCCTCCCACCTCTCTCTCTTACCAGTCAGGTAAAAAAAAAAGAAAAAGAAATGCTTTCCCTCCTCCAATGGCTCCCCCAATGATAGGATGAGTTGTATGAGGAGTGTGTCTGCTAAAAGATAAGAAAAAAAAAGACAATCCCTTCTCACACGTACCACCCCTCACCCCCTCTCAACGCTCCATCACCGTCTGTAATGCCAATGCAGTTCGTCACAGCAAAGGAATCCAGACCTCTCCCCTCCTCAAGGATCCAGCCCGTCCACATCCAAACCAACAACCTCAACCGCAACAACAACAACAACAACATCCACAACAACAACGTCCACAACAACAACGTCCACAACAACAACGTCCACAACAACAACGTCCACAACAACAACATCAACAACAGCAACTTCAACAACAACAACAACAAAAAAGTAGCCTTCCAACTCCCAAGAGGCACCATGTTGAGACGCGCCAACGGATACTTTGACTTCCAGCCCATGACTCCTCCAAGGCAGCAGCAACAGCAGCAGCAGCAGTTGCCTCCTTTCGGAAAGGGGTTCCAAACTATTGAGCGCCATGTGGATGAGGGTCTTCAGTTCGAAACTGAGGAGACCTTGAGTGCTATGATTAAGGCCGATATTGTTACGCTCTGTCAGGAGAGAGGTAACCTATTCTCCTTATTCGTCTGTTGTTTGTTTGTTTGTTGGAGTTGCATCCGTGAGTATTGATACATTGCGCATTTGCTACTGATTAGGTCTTCCCTCGGAGGGCGACAAGAAGGAGTTGGTCAAGAACCTCATGAACTGGGTAAGCATCAGACAACAGCTGCATTACCATACATTCCCATAACTCTTATTCTTCTTCATTGTCGTCGTTGTTTAGAACTCCGTTACTGACTATTCGGCATGTTTATTTTCAACTCCTATCGCGCTAAATAGAAAAACGCAAAGCCCGTACCTGGCCCTACTACACCTCAGCTATGCTCGCTCGAGCCCGTGATCTCGGTCCAAAAGAAGCCCCTCAACACCATCTACCTCAACTCTCTCCTAAAGGAGGCCAACTTCCAAAGCGAGATCACATACGACCAGCTCAAGATTGGACGCAAGCTGGGTTCTGGTGGGTTCAAGGATTGCTATGCCGGCATCTACAAAGGGGTACGTGCTGCTTCTTGTTCTTACCTGTATGTATTCGTTCCAAAGTATGCAAAGCAAGGCTGACTTTGTTCCTTGTTCCCATTGCTGAATTGAATAGGAGGATGTCGCGATTGGAGAACTGCGGGTCCAGAACTTCTCGGAGCTAGATATCACCGAGATGAAGCATGAGATCGATGTGCTGAAGCAACTTCGCCACGATAACATTGTTCGCTTTGTCGGTGTCTGCACCAGTGTCAGACATCTCTGCATTGTCACCGAGCTCTGTGAGAACGGCGACCTCTACGATTATATGCGCAAGGTCCGCAAGCCATCCTTTGGCCGCCTGGTATGTTCCTTTTTCGTACTTCTTCGATCGTTTCGCTGTTGTCAAATGTAAGTTAGGACTCAATGCTAATATGACAACTTTTGTGTTCGCCATAGATCTCATACATGCACGACATTGCTTTTGCAACTTCATATATGCACAGTCGGAGGCCCAGCATCATCCACAGAGTACGTTCAGAATCCATTGTTCATCTGTACCTGTGTATCCCAAACTCACTTCTACGTTATTTAACATCTAAATATTTATTCCGCTTATGTATCCTTCACCATTTTAGGACATGAAGTCGATGAATGTCCTGGTAAGTTCACTTTTCAACCCTCACATGAAGCACCACGTTATTCTCAATTGCTTCCAAGACGCCGCCTAACCCTCTTCGTTTCATGCTCCTCGCTTAGATCACGACGGACAACAGGGCAAAGATCAATGACTTTGGACTGGCAAGAATCAGGACCAAAGCCAACGCATCGATGCACACCCAGTGCGGCACCCCCAACTGGCAGGCCCCAGAGTTCTGGAGCCCCAATCCCCGTTACACCGAGAAGGTTGATGTCTATGCCTGCGGTCTTATTTTCTGGGAGATCTTGTCCTGGGCTGAACAGGGGTACCCATACTACAACTTGACGGAACATCAGCTGTATGAGGCGGTGAGGGACAAGGAGGTCAGACCCCCGATGGATAAGTTGAGAAAGTACCCCCAGTCGCTGTTGTCGTTGATCCAGGATATGTGGAGGAAGGATCCTAAAAAGAGACCTTCGATGTCGTATGTGGTCGAGCGACTGGCCGAGTACCTCCAGTGAAAGTGACTCTTTTTTCATATCATAATCTCTAATTTGCATCCAAACCGAAAAAAAATAAATTCCCAATCTGTACATAGTGAACGACCTTTTTCAATTTAACCACATAAGCGCAACTTATTTACTCTACCACTTTCTTTTCTCTTCTCTTCTCTTCCTCTCATTCCACCCCAGCCCTTCAACACATTCCCCCACCCCCCGAACAACAAACCACCCCGGACACCCCTATCGCGTTCTTCTCGCTCCCGGAACTGGCAGCAGAGCTATGCTCCTACCTGATCACAGCCGACTTTTTGAATCTCATCTGACCAGTAAAGAAATGAACTCCATCCGTCAACAACTTTTCTGGAACACCCTCTTCCTACGCGACGACGAAAGGACAGAACACTATACGGAATCACAGGAGGGTATGGCATCCCTTGGCAGAAACATTGATTCGGTCCGCTCGCTCCAGACACGGGGAAACTTTTCTGACGTACTACACCGTCGGGCTGGTCTGGTATCTCAGGAACACAGCATCGTCGGGCAATGGGTCAGGGCAATCCACAAGACCGAATTAGGTTCCATGTGAGGCGATTGAAGAAACGGAACTTGCGGCGGCCGTTACCGTCGTTCACCAATCTGCGATATTTCAGGGCGTCGATGAGACTGATGGTGAGGCGCGCTCACGCTGTACAACAGGTCGCACTCCAGGTTGCCGATACCCTCTTTCGCAGCTCCCCTCAGTCGATCGTTTCCCTCAAGCTACCGCAGGATGTCAGCGAATACGGAGAGGTAGAGATGGCAATGGGTCAGGACGCCAAGGATTTCGACGACGGGCCATTGGTTCTCAGTACGGAGCCCTTAACCAACCTGCGCTATCTACGGCTGCCCGATAAGTACCGCGGGTACCACGCCGACCAGATCTGCCCCTTCTTGGAACAGTCTCCACGATTGGAGTCCTGATACGTGCTTTGCATTACAGAATCGGCAGGCATAGAGGCGATCGCGAGGACCGTCCGTGCTCATTGCAAAGAGATCAAGGAACTTTACAATGAAATGCCCTATTCCAACTACAAGGGCGAGTTTGTAATGTCCGTCATAGAAGCGATGAAGCCCTAGTAGCTGGAGAGGTTTTCGTTTACGGGATACCACGACGTATTTCCAACTCGGATGGCAGCATCGATTCAGAGACATAGTCAGGTCTTGCAGCAAATCCGATTACAGAGTTGCCACCGTCTGACGAGCTCCACCATCCATCCCATCCTGAGTTCGTGCCGGGGGCTTCAACATCTGGAGATTATTGGAGGGTACCCATCCCGGATTGCGATCGCCTTGAAGGATGCTGGGTCAGCCAAGGACTAGGTATGCAAGGATCTTCGGCATCTTATGATTTACGTACATGTCCCTTCTGCTTATTCAGATTCGGACCCGCCACAGTGGGCGATGTTGAGAGGCTCTGCCTACATATCGGATCGCTACAGCAGTTGAAATTTTTGGATCTCAGGGGAGCTGCTGTTGTCGTTGACACAACATACAACAACCCGCCACAGGAGATCAGCTACTCCAAGCTGACGTTTCCTGGACTGCTAAGACTTGGAGATGCAAGCACTGGAGAGCCTAGGTATGTGTCGCTTCTGAAGGATTTGAAGCAATTGAAGACCTTCCAGGGGTCGGTCTGGTTAAACTATGTGCGGGTACAGGAGAGGATAGTCCAGGCAGAAGTAGAATGGATGTACGTGAATTGGCCCTCGTTGCTGTTAGCCGGGTTCTTGGACTACGCCAATCAGTCAGCGCTGGAAGAGCGGGCGTACTTGAGGTGGCTGAAGGAGCGGATACCCCGGTTGCAGTTCACCAAGATGGTTACACCCTCGACCTGGTCTATTTGACCTCTCGCTCGGCGTTGCTGACCACTTTTCGTAGTTTGTTTTTCTATGGAATAAAATTAATAACACATCGGCCCTGTTTTTCATATCGCTAAATTTTTCCCACAGGAAGAGAACACTTGAGAGCATTGGTCATGGAAGAGAGTCAGGGTAAGAGACCCTGTTACCCCTTCAACTCAATGCTCGCGCACGCTGTGACGAAAGAAAAAAACGAGATCATCTTGTTTTGTTATCGTTCTTGTTATTACTCTTTTGTCCACGCCCAATTGCTCTCTTTCACTTCTTTCATTTCTTTTCGTTCCTTTTTTCTCTATCTCTTTTTTCGTTCACCACCACCACCACTCTTCCTCCTCCTCTTCTTCTTCTCCTTATTCATCTTCTCCTTAGTTCTCATATCTCAACACGCAGACCCCCCCCTGTCCCCTCCCTCCCTAACCTCCCTCCCCGACCTCACATCCCCCTCCACAATAAAATGAGCCTCAATTCAATCCGCAATGGCCTCCACGTCGTTATCCCAGTGGCAGCCGTTGAGCCACAAGTCTCCTTCTCCGAACATTCCGAACCGGCCTCTGACGACGCCTCAACCCATGGGTCCCGCTCCCCTGATAGCGGTGAGGTCGCCAATACTCCTCAATCTGCCGAGGCCGGTGGGTCTCACCCTGGCCCCCCTGGGTCGGATAATGGGACCGGGGCCGAGCAGACGAATATGGGCCTTGACTGAGGTCGCCCCTCACTGGCCATTACTATAGATGAGCAATTGGGGGCTCCAATTGCTCCCGGCTTCGGCTCTCGTGCGTGTTGCGCTGCTGTTGTCTCCAGGTCCGCTCACGCGCGCGTCAAGAGAGGCGACCAATGCCGGCGCGGCAACCAAGTTGATTAGTCGAGAATCGGCGTTTTGACCTCCCTACACCCCCTCTCGCTGCCAAGTTGTGGCCCGCGCGTGTATGTGGTTCTCCTACTCCTATCCGCTGTTGGGGAGGTCGAGGCTGTCCGAGTGAGTCTGCGTGCGAGCATACGGGTGTCCGTGCAAGTGGATCCTTCCTCCTGGATTCCCTCCTTCCTCGGCCCACCGGGAGTGAGTAGCTACCAGTTAGTTTGTCTTTTGGTTCGCGTGGACAAGAGGACGCGGGAGACGACTACCCTCTCCTTACATTACCGACAAGGACACGATGACTCCATCTCCTCTGCATTCAGGTCAAAAGTTGATTACCTGTTGCCAGCCGTGACACCCTACCGGTGATGTGGGAACTCGATCTCACCCATTCCATTTCGACACCACTCCTTCCTCTTTCCAGTTTCTGGAAATGGATGTTGAGGACGGCCGGGATCAAAGCAAGGGTCCCTTTCCCTTGTTTGCGTGCGTGTGTGAGTTGAACACCCCAACCACGCACCCGATAACCTTGTTTTTTTTTCCTTCCCTTACCCTGTCCGAAAAGAGAGCGCACATACAAAAAAAAAAAAAAACGCATGTTATTCCACACTCATTGCACCATTCCTCATTTTTCAATTGCTCCCGTCCTTTCCTCCCATCATTCAGGGAAAGAGTGACAAGACCATGCACATACATAGTCAACCGATTCTTTTTCTTCTCGATTGTTTCTGTTTAGCAACCACACTTTGTTTTGACGAAAGGTGGGGGCAAGCATACGTCTCCCTCCCTCTCTGACCCTCTCTTCCATTTTACACTTCCTTCATCGGAGGATGAAAAAAATAAAAAAAAAATTGTCCAAACGATGCTCACTTGTCCTTGTGCTCTGCCTAACTGTCTGTGTATGTGTTTCTTTTTACGCCCACATTTTGCTGCTAGTGTCACTGTTGCCTCTGCTGCTGCTGCTGCTGCTGGACATATGACAAACCAACTCAAGAGTGGAAAAAAAAGCACGGTTCTCTTCCTATTTTCCTGTGCGTGTCAACAAACGTCGTCATTTTTCCAGGGGAGAGAAAGGGAGAAGGGGGGAAGAGTGATGGACTCCATTGCAGGAGCTAGGTGTTTAAGCATTGTACTGTACATCCAAAGAACGGCCCGACTTTTTTTACGATCTCCTCTTTGTCAAGCACTTTGAGCAGAAAGTGTTGACTGAACACTACAGCCGTCATTTTTTTTGAACCTCTGCATTTTTGCATTTGAATGAGCCTCATTCTTGGTGTCCATCATCATGTAGCCCCCAAAAAATAATGAGGTATCAGCACCATGCTTAAAGGACATAAGCATTGCGCTTACTATCGAGATTTTTTTTTTTTTTTTTTTTTTTTCGTTCTCGAAAGTGTGCTCGTTGAATGATTTTGATCGCGCAAGGATGGACTCATAGAAACCTTTTCGGTTCCAGGAAAGTTTTCGGGTACCTGAATTGATAACTTGTGAATGATTCGTTGGTTTGGGTGATCAGTAGTTGCCACATCAACCGAATTCCTGGTAAACCACCTGCCAAACGATCAAGAAGACTAGTTTAGACCAGCAAATCCTCTTTATTCATGGATGTGCAAAAGTGACGACTTTTTGTTTTTGTTTTTGTTTTTTCCTAATTTCTAAGCTGTGCACTGTGACAGACGGTCAACTCTACAACAACGTGGCAGCCCTACTAAACAGTCCATGTCAGGAGGTTCGAATCCAAAAGGTGATCCAGTTGCATGTTAACACTTTGGCCATTTGCGCGTTTGATTGGTCATCCAAACGAAAACAAAGCTTCTTGACAGGCTGATTGCAATAGAAAAAGAAATCATTGGGAAATAGACATGGAAGCGCGGCTGAAAGAACAAAACAAAACACATTGCAAAAACAATAAAAAAAAAAGAGCGATGGAGGGCTAAATATTCTGCCAGGGAAGGCTGTTTGTTGTTGTTGTTGTAACAGGGCAATCATGGCGTTATATTTTGATCCAGTGCCTCTCTATGATACGATACCAGGCGTGGTGGATCAAAGATGATAAGACCATCTTGAATTTGAGAGGAAAGTAACTATGCATGCTTAGTAAACGCTTCCTTTGCTTCCTGGTATCTCCCAATAATGATACAAAATGGCCCTTGTCAATCCATGCACCAAACGCCCTTAATTGAGCCCTTCCCAATGGCGTGAGGTGTGAAGGCCTCAATAGCGTCCCACTGAGTACTTACTCAGTGCAAAGACAAAAGAACGCGAAAAGAGGCCGCGTTGTTTGCGTTATTGCGTCATTTTTTTGCTGGCAAGAGGAACTACGAAGTGAATGAGCATAAGGGACGTGTTGGCTGTCTGCATGGGAGGAAGAGGATGCATTTGGTGTTGTTGAATGTAGGAATGAGAAGCAAGAAAAGAAAAAGTAGGGGGATGTACCTTCTCAACAATACTCTTTTATGCGGTGGTGAAGGAAAGGGGTGAGAATGGATTGAATGGTAGTAAAGAGGCATGGTGTAAAGGGACAAAAAAAAGGGATTTACCTATTGCTAGCATGGTCCAAGTGACCTTTGCTGCACCAAAGGAGTATATCAAAAGGGGCTCGACCAGACAATGACCCAGAAAATTAACTGGGAGGGCTGAATTAGATCCTTCACAATCCCACACTCACTCTCGACATGTGAGACTAGTATGTACTGTACACGTCGGCACAACATCCTCTGACTCCGCGGTCTCAGAAAAAAACAGACCAAAATCGTCACTTATCGTCTGTACCATTATGGAAAGAGCTCTTTCGGAGGATTTGAGTTTCAGAGTGTTTGTGTATTGAACCAATACCAAGATGAGATTTTTTTCATACAGTCGATAACCAACAGTGCGGGTGGCATTGGTTTTGGTTCCGAGGTTGTGTATTTGCATGAAAACGCAGAGCTTCGTGTGTTCACAATGCGAGGAAAGGCCAATGGTGCTTGCGACACCATGAGACTCGTTACAGCCTGTTACAAAAAACAATGGTGAAAGGATAGGAGGATAGGTAGGTCCAATTGAAATGAGGGTTTTTTTTCGTCTTTCCTTTTGTTGCCTTTAGGGATCTTACATTTTGTTATTGCTTGTTATCTCCTTTGGACATGGCAACCTATTGCCGTGTGCGTGTGAACAAAAGAAAGTTGTAAGGGTTCCCCCTTGCCTTACATGTGTGCGAATGGTGTGAGAATGTGTGTTTGGAGGCCTTCATACATATCCTTCGCATTGATTAATGAACAAATTTATCACTTCGCGTTCTTAGTGGTTGCTTCTCATCAGCGTCTTCGCCTTTTTCACTCCTTTGCCATGAGTGTAGAAACGAGCGGGATGGGCTTGACTGTGCCATACATTGTTTTTGTCTCTTTTTTCCCTCTTTATTTTTTCATTGGCCAGTTTGTCTTTTTTTTCTCTTTCTCTCTTTTTTCTCTTCTTTTCTCATATTCAACACACGTACCCTCCCCTCCTACCATCCTACCATCCGTGCTACAGCGCACAGAAACAAATTTTCATCTCTTTTCCTCAACACAACACAACAAAGTTACGCCGCTCTCTCTCCACCGTTGAGCCCTCCCACACAAACAAACACAATCGGGCTGCACAATCGGACCGCACAATCGGACCGCACAATCGGGCCGCGGATAACGAAACCACTTAGAGACAACTCAATTCCCATTATAAAAAAAAATCTCAAAAAAAAAGGCGATGCTCTCATTCACTGTTCAGGCATTCGACAAAACTCATTCTGCCATGGCAAACATACAAACACAAACAACATGGGCATGGCCCAATACCTCCTACCATCCCGCATACATACACACAGCAATACAAACAATGCAGGACAATCAACCTTAATGCTTAATCCTTCTTGGACTTTTCACCCACCATATTCATATCGCTAAATACAACACTTTTGCGCTGCAACTCACACACCTTTCCCCCTCAACCTATAGTCCACCTGTCTGTCACAAGTTCTTTTCATCCCCCCCTCTTCCGCTTGCTTCGAACCAGTAACTTTTTTAAAGAGTTTTTTTTATTACTTCAAGAAAAGGAGGGTATCGCTTGGGATCAAAAATATATACACTATTTGGGTTATGCTGTTATGCCATCATGCCATCATGCCATCAATTGCTCTAAAGAGGTGAGAGCAGCAAAGAAAAAAAGAGATGGAGACTGAACTCACAGGAACAAACACAAAACAAACAAAAAGAGAAGGAGAAAGTCGAAAAGGATGAAATAACGTTTGGAAACGGTGCGAAAACAAAAGTGGGCAAACCCAGTTATCCATCTCTCCTGCCAAGCGTGCGCACAAAATCAATTTTGCTTTTTGTGCTCATGTATGTGTTTTCCTTTATCGTCGTGTTGTGTTTGTGGGTGTGAAATGCGTTGCGTATGCATGGCTTGGGCGTGCCCTCTTTGTTTTGCCCTTTACGCTCCCTGGCTGGGGTACCCATGGTGCGCAAGGTAATGGCGCTCGCGCGCCTCAATCCGCTTGAATGCCTCAGGGCACATCGCACACTGGTACGGCCGCACGTTGGAATGGATCCGATGGTGTCTCTTCATGTCGTACACCCGCGCGAATGCCATGCAGCAGTCCGGGCACGGGTAGGGCTTCTGACGGAGATGTGTGGTCTGGTGCGACTGGAGGTTGCAAGCCCGGCTGAAGAGGCGGTTACATTCTTGGCACTGGTGTAACTTCCCTGGTGGTTTGGCGGTGTTTGGTTTGTTAACTTTGCTGGTCTTGAGGGGTTTTGGGTGCTTGGGGTGTTTAGGGACAGAGGAGGTCTTGGGAGCGGCAGTGGTAGAGGGCGCACGGCGTTTGGTGGGCTTCTTGCGGTAGGTCGATGCTTTTGTGGGGAAGGAAAAGGATGTGGACGGAGCCTCTGATTTCACATCCTCCTCGTCTTCCTCGTCCTCGTTCTCGGAGGAGGAGGAGGAGGATGGCGTTGAGGAGAACGTGCTCTGACTGGTAACGGAATCGTCAACATCAGTAAAAGGGGACGTCATTGGTAGTGGCAGAGGAGGGGGAAATGAAGGGTCGCTCTGAAAGTGAGGGGGCACACCGGTTGACAACTCTTGGTGCCGATGAGGATGAAAGTGGTGGGTGTTGTGTGATGTGTGAGGGTGGTAGTGTTGCAGCAGCTGTTGTTGTGGTCGGAGTTGGTTTTGTGAAGTGGCATCGGGGGAGTTGTTGAAGTGTGCTGTGGCCACGGCCTCGTGAGTTTGAGGCGCCCACATGGGTGGTGGCTGTTGCTGGCCGAGGGTAAAGAACCCTGGGTCTTGAAATGACTGCAGCGTCGCGGCGGGAAAAGGGGTTTCAAAGGTACCATAATAGGTGTTCTGCGTCGTATCACCCATCATTGCAATTGGTGTCGCTGGTGGCGTTGTTGGTACTGCGGCAACAGACGAGGTGGCAATAGCGGTATACATGGGAGTCTCGAAGCTCCTGGGTCCTAAGGCGGCGTGAATATGAACGGGGTTCATCATCTGCTGCTGCTGTTGCTGCGTGTTCGAGTTTGATGGAAAGACCAGAGCTCTTGCAAAGGAGAGCGCGGCAAGGTCGTCCACGATGGGGATATTCATGTAATGCGACAGAGACTCGTTTGTGGGGTATTCTTCACCCGTTCCGGGAGAAGTAAGTATGTTGCAGTTGTTGTTGTTGTTGTATGAAAGAGGTGCTTGTTGAAGAGCGTTGTTGAAGTTGATGATTGTGGTGACGCTAATGCTGTTAGTGTTGTTATTGTTGTGGTAGAAGAGATTATTGTTGAGTGCTGGGTGTCCTCCCTTGTTGTTGTCAAAAGAGGAAAGGTCTACAATGGCGTTGTCGTCTTCGTTGATGGAACGGTAGTTGCGTGAACCAGGTTTGTTCATAATAACGGACAACGAAGCAAAGGAATGAACGAAAAGCAGAACAAAGAGGCAAAGGGCGAAGGAGAAAAAAGAGAGGGTAAAGGTTCAAGAAGGAGGGGGTGGTGGCTGAGTGTGTGTGTGTGTGTGCTGTGCTTCTGTTCTAATGTGCGCTTCTTTTTTCGATACACAGGGAGAGGGGAGGGTGGATGAGGAATATAATTGGAAAGAGAAAAAGAGGGGGAAGTGAAGAGTGAATTTAGAGAAGAGAAGAAGAAGAAGAGTGAAAAAAGAGCAAGAGGGTCAGTAGAAATAAGAATTGCGGAGAAATGGACAGAGAAAGGCAATGGGTTGTTGTTGTTGCGATATGTGTGTGTATAAACAATCGTTACGCAGTAAGAAAACGGCGAAGACTTAGTTGTTCAGTAAAGGAGGGGAGAGAGAGAATAATCCCCCAAAAATTGACAGATGGTGGGAGAAGGAAGAAGGACAGGGGACAAGTGGGAAACAGGAACAAGGATTGAGTGACTAAGCGTTGGTAGGGGTAAGGGAACAACACAGCGTTGTGCACCCTTCCGCGGCAGCATGCGAATAAATACTCAGTATGGCCAAGCAAATCACACTCACATACACATACACATACACATACACATACACATCACAGTCAAGAGTAGGTAAGTGGCAGTGCTATTGCATTTTTTCTGCTTTTTTGATTTCGTTCTGTCCACAGTTTCTTCATCTCCTTGTTTTTCTTCGACTTTTTATACAGCGCTTCGCTTACATATGCTAGCTGTACGGTGAGGTAGAACGAATCACTAACTACCGGAAGGGCTGTGAAGAAATGAAAACAGAGCACGAAAAACATGCACAGCCTAAACGAGAACAAAGAAAAATAACAACCCCAAGTGGTGCGTGGTGGTGGCCCTATTCCTTCTTCAATATGTTGTGTTCACAAGGATACAAAAACGCTTTCTTAGTGGTTCCAACCCTTTCTTCGTATCTCTACTTACGACCACAGATTCGAAAAGCGAGAGAGGTGGAGAATCCACGACGTGTACTTTTTGTGTTTTTGTGGTCTCCTTGCGGAATGAAAAAGGCACCGATCACTCAGTTCACTTTTTTACCTATATTTCTTTAGTTCGTTCACTGTGTCGGATACCTCCCTTTGACAAAGCAAAAGAAGAAGAAATAAGAGTTAACGCTTAGAAGAAATGAGAGGAGTAGGTACATACAAAAAAGTAAGGAAATATCATGAACAACTTTGATGGATAGTGTGTGGGTCGCAGTGCTTTTCAATCGGAACTCAGTATCCGGTGTGTGGTGTTGTTGTTTTTCTTTCTCTACGTTCTTTTTCCCGCCTCTCTCCGTCCTTCGTTAACAATGTTTTCGAGATGGCTCATCGACGTAAAAACAACAACAACAGAAAAAACACACGCACGCATGCAGGCACACACAAACGCCTAACCACAGGAAAAAAACAAAGTTAAAATCAAATCATTCGCCGAACACACACAGAAAAAAAGAGTTCGTGACTCGGCGCACAGAAAGATACAGAGAAAAGAAGGGGGCTATCGGACAATGGAATCTCTCTAGTCGCCATCTCTCTTTGCCAACAAAAAAAAGCTGTTGGAAGAAACACCAACGACAAATCGTTTTGGCTATGGGAGATGTTAATAATTACACAGCATTTTTGTACAATTAATTGCTCGAAGTATAACGATAACAACTCTTTGTAAAGTACAGACAAGAAAAACGATGGGCTGATAGAATGGAAAGGGGGATGGGTGACTCGTGGCTGTACCTCCCTTTTCTCACAGTCGAATGCAATAACATAATGGTGCGACCACTGTTTTATCACACAAAGCATCTTTGCTATTTCTGTGTATGTATCTCTCTCTCTCTGTCTCATCTTATGGGCGCCTCCTATTCCTTGTCTTTCGTCTCCTTTTGTTCTCGCGTGCTTGACCTCAATAAAGTTTTTTCGATTCTGCTTTTTTTTTTTTTGCTAAACCTTAGCAATAACCGTACGGCGGACTAAATGAGACGGCCATCACCACCTCCCACCTGCGTTGTAAAACAAGTATAGTAGAGAGACAAAACGAGAGAGCGGAGTAAAGAAGGAGCAACAAACGACTCCTCATCTTTCACTCGGTTCAATTGCCACAGCCACTGTTTTTTTCATTTTCCTTCTCCTTCCGAATCAATTGGGAACAGTTATACCCTTTGGGACGAAACGAGCCGGCTAGCGATCAGGGGTCGGGGGTTAGGGGGCTAGACAATCAACCATAGTCGTGGTTCCTGCCACATTATGTGTATGGTTCCAGGCTATTCAAGCACCTTTATAATTGCTGTTTTTTCCTCTTCCTTTGTTTCTTTGTTCTGACCAACTTGTTTCGTCCGCCCTTCTTCTTCACACAGACCCTGTCTTTTCCTTCTCCTTGCTTACTTCCGAACTCATTCGTTCCCATTCTTTTCCCTCTCGGTACTCTTTCCTCCCTATCAATTGACCCCGCGCCTTCCTCGTAAACAAAATAAGAGATGAAATGATTATTTTGTCCGTCGGTCTTTCCGTCTGTCCGCTCGTCCTACCCTTCCATTCTATCAGAAATGATTCACCAACTATCACAGACAATGCACACATGCACACACGCTCTCTTGCTCACACACTCACAGATGACCCTTTCCCTCCAGATAGACAGGGCCTTTCTATGGTCCACCACGCTTTTGAGCTATATCTTTTCGTTAGTTTTTGTTGCATTGCTCACTTGGCCCTTCTCTGTCGGCAAAAAAGCAGGTTATTTGTTATTGTCTCCATCCCATTTTGTTTTCTCCTCGGAGTCCGCTTTTATCCCTCCTTCACCGTCCTACCCTTGTATCCTCTCCTATCTCTCTTTTTATTCCATGAGGCTTTGTGGAGATAAATGCGATCTATATACACTTGTGTACCCGTCCCCTAAAAGGTAATTGAACCACTGCCACCATGTCATCGAACAACAAACAACCCGATTCTTCGTCCCCCCCCCTTCCATCCTCTAGTTTCTCCGTCTACTCTCCTGAGTCTCGTCTTTCATAGTCGCTTCACGCTTCACGCTTCTCTCCCAAAACACTCTTACCCAATGCACAGATACACCCACATTCCTGCTCATATTACTCCAGCGACGCCTCTTTTTTCCTACTTCCCAGCTACCTCTTCCCCTCTATTCCGTTTCATACTACCAGTCCTAACTCATCTATAGAGCAATAAATTAGTACAACAAACAACAAAAGGAATGTCTCAACAAACATGTAGCATGACGGGTGTCGGGCATGACTTTGGGAGGACTCCAGACAACTGCAACATGCCTTGTTTGATCGCTGTACTACCTTCTCGTCTTCCTTTTCGTCTTTCTTCCTTTTACTTATTCTCCACCGTACAAGCTGTTGTCGTTGTCCTCGTCCTCGTCCCATAGCAATTGAACGAGAGGGTCTAGACCTGACAATTTGTCCTCCCATTCTTTTCTCCTGAAAGGAAGAAGAAAGCGACTTTACTGCTCAAAGAAGGGTCGATGAAATCGAAGATATGCATGTAATTATTATTTTTTCACTAGGGCCTTCTTGTACATCCTTTTCCCGATGGTACATTTCTTCCCATTCAACACACTCAAGCCAGTCTCCTTTTTTTTTTCTTCTGCTCTGCATGCATTCAAACTGGAAAAATAATTGCTTATTGAGGAAAAGGTTTTGAATCGCGTCAAAGACACGAACAAGCAAAAAGTAAAGAGAGGAGATAGTACACGTATAGGCGCGATGAACGATCGGCGAGCACCAAACATCAACGACAACACTGACAACACATATGCACCTCCAACACACTTACAACACACATACGATCTGTCCTCTTTATCCTCTTCCTCTCCTCCCCTCTTCCCTTCGTCCCTTCGTACCTCCCTTTTGTCTTTCCCTTCGTCGTTCTCCTTGATCATTCCAGTTGTGATACCGCGTACACAAACAAAAAATCAGAGCTATCCTTTTTCTTTCCTTGACACATGCATTTCTTTGCGTCCCTCACTCACTCACTCACTCACTTGCGCACTCGCTTCTTTCTGTGTCTCTTTGTCGCCAAGCGCACGTATTGTCGTCTTTCGCGCACCCCTGTACCCACCATTGCATTGTTGTTTCGAATAAATGTGTGATTCTCGTTGTCTTCACTTCTTTCTTCTTCTTTTTTCCCGGTTTTCCATCTGTCGCAATCATCCATTTGACACTCCCCCTATTCCCACACCACCGCAACCTCTTTCTTTCCAATAATCATTCACACGAAACAAAAATAATAGACCAAAACGAACATGCCTCGTAACTTCCGAACCGTTTCAAACTTCATCCCAATCCAAGCTGGCGGCGGTGACGGCAATGCGTTCCTGCCTCCGACTATTTGTTACATCGAGAACCCCCTCTCGGATGACATCCAGAAGACTGAAGGCGCGGCGAACCTGAACATGGACGATGCCGTCAATGATGCCACTAATGGTGGCGTGGATGCAGCCGCTGATGCCGTCGGTGAAGCCGTTCATGATGTTGGCCTGTCTTCGTCGTCCTCCCCTTTGTCGACCTCACCGACTGTTGATCACGTCGAGACAACAGAAACCAACGCGGATGATGGTGGCGCGGATGTTGAGATAGAAGAAGAAGAGATGGAGGAGGACGGAGGAGAGGAGTAAGAGGGGGTCTATGATCCTTTTGGGTTGATTGTGATCGGGCTAGTGCCTCCTCACACCACCCGAACAACGCAGGGCAAGTGGGAGGAGAGAATGTCGTCTCGAGGGGTGACGTTTTTCTCATCGATTCCCACTCCCAACCTTACCCCCTCGACTCTAGGAGACTGGATGCTTTGTTCTTGAGGGACAGCAACGCACCGTCATTCTCCCCACCACCATCACCACCCCTCTGCCTGTGTCCGTCGCATCGTCCATGGCCCGAGTGTCCGTCTGAGCGCGCGAGCGCGCGAGAGGGAGGAGGCCGATGTGCATCTCGTTATTGCTACCGTCGGAGATGAGTGAAAAACTCAATTCCTGATAATGACACGACAAATATGCTGACAAACAGAGAAAGACATGGCTGTAGCGGGAGAGAAAGGGCCATCCGGGAGGAAACAGAGCAAAGCGGAGGCTGGATTTTACCGCCCTTGGGATGTGTGCACACAGCTGCCCTGTGAGCTCTCCCCTTTTTTTCCCTTCAGAAGGAAAAAATCCCGTTTTCCGTGCATCCTCCTATCCTCGCATGCCATCGTCTGTTCCATGGTCCCGAAACATTGGGACAATCTCCACTCCATTCTCTCACACATTCAAACTTTTTCTAGCATCGATCGTTTATTTTTTCTTTTCCCTCTACCTCGTTTTCTTTTGCTTCCCGCTCATTTTTTTGTGTCCAAAGTGCGGAGTTCACCAAAATAGATGGAATTACACACACCATCAACCCTGCATCCTTTCTTACACCTTTTTTTTTTTTTTTTTTCCCTTTGCCTTGTTTTTTGTTTTACCTGATCACTGACCGCTATTAAATAAAATTGCCAATGGCCAAGCCCACAATACGCCCATTTGTTTGTTTGTTTTTTTCACAAAGAAACAACAAAAAATAAATAAACAGATGCGCAACGTCGTGAGCCTTTTTGAATGTGTGTCGATCTAGATCGGAGCATTGCCAACCGTCAAACTCACAGAGGAGAACAAAGCAGCTTGGCCATCAACTTGAAGTTGTATACTGCCAGTTGTTTTGATTAGTGGTTACTTTGTTGATGGTGTCATCCGTTGTTGATGGCGTTCAATATTGATGTCGTTGTTAGTTTTGCTTCCTAACCCTTTCTTCTATCATGCATCAGTTTTCTTTAGAGCCCCTTGGTGTTGTGTGCCTTCTCTTATTTTCTATCTTCTCGCGCAATTGGCTCACGCTTTAACCTTTGAGCAAAACGCAAAGCGCAAAGACTAGAAGAACAGGAATGTCATGAGATAACTTTCTTTATCTTTCCTTTATCCCCTTTCCTTTTCTCACTGCGTCTCTCTCCCTCTCTCCCGTCGCCTTTTTGCCTTGGTTGAGGTCTTTGCGCGGGTTCTCATGACCTGTCGCGTAACCTTTTTCCTTTTTTCTTTTTTCTTTTTTCCTTTTCGCCTTGCTGTCTTCGTGGCTTCCGCATTGTTTTTTTTTTGTTCCTCCTTTTAATCATTGAATAAAGATTGATAGACGCGCAAGTATTCCAAAAGCTACTGCGCAATGAGTTTATCCTTTCGTACTTTTTCCACCTTCGCCTCCTCGCTTTGGCAGGCCCCAGTGTCAACCAACATACATCGGCAAGCCTTCCAGCTCTTCAGTCCTTCCAAAAGAAGTAAATTGTCCACAGAAACCATGATCATGTCACGGGGTTTGTGTTGTATTACCCTAGACACATTGATGGGAAGATGGGCTTGGCAAACGAACAGATTGATGTGTCCTTTATTTTAATCATTCCTTCTTCCTTGTGCTGCCTCTTTGATTTTTTTTTCTCTCTACCTCTAAATGAAAATGCGCCGGGTGATGGAGGAGAGGAAGGTAAAGAGAAAGCTATTTGCTGTTTGTCAGCGCATATATGAGCGAGGACCTTTTACTCTTACCAGGAAGGGTCTTTGCTCATCCCAGAAAAAAAGGGGCTTAAACCGACCAAGGGTCGAAGATGATGTACCGTACATCAACAACCACAGTAATTTCGCACAGATTTACGAACGAGCGAGAATCAAGGGCGGATATAATGTGTACTGCGACAATTGTTGTCGTGATTGATATATGCAGCAAGGGTCGAAAAGAGAAGGTGGCATAAGGGGATGGTGCTGATTCAGAGGATAGATAAGTAGGCAGTGAGGGAGGGGCAAGCAGGCAGGCAGGCGTCTATGCAATGCGCGCAAGTTTTTAGCCACCATTGGATCCAATGCACATGAAAGATAGGGGCTAACAATAGACACAGACCAAAGAAAACAACCACTTTCGTTCAGGACATCATATTGGTCGATGGGTTATCCATTTCCACCATGTTTTTGTTACATGGGAGTACAAAGTCAAAAAATATTCGGTAGCATTTAACGCATGTTTGTCAGTTGATGCCTTCTTCCCCTTTGCGCTTCTCGCTTACTGTCGCATAACGAAAGAGTATTAGGTGGGTGGTTTCCTCCCTCCTCTCCCTCCTCCGCCCTCTTTGTCCCCTTTTCCTTCACCCTCTATCATATTATTTTTTTGCCCACCTCTCAAAAGTTGAACGATGTTAACAATAAACAACACGGAGCAGATCAACAAAGTGAGACCAATGGGGGATGACAAGAAAGAGGGGGAATGGGCGGGGACATGGTTGTACATGCGCGAGAACGTGAATCTACGAGCGCATTTGAATAGATTTCCCGTTGTCTTGTTCTTTGCTACTGTTCATGGTTTGATGGGAGGATGGGGTTGAGAAAGCCGAGGAAGAGAAATTGGTCGCCTGACCGTGAAGAAGGAGAGGAAGGGGTATGAGTGCCTTGAGGCTTAACTCTCCTCCTCCACCTTTCTCCAGTTCCATCAAAGGCGAAATGGCTTTTCATTCTTTCCCCTTCGTCTCTCCTTCTGCTAATTGGATGCACACGGTATCGTACCTGAAAAGAGAGAGGAATGAGGCTCAACTTTCTCCTACTGTGATCGATTTCCCCGCATTTGCCTTCTTTTTTCTATGTCTCGCAGTTGAGAGCTGTCAATGTGACTGTCATTTGCGGCCAAGATTCGTTAGGCGGAACAGTAAGAAGACCCAGGGGCAACTGAAACACCGTTGGATGCGATGCAAGGTATGCAGACAGAATTGGACATGCCCCATGGGATTGTATGCTCTCGTCGCCTTTGTTACAAGTGTTCAGCCCATGGTGGGGTTGCACATCGAAAGGATCAAGGAAGGAAGATAATATGAGCAAGCACATCTTACCCCGCATTTCATTCACAAAGTGGATCCACCCTTCTCCTTTCCTCTGAGAAAATATTTTCGATCCCATCCGTAATGCTCCCGTCTCTTCCGGTCTCCTTCCGGTCTCCCCGTCTTACCCGGAGCCCCACTTTCCCCCCCCTTCCGTTATGCCCATTTCATCCTATTCCTGCAAATCTCACTTCTCCCCACATCGTTCTACCCCCGTGTGCAATTAAATTGACCCACAATTGCATAATTGACGAATCCCAAAATCTTTTAAAAGACGACCCATCTCCCTCGTTTTTTTTGTTCTTCATTCGATACCTTCATACCCTCGTCCTTCACTCCACTCTTCCTCTCTCTCCAACACCCAACCAACACAAAAAATGGCTGCCAACAACAACGTTTTCCTTGACAAGCAGGAGTATGGAAAGGACAAGGTTCGTCTCCTTAAGGTCCACAAGGACACCAAGGTCCACCGTGTCGACGACCTCACCATCCGCTGCCTCCTCTCCGGCGCCGCCTTCGCCACCTCCTACACCGAGGCCTCCAACAAGCGTGTCGTCGCCACCGATTCCATCAAGAACACCTGCTACGTCCTCGCCAAATCCTCAAAGGTCGTCGACACTTTGGAGTTGTTCGCTGGTGAGCTCGCCAACCACTTCTTGAACACGTACGATTGGGTCGAGGGCGCTCACGTCACCATCATCCGCCACCGCTGGGCTCGCATGAACATCGACGGCAAGCCCCACAACCACTCCTTCTGGCGTGATGGCGAGGAGACCCGTCAGACGGACCTCTTTGTCAAGCGTGGACCCAACGGCCTCCGCACCGTCGTCGCCTTGAAGTCTGCCATCGCCGGCCTCCTCGTCCTCAAGACTACCGGCTCTTCCTTCGAAGATTTCGTCCGTGATGAATACACCACCCTCGCCGAGACCAAGGACCGCATCCTCTCGACCTGCGTCGACGCCACCTGGGAGTTCCACGTCCCCGCCGTCAAGACTGAGCACTTTGCCGCACACCTCGCCCAGATCCCCTTCAACAACATCTACGATTCCGTTCGTGATGTCACCTGCAAGACCTTTGCCGAGGACGAGTCTGCTTCCGTCCAGGCTACCCTTTACAAGATGGCCACTCAGTCGATCCAGAACTGGAAGTGGTTGGATCGTGTCTCGTATGCGCTCCCCAACAAGCACTTCTTTGCTGTCGACTTGAGCTACTTCCGTGGAACCAAGAACTTGCAGGAGCATGCCGATGTTTACCAGCCCGTTGCTGATCCTTCCGGTCTTATCTCTGCTACCGTTGCCCGTGCCCCCGGTTCCCACGCCCGCCTTTAAAGTGTGTTCATTCATGGCTTGACGCTATGTACTATCGCACTGCATTCCCACTCACATACAACAACTACAACATACAGTTAGCACTATGGTTGGAGATTGTAGATCTCATGCTGGTTCTTCATGGTCTACCTCCAACGTCCCCTGCATATATTACCCACAATAAACCTTTTGTAAATATCCGAAACCAAGTCTGTGCTGTGTCAATTTTGTGTTGTTAAAGAGAGTTGGTCATTTGTGCAACCATAACAAGCGAAAAACATGAACAAGAAAATAACACCAAAAGTGGAACAATAGCACGATAGCAATCATTGTGGTGTGTAAATGTGAGAAAAAAATGATGCGATTTACTCGAGTTTGCCATCCTTGGGCTCCTTCTCCTCTTCAACAACCTTCTTGCTAGCACCAACATTATGCGTGTGAGGGTTATTCGCCAACTCGGCAATCCCCTCCACATCAATAATACCCCTAACCTCAGGGTTCTCCAACGAATTAACAATCGCCCTCGCAAACGTCTCCATCTCCAACGGTGGGGTCGACAAAGCCTGCGCAAGCGGAATAGTACCTCTCACAGAGTCACCCAGAATGGCACTAGAAATCTGCAAAAGTCCTGCGAGGGGAAGGGTGACGGGTCTCTCGGGAGTAGAGAGGAAACCAGGGCGGAAAATGATGGGGCGGAATCCTGCTGGGTGGGTCAGGAGGGCGGTCTCAGCCTCGCGCTTGGTGGTGACGTATCTGTTGGGGACCATGGGGGGCGAGAATGCGGCTGATACGAATGCGAAGCTTTCGATTCCTTCCTTTGCCGCCTCATTCGCCACCGTGATGGCTGCCATTTCGCAATTCAACAAAGGAAGAAGAAAAAGAAAATCGGGGTTAATAACGACGCTCCTGGAAGCACACATACATCCATACATATCATGTCACCATTCAGAAAAAACGAGAAAATAAAATAAAGCACAGCGTAGATAACAATGCTCTAAGAACACACGTGTGTACAATAAAGTCCTGCCTTGCAACCAGTGTCCCCATGACATACCAGTGTCACGGTTGACCTTCTCATAAGTCAATCCAGCCTTGGGGGTCTTGCGAGTATCAAGAGGGTTCTGTCCACGGATAGCAGTCTGAAACGATTTGGACAACTCGTCAAAGTTTTGGCTGTGCAAAATCTCCTTGTAGTCGTCTTCCAGCAAGAGACCGACCGTGTGAACCACAGAGTCGGTTCCTGCGATTATGTCCTTGTATGTGCTTGGGTTCAAAGAGTCCCCTTGTGCCCAGTTGACCTGTTGGGGTTGTGGATTAGGGAAGATTGAGAGGTTAGGTGTGCCGTCGATGGGAGAGTGACTTTAATGAATGTGGAAAAAAATGAAGTAGGTAAGAAAAAGTACCTTGTGAGTCCATCCTTGAGGGGCAACAAAGTCCTTCTGGTTAGTTTCGGTCAACGTAGGCTTTCCTCGGCGACTATTAGGAAGGCGCATTGGAACCAGTAATAAAGGCGTTGATCAGAACGTCTATTTTTGATAGTCATATAAACAAGAGTTCCTTGAACGTGCTCCATGATGATGATCATCATCTTGGTACCTCAAGCTTGTGACATCCCATCCGCGAGCAACAGCAACCTTACACACTTGGAAACCTATATGAGGTGTGAAAGAAAGCAATAAGGGACCATTGTCAACAAAACGTCATGAAGACGAGACACAAACGCGAGAACGAGCGTCAAAGTAATTACCAACACCGCCTGTTCCTCCTACAACGAGGAGTTTTTTTGCAAGGGCCTGCAATGAGGGAGCTACCATGTTTGTTTTGTGAATGAATGTGTTGAATGTTGAATTGAAAGAAGAAATGAAAGAAGAGAGTTGTTCACATGGCGGAATCCGCGTTCCTTTTGTTCCCTCTTCCGCGAATCAACAAACACAGACCAGCGCGAAAAAGCGGCTACGTGACTGCCAATGAGCTGCAAATGAGAAAAATGAGAAGGGGGTGGCAAGGATTGGAAGGGAGGAGCAAAAGGAACAAGCGAAGCGCATATGTTGGAGGGGCTCGTTGACAGGAGTCTCCATCTTTGCGTCATAAAAGCGTACAAGTGAAGAAGCGATGGATCGCGGTAGTTGCAGAGGTGCACAGGGAACGACAATGTTCTTACAGAGTGCACGCCTGGTGGAAGAGGATTTGATGGCGTCTGATTGGTGGCGTTTCGAGCCTATGACCTCTTTTTTTCCTCGCAGAAAAGAGTTAGGCTGGCGTCTCTTCCTCGATATCTTTTACTTCTTTCCTCCTTCTCGTTGCACACTCTTTTCTCAACCACAACTGCTTACCCCTCCCTTTCATCGTCAACGGCCAAGAAAGCCCATCCTCATTCAACTCAACGAACTTCGACTCACCCAACACAGGAAGACGACACAAGGAGCGGCTATTACAAGCACACACACCAAACGTCGCTATTTTCTTTTTTTCTCACGCCCTTCTCACAGAACAACGATGAAGTTCTTGGAATATCCGGGCATGGACGCCATCAACAGCGCACTCAACTTTGAGACACCCGAGTGCAAGGTCTTTGGCCGCGTCGAGCCCTACTCCTGTACGTCCTTCTCTTCTTTCTCTTGCACACGGATACTACATGGCGACAAACGACAGCAACAACAAGGACAAGCCTGCTATGGCGGCTGGATGAGCAATCACCTTTATGCTCTGCGCCTACATTGCATCTTCAACTACCAGTGACTCCTTCTGTAGTTAATGATGACAGGTGTCGACAGGTCTGCATGCAGACGACGGCAACAACAACAACAACAACAACAACAACAAACAACAACAACAAACAACAACAACAGTATTCCAACACACACACCTCGTCCGCCTCTCCAGGACTTTTCCTGTGTCATCCGTCCGTATAACCTGTCGCCGATTCCAGTCTCCACCTACCGTGTTCATCCTCTCTCAGTCAGTCAAACAAGGAATCACTCCTACACTCCCACACAAACAAAAACCTTACCAAATTCCTCCCACGTTTTACGTTATCACAACCAATAGGCAAGGCCGCGGGAGCAGACAAGAAGCTATACAAACAACTCGAAAACAAATACGACCCAACCTCAAACACCAACATCCTCAGCCCACCAGAGGATGACTCTATTCGGAATATCATCTCGCCCTTTGGGCCTATGGATCAGCCTGCTTCTAGGAAGACGCTGTTTTATCTTATTGGAACTCTCAACGCCTCCTTTCCTGATTATGACTTCTCGTAAGTTCCTTTGCTATTTTGTTCATGGATGGAGAAGTAACTGCGGCTTGTGCGTTTTTCTATGTCCGTTGGAAGTTGGTATGAATGACATAATAAGACCAGTGAGGGTGAAAAAAGTGCGGAGATTGGATCTATCGGGTAACCATAACGAAGATCGAAAATGGATCTGGAGTAAATGATGTGGACCTCGTACAGGATCATTCCTCGTTTGTGCCCACACATGGAGTGCTTCCCTTCTAACTCGTACACCACCTAATATTTGTTAATGATGCCCTCTTTTCTACGAAACGAAATATCCAAAGGGACACGAAACCGGAACACTTTCGCAAGGAACCGTCGGTCGGGATAGTGGTCAACTCGATCAACGCAACACTGTTTAACCACGGAAACGAACGAGTCGTCAAGGACTTGCAGATCTGGGAGTCCATTGACCAACTGATTGGCCTCGAAGACTCGGACGTCTACTCCTTCAACCCCGACACCGACTCTGACCCCAACGACGAAGAAGGAGGCGGCACCCTGTAAGCCCCTCTCTTTTTTGTTACGTTTTTCGCCTTTTATGCTTGTGGCGAACTCGATATCTAACAAGAAGTTCCTTGCGTTATGTGAATCGATATAGGTGGTCGTTCAACTACTTTTTCTACAACAGGAAACAAAAGAGAATCATTTACTTCACTATGCGAGGGGTCAGCAACGGGGTACCCGTGGACGAGGACGGCGAAGAAGACGACGGAAACTTTTCCAACACGGACGATGATCAAGATGGTGTCGGCCACCGGCGGAAACGGTACGTTATTCTTCAGATTCTCCCTGTATCAGTTGACAAAAGCATCGTGTTGTCAGCGAGATTGTGTAACTAATGAAATTTTGGGTTGGGTTTGTTTACTTTTTGTGTTTTGTAGGAGTAACGTGGATGATGACTTTGTGGCAGGAGATATGGACATGTCCTAAGCATGATGGATTGCGCCACTCGACAAGGTTGCGGCCGATCTTCGACAGGATCCGATCTTGCACCTGGTCAACGACACGTCATCTTTTGAATTGCTTGCCAGGGCATACTTTTACACAAGGATATGCAAGCACACACGATGCAAACGCAGGCGAACCAACTTTTTTGCACGGCTCATAATTACCTCCGCATGTAGTACCAATAAATAACTCCTAAATATGTTTCCATGTTCATTATCTATTATAATATGCTTGTTCATATGCAATGCCGCGCGTGTGTATGTGTGTGGTCATGGAAAAATGTCTACATTGTCTATTGTTGTGAACGTGCTTTTCTAGAGAGGAGGGAGCTCTGGAACGGCGCCATAGACCTGCTTAAATGCGTCACCGTATTTGGCCAACCACGCAATCCGGGCCTGCTTCCTCCGTTCGATCCTCTCCTCCTCTGTTTCTTGATCATCCTCGTTCTCATCCTCCTCTTCCTCATACTCTTCCTCCTCCTCACCCTCACCCTCTTCTTCATCATCTTCTGCTTCTTCTTCGTCGTCCTCGTTGCCATTGTCGGTGACTGACTTGGACGAGAAGTCCTTGGAGGCAGTGATGCGACCGTGTAAGGAAGAGGGTTTGAGGTCCTGGATCTGGACTTGGAAGTCGAGGTGTTTCTTTTCGAGGGGGGAGAGGCGACTCGGGTGGCTGTCGAAGGGGTGGTGGATCCTTGTTCGTGAGCTGGCATTGTTGGGGCTCATTGTTGGTCCGGCGGGTGCTTGTGCCCAAATTGGTGCGGTAGTAGTGGTCATTGCGGGTACGAACTGATGTTGGTGGTGAGGATGGTGAGGGGTTAGGACAATGGGACGTGCAGAGACGGTGATGAGCGCCGCGGCTGCGATTCCGGGGTTGGTCCTCAGGGATGTTGACAGCCCTTGGACTGGATTCAATCTATTCACTGTCGCTGCTCCAGTGGCGGGAGACAACGACGACGAAGCAGAGGAGGAGGAAGAGGAGGCGCTTGATGATCCCGCTGTGGTATTGGGGTACAAGTTCTGGTTCTTGTACTTGAAGGGTTCCAAGACAATCGGATCCGACAGCAAGACTTGGGATCCGGTAGGAGAAGGAACGGGCGTCAACCCTTTCGCGAATGTCACCTTCTTCCTGTTGGTGTTCGTGCCCATCGCATTGTACGGATGTCCCTGCCCTTGTCCTTGACTAGATGTGGCCGACCTCGAGTGCTGACCTCCACCTCCCGAAGCAGTCAAGTTGCCGGTGTTCAATCCCGGAGGCCGAACCGAGGACCGTTTCTTGATACAGGACTTTAACGGCCGTGGCGCCGGCTGGGGAGCCTTCTTGCCCTCTGAACTGACGGCCGCCTGACCGACTGCCGAAAGGAGGGTGAGCGCAGAAAGAGTCGTCGCCGCTAGAGTGAACGCGGAGGATTGTTGGTGTTGAGGGGAGAGTAAGGGGAGGGTGGATTGGGATCCATTGGGTGAGATGTTGGAGCTGTTAGTTCCGGTGCGGGTACGGAGAAGTGGGGAAGAGAGGGATTTTGCGATTTTCGCGACCAGTCCGCTGGTAGTAGACTTGTTGCCCTCCGCTTCAGAATGGTGGTAGTAGTGGTGGTGGTGGTCGTCTTCTCGGGATGAGGACGAGTAGACAGAGGTATTCGTGGCCTGTAGAAGTGGCAAGAGTTTCGGCAGCTGTGATTCGGTATCCCTCGCAGAGCGCGGGAAACTGTTGCTGTTTTTGATCGAATCCGCGACCGGGGAGGAGGTCGCGATACTTTCGGCTCCCATACTGCTGCTACGAACCCCCGGTGTGACCGACATCGGTGTGGGACCATTACTACCACCAGTGGATTGTGGGGTGACGAGAGGTGATGGTATGGGCGGTGATACAGTCGATGGCGCGGGGGTTGGTAGAGCTGCAGATGTGAGGTCGAACAAGATCGGGAGCGCCGGCGAGACGACCGTAGTCGTTGTCATCGTCGTCGTCGTTGTCGAATTCGATCTGGAAGTAGAAATCGATGAGCTGGACGCAGGTCCGCCGGATCTAGATTTGGTATTGACGCACTCAATCACAATCTTGGGGACCCCCTCCGCACCAGCAGCAGATGTTGGTTTACTAATCGCCCTCTTCAGGTCCTTGCCCGACCCGGACTCAGCTGCGATCGTTGTACTGCTCGCAGTTTCAATGGACGACATCTGATTATATCGAGCAACAGCAAGTCCAACCTGCCGACTCGTACAAGCGGCAAACTCGGCCTTTGACAGTCGAGAACTCGCCAGGATGCCTTCTTCCTCCGTCTTTTGAGCCTCGGCGATGTCGTCCATGGAGGCTGTAGAGTCCTTCCTGGGTGTTGGACCTTGGAGTTGGCAGGCCCTGTCGACTTGTTCTTCTGCGGCAGTAGATGATTTGTCGATGGATGAAGAGGTGTCTTGTGAAGAACTGTCAAAGCTTTGGGACGTGCTCCTCAGGCTGGCGCTTGTAGCCCTGGAACTGGGACTGGACTCGGTAGTAGTAACTTCCTTGGCATCCTGGCGAATGATAGGTGAGGCTAGAATTTCCTCCGCGCTCTGGGACTCCTTCACACCCTCCTCTCTTCCTTCATCATCGCGCGTTTGACCGTGACTCCCACTCTCCGGATAATACGTGGCCGATGCTTCAATAGCCTCTCCCTTCACATCCTCCTTCGCCGCCTCGCCTTCCTTCACCACCTCAACCACCTTCGCAGCAGCTATCGAAGAAGATGCCACACTACCATGCCTCTTCACCAAAATCGGCACCGGCGGCATCGCAATCTGGACAGAGTTCGAAACGCATGAAATCGCACCCGAGATAGTCGAGATTCGGTTATGGTTATACTGCGACACAATCTCGATCGGAAGTTCCAGAAAGGCTCCCATACGGCCCTTGAAGAAGAACTTGATGACGAACATGTACTCGACTTTGAGGAGGTCCCTATCCTGGATCGTTAGCGCCGTTTCCTATTGGAAATATCATTAATAAATAGAAGAATGTCGTTAGTGCGAGGCTATTGTACATCATCACTGTTACAAACAAAAAGGCATTGGAAGAGTAGAAAAAAAGAGGAGACTTACGGGGATGCGCATGCCGAGTTTGTACATGGAGAGCGACTTTGTGGTCCGAGCATCCTCATAATCTTCATAATACCCCTTCAGGTGGTTATCGTTCGCATGGCTCTCCTCCGCCTGAGCCGGGACATATGCCTTTGCGATCTTGACCATATGTGTCTCCACCAGCTTCCTCTTCGACCCTGACCCTGCCCCTGACCCTGCCTCTGCCGCTGCGCCGGAATGCTGGTGGGTGTTGTTGTCAAAGACATGCGCCCGCCCAGCGATAGGCGAAACGACATCACAAGCACCATAATAATCCAACAACGAGAAAATCTGGATCGTCTCTACAAGGGAGACCTTAATATCCACAACCTTCATCATATCCGACTTGACCACAAACATGTCCATCGTCACATTCTCCCCGGCGGCGGCGACGGATTTGTCGATGTTGGCTCCAAACCCGACTTCGTCCAGCTCGTCGGTGCTGCCCTTGCGAGATCCCAATTTCGGACGCGACCCTCCGGTGCTGCCCTGTTGTTGGAGGTCGAGTTCCTGTTGGTACTGTTGTTGTTGTTGTTGTTTGACTTGGCGGGAGCGGTACTGGTCTTCGGCAGAGAGCATCTCGTCTGGGTCAAAGCGCGCCTTCTTCACAGACACTGACGCATCACCACTCAAACTCCCAGCCCCAGACGCACAAACCAAATCCACCATAGAACGGCTCGACAACGCGCCAATATCTGAATACGACCGCGTCATACCCGGCCCTGCCTGATGCGCCGACAAAGAAGTCGACCCACCAACACTCGACGCCGCCGACGAAGGCGGTGGGGCACTTAGCGAACCTCGTCTCTGATGTGACGACTGCCGCCGGTAATTATGTCCATGGTGCCCATGCCCGTGATGACTGGAGGAGGATGACGAGGAGGTAGCAGGTCCCAAACCCCAGAGACTGTACGGCTTCACGGCAGCGGTGCCTAGGACGGAGTTCGCTTTTGGGATGACGAACCTAACCCCCGCTTGACGCTTCACTCCTCCAGCTGCAGCTGCAGAGGAGACAGAAGAGGTTCCAGATGTGATGGATGAGGATGCAGACGCGGTGGTGGTGATCATAGCCTTGTTGTTGATGGAGGTGGACGGGTTGAGGTCATGCGGGGACGTGATCTTTGTAGCGGCACGGATCTGGACGAGTTCGAAAAGTGATAAGGGTAAAGGATGTTGCAGGACAAACATCTCCTTCCCACGACGGATATGCACATTCCTAAATGATGTCCACAAAAATAAGGGTTAATTAGCATTATGAAGTACAAGAGTATGTTATTTAAGCGAAAAAGTCCAAAAAAAAAAAGCTCCAGAGAAAAAAAGAGAAAACGAATAAAGAGGACTTACGCGGTAAGCTGGTAGCTGATAGAGGCATGCGCATTGCGATAAGTACCCCCAACACGTTCAGGAATCCGCATCTGGAAACTGATTCCTTGCTGCGTCCCCGGGGGGAGTCTCCCGGGTTGTGGCAGGTCAGTCTCTGCCAGGGATGAGGAAGAGTGCATTAGGGATGATGACCTGCGCGGGATAGGGCCGCAGGTCGATGAAGATCCCAACTGTGATGACGAAGTGGCCGTGTGTGAGGTTGAAGAGGATGCTGAGGTGGAAGAGGAAGAGAACGAAGAGGAGAAGGAGGAGGTGTCGAGGATGCATTTGAGTTCCTCGATCGGTAGGACTTGTGTCTTGTGGAGGAAACAGTGTCGGTCAGTCCTTGTCCTCGACAGTAGTCCTGCTCCCGTTGTCACCTCTACTCATCCACACATTATCCACAGGAAACGAAAAAACTACATTAGTTGCCATCCTATCATTGCTATTTCACCCAGTGTGGTAACACAAAATGCAAACAAAAGGAGAAATTTACCTTCAAGTCCAGTCAAATCAATCTCAATATGCTCAACCCACACAGCCCGATCCTGCTTCACCTTCTTCTTCTTCCCCCCTCCCTTCCCCTTCTTTCCCCCTCCTCCACTTCTGCTCTTACTCTTGACAGCAGCCTTGACTTCGTTCTCAAGTAGTTCCTTCGCAGTAATGACCAGCACCCCTCTCAACACCTCCCCTCCGGCCTTGATCGGTTCTGGAACCTTCCAGTCCAGTTTCACGGACGAGTGCTTCATGACCATTTTGCAGACCCTCGGGCCGAGGTATAGGTGTTGTTCTTCCTGATTAGGATGGAGGTGGATGTGATCGGTGCTGGTGGGTGGAAGGCCTTTGCGGCATAACTCCAAAGGATTCTGCTGATCCTGAGCAACTTGATCTTCCTGCTGCTGTTGTTGCTGTTGTTGGTATTCGGCGATGGTGGTGGTGGCATGAGCCAGGTACTGCTGCGAAGAAGACTTCGAAGAAGAAGAGGGCTGTTGTGTTTGTGGTGTCAAGGATCCTGTAACTACTCCGTCAATAGACAACGCCTTTCTACCCTCCTCCTTCTCGCGCCTTCTACTATCACTATCCCTCAATTCTCCCCCTGACACTGTGGAATCCATCTCTGAATATGAATGTGAATGTTCTGTCACAGATGAAGGAGAAACGGACGTCATGGAAGAACCCGATGATACTGATGCCGATGACGAGACAGAAGAGTCCACCGTCGAGGCGTCCGACCCTCCAACCGACCCGTCCTTGATAGAACCGGCAACAACAGCAGCGGAAGCAGGGGTTAGACTAGCACCACTGCTGCTGGCAGTCTCGGTTGATGCTGTAGAGGGCATGGACACAAATGCCCGCGAGGGCGCTGGGGTAGGCGACGTCGTAACAGTCAGCTGTGGATGATGAGTTCGGACTTTACAACACTTGGGTGTCGGATCGACCAATAGCCCAAACGACCCATTATTATCCACCGTACCAATACTCCGATTCAACCCTCCTCCTCCCGTCGGTCCTGACGCTTTCGCATCCTGCTGTTGTTGGCAAGGTGGAGGTGTAGTGGTGGATGCGGCGCCGACTTTGGAGTATGAGAAGCGGCGGTTCTTTTTCTGCCTCTCTGAGGATCCTGTACTCCCGGCACTAGGATTGTGCTGATGGTGGTGGACGTGATGGTGGTGTAGTCGATGGTGGTGGTGGTGTTGAGTGTGGCTGTGGGGTGTATGAGAATAATAGATGTGCTGTCGTGGTGGAGAATATGCATATCCTCCTGGCGATGTTGTGATAGTGGTCTGTGCTTGTTGTTTTTGTTTTAGTTGACACGCTTCTTGTGGTTGCGATTTTGGTGAATTTTCGACCTTCTTCGCATTCACAACTACTGGTGTAGGTACTGGTGGATGTTGTGGCACAGGGTGAGGGACACAAGTGCGCAGAGAGGCCGACCGCACAATCTGAGGGAACTCCACCCGATCGTCCGCACCTCCGCTTCTACTTCCTCTCGCCATCGTTGTCGTCGTAGACGTTGCCGTCTCCTTTGAAGACGTCGCAGGTTCAGAAACAACAGACCCAAGGACAGATTCCAATCCTGCGGCAGAGATTATGACAGTCGCCTGGATCTCATGTGTACTCCCTCCATCTTGATCTCCACCAGCGCTTCCTCTATTCGACCCAACGATGAGTGCTGCCTCTTTGCTGCTGATGCTGTTGTTGATGTTGTTGATGTGGGCGGTTGTCTTTGTTGTTGTGGGTGGTGGACGTTGGTGTGGTGTCGTTGGTAGGTGTGCGAGGTATGTTGGGTCGTTCATTTGGTATGCTTAAGGTCAAGTGAACCCGTGAGGAAGAGAAAGGGTGAGGGAGGGAGCGAAGGTATAGGTTGCTGAGATGAGAATGTATGGTGCACTAGGGTATTTGTTTGTAAATCCTTTGAGTTGTCGTTGTCAGTGTCGGTGACGGTATCGGTGTTGGTTACGAGTGTTGCCTCCTATTGATAAAGAAAACAAAAAAAGAAAGATGGTTATAAAAAGAAGGAACTAAGGCCCAAAAGAGAGAAGTCGAAGAGGATAGTTGATACGGCAAACTTAAAGAAATGTACCACCCCCTCCTTCTCCTTCCTTATCCATTGCTATCATCATTGTCGTCACATAGAACAACGGGGAATGCTCTGTTGACAACACACTGGCCTCTTCACTTTTGTTCCCTGTTGTCGTCCTCCTCTCTTAACTCTGCCTTGGTTGCTTGGTTGGCGGTGGTGGCAAGCAAGTAAGGTTACTGTTAAGAAAACACATACAGAAAGCAGGAACATGCACCTCTCATGCAAAGAGTAGAAAGTGCCCATTTGGTGGGGTGGGTTTGCTCCATTCGTTGAAGCCAACAAGGGGGATGAAGGAGTGAGGCCGGAAATATAACTGAGCTGTGCGTAGTGCGTCCGTCTGTGTGTATATGTCTTCAGTGTAGTACAACACATAAATCATGAACAAGTGTATTGTCTCCTGGGAAAAATAATAGCATGCATACCGCAGGAACATTTACCTTTGGCTGAAGGAAGGGAAGGAGAATGAAGGAAAGGAAAAGAAAAAGGGGAAGATACGTTTTGCCTGGTGTTGCAAGTATATGTGGCTGTTGTGCAAACAAACACAATAGAAACCGTTATGTTGAGAGAGGGTGACGGTGAGAGAGAGAGGAGGGGAAAAGAGAGTTACAAGGGAAGGTAATTTAAAGTGGGAATGATGGATGTAAGGTATGGTAATGGAAAGAGGGAGAGGGTAAGAGGGACAGAGAGGAAAGAGAAAACAAGGGCGAACAAAAATGATCGTTAGTGTGAGCACAGTAGGAGCAACAACTAAATGTAGGAGGATGAAGAGACCAAGCTAAGGAATTGCAGTGGGTGCATGTGTTGTCAAGGAGAATAAACAAAGGAAAAATAAGAGCAAGAGAGGGAGGGAGTGTATGAGGGAGGGAGTAAGGGAGAGGAAAAAGAGAAATCAAAACAGCAGCGACTGGGATAACATCCAGCTTGGCCAGGATAGAGGTCAGTTAGATATTGTCATTACACAAGTTCTTTCCTATCGACAGATAGTTACAGATTCCAGTTCGACAGACGTAGCTGCTGCCTGTCAGTAGAGAAAGGTCGTTGCATTCATCATACACGCACTGGACTACAATGTCCCTCTCTTCATTTTGTTTGTTCGTGTCCATGGTCAAGGCCAAAGTGGAATGTAACTCCCTTTGTTGTTGATGCTGTCGTCACTTGGAGACCCCTTTTAATCTTCTTCTTCCACCCCTCATATCACTCTTTTTGTTCCTGAACACCTTCTCTTTGATAAATTGATTTTTTCTTTCCGCTGATCATCACAACGCGTCCGGATTGAAGGTGTCTTTGCCATCAATTTTAAAAACGCGTACCACGCATAACAATATGCCCTTCTCCTCACCTTTACTGATCTTCCTCATCAGGAGGAGGAGGAGGAGGTCCTTGTTGCTGAGGATGATTAGGAGGAGCGACCACATCCTGAACACCGAGATGGACAAACATCAACTCAGCTGGGACCTGGACTGGGGCAGGAGCAAGGAGAGGTTCGACTGGAAGAGGTGGCGGTATATGATTAATGATAAGCACGGCTGGCATCGCGTAGGACATGATCGAGGGGACGAGCGCTTCTTGGGATGGTGGGCGGACTGCCGTGTTCGGCTGTCGGTAAGCGGTCATCTTCTGCGTGGGTGAACTTTGAAGTGCGAAATAATTTGAAGAAGTGAGAACAAAGAATGGTGATGTTAGATGGTGGATGAATGCAAGGTGCGAGGATTGTCTTCCTCCTTTATAGATGCCATCCTTCGTTTCGCGTCAAAACGGCTGTGCAAGCAACTTCCGAAGGTGGCAAGCTTAACGATCGAAAAAGCAGCTCCATCGTTAAGTTTTTCTCTCATCTTAGGGCGAAGATCGCTAGAAACCTCGAACTTTCGACTCTTTGAACTACAATGAGCCCCTTGATACATTAGACATCAAGTAATAATACTCACATTGACCAATTTCGAAGTGGCAGTGATGAAGCACTGCCCGCACGTGACCCTGCCATATCCTTTTTCAACTTTGTGCTCGGTCTCAAAAGGGACAGGTAACACACAGCAAAAAAAAGAAGAATACAGAGGAACGGTTGTTGAGTCCAGAAAAAGAATAAAAGAATCGTAACAAAGAGGGAAAATTCGAAAACAAAAATAAAACAACACCTCCGAGCATCATCATATCTCTTCCTTCCATCTACCCTTCCCTTCGCCCCCTCCAACTGTACAATTACGACACCAAATGAGTATCTGCCATTGTCTGCCTGCCCAGAAGCCGAAGCGACCGCCGTCGTTGTGGAGGAAGAGAAGGGGGGTTGCCGGCGCTGTTGACGCTTCTTGTTCTCCGGAGGTTGCTGAGGCTGTGCTGTGTGACTGTCGTGATCCACTTTGCTGACGTTGATGTTGTCGATGCTGCCAAAAGACATGTACACTTTGGTAGACCACAGGAGGTGCATGAAGGAGGGGGATTGTTCCTGCGACTGGATCGACGATGCCATGCAGGAGCAACTAGCACAGCTGGATTTGTGATTGAAGAGTCGACTGCAACCCTTACTCCCTCTGCTGATGAAGAAGAGGGGAAAGAGGCAGGGTGTGGTTGTTGGGGAAAGGTGGGAGGAGAGAAGTTCTGTATATGTTGATATTGTTGGTGGTGATGGTAATGGCCGTTTTCCTGCTCCTCAGCGATGGGCTCCGGAATAACAATGCCAGCAATGTCATCCGCAACTTCCAAGAGAGGGTCGAGTTCAGGAAGATCAACAACCATCAATGTGGCCGCACCTGGTGGTGGCGGAGAGGGTGGTGGAGGGAAAGGTCCTATGGGTATCATCGCAAGGCCAACAGCAATGGCAAGGGCAACGGCAGGTGCAGGGTCGAAGGGTAGTCCATACTCGGTGACTTCAACATTGACTTCGGGAACGCTATCGCTGTCAGGTACGTTCGAGCGCGGTCGTCGTGCTGGTACTTTTATAAACATGGTGGGTGAAGTGGTACAGCTACAGCTGTGGAGGTGCAATAAACGGGAGGGAGGATGACAAGGAGGAGAGGGGTGCTGCTGTATTACTGTGAAATTAAGGGCTGTCGGCGTGTCTGGGTGAGCGATGTGAGGTTAGATAATAGAGAGCAAGAGAAGGTTGAGAGTTAGGAATGAGAGTAAGTGTAAAAGAGATTGAGCAGGAAGTAGGGGTGAAGAGAGACACAAAGGGCTAAAAGTACTAGAAAAAGAAAAGAAACAACAAGAGATTCCTAGCTTGTTTTATACTTTTTTTATTTTCCGTTGGCGGACATGCTTTGCCAGGGATCCATTTAGGTATGCACATTTGTTTCTTTTTGTTGCTTAGTTGAAAAGAAAAAAAAAGTTAAAGAAAAGTGAGAACACGCTCAATCAAATCCTCTCACTTTATATTCCATTGAATCGTATTTCCAATCGTATTCAACACTTTACAACGGGAAGGAAGACGAGGAAAAGGTTGGGGATTAAAGCATGCATTGCGGACGACTATAGAAAAAAAGAAGGAAAAATGCAATGCTGCAAGAAAACAGGATTCAATTGATTCACGTCTTTCTTAATTTACTCGATTCAATTCAATCCGCCGTATTATAAACCTCATTTCTATGGCACGGTCATGCTTGAACAAATCTTGTCCCACTTCCCCTTGATCGCCCGTTGCCGCCCTTTTCTCCATTTCCTTTCCTTGCTTTCACCCTGTGGTCTGTAGACATCTTAATCATCAACATGCTTGCTGACTTGATATAGCCTGCATAACCCCACATATGAAGTACGATACGTCTCTTTCTCCCGCTCTGTCACTTTTGCCTCAACTCACTTTCCCTCCTCTATGCAAATAATACCCCTTCTTTTTTTTTTCTTTCAACAACAACAACAACAACAGCAGCAACAACCTTGAAATTGAATGGCCATTGAGTTCCCCTTATACTTTTATTAGAACAACAGCGACAACGAGTCCCCCTCACTCTTACCCCATCCATCTATCCACTACCACCACCATTTTCCCCCTGACCCTCATAGACAATCGAAAACTCCTTCTTTTTTCCCCTTGTCTTTTTCCAGAAGGCGGAAAATGGGCTCCCATTAATTTTCTCCCCTTACTAGAGAAGAACACCTTCGTAGAAGCAAACTATTTTGGAGTATCGACTTTGTTTTGTGAAGAATGAGGGTATTGCGCCATGAGACCATTGGAAGGAAGTGGAGAGTGTGCGCTGGAAAAAAAAATGAAGTTGAGATGAGGCAATGTAGGACCAAGCAGTGTTAGGCAACCGAAAAAGCGAGCGGGATAAAGAGTGGATGGACCCGTAGAATAGGTACGAACATGGTGATACAAAACAAGAACACGGACAATGATCTTGGTCCTAAGCAAAGCAAAGCGCAGTGCGGTAATTGTACGACGAGTAAACAAAACGGATAGAAAAATGACCATAGAAGGAGATAGAGATGGGGTAGAGATAGAAAAAAAAGCCAAGAATGGGAGACGGAGGGCAAAAGAGAGCACAATGACGCTAAGACGATCGACTTCTTTGTATTTCAAAGAGTGGAAGAGGGTAAAAGTGAGGCTATGAGGAAAGTCTAGTCGTTTCGTAGGTAAGCAGGTCATGTCTCCTTTTTTTGTAACCCATTCGTTCACTCCATCTGGCAGACAATGATCAGACGAGACATTTTCAGTGGCGATTATTAAGAGACAATGATTGATCCAGGCACAATAGCATGCACAGTGATGATGATTCATAAGTTAGAAACGCACCAAGGTCGATTACGTCCAAGAAGTTATTATTGCCACAGTGATGGCCAATCCTTAACTTCGGGCCTCGGCATTCGCTCTCTGCTTCGCCAGGTATAGCTATTGTTAGACAAGGGTGCTGATGTGAATGAAGAAACAAAAACAAGAAAAAAAAGTCAATGCGACAGAGAGATGACAAGAGATGGCCTCCTCACCTCTGTGGTGTCAGTAGAGGGGGACCCCTTGGCTGGCGCCCGCCTAATGGCACAGCAGCATAGCTATGATGCGACTCCAACGCCGCACCGTGCAGAGAAGGAGGTGTGTAGGTAAACAAAGGAACAAAGGAAAGGAAAGGACGTCATAGGTTGGACAGTTGACAGACGGGGCTTAGGCGAAACTCCGAAAGTCCCAAATCAATCAGCCACATACAACCTTGTTTTCACTTGATTAAGGAGAAGCGTGACAGAAATAAGAAAGGTGGATTGTTTCGACTCAAGAATTCTTATAAACCTTTTTCTTGTTCTTCTTTGTGAACTCCAAATAGTCTTTATCTATCGTCATAGCTGAGGGCATCAGTTAGAGGATTGTCCTTGCTTTTTGTTTAATTTGCTGCCTGGTGCTCACAAGGGCAAAAATAAAACAAAAAAACGGTCGGTCACTCCCAAGAGAGTAATTCCACCGAGTATCCTTTGTGCATAGTAACCACACCGTCAATGGTCGTTTTAATGATAGTTAGGGCGTATCGCATCATGGAAGTTTCTTGCTAGATCTCTGCGCCATGAAACGCCTTGGCCAACAACGAAACGCTAGGAATCTATTGCTGACGTGCCTGCAACTTGCTTGCAATCTCACGCTGGAGCTCCTGCTGCTTTCGCACCTTGGCCAACGACTCGATTGAGCGCAGGTCGTTGACAGTATCCTTCGTCTTGCCGAAGTAGACGTCCTTCAGCAAATGGCGCATTTTCGTCTCCATATCCTCAATCATCCTGCCAATGTTGGCAATGTGCATCGATGGGTCATCAACAATTCCATCCATCTCTGCCTATTCATCGTTGTTTTTCGATAATAAAAAAAAGATAAAAATTGATGTTAAATTCATCGTTTTTCAATATATCAACGGTCCATGTAATTGTCTGCCCCTGAGAGAATCGTTCATACCTGGCGAGTCATGCTTCCTGAGAGGTTCATGTCGCCCAATTCGTTCTTGCTGCTGAGCATGTAGAGCATGACGGTCGATGTGAGTTTGTAGTGAGCATTGCGAGCCTTCTCCTGCGCCTCAAAAATGTGAATGCTGTCCCATGCTCCCTTTGCCCTTCCCTTTCCATCGCCAACTAATATGTCACGTAGAGAAGAACGAGTTGAATGTTAGTCCATCGTCAATTGCTATCGGAATGTAGAGAAACAGATGATCAATTGAAACCACAATTGAGCACGTCCAAAGGTATCAAAATCTCCCGTAATATCCAAACATACTCTTTTTAATGAGGACAACGCCGGCAAAGGCACCGTCCTCGAGATCCCAAAAGTAGGCCGATGAAACTCCTCCTTCAAAGTAGAGCTCCCTGTAGGTGTCGAACGCATCATTCGCTGCAATCTCGAGCTTGCGGAGCTTGGCTGAAGGGTAGGTAGCATCAGCCAAAGGAGGACTGAACTCGTTCGACCAAGGCGAGCTAATTGTTTCGAAGAAAAGGGTATGTTTGAGCACATGTTGCTTTTCTTGGTCATTTTTTAAGGTGTAATCCTGTCAGGTACGTTCCCGAGAACTTATTCATCCTTGCAAAGCTTGTTCGAGACCTTTCCAACTGCGAGCGTTCTATCTGAAGATCCTGTCAAGTATCGTTCCTGAACAACCAAATAGTCATACTCCTGAAGCAACTGGCTACAGGACGCAAAACCACACCGCCACCTTTCCTTGCTTACCGATAACTGTTACTATCCCGGTTATAATCACAGAGCAAATATTCCCTCCCTGACTTTACACAGGTCTGGACCTTGAGGGGCTGGTCGATGGATGATAAAAGGTCCTCATGGAGATCGGGGAGGAGGGTCATGAGCGAGGCCAGGTTCTCCTCGGTGTTCTGAGGAGGCAGGCGACGCATCAGGTCGAGTGCGCAATCCAATTGTTGTTCCTGGTCAGCCTAGCGTTGGAGTAGATGGTAAGCAGCATGTGTTAGTTGGTGTGATGGAGAGCATGCAAGCAGGGGTGGAGTTGGGGCACGCTGCCAGGTGTAAGCGAACGCGTAGGAAGGGGTGGAGAAGGGGTTATCAGGCGAGGAATGGCAGATGTGTGCGTATGTTTGTTGCTGGTTACCATGGCCGTATTTGTGTTGTTTGTTGGTGGGGAATGTAAGGAGGGGGAAGTAGGGAGAAAGAGGAGAAAGAAGCGTGATGGTCCAAGGTCGAACGTCTCTTGTTCTTGTCCTTGTCTTTACTCCTTCTCAGTTCGCAGGGGGAAGGCTCAATTGTCGTGTTTACTACTCACACGTCACAAATTCATATTCAAAAAAGAAGAGGGGAACTGCAATGTACAAATATCGTTCAAGAGGATTTTATTGTTTTGATGAAGGTGGGATGTCGACCACAACAGGGAAGACAGGAAAAGACCCAGGCATCCACTCCTCTCTTGGCCCTGGGACATTACTATTGGCGTTGGTGGTAGTAGGGTGGTCATTATTTCTGTTAACGGTGTTTTCAACAGGCAGAGTGGATGCCATCGACAGGGATAGGCTCGAATGAGTCCGCGTTGGAGTTCCCTCAGCGGGAGTCGCAGGCCGACTGGAAATCGGAAGAAATGACAACCCTCCCGCCTCCGCTTTCTCATCCACGTACTCCTTAGGCTTGGGAGAGGCTGGATCGACATACGGATTAGGGATCGGCATTGGGTAAGTAGGGGTACCATATGGCTGTGCGATTGACTGGGCTTGAACCTGCCCCATCTCTGAAACACCACCATCCACACCATCCACACCATCAATACCTCGAATCTCAACACCACCAAAAGCAGCAGCGACCAAACCATCAGGATCATCCACAGATTTTCCTTCTGCCTCCATTACAGATCGCTCCTTCAATGCCCGTCGTCTCGCCCTCCACCGCGCAAAATGGACCGCCGCCACAATTAACGCCACAAGCCCAAACAAGGCCGCAAACGCAATCGCAACAGCCGGGCCATCGTTACGCTTTCCGTGATTGTCATCAACAGTGCACGAGTAGGTGCCGTTTGGTCTGTAGCAGGTTGGATTCCGCGTGATGACGGGTCGGGGTCTTGCTGGGACCACAGGGTCAGGGGCGGGGGTCGGTCTGGGGGTCGGTCTGGGAGTTGGTCTGGGTGTCGGTCTGGGAGTTGGTCTGGGGGCTGGTCTGGGGGTTGGTCTGGGGGGAGCCATGATTTTGTTTCAGTAGCTTAAAATTGAATAGGTTTTTCGAGAAAGAAAAAAGTAAGGCGTGCTGTAATGAAACATGCAGGGAAGATGCAGAGCAATTGAGAGCAAACAAAAAAGAAAAAAAACAACAACAATGGAACAAGTAGAATGAAGAAGGTGTGGGAAAGACGAGGAGTAAAACGTTGGTGAAGTAGAGAAAGAAAAGCTCTCCCCGAAGGTATATATACTTGAAGGGAAAGTAGAAAAAAAAAAAAGAACAACAGCAACAAAGAGGCCTAGGTCTAGCGGTAGGAAGCACAAAAGAAAGCTGTATGGCCGGGCGGAAGGTTGACTTCGGGCCATAAAGCATTCCCTGTCATTGGTCCTCTTTCTTTTTTCTATCTTCGGGTTTCTCGGTCCTGTCAATCCTTCAGAGCTCCCCTGGTAATGTTGGTTTTATCTCCGATGTTGGCCATGCCATAGCCTGTTGTTTCGTTGTGTGAATCATCGATCCATGCATGGATTACGAACAATAAGGATTATTAAATTGGTATTCAAATGAACGTTTCTTCCATGGAGTATATAAGAACAATCCTTGTACCACAAGCGAGCATGCATCATGGTTGAATAAACCTTACGCACTTTAGCTTGACCCATGCCAAGGGAGATGGCGAGGGAAAGAGGGGCGTGAGCAATTGCACAATGGTGAGTGAAAATAAAGGAAGGTTTTTGTGGACTTTGCATGTTACCGAACAGTTGATAGGACAAGAAAACAACATGAAAGAACAAACACGCACACCCCTTTCCTTTTTTTTTTTTTTTTTTTTTTTTTTTTTTGGTGGCTCTTAAACCAGGCTCGTGTTCTTCTGTCAGAAAGGGTGTGGTTGGTCAACAGGGCAAACTGAGACAGCACCGCCCATCTCGCTGAGGCAAACTAAGATAAGGTCCTTCTCCTTCGCCACGCTAAGGAGGGCCTTTTAGTCGTACTTGTTAACCACACTTCACATGATCTTTCACAACTGGCTGTCTCCTTTTTTGCAGGAGAGAGAGGTCCAAAAGCGCGTTTTACTTCACAGGAAAAGCAAACAGTAGGCAAAATGTGTAATGCACGCATGCAGACCAACTTGCTTGTTTATTCATGCCGCAACAGCATAAAGACGACGAAAGAAGGCCAATTAAGCGTAGTATCTGAGGAATGAAGGAAAGGAAGGGAAGGGAGGAGACAAAATTAAAAATGCCAATGTACGTAAAATATGTATAGTGCGATTATGATATTGTTCAAGGATGGGATGTTAACGATGATGAAGGGATGTCAACAACGATCGCTGGGACAGCTGACGACCCTGGTGTCCAATCTTCATTTGGCCCTGAAGTGTTGCCACTGGTGTTGTTGTTTTTGGTGGTGGTAGTGGTGTTGTCGTTGTTGTTATTGTTGTGGGTGGTGTGGACGGACAATGTCGAGACAGACGACAAGGGTTGACTCGTAAAAGGTATCGTGAGAGGAATTCCAACAGGCGTCACAGGTCGACTTGTACTTGGAGAAGAAGACGTCAAGCCTCGTCTTACCTCCTCCTTCTCGTCTACATACTCTTTCGACTCTGATAACCTTGGTTCGGGGCATGGACCAACGGTCGTTGCAGGGGAAGATGGAGTAGGCGGCAGTGGCATTGACCGGGCTTGGACTTGTTCTGATTCGATGTCTCCACCAGCACTACCAGTGCCAGCACCAGCACCAATTGAGCCAGCACCAGCAGTAGCAGCGGCTGCCCCAACACCATCAGGATCCTCCCCAGACTTGCCCTCCTCCATCGACCGTGGCTCGACACTATAATACGCAATCTCATCCTTGATCTCCTGCTGTTTCCTCCTCCACCGCGCAACAAAGAACCCTCCAACGACCAACGCAACCAACGCCAGCAGTCCTCCTATCACGCCTCCAACAATAGCGCCCGTGTTATTCGAAGTACTCGATACGGATTGGCTGCCATCCAAAGGAGTTGGTGCTGAAGTCGGACAAGCGTAGGGATTGTCCGTTTGAGAATAAGTATAGGTATTACATGGCTGAGCAGGCTGGGCTGGGTTCGGGTTGGGGCGTGGATTAGGGCCAGGGAAGATGATGATAGGTGGTCTTGTTGGATTGGGACGTGGTGCAGGGATAGGAATGGGGATGGGCTTTGGTGCAGGTTTGGGTGCTGGTTTTGGGGCTGGTTTTGGGGCTGGAGGGCGTGGGGCTGGTTTGGGGGGCATGCTTGTTTCAGAACAAGGCTCTTGGGTTGAAAACGAGGGTGCTTTGGTTGACAGAACGACCGATAGAGTGGGAATAAAAGGCGGAGGGAAGAAGGAGAGCACTAAGAGGAAGGAGGAGAAAGCAACAAAGGCTAAGGAGATGAAATGAAGTGGAATGGAGAAGGAGTGGGAATGACGAGAAGGGAGATGAAGAGACGGAAAAGTTGATTCCACAGTAAAACAAAGAACCCGGAGCAGGCGACGGGAAAAAAGACGTTCTTATGAAAAGTGAGTTGCAAGAATCCACATCGGCAGAAGCGACCTAACCGTCAACGATGCCTTTTTTCTTGTCTCCTTTCTTCCCTTCTTTCTTTCTCTGCTATAGAGGTTCTGATGAGATAGTTCTGGAGCCTCAGCTGACCACAGTTGTGGCGGCTGGCATGTCATGGCCTGTTGCTCCCCTTTCTTTGTTTGTTTGTATCCGATCGTGATGGATTAATGAAAAGTGAATGAAATTCATATGCATGTCATTCGAGCGGGGAGTGTTTCTCTTTTACCACCAAAGCGAAAGCAAGTAATGACGAGTGTGCAAGATCAAAGTCAGCCCAGCTGTACCACCTTTCCCACCCTTCCACTCGGCCATGGGACAGGAAGGGCGAGGGGGGGTGAGCATGACAAACGATGGCGAGTGAAAGAGAGGGTCCATTTTTCACATTTTTCACCATCCATTTTCAAGGGTGTCATGTCTTCTGTCATTTGAGGAGGGTTGGTCATTTAAGAGTCAACTACCTCCCATTATCTCTTTGAAATAGCCCGTAAGTGACAGTTGCCGCTGGTGGCTGGTCAGGCCAAGATGCCATAGATTATTGCATCATGGCTACGACCTTGTGGATAAGTTTCGTTCAGAATTGACCAATCACGGGCCGCTTGGGCCCAGCTACTTTATCAGGAATCTTACATCCTGTCAGGGCACTGTCTCATATTTAAAAGGGACCTGGTTCCTAACTGCCCCCTTCCTTCGTCTCTTCTTTATCCTCATCAACTGCCTCCACCCTGTACATCTTCCACTTTTTGATTCCACTTCTTCTCATTCAGCACACCAGAACAACTCAACTTTGAAATGACTTCATCACAATTACTTTTCCTCCCAGCAGAGGTCCTCCTCCTCATAGGAGAACACCTCGACCGACAGTCTCTCTATGCAGCCATGCAAACCTCGACTCTCCTCTACACCACCTATACCCCTCTCCTCTGGAGAACCATTTCCCTCGACGACTCTTCAGAGCGCCAAGTCCACTTCAAGGCCCTCCAGTCAAGAGCAGACCATGTCCACAACCTCTCCATAATGACCTTCTTACCTTCCTACTACACCCTCTCCTTCCCAAGACTCTCCTCCCTCTCCCTCCTCAACGACTATAGCTTCCTCTGTGCACCCACTTTTGTCCAACGCAACCCAACCATCAAAGACCTCTTTATCATCGACAGGCAATCATTGCCTACCAAGGACTTTTGGGACGCTGTTTACTCGGAATGGCTTCAGCCTAGATCCCTCACAGTCCAGGACCTCAACGTCACAGAGAGAGCAGCAAGTGCCTTCTGGAAGGCCTGCAGTCGATTCGAGACCCTCCGTTTATCCTTCCATGCCCCTTCTGCATCGTTGCCCAAGGATCTGGCATTCCCTCAAGTCACACACTTGGATCTCAAGCTGGATCATCAAAGGATGGAGCCCTTCTGTGCAGAGGAGCAGCTGGCTTTTATCAAGGCCTGTCCTAGTCTCACCAGTCTCTGCTGGTCACTCGACCACTTTGACTCCCCAATACTGCAGTTCCAAGAGGCTCTTTCTCAAAGGACCTGGACTCAATTGAGCGACGTTGAACTCAGGGGTTCGATTCATCTGGACACGGAAATGGTGACGGTCATGGATTCGCTCCCACCACTCAAGAGACTTGTTCTGTCGCAGTGCTCTTTCGGACCTTTGACTTTTTCCAAGCTAAAGGAGCACCATTTTGCAACGCTTGAGGTCTTGAATGTTGTTGGGTGTGAGAGGTTCACATCTGCAATGACGATGGAGGTACTGTCGAGATGTCCTCGTCTGCAAGTCCTCAGTTGCCCACATATCCAACTCAAGGATCTCATCCAACTTCCTCAGGATGAGCAACAACAGCAACCATATACCTATCAGCAGCACCTCAGACACCTCGACACATTCATCTCCAAAGGCGACACCGACCCTGCCGACTGGACAATCAAAGCAATGGAGCGCCTGTCCACCTTCACTCATTTGGAGCACCTTTCACTTTGCCCGGCCCTTTTGGACCCCGAATGCCACTTTCAGGAACAGGATCAAGTACACGTGACCAGCAGCGGATTGGATGTGTGTCTGGCGAATGGCATGGATCGCCTCAACAGTCTGAGCAAGTTGTCGTTCTTTGAGTTTGGAGACTCTTCGCCGAGGATGGGGTTGGAGGAGGCACAATGGATGACTCAGTCCTGGAGTCAGTTGAAGACAGTGGTGGGCAACTTTTCAGAGACGGAGGATTGTTCTAGAGAGGATATTGCGATGCTGTTAAAACAGCATGATGTCACGCACCTAACAATACAGAGCAACAAGCAATAAACAGTCGAGGAGGCGCTTTACACTGTGGACTTTGCTACCAACTATATTGTGATGAAGATAGTCGCCGCGATCCTTGTTTTCCTAACTTTGTCGCTCCCTCGCCATGTTTGACTTCGCTTGGCGAAGACGATGCACGCCGTCTATGAAGTGACGACGAAAATAATTTCTATTCTTTTTCTAACTTGCCTTATCCGCCTACCCCTTGGACTGCCACGCCAATCATTGCTTTGCCTAATCCTCGCCAGTGTAATGGCGCCAGAACATAAAAGCACTGTTTGCATCCTCCAACTCTTTTTTTTTCTAGTTTCTACATCCGACCCGACCTCCTTCACCTTTACTCTTGTTGCTTTGTTCCCTATCTCCTATACCTCTCCAACCACTTTTTCCTTGTCTTTTTCGTTCTTTTTTCTACCAGAACGTCACAACAATGGCCTCTCATCGAGCGCTTCCAATCCAATGCACTCCAGATTCCTTGTCACGTACCTCCTTGGCGCTATCAAGTCCTGTCCATCATGATGTCCAATGGCCCTACGATGACACTCCTCTTTCACCGGTGTCCATGACTTTCGATCTCCCTGACGTGTCTGAGTTTACTCCTGCTTTCGACGAAGACCTCGTGTTTGAGGTCACTGATGTCACTGATGTCGACAATGAACAAGACTCTTCTTCTTCCTTCTCTGAATCTGAAAACCCCTTTGAGTCGGAAGAGCATGGGTTACTCGTAGATCCCAGGAATGCACCAGCGGGAGGATTCCCGTGCCTACACCCAGGCTGCACAAGACCACCCTACGCGACGCAATGGAGCCTGACCGTCCACCAGAATACACACAATGGCGTCACATTCCCGTGTACATTGTGCAGCAGCGTGTTTGTTCGACATGCGGATCGTATCCGGCATCAGAGAAGTGTGCATGAGGGACTGAGGTGGAAGTGTGATGATTGTGGGAAGGAGTATACGAGACAGTCGAGTGCTCGGTTACATCCTTGTCCGGTTGCGGGTGAAAGGGGCGATTTACCGAGTTTCCAGCGTGTGGTGGCGCCTGGCGATGGTGTGAATTGATTATGTTATTATTTTTGTAGCTACTTGTGTACCTCAAGGATTGATAGACCATTAAACCTAGAGAAATGAAAAAGGAGCAGACGATGTCGTTGTTGTCGATCCATTTGAGCTAACGCCAATATCGATTTCCTTCCTCTTTCTCCTTTTTTTTCCACTCCCAAATGTTTTCCATCATATCTTTCGTTTTCTTTTCTTCCATCATTTCTTCTTCCCATATTATTTATCTGTCTCTTGTTTGTTAGCGTGTGCGCTTTTGTTTTTGCTTGTTTGTACTCTCTGCCTCTCGCTCTTTTTTGACATTGAATTTTTTTTACCTTTGACCTGTGAGGAGGAACACGCTTTGGGCTACTAGTTTTTGTTCTACTGTGTTCGACAAAAGCTACGGATCAAAATGCTACACTCAACAACGGGATTCTCCCTCCTTCCCTCCCTTTCCTTGCATTCACGAATGGAGTAGGAAGCTATTTTTGAAACAGCGAGGCCTCGCTTCGCGCTTGGGTCACTCCAAGATTCATTTCTCCAATTGCTTAAGCTTCTTCTCGTTCAATTTAGAGTGCAATTCAACCCAGAAGGGATTGTGTAGGGACTTCCTCGCCATGGCAATGGCAAGGAAGAGGATGAGTTTTGTCTCTTCCCGTTGCCCACTGTTGTGTCCCTGAGTTAGTCTGTCAAAAATACAGCTCAATTTGTTTCCATGCATGCATGCATACCATCTCCCTCGCTGTGTCCTCGCTCCCTCCCCTTTCTCTCACGTACTCCAAAGACCTCCTTCCCAGTTCCCACTGCTGTTTTCAGACTCCTTTGCCAACCATCTATGCCCTTTGTCTTTCTCAACTTTTCGTATAAATACAGTCGTACAATGGTCTCCCTTGATCTTTTTTGTCCCAACCGTTACTTTCGCCCCCATCTTTCCCTGCTCTCTTTTTTATTTATTTCTTTTCCACCCATCACCTTTCCTATTTAACGCTATTCAAGCGCCCTACATGACACACCCACCCACATCCCAAAATTATCATACATCCACATCAAACCAACATATATCTCAACTAGAGCACATCCAACTCCACCTTCTCCATCCTCTCCGTCCTCTCAGGTTCCTCACTCCACCCGTAGAGGACTAAGAGGACTAACATGTCGTCGCAGAAAAACGTATCTGGACATCGAGTTCCCGATGACACCAAGGGCAGCAGTCAAGCAGGGGTATCCAGCTCTGTCTCCACCCTTCACCCGAGCGAGAACGGAACCCCGAATGGCGCGTCGTACGATCTGGTCATGAGCGATGCGTCCACAGTCACCCACGATCCACCCTCTGAGATCACCGACAGAGTCTATGTGACTATCACTGGGCCGACCTCCCTGGGAGAGGCTACTGGTTTCACGTGTCAGGTGTATCTTGGTTCGGAGGGGAATATTGCCTGTACTCACTCAAAGGACAAGACACAATGGCGCATTCATCGACAAAGGAACCCAAAACGACACCCTATCTTGGCTGACGATCAACGATTCATAAACCATGTCCGCCTCGAATCCGATGCCATGAGCAAGGCCTTCTGGATCCACAAGGAATTCGAGTATTTCCTCAACGAACACCCAAGCCTCTATCGCGAGTATCGCTCCAAATGTGCACTAGAAGCTACAGTCGCTCTCATTCAGGAGGGCGTGTACGAAACTCTGGTCGACATTCCCAAATCTGTGGTTCTTATTAGGTGTGACGTTCCGTTCTATGATTCTGTCGATCTTGGGAGCAGAGTAGTCATCGAATACGTCGTCGTCGAATACTTTCGGTCACCATGGCAGCCGAATTGGAAGCACAGAGTCCGGAGCGCCCTGGTCCAGAAGCCTCGACCATGGTTCAAGTCTGTTACCGGGGAGGAGGATGAGGTCTTCCCTGACGATCCTCTCCCGAATGGCTATAAAGCCCAGTCCCTCGACGCCTCTACTTCACCCTTCGTTGCCAACCAGATGCCAGCGGCTACTGTCTCCCCTTCTGCCTTGGGTGATTTGATGGACATCGATACCCAACCCCTTTCCATCGCTGCTGAGCTCGCAGACACCGCTTCGCTGCAGGACAATGCCATCGTCTATCCCTTTTACCCACCATTTTTGCCAGATAAGCCATCTTGTATGCATTTTGGATAATATGTTGATGAATTTTCTTTCCACTCAATTTCACTCTCCAAATTAATTAACCCCTTCACACCGGTGGTACTCCGGTTCCCTTTTCTCCAACAACAGATGCATGTCAACCTTTGGATCAGATCTGCTTGCACGTTAACCCTGCAGATCTGTCACTCAAGTCCACGTCTGGTCCCAACCCCGAGGTCACCGATATTACCTACGCCCACGACGGTGATGATAACACAGACTTCGAATCCATTGGTAACAACACTGGAGAGGATGATATCTCTCTCATCGATTACTCCGAGTCATTCCCTCAGGAATCGGCGGTGGACCATCCTACCAGCTGGTTTGAGGCTGAGTCCGTCCACACCATCATCGAGACCGACTCCAACGCCACCACCAACAAGGAGGTTGATAATCCACTGTCTCACGTCACCCAGGAGCATCACAGCAACCACAACAACAACACCAACAACAACAACACTGAAGAACCCCAGCAGCCAACGCCCATTCCTGAACTCGCAAGAATCACTGTCACCAACCCAAGACCTGACGGACGATTTTACTGTTATTTAAAGGACCGTTTATCAAATGACTGTACAAAGTCGTTCGCCAGACAGGGCGGACTGGATGTGCACATCAGGAGTTGTCACACTCCAAATGGGCGCCAGAGGTGCACTTTTTTTCCATGTACAACACTGTTTTCTCAGCCCGCCGACCGCATTCGGCATGAAGACGCTGCTCATAGGGGATATATCAGGGTCTGCGACTGCGGGAAGCGTTTTACCAGAAAGCCTTCTCCCAAGGTTTTGAAAAAAATGGGTCCGTGTCCTTCTCTTGCTAGAGGTCTGCATAACTTCTTACTCTACGACCCTAAGTCGTAGCCTGTGCCTGATCCCCGACTCTGGGCCGGTTCTTTGCCCCAGAGGACGTACAGGATGGTCCCATTCTTTTTTCTTTCGATATACCTTCCTTAATTTAACTGTACACATCTACATGCCATTGGCCATAAACACTAAAAAGAAAATAAAAGGGCACAGTCCTAACCTTCAGTTCTTTGCATTGATGCTGTTTACCCATGTGTTTTTGCAATTGTATTTCCTTGTATCCAAAAAGGGTTACCATTATTGCGTGTGTTCCTTCACCCAATGAGAGGTAGTGTCGCTTATGCTCCTCTCTCCCCCCAACAAAAAGACACTCGTCCGCACCTTTTTCTTCCTTCTTTCTCCCTTTTTGTCCTTCCCTTCGACTACCTACCTGCCTTTCTTACTCCTCCATCTCTTTCGTCGCATCACTTTTACCTCTTCGATCTTCCCCTCCATCACACATTCTGCCTCCCATTCAGTCCCGCATGGTGTTTTTCTCTTGTTTGTTCAACTCGCACTAGCTAACCTGACACCTCTTTCCTTTGTTTGTGATGGTTCGGATTATGGAACAATCAGTCTTGGACCGATATCAGGCTTCAACACAGGGACATATTCCCACGAACATGTCGCGCCTCCCGTAATTTTAATCCAGGAAGGCGATTCATATGAAAAAGGCGACGGATGTAGATCCATTATCATTACTCGGGAGACTATGGTGAAAGCTATGGACCTTGTTGGCTGTGAGGGGTTCGCGTCTGCAATGGCGATGGAGTCGCTGTCTAGATGGCCTCGTCTGCAAGTCTTCAGTTGCCCACTTATCTAGTTCAAGGATCCCATCCAGCTTTCTCTGGAACAGCAACAATAGCAATCATATACCTGTGGGCAACACCGCAGACACTAGGACGCATTCATCTCCAAGGACGACACTAACCTTGCCGACGGGACAGTCAAAGGAAAGGGACGACTGCCAACTTCATCTGACTGGAGCACCTCTCTCTCTCTGCCAAGTGAGGCTGGACCACGAATGTCACCTTCAGGCACAGGGTCAAATGCACAAGTCACACCAGATGACTGGATATGTGTCCGGCGAATGGCCTCTTGAGTCTGAGAAAGTTATCTTTGTTTGAGTTTGGAGACTCTTCGCCGCGGACGGGGATGGAGGAGGCACAGTGGATGGTGCAGTCCCGGTAAAAGTTGTATCTTGAACAACATGATGTCATAGACCTGAAGATATATCACAACAACAAGCAATAAACATGAAGACGGTTGTTTTTTTACTCTTCTGATTCGATCATTTCGATTGTGATGAAAGTAATCGTCGCGTTGTGTTGCCACTATCCTGTTCTGTTCCTCATCATCTTTCGTCTCTGTTTTCATCTCGGTGAGGACAAAACAGTGTAATTGATATCCATGCTCTGCATAATTTTGAGAAGTTCGCGGCACGTGCAGTTCCTCCCCTTGCTTACTCTGACCTCCCAGTGTCCTCGCCAATGTTAACGTCGTCAGCCAGACTAAAAACCTCCGCCATCCTGGAGCAGAATTCTATAAAAGCACCGGCGATTCTCCTTCTTCTTTCTTTGCTCCACCAGACCATCCACTCATCCATTGATTGTTTTCCACTCCTCTTATTCCGCTATCCCTTCCTCATTCACCAATCCTTCCTCCACTTCCTACAGTCATTACCCTATTTTTCTTGGACTAGATAATCAATTCCCAGACGCACTCACATTCATCCTTTTCAAACATTTTCTTTTCCAGATAACGACGAAGCATGGCTCCTCTTCGGGAGCCTCCGATCCAATTCACCCGACGCGAATACTTGTTTGTGACAGCTTATCCGACATGCAGATCATGTCCGTCACCGTAGAAGTGTCTATGAAGGGTTGAGGTGGCGGTGAGATTATTTTGCAAGGGATTAAACGAGGCAGCGGCGACTGCATCCTTGCCCAGGTACGGGTGAAAGGGGTGGTTTGGTGCGTGTGCAGCGTGTGGTCATGGCCCCTAGTGATATAGATTGCTGTTATTTTTTTGTCTTCTGCAACTGCTACACGAATCGACTAATAATTAAAATCATAACGATGACAAATAAGGGAAATAGATCAGGGTGTGCCGTTCTCTTTTTCTCCTCTTTTCTCGCCCTGATGATGAGTGTCAGTTTATTCGCTCCTGAGTTTTCTTCTGTTCATTGCACCCGTCCCTTCTCCTCCCAGCTTGCATTTGTCTGTTGTTAGTCTGTCTATTGCTTGCTCGCTTATGCATTGTGCATCTTTGTTATTCTCTCCTTCCAAGCAATTAGATTTTTCCGTTTTCGCATGGCGGAATGACCAGCCAAAGGTTATATTCATTCTCTATTATTCTACTCAGTTGAACAACTAATGATATACTCTTCTTCTTCGGTGCGAACTATACCATCACCTATCCCATCAACGACCATGCTCGTTTTCTAGTTCTATTACCACTTCTCTTATTTTCATCCCCGTTGCGGTCCCTATGGTAGGGTCACAAATGAAAAATACCTATTATTGTTGATCCTACTCAGCCTCGGGCTGCTTCTGTCTGCTAACCTCCCAAGTCATCTCAGATATAGAAACGACCAATCAACGAAAAGGACAAGTCGAAGGACAGGAACATGGGCCCGTGCCGCAAAGTTATGCCATAGCTAGTTCAACGATCAGTTCAGTTCAATTCAATCAATTCAATCAATTCAATTACATTACAAGGTTGGAGCTAGTGTCTGGTTCTTTGCCTTAACCGATGTTAGAAAGTGAGGGACGAAAGAGTGTTTCAAGGCCCTTATTCTCATTCCCTCCTTTTTTTCCCGTTGCGAGTAAGGGTCCCGACAAATTTTTTGTTTGTTTGTGTGTGTGTGCTCTCACTCTGACTCTTCCCTATTTCACACTTACCAAAGATACCACTGCTCTGCCTTCTCTCACTCCTTCGCCTTTTCCATATCGAAAGGGAAACAGTGCAGTACTTTTCACACCCATGTGTGTCTACCCCACCTTCTTTGCCTTGTGCCCTGAACACATATGTTTAACTCACTTACTCTCAAGTATAAATACTTGCGAATGATGGCCCGCCCCGCCGCCCTTATTTCTGTTTGTCTTTTTATCCTAATGGTTTTCTAGACCGTCACTCTCCCTCCCACCTCCACACCACCTCTGTTCCTCATTATTCACTCTCCCCATTTCCTTCCCTCTTCCTGCCTTCTATTATACTCCTTAGAGATTATTTAATGCCACATCCACCATCAATCCCACATCTTTACACTTCTAGATTAGCGCGACAAGAACTTCAACTACAGCCATTTGTGAACTTGTTCTCTCCTACCACCTTCCTCCCCATCCCCCTCACTCTGCCAGGACAAGAGCTTCTCAATGGCTTTTCGGGATGGACTCAGGCTAAGGCCCAGTGGAAGTTTGAGGAGCACTGGTCACTCTCAAGAAGATGCGACCGACCCCTTTTCCACTCCTCACTCGAGCAACGACGGAATTCCGTACGAGTCGGACGTTGAGCTCATGGACGAGACGTCGTTCACTTTCGACAATCCTGATTTAGCAGATGTCGAATACGGACACTCCGTACGAGTCACTGGACCCTTCCCCATCAACGACCACGATGGCAACGACAAACAGGAGATCACGGTTTCCACGGGGATTATGACCTGCATTCGCTCATTGGAGTGCCCGACGAGCTGGCACGGCGAAAAACTAGGGGAACCAAACCTGTTCTACCTCAAACAGGACGATCAAGGGTTCTACCAAACCGACCTCCTCGACACTACGACCATGCTTGTGGGCTTCGCTATCCACCAAACGATTGATTTTTATCTTAACGGGCCATTCAACGTTTACCGTCACGACAGCACAAAGTCCATCGAAGCGCTTGAAACGACAGTTGGTATCGGTAAGGGGAAAGTGGACTCTCTTCTGAACGACATGCCCGAGTCTGTGGTCCTTGTTCGTTGCGATTTACCGTTTTCTGAGTATCTGGGCAGCAGAGCCATCGGCAGGCACGTCGTCGTGGAGTACTTCCGTTACCCGCGGAAGCCACTGTGGAAGCACCGCGTCCGGAGCGCTCTGGTCCAGGATTCCGGTCCCTGGAACGGATCTCTTGCCGGAGAAAAATATGAGACTTTCCCCGACGAGTCTCCTGTCGAAAAGAATGATGTGGCTTTCACCAACGAGTCTCCTGCCCTGGTGGAGGATGAGGCTTTCTTCGATGGTTCTTTCCTCCACATTCCCCTCTGGAATGATTACGATGCCCAATTACTCCAGGCCACTACAACGCCCTCCTTTGACGCCCTAAGGTTAAGAACTGAAGTCTCCTCTCCGCCATTTGATGATTCGATGGATTTCGATACACAGGCTCCCCCTACCCTGGACGGATCCAGGCATACCACCCCGGTACAGCCCGGTGACCTCGCCCATCCACCTGGTACGTTGTTTTTGCCTGGTACGCTCTCTTTGAGGCACTTTGAATATGACATCCACAACGTTAATTAATCCTTTGCAACGTGTGGTCCTCCTTCTTTTGCTTCTCCAGGCGCATGTCGCACTCTGGACCAGATCCAGTCGTTCGTTAACCCCGCAGACCTGACAATTGCGCTCACGCCTAGTTCCAGCCTTGATACCACCGACACCTCCTATCCCGACGACGATGGTGATTTATCCTCCGAGTCTATGGTCTCCGAAGGCGATAATGATCCCTTGACCGATTCAATGGATACGGACGACAATGGTTATCCCGCCACCGAGTTTATGGATAGCGACACCGATGAAGACGGCGACAACCGTTCTCTCCCCAACGTCACCAAGGCGTTTTACCTTGAGCGGGCGGAGGTCCACTATGGCGTCTACCCTGAGACCGAGTCTATCGCCAGCGAAACCAGTAACAACAATGGCAGTTCCTCCTCCTCAGCCGGTCCCAGCAGTCAAGACAATCAACCGCCAGTGCTCGACCGCAACACCTGCAAATCGGCGACAAACCTCAAGGGGGTCAGGATCACCAAAGCCAAGTCCAAGCCCGCAGAGACCAACAAGCCCAGGCCTGCAAGGAAGGCCGAGACCAAACGTCCAAGGATATTCGAATGTCGAGTTCCCGGCTGTACCGAGGCATATACCACGCAATATAACTTAACCAACCACACGAACACGCAGCATGGCGACGTATGTTACCGGTGCGACTTTTGTAACGAGCCCTTTAATCGATATGGCGACTGTTCTCGACACGAGGACGTCAAGCATCGGATGAAGAGATGGAAGTGCAAGTGGTGCCCACAGGAGTATACAAGGAAGCCATTCTCTAGTCAGCGAGATGGTTGTCCGAATGGGCGACCCCGACACTTCTTCAAGATCGTCATTCCTATACCCTTTCCTGAACTTTTCAAAGAGTCTTCTTAAACAAGGCTGATGAATGGACCTTTCCTTCTTTTTACATCGTCTCGCCCTTTTCTTTTCTTTATATATATCGCACTCCAGTGGAACTATTTCGAACAAACATCATGCATTTTTTTCTTTTCTTTATATACCTTGTACAAAATTTATACCTAGCGTAGCAAAGGGAAATACACACGTATCATTGACCATAAAACAAAAAAGAATCCCGATATGCCTTTACCTTGTCCTCCAGATCCGTTTGTTGGTGGTGCTCCGATCTTTTTCAATCACTCTCTCTCTCCTTTGGTTTGTTTTGTTTTTTGTTTGTGTCCACGCAAAGAGGACGTTGTCCAAAACGGGACGAAATGTATTATTATTGCGTGTACTTCACCACTGCTCTCTTTTTCCCTTTCTGTCGAGGCCCCTGTGCACCACGTTAATAACGAAGAAAAGAAAAGGACACATTAGTGTTTTTTTCTTCTTTCTTTCCTTCTTTCCTTCTTTCTTACCATCTTCCCTTCTTCCCATTCCACTTTCTCTCATCCTTCACTTGCAGGTCATCCTTTCTCTCATCCCTCTTGTCTCTGTCATCATCTTTTCTCATGTTCTCTCGTCCTCATTCAGACTTTCACTCACTTACTCATTCTGCCTCCCCTCCTGCCACTTTTACGCTTGTTCTTTTTTGTCCGTTCATCATGCTAACACTTACTAACCTGTCACTTTTTGTTAGTATTAGTTCGAAAGAGCACCAACCACCCGTGTGTCTCGCATTCCTGAGAAAATCGTTCGCCACGAATATTAATCACCCCCAACAGGATTACAGTCAGTCTCTCGAAAATTTTGCGTCTGTTCTCTTGTACCTTTCTGCAGCAAGAGACTTCTTGTACAGTCTCTTGAAGTACAATTGAAGATGATGGCGATCATTTACGTGAAAACGAACCATCGTTTGGAGGAAAGCATAGAATTCGTGTTTGACTATTGACATCTGACTATTAAAGACAAAAGAAAGAATAAAGATGATGACCATTTTTCTCGAAAATGAAAAACTCAGCTGTGAAGTGACGCAAAGGCGGTGTGAGCACCACAAGAACAGGCCTTACTCTACGCACTCTCTCCTCTTTGCATTTGTCCCTGCCTGCTCCATACATGCGAGTTATCTGGCGAAGGCCTTAATCTAACTCACTTTACCAACTAAAGTACTGGGCGTGGGGTACTTTCTTTACTTTTCAAGTTATCCGAATAATGCGCTTATAGGCCTGGGCCAAGGGACTGTGAAATTGATATGATTGATACCACTATTATTGATATAGATGCATGCTGAGCATGAGTCCTCCAATGATACCAATAGACGCCCCTTTCTACGCCACCCTTCTTACTTTCTTCGCCAACTATCTCACCAATCTTCGTTACCGGTCTTCTTCGCCGGCCTTCTTCGCCAGTTTTTTTTAGCCCTCTTTTCCCCAACATTTTCTTTCAATTCCATTGTTCCATCTGTGGATTTGAACACGACACCTAGTTATCTTTTTTTTTTTTGGTATAAATACATTAACGACCGACGGCGACGTTTTGGCTAACTACACTTTTTACGGGTTTGTTTGAGCTGGGCCAGTTTCGATGAACGTTCATATCTCCCCGCTTGCTAATACCCACACTCTTCTCTCGAACCATTTCAACAACCATATCATTACTAGACGGACACATGCAAGATACCAATCCATCCCTAGAAGACATTTCTCTTTTCAAATTTGAAAAATCGACTGTTGACGCAATGTTCGGCCGGACAAACTCCCGGCTTCAAGATCCAGACTATCCCATGATGCAGGGTTTCTTTGTTTCCTCGGCTTCTAGTTGTCCGATTATCTATCAGGCCCATGAAGACGCGTCTGATCCGCCAATGTGGATCACTTCGGAACCGCTCCCAATATCTGTTTGCACGTTTGAGTTTGACCACAAAGCCGATCTTGCTTCCGATCCAATGGCTATTGACATTGACGACGAGGACGCGTTGACTCATTCCGTAGCTTCCTTGGTCTCCCTGGCTTCCATGGATCTCGAGGATGGCGATCCATATCTTTCCAATGTCGGCACTCGTCAGGCATCGGAAGGATTTACTTCCACGGACCCTGGTTGCCCAAAGTCGCTCTTGATGGAGGACGACATGGCGGTGCATTTGCACGGACATAGGCCGATTACTTTTCCATGTACCATGTGCGGTTTGATCTACCCACGACAGAACGAGCTCATCCAGCATCAGAAAGAGTGCCTGGGGTAGGTAATGGCTCATGGAAGTTGAGTCTTGCTGCCTGAGTTTCGTGAGATAGTTTTTATAATAATTTACAATACTTCATTAAAGAGAAAGTCACCATTATTGTTGCCATCGTTGCCTCTTGTTTTATTTTTATTTTTTGGTTGTTGCTCGGTTCAATGTGGTTTCGTCTTGGCCCTTCGGTTCTCCGTTTGTTTGTTTGTTCGTTAGGTTGTTTGGTCGTTCGTAACCGCCTTCTTGGCTGATTGCATTATGTTAGTTTTAGTGTCCATTCCAGGGAAGTTGTCACTTTTATCCACTCATTCGCCATGGTAAATACTGCGATGAATCTATTTTAAAAAGGTCCGTTGAAATCAATTGCTTTCACTGGCAATGCAATAAAAAAAAGGAAAGGGGTGACAGGAGAGACTAAAGGCTGGGTTCTCGAGAGATATCTCACTGTGCATCAATGGCAAAGCACCTGTTTTCTCTGTCTAAAAGCAATGTTATCAGTAGAACATGGCGAATAACGACGTTTTTATTAGACTGGCAGAGTAGTGTGATAATCGATTTTTAATTACTGATTTCATCACCAAAACAGAAGGGATTAGTTCTTCGCCATCTTTGACTCGATTTTTTCTCTTTATTCTTTTTGAAGGGGCGGCGTGTAGTACTTTTTTTCCTATTCCATACTAAGGAACCCAGACATAAATAGGGGGGTCGCTTCCACTATTCTTCTCAATTTTTTATCATACTCAAACATATCCATTCCATGCTCAATTGCTCCCCCTGCTTTGCTAAGCTGCTTCTCTGATTGCCTTTAAAACACACACCTCATGTACATCATTTCAACAACCTTCTACCTGAATCCTCCGTACCCTTCAGTCACTATCCTTTTCCACTCGTTACGCACCTCTTTCTTCTTTCCTGCATCCCGCTCAAACAGCTGAGGAGCAGCATGGCGGGTACAAGCTGGAACCACCCTCATGAATCCGTCAACGAACTAATGGCGTCTGCCGAAAGAGGGTCTGTCGACGCCCATCCTACCTTTGGCTCAATCATCCGTGGACCATCCATCATTCCGTCTGGTCCATTTATGCCCGATATAGCTCCCATAAGTTTTGTCTCTGAGCCTGCCTCTTTGATGTCCTTGTCTGCCGCTCTCTCTTTTCCATCCACGTCTTGCTCGGACCCTCCATCTTCGATCCCGTATTCCCTTGTATCCCACGTTATCGGAACGTTTGCGGAAGTCACAGGCCCTTTCTTTGCTTACCCTCGCGCTGGTCGCTGTGAGGTGTACTCTTTGACTACTGGCAACATGGACTGCTTTCGCAATCCCACTTCGTTCTTCAAGTGGGTGGGCTTTCGGAACTGCGACCTGCGGGTCGAATACGTTGACAGGAACTTCCAATTTCCTCCTACCCCGGCTGGAACGTGCGCGAGGGAGATAATGGCGCTCCGCAAGACCCTCCTCGACGCCCTTTACACCAACTACTCTGACCGACACACCACCGTCTCGATCAACACAGCCCTCAATCATAACCAGTCCGAGATCAACAGGCACCTGTTCTCCTACGCTTTGACCCTCTCCATCGTTCACATCATTTACGATTTCCCTTTTCTGGAGCGCCACTTTCGCGATGGCAAGGAGGTTGATGTCAAAGTGGTCGTAACCATCGAGTTTTACCAGGCGCCTTGGAGAACAGGAACTAGGCGATGGAATATCGGGGGTTCCTTGGACCACATGAGCATGAATTGGCACAAGACCGATGTCAAGGTCCAACACAACTTTGAGGAGACCGAACCTATATCGGACAGTCACCCTGTGCAACCTCACGTCGACCCTGTCGCGTCCAGTCATGCCCCTCATCAACCAACCGCCTCGCCTGCTGCTGCTGCCATGAACCCCGACGCCCTGATGACCTACAACGCCCAGACCACTGCTATTACCTCAGGTCCTCTCAACACTGCCAGCCAGGATTCTCAAGCGCTCTCCAGTCTTGTCTCTGGGTTTGACCTTAATGCTGACGATATCTCGATGACCCGCCGATCTATGACCTCCATCAACAAAGTCAGTATCGACTTGTCTCAACGTACTCCTTCCGGCACCGACTCATTGTTGGAGTTGGGTTTGTCTGATAATATCGCCCCATCGTCCTCTCAAGGTCTTTTGGGTATGCAACAGGGATCTCCAGCGTCAAGTTCATTCCAAGAAGTTGCCCAGCCATCCTTCGTTAGCGACGGTTCTTCAGCTGCGGATATGTGGGTCTTGCCACCCCAGCCATCCGTCACTCGTGCCCATCCAATGATAGATGACTCTATCTCCAGTTCCGAAGTCGTCAGCAACAACGGCGATTCACTCTGCGCGGTCGTCTCCAACTTTCAAGGTGGCGATGCGCCAGTTGTCAACCTCGATGCTCATCAGCCGACAACAAACCAAAGATCTGCGATGCCAGCCTACTCCAGACCCGTAGGGATGACAAGCTCTGAACCCACAAGCACGGCCAACCCTCAGTTGGCAAGGACCATTAACTCAACGACAAGCACGGGCAATTCTCGACAGACAAGGAGTACCAACCCTCGATCCTCCACACTAACGAATCTCACACCAACGGGCGCCACACCAACGAGTGCCACCGAAAGCGCGAGGAGCTTTCCATGTCGGTACATCGTCTGCACTCACAAGCCGTTCGCTAGCAAGTGGAGCATGGAGGCTCACGCGAATACACACGATGGTCGTAAGTTTCGTTGTCCTGATTGTGAGCTAGACTTTGCTCGACAAGGCGATCGAAGTCGTCATAGACAAATCGAGCACCTGGGATATCTATATAGGTGCGACCATTGCCTGACGGAGCGAACAAGAAAGCCCACCGATAGTCAATTGGATGGATGCGATAGTAACGGGCGTAAGCATCGCTATCAACGACATTCCCTTTCTTCCATTCCTACCTCTGTTTCTGTTACCTGTGATGCTCCTTGACCACAGCACAGAAACAGTTTCAATTTTTTTTGTACCATGTTCAACCCATATACTTCTTTCATAGTCATATTCATAGCCTTAGCGGCACATAAATATCAATAACCATTAGTAAAGGAAAAGAGGGGACGATATATATGTCAATGCCACAATGCCTTGTTCCTCTTGTCCTTCTTTTCAATGGCAAGGCCAAAGAACTGTTCTTTGTATTTGTTCCTTCCCTCTCCGAATTCTCAAAAAATTGTGAGTCAGATACCCCTTATGCGATTCCCGAAGCTTGGCCAGCGAAAACAGAGAAGTGGAAAGGAGACAAAACGTGCGAAAACGATGAGAGTTATGAAGGGAGAGACGTTCATTCTTTTCTTTCTTTCTCTCTTTCTTCGTTCTTCTTTTCCTCCCCTTCCATTTTTCCTCACTCCATCACATGCAAGTCATCTGTTCCCGCAGCTCTCTGGTTGCTGCCATCATCTTCTTTCGTTCTCATTACGTCTCCCACTCAGTCATTATGTCTCGCATTCTGCCACTCTTGCAATTTTTCTTTTTTGTCCGTTCATCTCGCTACCACTTACTAAACTGACACTTTACCTCCTATATTAGTGCGAAACAGGACCAACCACCACGCGTGTGTCTCGCGTTCCTGAGAAGATCACTCACCGGGAATTTCAGTTACTCATGACAGGAAACGATCAATTGATAGCTGTCCTATTTTCTTATTTTTTTGGCAGCAAGTTGCCTTTTGTTTCAACGGACCAGGATGCAACCAAGGAAAGTTCGCACACAATAAGTCAACCTTTAAGGACTAGCAGGATACAGAAGGACATGGATTCATTTTGACCACTCAGGAGGCTTGTTCCGCAGTGGTGTTTATCATTGTTAGTGTTTTGTGCTGTGATTGCCATGCTCGAAGAGCAAAACGGAGTACTTGCAGTGCACGGTATGAAGGTGTGGCGATAGCATTCTTGTCTAGTTTTCTTTGCAATACCGATTGCAGTGATAAGCGCAGGAGAGCAGACGACAGCAAAAACGTGGACAAGCACAAGAAAAGAACCATGGCGGTGGTAGGCATAGAAGCAGTGATAGACATAGGAACAATGGCAGCAAGAATAGCCTCTTACACTTCCACAACACCTCAGACGCTTGGACGACTCATCTCCGCGGAAAAGACCAACTATATTGAAATGAACTGTCCAGGAAATGGAGCAACTGTCGACGCTGACCTTGCAGGAGCGCACTTTGCTCAGGACGAATCAATTCCAGGAATTAGAGCAGCAGGACATGTTCAACCAAGAACCAGGAAGAAAGTATGCCGGACATTCACATGCCAGCAGCTTGGAGACTTGTTCTCTGTGATGAGGATAGGATAAAAAATGTTGCCGATGGATTATTGCTCGGCGGAGGAGTGCAGAGCCCTGTTTTGGTCATTTTGATATTTGAAGGGCGAGCAAAGCAAACAACATTCAAATAAACATCAAAAAGAGCTACATTGATACCACCCTTCATCTTGATGATGACATTGCAATACATACAAGTACCGAGTACGGGCATACCTTTGTTGGCGTTGGATAAACAAATGAGCTGCAGCAAGCATGTTTTGAATGGTATCAAACATTTGTTGTGATATCATGTTCCTTTTGTTCTCGTCTGTCTGGTTGTGTTTTTGTTTTGGACTTTCGGTCAAAACTTAAAGTCAGCCTCATCGCAGCTTAATAAAACATTCGTAAGGAACCAAGATGAAAACAGAAGAGACAGTTGATAAGATAGAAAGGTTCTTTTTACCCAATTTGAAAAGGACGCAAAAGTGGCAAAGACAGTGCCCGTGTCAGGAGGAAAAAAGAGTAGGAGAGTGGAAAAAATGATATAGAGAAAGGAAAGTCGACAGACCCCAGGCCCTTTTCTCGCCAGTCTACGTCTTGGCAAGGTAACCGCCTCAACCTGAAGTGGAGGAGGGCTTTGTCTGTATGCTCCTTTGGAGAAGGAAGGTCCCGCGAAGGATGAACAGAAAGGACATTAATGGAAAAACATCCTCTTCTCGACCAATGAGAACCCGACTTTTTTTGTGCCAGATTCGCCATCCTTTTCACCATATAATGCTGCTGTCCATCGTTATTCTCTTACTCTTTTTACCCACCTTTTAAATCTTCATCATACCTCCCCTTCTATACCTTGTCTCTATTTCCTCCACTTCCTTATCCCTGCCTCCTTTCAGTTACAAGCAGCCCATTCTCTCGACACAACAGTGTTAACACACTTCCACTCGCGACACAACACTTTCCTCTCTCCTTCCTCCTCCCCATCAGAGCAGAGGCGCAACAAATGTTCCGTCAACCTCGTAAACGGATCCAAGGCGCCTCCGACGACGACTTCTGTAAGGAAGGAGTGAGTTCCACTTTCACCACCTTCACATCTAGCGAGTTTTTGGACGATACCCCCACCACAGCCTTCGGTTCACCCTCAACCGCCTTCACCAAGGGCTTTGTCTGTGTCACTGGACCCTTCTCCATCGGTGACCACCTTGGCCACCAAAACCAGACCTTCCTTTTGACCTCCGGGAACCTTGCCTGCGACCGCTCACCCGGGGACCCATCCAAGTGGCACGGGCGCCAACTAGGAACCTCAGAGCGACTCGTTCTCCAGGCGGACGACCAACGGCTCTACCACCAAGACCGCCTCAGCCGCTTCGACCCCGACACCATGCGCCTGATCAGATTGAGCCAGCATATTGAGTACTACCTCAACGGACCGCACAGTCTCTACTATCACGACAACCACACCATCGAGACCCTCGTCGCCATGCTCAAAATTCTCCATGTAGACGACGGTCTGCACAAGCATCTTGAACGGATTCCTGAATCAGTGGCTCTCGTCCGTTGCGATATCCCGTTCTACAATCCTCTCAAGCCCGAGAGAAAGGAAATTATCGAACAGGTAGTCGTCGAACACTATCGATCGCCCTGGACGAAGAAATGGGCTTGTCGTGTCCGGGTCGCACAGGTGCAGAATCCTCATCTTTGGTTCTTGTCTCTTGCCAATGGAGCTGAGAACTCGGACGAGTCCTTCTTTGATGGCTACATCTCCATCAATCACGAGACCCAGACTTTCCAGGCCACAACAGCCCCCATCGTTGCCGCTGTGACTTCAGTCGCTGCGGACCTCCCTCCTGGCTTTGGTGCCTCGACGGATGTCGATATCCAGCCTACCGTCACCCCCGCCTTCCTCTCTGCTTTGCCTAGTACGTCCTTTTGCCCTCCTGGAGTTTCCGAGTTTGTCTCACTGGCTCAACCCCACCTGTCGGTTACCACCCAAGTATCACTCGACACCTCTGACCCCAGTCTCGGGACCACCGACCTCGACACCACTCAACACCATGGTGGTATCGTTTCGCCCGACGACAACGACAATACCTTTGGTCAACCCTTCACCACGACCAAGGTCAGGGGCAAGGCAATCAAGTCATTTTCGTGTCCTTATCCTGGCTGTTTCTTGTCATTCACCAAGAAGGGCAACCAGAAAACCCACACGATAAAGCACTACGAAAAGTTTCATTGTCCTTCCTGCCAATGCGCTTTCAGTCAAAAAACCGACCTCGACAGACACGACCAAAAAGTCCATCTGGGGTGGCGATGGAAGTGCAACCACTGCTCGCGGTCGTTTACACGGGAGTCGGTAGCAGGAAATCATACTCGTTGTCACGCGAATGGACAACCGCCAGCTGTCGAAAAAGTGACACTCCCCCCTGAGGTATGCCGCCAATGCCGACCACCAGAAGACCACCAGTCACGCCCAAAACGCCAGCGCCAGCAATGCAAGCAACATTAATGACCAACAACAATAACGCCAGCGACGACTATACACCTCTGCTCATGTATTTATGTATTTATGTATCTATGACCACCCATAACAACCACAACAACCTCAATGAATAAAAAGAAACGTATAAAAAGAAAAACAAAAATCGCCATGCTATATCTCCGTCCCTTCTCCGTTCGTCCCTTCCTTTCTCTCACTTTTCTTTATTTTTTGTGTGATGCTCCGCTCTTGTTCTTTTTTGTCCCCCTCTTCTCTCACCATTTCCCTACTTGTCAGACTGTGTGAATTGTTTGTGTCACTTACCCTCCTCTCCCTCTCTCTCTCCCTCGGGGACGTCATTGTCAGCTGTTTTATTTCGCAAGTTCCATCCGTCCCCATCGAAAATGGCAGGCTAGGAGGGCCCAACGCCCAATGCTCCAATGCTTACTCCCTGTACTCTTGAGGGAGTCATCATTCTCTTCGTGAACCTCCCCTCACCCTTCCTGTTCACTTTCTGCCTCTCTCACTCCCATCCTCTTCTTATCTCTCCTTAGTGGCCAACAACACAAGCAACAATAATGCGGCAAGAAGCAACAACAAAAATATACATTTAAATGCCATTCCCCCATCTCATCTTCCATCCATGCTCTTACGCCCTCTTACTTGTTTTGTTTTATTCAGTTCTCTTTTTCCTTTTCCTTTCCCTTTTTCCTTTTTCACTTCTTTCTTTCTTTTTCTCTTCACCCCTCCACCTTCCTTCCTACTTCACTCCACCTTCCGTACCCCTCGCCTTCCTTTCTCTCGTCCTACCCCCACTTTTTCACTTTTCTCTTCTCTCTCCTCCCTTTCCATCTTTTACCTTTCTCTTCTATCCTTTTCCTTGACCACTCCTTCTCCTCCTTCACGTCCTTTGATATCCTTCTACTTACCACTCAGTCTTTCACCGCTATCACCCACCCCCTATATTTGCTTCTGTAGGATCTTTTTTCACCTCTTCCCTCACACTCATGAACCGTGCTGTCCCTTCCTTCAACCCTATTCCTCTTTTAACACCCCTTCACCCTCCGTCCCTCACACTATGATTCTTGTTTCCTCACTTGGGATAATTCGCTGACAGAACATCATCCAACCACCTACGACTCCTTTTTTATATTATTTTCAGGACACGCACACATACGACAGCCATGTCCAGGTACGCTGCCAGCCAAGCACCGAGACTCCAGTCTGGCCCCGGAGTCGGCATCGACACACTCTCCTCCAGCGTCGCAACCTTCTACCATGACGCGCTTCCATGGTCTCCTCAGTTCCTATCCCTTCAGGAGGCCTTACAGGTCGTGTGTCTGAACCATGCCCGCGGCAAGGTGTCTGATGCCGATCTCCCTCAGAACTACCGTGGCCCGTCCTTCACACCCGTCAAGTCCACCGAGGCTCGCTTTTGCTGTATTACCGGGGTCGCCTTTCAGGACGAAGGAAACGGTCCTGAGACATATGGCTATGTTGTCGAAAAGGGTGACCTCAGCTATGTCCTGCAGCCCGAGCCGACCGACACTAACCCGCCCGTTGATAGGCCCAAGGCAATCAAGACATACGAAGTTTGCGTTAAGGCTAACTCCAAAACGCAGTACCTCGTTCGTCCGAATGACCTTCCTTCCCCTGAAGACTGCCCAAAGTCCTGCCGAGAGCTGTATGGGAGAGCTGTCGGCTCCGTCTACGGCAAGCAGACGCCTGTGCCTCTGATCACCCAGTCTCCCTTGCCGCAGCCCCCTACTGCCAGCACCATCTTGCATGGTGACGAGTTTTGTAGGCCTCTGGACAACACCATTACCACGGTTTCCTGCAGGGTACCCCGCTTTATTGGTTTGGACTTTGGCGTCAAGCAGATCCAAGACTTTGTCGTTGTCGAGTTTTCCTTGATTTCGGGCGAGTGGCAAGAGGACGACCGTCATTACAGCATCCCTGTCTCTGTCGACGATCAATGCTACCCCCTCAATGTCGCCCATCTGTCGTACACTATCTTCAGTCTGCGTGGAAGCGTCCTCTCCAGTTACTGGGCCAGCGGCATTGCAAGCAATGTTCCTGGAGAGCCTGCCTCTCTGTCCTGCAAGAACGACGACAGCCATGCTCCTGCTCTACACAAGGACCTTTCCCGTCTTCCGACATCCGACAAAAAGCGACCAAGGACGGATGTGCAACAGGCCCAGCGCAGGAAGAAGGATCCCCAAGAAACGACCCCTCCTTCGACCAAGAACCGCAAAGTGTTGCCTAGAGACTTGAACCCCTCCCCACCTCCGTCGGCGGGGATCAATTGCGACCTGTGCCACAAGGCCTTTGCAAGTCGCAAGAGCCTGAATGCCCATATGCCGAGCCACGACGAGAACCGCCCATCCTTTGCGTGCGATGCCTGTGACAAGACGTTCACCAGACCAAGTGATATGGATCGACACAAAGTGTCGAGCCACAACAACATGAAATGTCCCTGCGAGCACTGTGGCCGTTTGTTGTCCAGAGCTGACGGCCTCCTCAGTCACCAAAGAACCTGCCGTAGCAAACCCCAGTAGACTTTTTTTGATAATCTTTTTTAATATACTCATCTTGTTCATGATACCTTCACCCGCTTGCTTTGTTATGATTTCTCGTGTGGATACTGTTCTTTGAATAAACGGACTTTTTATCCCATCCGATATTGGCTTGCGCCTGTTTTCTTGTGATGAAATGGCTGTACTTGACCATTGTCGTTTGCCATCCTTCTTCGTTGCCTTGTCTGTTATTTTCTCTGTTCTCTCTCTCTCTCTCTCTCTCTCCCTACTACATGTGACATTTGTCGCTCTATCTGCGTGTACATGGCCATCTTCTTGTCCATAAATGCTGCAAAACCATTGGTGATTGAGCGCAATGCAATATCATTTACGGCGAGTATTTGGGCAAGTTTTTTTTTTTTTTTTTTAATTTTCCTCTTTTTTTCCTTCAACCCTTCAACCAACCCACCATCCTGCCAGCTCACACAAACACTCACAAACTCTCACACTCTCACACAGACATACCTCGTATCCAAGACAGATCACATACTTTTCTTTAATTGATAAACGGAAAAGATAACAAAAACATAAAAAAACAACACGGACCAGCAACCAACCAAACCTATCAAGAGCAGCTACCCTCCACCAGTACCAACAACATACACTCCCCAGACAACACAACAACAGCTAAGCTACCCAATCACCACCAACACAACAACCCCCCTTCTCCTTCTCAAACATCATGGTTGCTCCCGCCAAAAAATATACCGATGAGCGTCCTGTGGAGGCCGTCGTGGCCCTCCCGGATTCTGTGGATGACGTGACCCTCCCGGATTCGGTTGAAGACTTCAGCGACAAGACTCAACAAGATCAAGAAACCGCGCCGTTCATCTGCCTCCTCTCTCACGGGATCCACCTGGGCGACTATGTCGCTATCTTGGAGTACTCCTTTAACTGTACCGGTCTGAAAGTCCTCCAATGGACCCCCAAAAGCCATATGGTCGAGTTTGGGTCCTACTATGAGATCCCTGAAAAGGACGATCTTGGTCGCAAGAAGAGAGTCGCCGTAGTTTCGGAGCGGCATACCGTCGAGCTGCCAAACCCCAATCTGCCTTATTTGCCCTTCTGCGAGAACCTCGACCGGCTGGTTGAAACCCAAACCCCAGTAACAGCAGTTGCCAACCTCTCTGTCCCCATCAATGCTTTTCCTGAGAATGTCAGACGCATCATTTGTAGCAAGGTTGTCCATAGAGACGCCGGCGAAATTTACCCTGAGGTCGTTGGTCTCTGTGTGCTCGAATACGAGCTTCTCGCACCTCTCAATTCTTCCTCCTCTTCTTCCTCCTCCTCTTCTTCCTCCTCCTCCTCCTCTACAAGCTCACAATCGTCGTCTCCATCACACAAAAACCTGGAGTGGAAAGCGATCGTCGGCTACACGTTGGACGTCTCAAGCGCCGGCCATGAGTACAAAACCAGCACCACCAGCGCCACAGGAGACCGTCCCAAAACACAACACACTCTTACCCTAGATCTTGGCATCGGCTACCCCGCTCAGAGTTTTTTTGCTCTTCAACAACCCCGCGTTCGCTACAATAACCCCTCTTTTTTCTCGATGAACAGTGTCGAACAGTCCACCGAATGCTGCAAGTTCCAGGACTTCTCTGTCACTGAAGACCACCTCTCGAAAAGGCGCAAGCTCATCTTCAAAAGAGGCAACTACATCCGCCCAGCTCAGAACTCCGTTCGGTCGGCCCGTGTCAGGGCTGCTCCGCTACCGAACGGGTCGGGGCTCCGGCCGATCTTGCCTGCCATATCGCTGCCAACCAGTATTATGCCCAACATCGTCGTCACTGTCCGCAACTCAGACAGCAGCAGCAACTCTAGTGCCGGCGTGTCATCAAGCAACTCTGGTGCCAGCTGGTCTCCAAGTAGCGTCAGGTTCAATGTGTTGGCAAGCAGCCCCAGTGCCAGCTCCAGTGCCAGCTTCAGTGCCAGTACCAGTGCATGCCTCAGTCGTCCTCCTCACCGTTCTCCTGCCGTCATCGTTCGTCCTCCTCACGGTTCACCTGCCGTCGTCGTTCGCCCTCCTCTTCATCCTCCCCCCGACGAGTCCCCAACTGCTTCTAGAGATCGGATCTAGTGCCCGCGCCTTAACTGCTGGTGCTACGTCTACTTAAACGAGACCCTGTACCGTACGCCTATATATTATGTACAAACACGACAAACCCTGAATGTACAAGTGCGAGTATTTTGGTTGCGAGTGCGCCTACCCATGCATGGGCAGCCAGACGACCCATATCAAGTCGAAGCATAAGAAAGACGAGTTGAAGAAGTGTCAGAAGTGTGGCGAGGCGTTGTCGAAGGGGGGATAATACTATGAGGCATGAGAGGACTTGTACGGGTGTTGCTGGTGGTAAGGATAAAGGAAGCGAAGACTGAGCAAGTGGGAAGCTCGGTTTCTTGGTTTCTGTTTGTTATTATTTTAATAAACTGTATGTGTACGCATGTGTATGTGTGCGTATGTGTATGCATGCGTCATCTTTCAATTTTTTGGCCCATTTTAGTACAATTGGTGTTTCCAACACAAATAGAACAGCACATAAAAACCACATCCTCGCCATCAGTCCGTCGTCAGACCAACAAAGGACGATGCAACACCTGGAGACACCCGGCGCCAGGAAACTCAGCAAGGCGTACAGCTGAGAGCGTAGCAGTGATGAATCAACACTCTCTCATTAGCAACGAGGACAGGGGATGAACATCAGCAGATACATAGGAGAGGAATGCACATCAGTGTTCTGTTCTTGTCTTTTCTGTGCAGAACGATGACGAGCTCGTCAGCATCGGCACACTTAGCTTGGCTATCCACACCACGGCATACAGACACAAACGACAGGCCCTAGAAACGTAATGCCATCACTGTCGCTCTTCGTTGCAATCTACACCACACAAGCGACAATCACGACTACAACAAAAGGAAGAACATTGTTGGACTCAGATCTATTGTTAGATTGAAACGATCAAGGTTATCAAGGCAACGTAAACTGATATGTAACGACACTCTGTTCCTGACATCAACGACCAATCGCAACAAAGAGAATTAAATAGTTGCGATAGTTCAGGAACAAAAAAAAAATTGAAGGGCAATTACCACCGACAGACAATACAGGAAAAAAAGGCAACAAACCGGGTTTGTTGGCAGGATCAGGAATAGGTCGGGTCGTCGGGACCCTTGTCAGCATTTATGACGACGTACACGCATATTTATGTCCGCTTAGCCTTTTTCTCCTTATTACTTTGTCTGTCGGTGTCATTTAGCATGCAAGGAATGCCTGATTTCCTGGTCTGGTGTGGCTTAGTTCTTTGAACAACATTACGTGCAAATTGCGTGTCTAGTCGATTCTCAAGTCACGTAGTAAGAGGACCCATGCAATTTGATCCGCAGACGACTACGATAGTTTCTAGGCAGGATATCCCAATCGACGTCAAAAGAACCAGGCCTAGGAAAGGAGCGCCCAGGAAGAGACGGGGATTGACTACGTGTAGTAACAAAAGGGAAACCTTTTGCTTAGGGGCGAACGAAAAACACAGGACTCACTTGGACAAAAAAAGACGGGGCTAGGCAATGTCCAACTGGAGACAATATGTATTCATGCGTGGAATCAAGGAGTTTCTTTTTCTTTCTGCCCATGGCAAAGCTCCTTTGAGTCGTCACTACACAGTTAGACAGTTGCGAATAAGAAAAGGCATGATTATAGATAAATGCAACGAGTACTTTATACAAAACGGCATTTGTGGGGGGCGACAATGGAACGGACAAAGTATACAGGGAGCCTTATAGTTGCATAGCATGGTATGGTGTCAATGTTGCATTTATGTTTGAGATTGATATCGCCCAGTGCTCAATACGTCCGTCCATCTGAACAAGAGCGCTCAGCTGTTGGTGCTTAATCGCAGAAACAAAAACAGCACTAGAACAGATGTAAGAAAGCATTAAACAAAAGAGCGAAGACAGTGGGAGAGGAGTAAAACGGCAATCGCGCACAAATTCATGCAAGCTTCGGAGTCATTGAAGCTCTTCTTTTTCTTCCTATCGTCCTTCTTTACTCTTCTCCTCCTTTTGGTGTTGCCCTTACCCTCATCCTCAACCCATTTCCCTTTTCACTTTAAACCCTTTTTGTGTGCATTTTGAATCAGCTCACTACCTTCTTCTTCGGCTCATCCTGCTCCTCCGTTCCCTCCTTCTTAGACCAGGCGACTATGATTTGGTCATCTGGTGCGTCTTTCTTACATTGTCCAACCACGCATTATTACCACCCCATCATCCTCAGCCAACCCCTCTGTTACCGTCTCCCTAAATTATTTGTATGGTCAATTTTGATGATTTTTTTTTTGGAGGGTGCGTTTGTTTTTGGTCAGTGCGCCTTACATTGCTCGCCCGTTCATCCATCCATCCACCCTTCCATCCCACCTTACCGCCTCTCCTTCTCCCTTCTTTCTTTCTTCCCTCCCCTACCCTCCTCTTTTGCTCTTAACATTTGAGCCCCCTAGTATGACAAAGCTTACTCGATCGTCGCCGTCGTCGTTATTGCCAGAAGTCGCATAAATAGCACCCCTTGTTTTGTCTTGCACATTTTTGTTATTCGCGTGCTTTATTCAAAGAGTATATACAGATAACCTATACATATCGGGAGCTGGAGTTTAAGTGTGAGAGCGTTGAGCAGCATAGAAGCATGGAAGAAGGGCGTTAGAGAAAAGGGCATAATGGCGGAATGGTAATATACGAGTGAGGTGAATGTGTCTAGGGATATGCAGGAGAAGGTTGTTGTTGCACTGAGCCTAAGAAACGAGACATGGTAATTGAATGGGTTGCATTGGCATGAAAGTGTAGAAGGGTCCTTTTGGACGCGTGGAAGGAAAGTGTTGAAGAGGAAAGAGATGATGGAGACTTGATTGATATTGACGTTGGGGATTCGATTGGCAACCTGACATCTCGGCAATGTCGACTTGGAGGAAAACGCGTCGCTCAACAGCCTAAATGCGTGCAAAACTAGGATAGACATGTCTAGGCGGGGGCTGGATGCTGAACGGGGGCACCTCCTTGTTGGCCAGTGTTCTGGTTCTGGTTGGGCGCGTTCTGACCAAGCTGGACAGCTGCTTGAGGAGGGTTCTGCGCTTGACCACCGACGTTCACGACTTGGTTGTCGAGGAATATGCCTTGGTTGTTGCCGTTTTGTCTTGGCGTGTCGTCGGTACGGACTGACTTTTGGTGGGTAATGGCCATCATTTTGTTCTTACAATTTTGGTATTGGAGATTGGGTTGGGGTGGAGTGTTTTGAGTAAGGATATGGCTCGATCTGAGGCATGCGCTGGATGGAGATTGGAAACTGGAGGATGTTCGGTAGATTCGATGTAGGAAAGTGGGGTTCAAAAGAAGACAATATCCTTTCTTTTTATACATCCATGGTTACCCAATCAGCTCAAAGCTATGTTATTGTCTCCTTTACAATACGTGGTGGTCTATGATGCCGTAACCGACAGTATTTGAAGTAGGTTTGCATAAATAAATAAAAAGCGACCACTTAATGCATCCATCATGGGTATGGGATCTCTCCTCTTTCGTGCCTGCTTATCAGGAGTAAAATAAAGTAAGGACTAGGACTCAGGAGTGTGCCTTTTTTTTCTCACATGTGGGAGAAGATCACTTTAGGTGGGACGCATGAACGAAGATGGACTACAAGAACATGTAACCCTTTGTCGTGGTCGTGGAGAAAAGCACACATTCGAGTGGGGCTATTCATACCTTCCATCCTTTACCCACCCACTCACTCACTTGCTCCACGTTGGGTCCTCCCCTTTGGCTCTTCCACATCAAGCAAGGAGTGAAAACATGAGCGCGAGCTGTCCATCCTACAGCATAAAAAAAGGAGACCCAACAACATGGTCAGTCAATATCCCATCCCATCCCATCCCATCCCATCCCTTCTTACTTCACTCGCCATCAGAATCACTACCGCAGTAAAAACAACCATGCCGGTGGTGACAAAACGAAAAACAAATAGAATGAAGGCCCAAAAAAGAGCGATGAACGCTGTGCTGCTCTCCTCTCTGATTCTGCCTTTTTTCCATCGAGTAAGCGTGCAACGTTTTTTGAGAGGCGACCGAATTTGTTCGGAAATTAAGCCCATGCCTCATCGCAACAATGCAACCTCCTGGGTTGAACAGACAAAAAAAGCGCCAGCTTGGATAATGCATTTATTCGCTCTCCCATCTTTTCCTCACACACACACGCACACACTGAATCGCCTCCGATTCCTCTGTTATTGTTGTTTTGTAAGTCTCCTGTCTCTGTTGACAATTCGCGATGCATTATTATTGTTCTGGGAACTGAAAGGAGAGAAGAGGAGGGGGGAAACAGAGAGAGAAATGGTATATGAAACGCGAAAAACTAAATGGTTAAGGCAGGGAGCAAAAAAAGGGAAGAAGGGAAGGGAGACAGCAACAGGGCAGTGGGCAATGTGCCTCAATTTAGAATGCTTTCTTTGCTTTTTCTCCAATATGGGAAGTGAAGAGTGTCAGTTAGGTCGTCGTCGTTCAAATGAGGAAGCAAGAAAAAGCGGCATGCACATCGCTCTTGTTGTTGATGTAGGTAAAAATACACACCGTAGAAGGGTTCTTTGTTTTTACCCCTTTTTCGTTAAAGAACCTTGTATTTTAGCTTGTGTGCCCCGCCTACATGTGACAGCATCGTCCACAAATAGACATTACTGAACAACTAAAAAGAAGGTAGCCCTCGGAAGGGAGGACGGACGCGTTTTGTGTGTGAGGGAGGGTATCGCGATGGAAATGTAGGATGGGCTGGCATTCTAAAAAGGGTGCATTTGCCGATTTGAAAACAGAAGCAAAGGAAACCGAGGAAGACAACAGAGAAATGAACACTCCCTCCTCTCTCGGCGGGAACCCTGTTGACGAAAAGCAAACGACAAAATTTTTCGCGTGTCACATGAAGAAGAGAGGAGACAGAGAGCAGATGGGACCCCGAAGTATTAAAAAAAGAAATCCCAGGGAGGTGTGTGCGTGATGTGTGTGTACAAATGGTCACGCTGCTTAAGCAAGGGAGCAGATGAAAAGGGGGGAGGACGACGAGGAGGTGGAGTGAGGAGGGGGGACCTAAACTCAATTTCGTCAGCGCTCCCTTCAATTCGAATTCGTTGTTCAGAAAGCATGAACGTTTCTTTTTTCTATTTGACAAAAATCATAAGCAAATCAGCAAGAATAGGTGGAAGCAACATGGCAAAGTCTCAACAGGGACGCAAATGAACTGTTATATCTAAACTTGGACTGAAAGAGCACCAGATGACATTAGCATGTACCCGGTGTTGTTCACTCGTTGAGCTTTTTTTTTCGAAATTGTCCCACGAGATGCAAGTGCCTTCTGGTACAACTGCTGCAAGTGAGAAGGATATACAACGACCATGTCGCGAGGGAGAGAGGAAATAGAGAGAGACAAATAGAGAAGGAGGGAGAACGAAAGGGATGGGAAGAGTAGTAGAATGAAGCAATTGAGCGATTCCTGCTTTAATGAGAAGGGTTCGTTAATTTAAAATGTCGTCTTCATTCCTGATCTCAGTTTAAACACTTGCATTAGCTATTGAAGCATTGTAAGCTGTTGTTATTTCCCTTCGACTTCGTAATATTTGTCTTGCTCTCCGTTGCACAATGCGCTCCGTTTTGCGTCGAGAAATGAACACGACAATGCAATTGATAGACAAGGTTGTTGACGTGGGCGTAACCTGTGTCTTTCTAAAAATCATCTTCCAGCTTCGCCATATTCATTGCCCAAGCCACTCACTTCAACTACTCAATCCTGTCGAAATTCGCATAAAATGCAAACAGTTGAGCTCTTTTTCCCCTTCTTCTTTGTCCCTCTTCCCTCTCTCATTCTCATTTACATTTTGTATTCTCCGTAGTCGTTCTCTCTAAATCAACATCGCCGCTCTACTCCTCCAAAACAACAACAAAACAATACAACGCTCCACCCCTTTTGTTCGTTTACGATCAAGCCATCAAAGGCATGCTCATGGCAACAGCAGCAAGCTGCCACCAGCGTTATCGACCAGGACCAGGACAGGGTACCAATATGGACAGATGCAATACATGGCCGCCCAATCCCGAAGAACTGCCAGAAAGCGAGGTCCAAAACACGTCTGTCCACACCAACAACTCCAACGTCCCATTCGCACCGATTTTGTTCCAAGGCGAGAATGTGATGGCCCTTCCTGCTCAGTGGGTATTTGCACACCTGTCGCCCCCCCATGTTGACCAATTCGTCACGGCCGAGGACATACTCCGGCCACCTTACCAGACCGCCCAGCCGCCACCACCGATTTTAATGCTACCCACTTCGACAGCATATATGGGGCTCGACTCAATAGCAGCAGGAGCAAGAGGAGGCAACGGATCTCTAATGATGGACCCACTAGCAGAGTATGAGAGCGGCGCTCGTTTGGAGGCGCAGGGAAGGGAAACAGACATGTCGCTTGATATCGCAATGGCAATGGAGGACCAACGACCCATGTACTTTGTCCTGAGTCGCTTCCAACCTCCAAGCGTCACCCATGTAACAACAGTGCCTCCACCATCAATGCCACCACAGCCCACGGAGGAACACCTTCATGATATGTTAATGGTGCCCGATATGTACGCCATGGACACTCTTCCGCGGGACGACCCAATATCGATGGGAGCCTTTCATGGTGCAGGAATGACTATCTCGCCCGCTGATACAATGAACTCGCCTCTGCATTCCTCTCTGACACCAGCTATGGATGCGTTGTCAGCAGCAACACCCAACATGGTTGGCTCGCCGTACCTGCCAGCAAAGGACGAGCCTGGGGAGGGCGAAGGTTTTGAATATTACGAATATGACGATGAAAACGACCTCGAGGGCGACAATGACAACGATATGGAAGAGGACGACGATAACGAAAACGACCGCAGTAGCAGCATCGACAACACTATGACCAACGACAACGACAACGACGCAAAACTAAGGTCCAAGAGTAATGAATGCCCTGTATGCCACAAGACGTTCACCCGACGGAGCAACCTGAAAACACACGAAAAGCTGCATCAAAGGACGCATGCTGTTGCCTGTCCTCTCTGCAAATGCACCTTCTCTCGGCAGCCCGATCTCAACCGACACCTCCTGGCGATCCACCAAGGCGATCGAAGTCACACCTGTGACAAGTGCGGTCGATCCTTTGCAAGGAAGGATGCCTGGCGAGTCCATCAGAACTCTTGCAAACGAACTACCCCACAGCATGAGCGGACAACAGCAACAACGCCATTATTATGAATAAAACGCTGCAACAATACCTCCATTAACATCATCTGTTTTAAGTCTTCGCCCAAATGATGCCTCATTCATCTTTTCCCCCCACCATTTTTATCTTCTGCAGAGTACTCCCGACTCTGTGGCTTTTTTTTAGAGCGGGGTCCGGGCCATCCATCCGATGGATACGATGGATTGTCATGCGATTCTCTATTTACTCCGCTTTTTTTTTTCTTCGCCATCCTTCCTTCTTTCCTTCCCGTCTCGACACTCCCATCGACGGACACCCTTTTTTTAGCATCAGACAACCCACCCTGGCGCAGGAATCCCCATCTCAGACCGCAGTCTTCACACCTCTATTCTCGTTCTCACACTTTATTATTCCACACCTCCTCATTTCTCACTTCTGACTCTCCCCTCATTCACATCACACCCCTCGCTACTGGACTTGAAGCGAGAACACACATACACAACTGGAATCAGGTATCATGACTCATCTTTTCCTTACATCTCCTTTCACATCCGTCACCTCTCTATTCTCATCCTCGTTTTCATAACCTAAAGACCCTTAATGCTAGGAGTCGGAGGGTAATGAAAGAAAGAGAAAGGAGGGAAGGATCAATCGCCACACAATCAACAACAGCAGTGTTATGCTATCGCCTTTTATTATGTTGTCTTAGGCTGGTTCGTTTCTTCTTGCGCCTGACGTTTCGACCAGTGATAGAAAGGGGGACCGAGGAGGAAGAAGGAAATAAGGAACGTTCAGTGATAACCGTGATTCAAGTCTACGACGATCGTAGATTTCAGTACAACTCGGTTCAGGTTTAGTGGTCGCCTTCACCCTCTCTCGAAAGAACAGTTAAGCAGGATCAGCAGCAGCGGTGACAGGTTGTTCTTCAGCAGGTGCAAGGGCAAGTGTAAGATCGGGGGCTGGCTCCTCCATCTCCACCTCCACAGCTTCGATCGGCACAGGAACGTCGCGAAGATCAATCACTGTATTGCTCATAAAGACTTCGTCAGGCCGATTAACAACGGCGCTGGATCGTCTGATGGCCATTGTTATATTGAAGTTCATTTTATTTGGATATGGTTGGTTGTTGAAGGATGGCGTTGCTGATTACTCTATTGCTGGAGCCGAAGACTGACTCGTTTACTTGAAGATTATAAGACTTGGAGTTGGGTGTAGCTATGGATTGTCGTTGTGAGGTAGCTTGAAAGTACGTAACAAGAAAACATATGAACAAATACAAAATGTAACAGCAATGCAGGGTGTCGATGGCTATGTCTGTGCGGATGATGGTAACAAAACTACTAGAACACGCATAAGCGGAGAAAAAATCAAGAAAGAGTTGAGGTAGAGGGATGGAGCAGAGTTGTTCTTTTATAGATGGAGCAAGCAAGGGGCGACGACGATGTAGATTTTGTTAGGACAGGACCAAAAGGGTCTTCCATTCACTTCAGCCACTGTATGCTTTTTTCGCCATAGAAACTAAGGGCAGATGCGGTGGCACGGGAAAAAATCGCCAAGAGCGAAAAGTATTATTGCCTCTGGGGGTGGTCGAAATGTATTGAGAAAGAAGACATACAACTCGAATCAATGCCATCACCCCATGCATTCTGATTAGCTGGTTCCTCGTGTGGCTGCCAGTGGACCCCATACACCATCATTGCACACCTTTTTCATCCACTCTTACCTTCTTCACTTACCGCGCTTGTATTCTCTCTACCTTACACATAGCGCTTGCCTTCACTCTCACACGCCTACTCTCTACGTCACAAACCGTTCTTGAATCCCGCATCCTTCTTTCCCTCCTCCACCAGCATGTCGCAGCCCTTCCAACCTTACGTCCGACCATCCGATGCCAACGAGAGATGTCTTGAGACATTCGGATTTGAGCCAATGGCAAGATCATTCAAAGCTTGATCTTCCATGGAAGGATTGTTGTTGGAAGAGGTTGGATTAGGTGCGAACAAAGGTGCAATATGAACCGAGTCTCCGTTTCCATCTTGAAGGCAGGGACGACATGCAATGGGGCGTAACCGTCTAGCGTTCGTGTGAATATATAGTGGTTGAGGATGTTGAATCGATTTTTTTGGTTTAACTGTGGAAGATGACGACGACGCGGTGGGTTCAGCTTTCTTGCTTTGCTGTAAGCCGAAGTAATCCACACGAGGTATTGGACGGGTCGATGAAAGAGCAGTAGGTGAGGTGGGAAAAGCATATGAAAGGGAAGGTTCGCGTGTAGACGTGTCCGCCTGCAAAGCTGTTACAAGCGCTATTGGCGGGTGTGTCTGCGGACGCGCTTGCAAAGTTGCAACCGGTGCTGTTGATGACGAGGAGGCAATTGGATGCGGTTGGGGTTGCGGAGCGATAAGCTGTGGCTGGGGCTGAGAAGGTCGTGAGGCGATACACTGTTGTTGAGTTTGAGGGGATCGTGGGGCAATAGGTCGTTGTTGAGGTTGAGGAAGTCGTGCGTTAATAGGTCGTTGTTGAGGTTGAAGGGGTCGTCGGGTAATAGGTCGCAGTTGAAGTTGAGAAGGTCGTGCGGTGATAAGTTGTTGCTGGGGTTGAGAAGGTCCTGAGGTAATAGGTCGCAGCTGAGGTTGAGAAGGTCGTGCGGCGATAAGTCGTGGTTGCGGTGCAATTGGGTCTAATTGAGATGACACGGCGTTTGGACGTTGTTGAGGTTGTGCGGAGATTGAGAGTGCCAGAAGTAGGTGTGCGTCAGAAGCGGTTGCTGCCAATAACGAACTGGTGTCTGGCTTAGGATCCACCAGTTCTGACACAAGCGACTTGCCAGGGAAAAGACGAGGAGCATGGTTAGGTAAATTGCTAACATCTCGTAGGTTTGATATGCCGTCTGAAAGCACAGGATCAAGTGTTGGTTGTGCATGAGTCAAAGATGATTGGCCATCAGTAGTATGTCGACTCCGTTTGGAAGGTTGCGATGAGGACTCAATGGTTGTTTCGGGTTCATCTCGGTAGACTTGCAATTGTCGCTTAGATCTTCTGTGAGACATGCTGGTGAAGGAGGGAAAGAAGGGATGCGGGATTCAAGATCGGTTTGTGACGTAGAGAGTGGGTGTGTGAGAGTGAAGGCAAGCGCTATGTGTGTTGTTAAAAGAGTTAAAGTGAACGAGCGGTGTAAGGTAGAGAGGATACAAGCGCGGTAAGTGGAGAAGGTAAGAGTGGATGAAAGATGAAAAAGGTGCAATGGGTCGACAGGCACATAACACTGAATGGCAGCCACTGGAGTGTATGACTGGCAGCCAATCAGAATACACGAAGAACCAGCCAATCAGAATACATGAGGCGACAGCCAATAAAAATCGATCATTTTTTTTGAACTGTGTCTTGAACAGTCGGACCTGAGGGGCCACCGTGTTTTTCATTTCAGACCAGCAAAGAGCGGTAGAAACCAGGTTGATTGAGGAAATTGTGACGCCGAATGATAAGGACACTGTCTACTAACGTCAATTTGACTCGTTTTCCTTTTTTCGTGATTTCTTATACTGATACTTTCTCGCATGGTTCCCCCTCCCTCAATTCTCATATTTGTTACTGTCGCTCGAAGATGTTTGTTATTACAAGAGTTGGGGGGGTATGTTGGCTGTTTCTACCTATGTGAAAGTAGCATTGGGCATCGAGCGACGACCGTCACGTCTGTGTCCATAAAAAATTAAGGTCGTCCAGGCACAAAGTCCTCTACCAGCGAACGCAGATCACCAAAAAAAATCAGCTTCCGAATCCGCTCCATCCTTACATGTTGTTTCCACCACCGACGACAACGACAATAACAACGACAAAAACGACAACGATGGGTGCTGAGGGAGGAGGAGTAGGAGGGATGGAGACGGGCCTCGGCAGCACGACAGGGACAGGAGGAGGTGTCAATCCAATTGGGTCAGGGATGTCCGTGTGATCAATGACTTTATCGGACATCAGGTCTCCGATCTCGGGTAGAGGCTGGTAGGTAATGGATGCGTGTCTTCTTGCGGCCATGACAAAGAATGGGTATGGTTTGTCTGTGTAGTGTGAGGAAGAGATGTAAGTGGTAAGGGCGTGTAGAGTTTGGTGTTGTGGGCAGAGAAAAGATGGGCGATGTGATGTGTGTTGATGGAGAGGACATGATTGTAAAATCAAAAAAGAGAGAAAAGCCCGTTCGTTTTAAAGCAAACGATAAGGGGCAAGGCGAAGTGCAAAGTCCAACTCAACTCGGACCATCTGAACAATTGAACAATTCTACGCATACCATTTTAGATCCCCGATGCCCAAGCACAACTTTGTGTAATTTATCACAACCGGTCACATTACACCTACTAGTAGTAGTCAGTTGCCTTTGGAGAGTGAAGAGCAAAATGATCGTCTGTGGAGTGATTTGAGGAATGAGATAAAGGGCAGAGTCTGCCAAGGAGAGTGACGAAGAGGAGGTGAATGAGAAACGAAGAACAAATGGGTGAAATGAGTCAGAGGAGGAATGATTTGAATGTTCGCTAGTGTGGAGTCCAATGGTATACGGTCAATGTGAGGGTACACTGACTAGTGATGTGTGTGTGTGTGCCGACCAACCCGGATACCAACTATGGTATATAAGTATATAGTTCCATGAGACATTCTTCTTCCACCGTCTCTTTCAATATCTTCTCCTGATCACCGATGAAGAACATTGCTGTCCACTTTTGAAAGCCTGCCGATCATTCCCTGGATAGTTGTACAAATGGAAGTATCGGTGGGGGAACGGATATGGATGTTACAGATATCCCTCACGTGTGCAACTATCCCGCTACTCAAAGAGGATGGACGGGGTGGGAAATGCTTAGAAGCTCGCCTAGAATACACTGCATCATTTATAGCAATGAGAGGCTTTATGTTGTGAGAAACTATGTACAGCTTAGAAGCTCGTTTAGAATACACTGCATTACTTCATAGCAATGAGAGACTTTAATGTTGTGAGAAACTATGTACAGACATGTCAAGATTTAAATCCTAGATTTAACATCTAAGTGGCCAGGGACATCTAATTGGTGGTGGTCTAACGTCAATAATATGTTGGCACCTGCCACTAATACACTGATGTTCTGGCTTGCAACATTCATTGCCTGGATCATATCGATTGGATGGTGTCGATGAGTTAGCTTACGAAAATAACAAAAGCAGAGAGTAGAACAAGAACAGGAATGGGCAACGGATTTACCACAAGCTTTTGGTCTGTCAAGGGGACAACGAAGACAAAAACCATCACCGGTGCACCCAAAGTTGTCCTGTAATTATAGAAACGTGTTAACAGGAATAGGGCAAGGCAGTTGACTTTGGTTCCCACTACAATTAATATTACAAACTCACCTTGCAGCACTGAACTTTACACTCATAGGGATAATAGACAGAACATGGACGGCAGGTGCCATCAGCATTGCACCCGTAGTTTTTCTGTAATTACAAAAACGTGTTAGCATGAATGAAGAGGCACACTTGACATTGCTACACCATTAAATAAAATATCCGGACTCACCGAGCAGCACCACAGTGTACCACACGCATAGGGATATTCAGGTTTGGTACATGCTTGCATCGTCACGTTAGCACCATCGAGCCCAAGGGCAGCATCACTGACCCCAAGGGGGGCGACATCATTGGCCCTGAGGTCAGTCTCATCCTTGGCGACTTTTCCCGGAAGTCCATCCGTGGTCTGTAGGACCCCGACGGCAAAAACAAGGGGGATCAGAGTGACAAGGGGGTTGGATCGCATGTTGATAAGATGAAGAACAAAGATAAAGATGTCTGGTAAAAGGATCAAGAAAGCCTCTCTATATGGTTGTTAGTGTTTAGTGTTGTGGTGTTAGTGTGGAGTATTGTGAGATTGAATTCAAAATGCGTGAGTGGTGGCTTTATATAGGAAGGGAGAAGGAAAGAGCTGTGTTTACAGAGGCTCGCAGGAGCAAGTGTTCCCCCGACTGTGTGTCGGGGAGGAACCTACTGTAGACCCACAGCACTGACCCTGCATTTGACTCCAGGCGCAAGACTTACGAGAATCTGGGTCAAGAACGTGGAGGGGTGTTCTGTGAGGTGTGGTGGCTCTTGCGACAGTATTTGTGATGGTTGTTGCAGTAGTAGTTGTGAGTGTTGAGAGTGCTGTTGCGAGTTTAGAGACTTAGGTTTGGATCAGATGTGTGTTGGTTCAGATGAGAGAGGGAGTTGCAGGTGTGGTATGATGGCGTTTATATAGGTGACAAAATAACTGCACGAATGGTTCTGTAGGGTTCTCGAAAGATGTGCGTGCATTGTGTGGTGTGCGTACATCATGTTTGCGGTGCGGCGATTGGGGTGTAGGATCAGGCGGCAAGATTTGACAGGCTACACATGCAAGACGAATATGACCAGTTGTGTTTAAAGCATGGACGCCCGACGGCATATGGCCAGGTGGGAAGGTGCACCCAATGGTGGATCCAAAATGAGGGTGTCGCTATCACAACATCCGGCCACTATCCAAAATGTCGTGGTCAGGCCCTAGGCCTTGCAGGTGGTCTGGGTACAGTAAAATTTTAACCCCTTTTCCAATTATTGGTTATTGGCTAGAGACACCACCAAAGGAGAGTTCCAGTCATGGGATCTGCAAGTCTAGGTGGTCTAGTGCAACAGATATTGCTTTACCTTCTTTCTCCTCTTGCATCTAAGCACTGCTTAATTTTAGCTCGTCTCTAAAATGGTTGGAATGTTTCAGCCGTGGGAACTGCTAGGTGGCCTGGGCACAACTTAATTTAAGCTCTTCTTTTGATTAACTGAATAGTCACTGCACCACAGGGGGAACCAGGCATAGGATCAGGAGTCTTTGCATACGGCGATTTAAGCTCCTTCCATCATTGGCTGGGTACCCCCTACACAGACCGCTTCTGTCACAAGAGCAGTCAGTAATGGGGCTGGGTGGTCTAGTAGTAGCCTAATTGCGAGCCTCTCCTATGATTGGCGGGGTAGCCATTGCACCACCAGATAATGTTCCAATCATGAGAGCGTAGTACCGGGTAGTGATCTGAGGGTTTCTACCACTTAAGGGGTCTGACCCTTTTTTTGGAAACATGACATTACCCGGATTCGAACCCAGCATTATCCCTTTGCCATTTGACCTTGCTTTACGGCGTGAACAAAAAACGCAGGAGCGCAATAACTGCGACAATCAAATGGCAAAAGGGATATATAGTATTCACTTGGACAGCACCATGTCTGTATGGGAAATGTCTCTACTAAATACCGAATAGCTATGAAGCTCTAATGCACTTATGCTTTTCCCTTGGTGTTTGATTCTACCTATTCTTAGCCTTCAAGTGTTTAATTCTCATTATGCACACTCAGCCCGCTGCTGCGTGATGTCGGGCCAAGGCCTAATGAAGAGATGAATGTAAGGTGTGCGCAGAGAGAAAGAGAATGTAGGTAACGAATGTCATTTATTGATTTAGCTTGGCAACTTGAGCCATACTACGTGGGGTGATCTTGCAGAGCGGAAAGGCTTTGTGAGGTTCCTGCTGATGTTAATTTCAAATATTGGAAGAGATAGATCCATTGCAGACGGATTTTAAGCATCGTGGTATTGTACGCAGTAGAGACGCTCTGTCGCGTCGATCTGCTGAGATTAAGCCATATGTTGTAAAGATTTTTTCGAAAGAACAAGATCTCTTTTTTTCTCTTTCTTTCTGGGCGCAAAGGGCATTTCAACATATACCTTGGAGCAAGGATAACTGGCTTGTAGCAGCCAAGCGTTCATTGCGACATTGATTTTTGATCCTTTGTTGCACAAGGAACAGCACGAAGGAGAAAAAAAAGCAATTTGCGCGAGAAAACAGTGATCATGCCACTTCATACTTGTTTCACGGGAAACAGTGAAGGGAGGGAAACGAAAAACAGATGAGTTCCTCAATGACATGAATAACACATGGCACAAGTACAGTATTTAAACAACCACTACTGAAGTCTGCAGCTAATCGTTCATGTTTAATACAGATTGTACTACCTCATGGAGGTTATTACAAAGATCCATAAATGAAAAATAAACATCGTTTTCGGTGACATAGAGCATTTCAGTTGGGTGATCCCAACTAACATAATAATCGTAAAGATTTTAACATAATAATCGTAAAGATTTTAATATGACGTATCACTCTCGTATTTATCGTCGTCTGTCATAGCTGATTTGACATCGTCCACAATGAATGCTGGTAGTTCACCGATGGTCAAAGGCGCTGATTGCTTCGTTCGATGTATGCAACATCTTTCCGTATATCCCTTACTGAAAACAGCGTAGCGTATCGTGGCATCTATGCATGCTACCTGTCCGTTCATAGTGTAGAAGCCGGGCTTGAGAGTCCTCGAGGTCGCCTTGTTCTTTGTTGAATGGCCTGAACAACACCAAGCCTGGGTGTCTCCGCTGTGAATATCGTAGCATTCACTTCTCCCCGGCTCAAGGGCCTCCATCAAGAGCTTCAGACACTTGGCGTATATTTCGTCAGTGAGAGTTCCATGCTTTAGGGCCTCGGAGGCAATCATCAGGCATATGGGTACGTTCGTAATGAGCGCGATGATCCTGTCACTGATGTAGGTCCTGTAGGCGTCGACCTCATAGTAGTCGGCAATGGATAAGATCTCGAACAAAACCGGCAAGTAGGAACCGGTATATGGCTTGTTGTAGTAAATGTAGGCCATGAACTCGCGAAATGCCTCAAGACTGTATTGTGTAGACAGATCAACAACGCCTGTTGCAGCTTCCTGCATTGAAGACTCCAGCATGGTCTTGAACACAGAAGAACGCTTTTTGACCAGAAACGAGATAATCTTGAGCTGCTTGCCATCCTTAAGCTTGACAAGTATGTCGCCCTCATCGGAGGCCAGCAAGTCTTTGTAGACTGCAAATATATCTGACATGTCCCAAGGGTCTATGTTGTTCATCTTTAAAATGATTATAAGAGAAAAAGTGAGATTGAGAGCATACTATTGATAGCTACATCGAACAGCATTCAAGATATATTACCTTGCTTATGAATGACAGGTCCAAAGCGAGAGACGAAACCAGCTCAGGTACTTTATGTATGGACAGCGGTGTGATTAGACTTGGAGAGTGGAGCTACGTTGAGAAGAGACCATGGGAAAAAAAGATAAGAATGTGAGACTGATACAGACCTGATAGTAGACAGCCAAGCACAAAGGAAACAAACCAGTGAGATGAGTATAAATACCTATCCTGTACGCAGGTGAAGAGTACGGATGATATTGAGCAGGAAACGAGGATAAGGCGGACTGATGGTCGAACAAATAGAGGGGAAAGGAACGGGTTAAGTTTGACGAGGAAAGAGAATGGAGAGAAAGTGAGAAAAAGAGGAAAACATAGCCAAGAAGGAAAGAAAGAGAAGAAAGGGCCAGGAAGCGAAGGCAAACAAGAAAGACGTGGTGACTCGTATACCCCTTTTTTTCAAAGGACCCGTGAAATCTTCTTTTGTTCATGTTGCACAAGCCACGAGCCATGCACTGGCCTTCATTTTGCAACACTCGATCTTGCTGGACTTAATACGCCCCAATTGATGTAATGGGGTAGCTGATTTGTGGCAGCCAAGCGTCGTGAGGCAGGTTAGTTTTACCCTACTGATGGAATGTTGTTGCAATAGTAATTGAACTTCTGGTCCCAGTCTTGCACCTGTGTCCCATCTTGTTTCACGTATAAATAGTCCACTCCTCGCCATTTCTTTGTCCTCTGGCTAACAATTAAGCTATTCCTTGTTCTTTTTCTTCACATTGGCCCACACACTTCTACACACTTTCCTCTGTCCTCGCAGCAAAGACCTCCGCATGGAATACGTTATACTGGAATCTGATCAGTAGCGGAAATTTCGTAAAAGTGCCTTCGTGGTTCACTCAAACACCTTATGTTGATGTAGCATTGCTACAAAGTGGATATAGCTCTTAACGATCGAAAAAAATCATAGTACAATCCATTTTGTGGATGGTTTAGCAAGTGCCTTTTATTTGCCATGCAAGACAGGTCACAATAACCGCTCTTCAATCAGCACCGTCGTCGTGGTCGCAGTCGTTATGTTTATCCTTCTTGGATGGCGAGAAGAGGATAAACGAGTCGGACCTCTTTTTGGGGGGTGGAGTAGAAGGGAGCGCAGGTGAAAAAGCAAGATCGTCGTCGTCGCCACCTTCGAATGGACTTGAAGGCGTCTTCGCCAAGACATCCTGAATATCGATTGCGTAACGCCTCAGGTGCTCCTATTGCGAGTTTAGTGACAAATATGGCAGCAGCCCATCTAAACCATGTTACAGCCACGTCTCGAGGTAATCTTAGAACAAAACACCTATAGTCAAACTTGTCTAAATGCATAACCCTGCCGACAATATTGCTATGCATTTGGAGAGGTTATGCGATTTGACAGTGGAGACCATGAAGATTCGCCTGCAACTCTGAAAGCTGGGTCCGACATTTTGAGAGATTATGCGTATTGGGAGTATGCAAAAACAGAAGTTTGACAGTATCCGAAATGCCATAAGCGTTAAGATGGCATCACCCTGAAGGAAAGACTTGAGCTCCGTCACTTGAGAAGGCAGCGAAATCCCTTTGGCTGTCGCTCGGCCAACACCCAGTACGTCTTCATACCGCCTTAAGGTGTAAAAACCTACACTCAGACCTTGCCCTTCCGCGATAATTGGATAGCTGTGTTCGATATTCAAGCCGTGCGTCTCGAGGTCCATCATGATAGCCGCGTTCAATCGAACAGATTTATTCTGTTGCCTCTGTAGCATCTGCTTAGTAGCCTGGGACGACTTGAACTCGAAAATAGCAATCTCTTGCTTCCACTCATTTCGAACCTGGATCCGGGTGGATATATCAATCTTGCGTCCGCAGGGTGTCGACGTTGTAGATCCATAAGCCTGCTCCGCAGCTTGACGTGCACGTGCACTGGCCTTAGACGCCAACTCGCCGCTATATGAAACAAAAATAGGTAGAGGGCATGTTCAGTTATCTTTTATATGAAAGCTATCGAACTATTCAATATGGGCAAGTCATATACTTACGGGATGGCTCTCATTGATGTGTCATGGAGAAGGATATTGAGCAGCGTTGTCCATGCCGAGACAAAAACGTGCTCCGATGTTGGTGGTACAAACACCTTGAGCTCGATCCAAAGAACAATTTGCTGGACGACTTGAAGTGTTATATACCTGGCCTTCGCCTCCTGTGTCTTCTTTGAGCTCGCCGTTTCACTCAGCAGTTGCCACATTTTCTGCTGCAGGTTGACAAAGTCGGGTTCACTGTACTGGTCCTTGTCCAAATTGGAGTAGAGCGCCTTGAGCAAGGTAGCAAGCACATCCTTGGCTGCCGTGTGGATCTGCGACTCGGGGCCAACAGAAGACAGAGGAAACCCCATCATGATCTTTTTGGAAAGGCGGAAGCGCCGTGCATCTGGTGACAGCGTATTGATAATGCCAGAAAGTAACACCCTAAGGAGAAAAAAAGAGCACAATGTTAGCAAGAACGACTCGGTTGTCATTCTGCCTCATTACCTCTTACTAAGCAAGAAGTTGGCTTGCAGGACATCCTTTTTCGCTTCGACAGGGCCGGATTCCTTCAATTTCAGAAGTGTCGCATTATATAGCTCTTCTTGATTCGTAGATGGTCCTCCGGGAGCAAATGACGGTAACGATGCAGACTTGTTCTTGACCTACACCAAAAAGAGAGGGGGAGCTGCAGTGTTAGCATGGTAGCTTGAGTAGTCATTACCAAGGGACGGAAAAGATGACTTCTAATACCTTCTGAAAGACATATGCGATAAGGTCATGAAATGGAGAAGCATTTGCGCCGGTCGGGACAACAATCTGTACCTCCGGTGAGGACTCAAGATCTACAACATCATTCAAAAACGTCGGATTAAATACAAGTATTAGATACCAAACATAACATCACTTTCAGTTAACGAGAAATACACTCGCGCTCACCGCCTCCGTCTGAATCGTCGTCTTCGGGGTCTTGAGGAAAATCATCTTCAACATATTGATCTTAAAAATAGGAATAGAGGTTAGTCGCGAATGGCATGGTGTAGCAGGACGTTCAGGTAAAAATTCGCTAAAATAAAAACATCCTACCTTCAATCATTCCGATGGTGGGTGTTGTTGAGACGTCCGCGTGAATCGCCGAGAAGCCATTCGCGGACACAGTAAGCGATGCGCGTTGAGCCATGACAGCTGTCCTCTTTGCAACGGTTTCGCAAGGACCATTGAGTTCCTTGTCTGCTAGTTTCTTGTCCCATGACGACCAGAATTCAGCCATTCGTGTCGCCACAAAGTCGTCATAGACTTCTCTCAAGCGTCGACGTCGTCCCCGCTTTCAACTTGGGCAAGTTTAGCGGGCCCTCATATCGTGACATAGCTAGCTCCTTGTTGGTAAGATGGAACCTTTTGACGAATGACGAGAACGAAACACGCTCCCTCCGTTGACCGTTGATTTCCTTGATATCACTGGCCCACGAGAAGTACTCCATGTTTAGCACGAGAACCTTGACGCGCAGAAATAAAGATACAAAAAGACAAAATTGTTAGCAGCCGTTCGTTAATAACGTCGTATCGCCATCTAGTTATGTAACGTAAGAAAGAACAAAGGGACTTCAGCGCAGCATCTCAACCATCAGCACGGATTAGGTTGAGCGACCAAGCTGAACACATTGTCATGACTACCCCCCGGTCGGCGTGGCAGAGAAAAAATCCGTTAACCAAGCTGGAGCTAAAGGGGTAAGTCGTTCTATTGACAATGGCTCCGTTCATCCCCCGTCAAGAATCGCATTAGCCGACAGCAAAACGTCACGACCACCGCCCGGGTAATGTCGTGCGGCTTCACTGGAGGCCATCCTGTCGCGGTCACCCCCCCGGTCGGCGTGGCAGAGAAAGCATCCGTTAACCACGCTGGAGCTAAAGGGGGCCAGGTCGCTGTTGACAGAATGTTTTTCATGCGAGTGGGAGCTAAGAAGAGTCCATTACCTTATGATATATGGGCCTAGCGCCGCAATACAAACGAGTAAAGAAGAGAAGGATGGCAAAAAAGGGTGGTGCAAAAGAAGCAAAAGCGTAATGAAAGTTAAGACAACGCGAAAGGGCAGCGGGGAGTGATGAAAAGGGTGAATGTAGATGGCGAGGTGAAGGCAAACGCTAAGAATAGGGAGGGTGGCAATGGTAAAAGATGTGAACTGGGACAATATGCAGTGATCGGGAGCAGAGCAATCAAGAATACAGAAGTGAAAAAAAGAATGAATGCATGAGTAAGAATGAGTGGAGTGGTGCAAATGGAAATAATGTATAAAATACGACATGCTCTTTGCCACCCTCCCACTCACCACGCACACGTCACCCTTTGCTTTGCCCACATGACAGTCTCCGTCCCACCCAAGAGGCTCATCAAGGCAGAGCAGAGCCCTGACTTTGACGACATTGTTGAAAACAAGCTCACTCTCCCGCGTGTCTCCATCCCCGACGACAAGCAGGGCTCTCCCATCACGATTGATGCTCTTGACGACAAAACAGAGCTAAAGAATCCGAGGGCACGATTTTCCAGAAAGTCCAGATGACAATACATACATCATCATCTTGCGACCCCCGCTTCCGTCGACACCTTATTCATGAGCCTGTCCACTGTACTTTTCTCATCTACTCATTCAATTCCACTAACATAGTCCATGCACTTGTCTATGCTCAAATCTCCACCCCACTTCCTTCTCGCATGATTCTCGTCCCGGTACACCACCGACTGGTAAGTACTCTATTGTTCTCTTTTGTCCTTTTTTCGCATGTACAGCATCTCCACTCTCATGCAATAGCGCCTCTCTTTGTATTTGCATGTGACCTGAGAGTTGATATCAACAGGATTAGCGACAAGCAGGGTCAAAGCACACTGAGTTTCTAGTCACCACGCTGATATTGGTTCCTGTGGGACAGTAGCCCTGTAGACGTGAAGCCTGTAGTTGATCGGACTGGACAGACGATGAATCCTGTTATGGTTGCCGTTGCTTTCGCAGCTTGTACTGCTCCTTCTACCGCGTCTCTTGTACGGCGTGGCTGCTGACAGTCTAGGGGTTTTTTCGACGTCATTCTTCTCGAGAACTTGTCGTAGCTTCTTGATCTTGGTCTCTGTGTTTGGAGTCGTACATGACGTGCGCCCTCATAAAGTGTTGCGTGGTGAAGTTTTTGTGCGAGATGGCGGTTGATGATCGTCCTAACCAACAATCATCACCTCCCTAGTCAGCCGATCTGGAAGAGAGGTGTTGGCCAGCGAAGGCCACGACGATAGCGGTCAACACTTGAACGTCTCGACAAAGACGGGCTTGATGCAACCAAACGCAGCTTCCACCAACTGGACATCGTTCTCAAGCACGGTCGAGGGAGCGTCCAATATATGATGGCGATAGAGGAAAAGCCAAAGCGCCTCCTTGATCGAGGGGCACGAGGTGAAGAACTCGAGGTGCTTTGGCGATTCTTGGGTCCAGACTAAGTCAAAGTTGAAGATGAAAAAGAGCGCTACTTTAATAAAGTCCACCATGGCGACGACTGATATACGTACCAATATAGAGCAAATAAGAAGAGCTGATATGGAGAGCAACTTACCGGTTGAACTCTCCACACAGATTTCCTTGGCGCTGACGAGCCTTCCGATATGTAAGCATGGCGTCATTCTTGTCGATGGCAACATCCTTCTTGCTGGTCTCGAGAATACCTTCGGATAGTCGTGACGATGGGTCTTAATCTGCCGGCGAGCCTATTGTGCAACATCTCGACTGCAGCTGGGGTGATGAGAGTGTCCACCAGCCCTCTTGACTCGTCATCCGGCAGTTGCTCCTTGAGACGATAGTGATCGATTCGGCGCCTGTCCACCCTGGATACTCGAGATAGGGGAAGGTGGGTGAGCCATATTTCCTGGCGCCGTCGCCGCTGCTCAACGCCTAATGGAGAATTAAGATGCTCAATCCTGTCCCGCTATACATGATTGTCAACTCGCCTCCAAGCCTAACCAAGAGGGAACACGTGTAACAGGGACGATAAGGCCGAATATTGCTTTAAATGGATGACGACGCGAACGACGTGGGTCTCTTATCGCTCAGATCTGGGTCTCGGCGATGACCATCCTGTTTGTTGACAATGCATTGGCGTAAACCCTTTGGTAGGCCCTGCACGCCATAAACTCTACGGCCACTGCATCCAAATCCTCTTCTCCCATAATAATCGCAGTGAGGCAATTCGACCTGCACGACTAACCTTATTCTTAATAGCCACAAAGCACTTAAGCTTATCAGCTACAGACGTGCATGAGCTCTACAATCTGTACGCAACTACCACTACTGCCCACCTAGGAGCGCCTGCATTTTTGAAGCACATCCTTCCAGCTGCAACAGCCAACTACGGCCGCAATTTGTGTTACACCACACAATCACTATGTCGCTCTGTATTAGTATTAGCGACTCCATCACTATCGCATGTATGTCGTCATCTATACTGGTCTTGCAAACAGCATTCGTCCAAAGTCGCAGTAACTTTGTTGCGTCACCTCGTCCAATCCTTCCAAGGTAGAGAGACCGTCTGTTAGAACTGATCGTTCTATAAAAGTATATCGAGACAAGAAAACGGAAACAAGAGTATTGAGAAAGAGAGAAATTTATTGAAGGGACACTGAAATTGATACTGAAGATGGTACTGATCAACTTGGTGAACTACTGAAGGGAACAGAGGTGATTTCATAGAGGTTGGCGTATGATGGGATGAATTCTTGAGTGTCGCATAGGCATAAGGGTCTTGAGTGTCACGTATGCATAAGGAGAGTCTAACATCGTCCATAGATGCTAGAACCCCGATCACGCATGGCTACCATCAGCATCCTGCTTCACAGTGAAGCAGAACGTATCACAGTCTCCGTCATAGATTCTTTCATCTGTCCCCAAAGACCAAGTCATGTGTAGTTGCACATCGTACTCAGATGTGGCGCCGATGGTCCAGAACCCAGGCACAACATCCGGCTTGCGGCCTGTATACTTCTCGAACGCGCTGACCAAGCTCTCTCGGATGCCTGCTGGCATAAGCGCATCCAAGTGCTTCATCCTCTTGCACGAAGCCTGGTAGAGTGGGATCTCGTATGGGCCAATGACGTATACCGACGAGAAGAGCAGCTCCGTATCCGCAAGGCAGATAATCGCACCATGATACTCATTGTAGTCCTCCTTGAGCTTGTTGTCATAGTGCTCGTGCATAAAAGTCATCAGCTTGAAACCCGGCAGATTAAACGGCTGCTGCAACGCTTCTTTCGGAACAGGAATCGCAGCAGCTGTCATGCTCACAAAGTTATACCAGTCGGCTCCCATAGCGTAAGTCAAACAAAGGTCAGAAGAGTGGTGCCGGAGGCGAGCGCGATAAAAGGGAAGACAAGTAGCAGGTAGGTGCGGTGAGAGATGAAAAAAGAAGCTTTGGTGACAGAGGATGATATGGATGAAGGGAGGAAGGGAAGAAGGGAAGAAGAGAAGGGAGAAAAAAGAGAGGAAGAAAGGAAAGGTAAAGAGCAGAAGGAGAGAGAGAGCGGATGGATTATATATACATGAGCGAAAATGCAGGAAGATGTCCACAGCGGCGCTGGGAGCGTCAGTCTCAACGGACATCCTTCAATATTCCCTTGATGACGTATCTGTACTTCATGAACAGAGCTGACAAGGGTAGTCATGAAAATAGGAAACAAAAAGAAATCAACGAAGTCACATGGAAGGTGAAGATTAGCGCGCGAAAGACAGACAAGAGGGCATCGGCTGGAAAGAGACTGATACAATAGAAATGATGAAGGGCGTGGGAGTGCGCCATCATGACGACAGTGGCAAATGACAGCGATGACGGAAGAAATAGGGAGCGAGACAGCGGCAAGCGTGGGAACGGGAAGACGTGGCAACTGAACTGAGCTTGAGACAGAAGGATAGGGAAAAGAAGCTGAGAATGGATGCATCGAGGAGAAGTGGCAAGAGTGGGAAAGTCAACTCCTTCACAAGATGAGCTTCTCAGGTCCCGCCGCTCTTGTGATCAGCTTTTTGTTCTTCCTTGTTATCCCCTTACCAGGCATCCTGTCTTTACTCGCGTGTTCCTTCTGGCACCTTTACCCAATGATTATTAAGCTAGTAAGCCATCATTGCCAACCTTGCTGATCCACACACATAAATCCCCCTCTCTTGCCTGCATTGCGACGTCCTTCCTTCCTACACACATCTTCCTGCTGGATTTTCATACTCTTCTCTCTCTCTCAATTCACGACATGGCAAAGACTTGCACTCTGCTGGCATTATTAGCTTCCCTTACTCTTTACGTTGTGCAAGCAGGTGTCTATTGTCATAGCTAGGGCTAGTCATAGTCATAACTGGCTAGATCAAATTATTAAGACGGAGACAAAACAATCCCTTGGCTTGGGGACAGTTCCTCACTTCAAGAAAATGAGCAACAAAAGCGTTGATGTGTACAGCAGCTGGCCAAAGAAGGTATGGAGAAACAGTGCTGTGATGATGCTTTAATCAAGTCTACCAGCCCGATGTGCTTTGAAGCGGCTTTGAACCCATGAACCTTTGCATAAAACCTTTAATTTGTCTCTGGTGCGATCAGTGCCCAATCGTAAAAGCAGTTTCACTTCCACGTGTTTTTATTCCCGCCGGTGCGAAACGAACTCTCTCACTCTTTCCCGTCCGCAACTGCCAGGACAAACCGCCATCATTACTTCTCAACGCACAAGCACAAGGATCCGGATATTTCCCAAGAAGTTGTTCACAGGAGTACGAACAGGAGCAAAGGAACTCCACAGGCCATTCAGAGTTCCCAATGGAATGACATTTTTTTTTCTCGGATGAAGGATGAATGCTGAAATCAGTCAGCAGCCAACCATCAACTTCATTGTCCATGCGCACTCTCCACTTGCCCAGGACTCATTCCGGGAAAAGTTGTCACCATGACAAGGAGCACCACCAAACATCCTTATCAGCAACGTTGATATCGCCTGACATTGGTAGGCCAACTGCCTGATGTTATCGTACATCGTCAGCTTACATCGATGACAGGACTAGCCTAGGAGATAACATAGTAGGCAGAGGATGATTGCACTGGAGCTGCACAGCGGCATCTCGGAGAACATTGATATTATCGACAATAGTTCACAGTCTTGATGGCTTTGTTGACCATAATGAAGGGAGCCAGGACATCTTCATGCCAACAACGCAGTTCATACCCTGTTGACCTTTCTCGCCAATTGTGAAGTCACATAGCTACGCTTACACCTGGGCAGATCCAACATATCAGGACGATAGGATCCGATGGCTTTGTAGGGCGCAAGGATTCACATTCAGGAAATAATTTGTGTTTGCCCTGTCAACAGCGAGAAGACTCTTATTGCTGGATTGGTCGCGCGGATACAGGAGACAAAGTGAATTGGTCCCTCGTCGCAGTCATTATAAAAGCATTGCCGGCACCTTCTTCGACTTTTCTTTACACGACTCAGGATCCGGCGATGACAAAAAGAGACTTCATCTACGTTAAGGATCACTGTTAAAAAGAAAGAGCAGTCGAGATCCGGACCTCAAAGGAACCTCTAGCACAACAACAACGCCTCACAAGTGGTGTGCACAAAGGACTTTATCGTGTTTGGGACTTAGGACGGGCACTTAAGACACAACATTACGCCAAAGATCTAAAAATAACAGACGCTGGGATATATGGATGATTACGGGACTCTCTTATAGACAACGTTTCTAGTGTATGTGCCCTCAAGCCCGGGATGCTGCCATCGATCATATAAACCTTGACATTTTTTTCGTCCGTGCATCGAAAAAGAGCAACGTAAAGCTGGCCGTGTGTGAACACAGGAGTAGGGACATAGAGTCCGACATTTTCAAGGGTCTGACCCTGCGCCTTGTTGATCGTCATGGCAAAGGCGGGCCTGACCGGGAACTGTCGTCTCTTGAATATGATTGGGGAGGTCTTGTCGTCTGTTGTTAAAATCGGCACTCGTGGGATGAAGACCAAATCGGCGCAAAAGGTCCAGTCAGGATTGTTGCCATGATGCAGCGTGGCCTGAGTGGCGGACGATCAAGCGAATTCCGTTGCAGAGTCCTTTTTTTTGGTCGACGTTTCGGAGGCGAATGATGGGCATGCCCACTTTCAGTACCAACATGTAGGGAGGTAATCCAGTGAGGTCCAAAGGGTTGAGATACTCTGTAGGATAGTTGGTGATGCCGTTGGTATCTGAAACTGGCACGGAGTCTTGGCCAAGGTACTCTATTGCCTCGCCAGGAAATAGTGTGGTCGCGAGGTCGTTCATATAATTGACATTCTTGTTCAGTGTTGTCGAAATAGCGGTGCACTGTTAGCTTGAGTGTCTTTACCTTGGGCCTAATGGTGCCAGACATCTTTAGACATGCGCCCTCGATCTGAGACTGAGATCCATGAACAACCACCGGCAACGCTTGTCGAAAGTCACCACCGAAAACGACAATCTTTCCGCCGAAAGGAACCAAGGGTCGATCCATAATATGTCGAACGATCCGGTCCACCGATTCAAAGGCATGTCGATGCATCATGAGTGCCTCGTCCCAGATGATGAGGTCGGACGCATAAATAATGGATCCAACTTGCTGATCGTGGGTAATATTGCGGGTCGAGTCTTTGAAAGCTGGAATGTGAACCTTGAAGACAGAGTGTGCAGTTCTTCCGCCATAAAGCATCAGAGCCGCTATACCGGAGAACGCGAGGACAACAACATTATTTTTCATAACACCACTGATTTGTTCAATCTGAGTGTTGTAGAGAAAGGGTTTGCCGGTACCACCTAGCCTGTCAATAAAATAGAGGTTGTTCCTTCGGGGGCAGACGGATATTGAGACGGAGGCGACGATTGAGTCAAATATTTCCCGCTGCTCGACATTCAAGGCTTGAATGTGAGAGCCCGCCAGCTTGGCGAGCTCTTCACGCGATTTTTCGCTGTAGTCGAAGGCGGACTTTGGGACGTAGCGGAGAATGCTGTCGCTGATGTCTTGTGGCATAGTGGGAAAGGCGGCCAGAGAAGGGAGACAGAACCTCTCGCCGTCCTTAGGCTGGACAAAGTAGATTCGGGCAATCTTGAAGGTGTCCTTTTGATTCCTCCTGTCCCACTTGCGATTGTTTTGGTCGTAGGTGTAATACTCGGGAATCTCGGCGTATGTATATTTATGTACATCCTTGTCCTCTTAGTTCAGCTTAAAGTGGTCGTTGTTACGACGGGCGACACAAAGTAGATCCGCGTATGTGACGTTGTGCTGGCCTATGAGATGGACCTGTAGACGTTGCACAGAGGGTGAATGACCGTACAAAGGATATCCAAGGATGCGCCACATGCTCTCATGGGAAGAGAGGTATCTCATATCGCGAAATTTGCGAATCTCGATGCGTTAAGGATGCTAGTATACAAACGATAGTAAAAAAAAGAGAGTGAGAAAAATAGTAAGCAAGGTGTTGCAACGGTCAGACTCAAGAGAAAAAAATGCGCAAAAGAAATACCTCCTTGCTTGCTGCATTTTTTTGGTGTGCAGTGATTGAGTCTTCAGTGGCGGCGATGTTAGACCCTTTAGCGGTAGCTGTGGCAGTGGCGGCGCTGGCGCTGGTGCTGGCGCTGGTGGTGCTGGCGGTGGACGGTGGTACCGCTTCCGACTCCTCGTCAGTCTCCTCTTCAACAATCATTCGCCCTCGCTTGTCCAATTTAACTGAGGATGTCCCAACAATGGGTGGGCGATCGCTATTGGTGGTAACGTTTTGGTAGGCATCGTGAATGGCTGTTGAAAAGACATTGTCAAAGTCGTCATTCGTCAGCACATCATTCAGGGCGTCAATGAAATCATTGTCGTCATTGAATCCATAGTCTTTGTCCGTGTCCTGACCAGTGACAGGGACGGCGACAGTAGGTGTATTGTTGGCAGAGACGGTTTTTGCAGAAGCTCCTGCTCCTGCTCCTGCTCCTGCTCCTGCTCCTGCTCCTGCTCCTGCTCCTGCTCTTGCTCCTGCTCCTGCTCTTGCTCCTGTTCCTGCTCCTGCTCCTGCTTCTGGTCTTGAGTTGAGGCGGACCTGAAAAAGACCCTTAATCGACGTCCGCTCACCTTTGAAGTTGGCGTGAGGGTGGGAACAACAGTGGCAACCTTGGGCTTGAAACTCCGGAGATGTGTATACGCATCCTCAAAATACGTAATGTCGTCGGGGACAGGGTCATGAACAGGAGTCGTTGAGATCAAGATGCTTCTGCTGTCGATATCAGAGGTCATGTTGTTAACGGGGACATCAGGGGTTGGATAAGAGGCATTCACGATAGTTGCATTGTCGTTCTACGCATCGTCTGTGTTGCAGCGCCTGCGATTATTGAGAGTGGTGCGCCCTTTACAATGCGCTGGCTGCAGCCGCCGAACCAAGACCTTAGGGCTCAAAGAGGACTGTTGCCTGCGATAATTAGGAAAAGAATACTAAAGGTCAGGGATGAACAGAAATGAACATAGAAAAAGAACATAGTGGCATACTGACACTGACATGGGCTTACTTTGCAGCAGCAGTGGAAGAACGGGTACCGGTACAGGTATAAAGAGGCGTGGATGGTTTGCCCATCTTGAAGAGGATGAAACTTGAGACTGTAGAAGATGTGTCAAAATGTGGTCGAGGATTAAAGAGAATCGGTACTGATAACTGTGAGACGCTTACGCTTTTCTACAAAGAACTAACACAACCTTTTCACTCTCCTTATGCCAGGACATACCGTTACCCTACTGTTCACTGACCACGTTCAGTAGAATGGCATCTGTGTCCTCTTCGTTCTTATTCTTCGTTGTGGTTTGTGTGCTCGCGTTTTCGTGTTTGTCCATGCCAAGCTGCGTCCTCATGTCTGTCCATGCTGAAAAGTATGGTGTATGGTCGAATATGTCAATGGGAAGAAAGAGAGGGATCTTTTATTTTCGCACCTCAACGCAACCTGCTCTGATAGTGACGTTCTCACTTTGGTGTTAACATCATGATTCTGGTGCACTTTTTCAGAAAAAAAAACTAATAAACCACCCCGTACCGCAACAATGCCAAGCTGCATTTTCATGTCTGTCCATGTCAAGCTGCATCTTCATGTCTGTCCATGTCAAGCTGCATCTTCATGTCTGTCCATGCCAAGCTGCATCTTCATGTCTGTCCATGCCAAGCTGCATCTTCATGTCTGTCCATGCCAAGCTGCATCTTCATGTCTGTCCATGCCAAGCTGCATCTTCATGTCTGTCCATGCCAAGCTGCATCTTCATGTCTGTCCATGCCAAGCTGCGTCCTCTTATGTGTCCATGCCATGCTGATGGATGTCTTTTTTGTTACTGGTGTTGTTTGTTGCTTGCTGTTGTTGCTATTGTTGTTTATTGCTTCCTGTTGTAGTTTTTGTTGTTTGTAAAAGAAAAGAGGGGTGGGTTAAAAAAAAGGGGTGATCTTATCGATAACATGATGTCAAGCATGGAGACGCCATGCGGACACGGTTGTGCAATTATGCAATTACAGAAATATAATCTAACCGAGGTTACAGCTTTCTCCAATGGACTCCAATCCACTCGTACAAAAAATCAGCAGAAATTTGAGCCTCGCCCTATTCTCCGATCAAGACTCTGGTGCTCAAATCTATCTTGGAGACACCGAGCAGTGCCAACAAGGGGCTCACTCGTACGGAAGAAGCGAACGCAACATAGCCAACTATCAGTCTCGCTGCCATCCCTTCACGTAACGAAGAGAAGGTCTGGATCATTATCTCGGGTGGTGATTGAAGTGCGAAAAAAATCCTCCAAAAAAAAAGGAAATAATCTTTGAAAATGAGTAGGGGGGCTAGCTGAGTGCAGAAGTCGAAGTGAGCACATCATATCAGCCTTCTGCTGGGCTATCACTAACGATGCAGGTCTCCACTGCATGAAGGCTCAGAATGCGATCCTGACCACACAAAAGTGATGGGATGGTAGCAAGACTAGCCAACTATATAACCTGTAGACACGTTAATGTTTCGTCTTGTTCATGCTCAACGATAGCCCTTTTGTTCAAGCACAGGTCCCACAATGGGCGACGTAGTAGGGAAAATGGGAATACTGAGATCACACAATCATTGATCAATTCTATGTTTTTTTTCTGTAATGACAAGTTGTTTATTTCCTCGAAAATTACAACTAAAGTCCAGGAATGACGGTGATCTCGAGAGAGATCTATTGACAGAATAGGCAGAAAAAAAGTCGAAGCAAAGGTTAGACACGTGGAACAAAATCCATGAAGCCGTTTGATGTCCCATCGATTGCTGTCTGACTGTCTGCACGAGTACGAGTCGTCCGTCGCCCATTGAAATGTTTTGTTGAAAGGTATCAGGAAACGAAGGTTGTCGACATATAGTTTCGGACGATGTCGGTACGTTTTTAAGCATCATTTGTAACAAAAAAAAGGCAATGATCTGACTCTCGCGTTTTCCCGAAAGATAGCAGTAAATTAATAAGTCATCAAGGCCTGGAGAAACTTACAGTTTACTTCTTGGAGACACCAACGGCGCGACCGCGACGACCAGTGGTCTTGGTGTGCTGACCATGGACACGGACGCCCCAGTAGTGACGAAGACCACGATGGGCGCGGATCTTCTTGAGAAAAGTGTTTCAAAAAGACAATTAATTCTACGAAAAGGCACAACAGAGTTTCAAGAACCATATCACTGGTGCTTCCCATGTAATAAGCTGTATCTCCAAACATCGACTGCGAAGAATGCTCGTTTAGTGAGTAACCTCCAAGTTCTGTTTCCTGCAGAGCTCAGAGTACACGCCACCGAGTGCCATGAGCTCGCTGTGATGACCTGATTCGACAATGGTACCGTCCTTGACGACCAGGATAAGATCGGCATCCTGGATAGTTGACAGACAGTGAGCAATGACAATTGTTGTACGGCCATTACGGGCCTTGTCCAAGGCTTCCTGAACCAGCTTCTCCGACTCTGAATCCAAGGCAGAGGTGGTAACTGATCCTTACGAATCCCCACGGCGATGTTGTGTCTGATAGAGACGTTGAACAAGGCAGGTTCTTGAGAGACAATACCGATGATATCGCGGAGGAAGGTAACGTTATAACTTTTGAGGTCCATGTTATCCAGAGTAATCAATCCAGCTATAAAATGAAGGATTACCAAATGTAAGTGATATTGTTCCTAGATATAGAAACCTAGTGACCTCATCTCTGCCACAAGAGAGCTCAAAGTGGAGATAACTTATCATGTAGTAATGGGGTTGGTACCTTACCAGATGAAAATCCAATCCTTTTTGGAGGCGAAGCGAAAGAGCTCCCAAAACGGCACAGAATGTTTCTCTGTTGCCGTCTTTTCATCTTTTATCATGGCTCAGGCGTCAATAGGATTGGATTCTGGATTCTCAGCAGTAATGTTACGCTCTTGCGGTAACTCAGCAGGCCGTATTTCAGCAGCCATGATATTAGGTGTTGGGTTAGGGTAGCGTAAGACGAGAGAGAAATGAAGTAATGGTACAAATACGGAGCAGCTGGCCACCTCAATCGCGTACGGAAACGAAGGAAGGTAGGTGGCTTAGTAAGGAAATGCTGGTAAAATGATGAAAGAGAGATTGGTGGCAGTGGAGATTTAAAGGGAAGTGGAACTATCCGCAGCTCTAATCCGCAGTTATAAACTTCGTTGCAATTGTGGATTAGCAGGAGCAGCAGGAGCAGCAGGAGCATCAGGAGCAGCAGGAGCAGCAGGAGAAGCAGGAGAAGCAGGAGCAGCAGGAGCAGCAGGAATAACAGGAATAACAGGGATAGCTGGAGCAGCTGGAGCAGCGGGAGCAGCGGGAATAACAGGAATAGCTGGAATAGCTGGAATAGCTGGAGCAGCATGGGCAGCTAGAGCAGCAGGACCAACTACACGACACGCACACACACACACACACACACACACACACACCATATACACTACACGCACACCCCACTCACACGCGCGAATATCGCAAAGTGTCGATTTTCTTTTTTGAGCAAGCTGGACCACTGGTTCATAAGAACACGAGCATCGGGGTCAGGGTCGCAAAACACAAAAGCATCATGAAGGCGATAGTCGTCAATGCGCTTCTGTGTTTCGTTGTTCACTTTTATCAATTCCTCGCCTTCTCTCCGTTTCATGCATCGACATTTGGCGCCCCCGTACATCAATGTTGGAATTTTAATCGATCTCGTGCTATCCTGCTGGATAAAAAGTAAGAAATAAATCGCAAATTATATTATGAAAACAAAAACTTTCTCTTCCCTAACGCACGAAAATGTGCAGCGCAAGTAGGCTAGACCTCGGAGGATGATAGGTTATGTCGACGCAAGACGGACTTCGGATCTCGGTCTCTAGTCTTCTTCGAGTTACGAAAATCTTCCAACCGGTGTTCCAGATGTTCATGGCACTCACGAACGTTCTATTGATGCTACACGACGGGACCACGGCGTACATCCGTTTCAAGACGAGGATGGGACTGTCGCATCTGTAGCACTACAAATTATCGCCAAGGTTTCCAGCTAATTGAGCACCATCCCCAACGTCAAGAAGGTCAGGATCTGCCCCAATAATCCCTCTCGCCTGAACAATATTGACAACTGGAGTGCGATCAACCGGATTCTCCGGATCTTTCCCAAACTCGAAATTCTTGAGCTCGGTGTTGCTCTCGCCAGTCCGCTATCGGGTCTGCTTTATTTTCAACATCAAGTGCAGACATACCCACAAGGCCGTTTCGTCGGCTCAAGCAGAGAATGCAGAGTACAAGCAAAGAGCTGGCCACCCTTGATTTGCCGCTTCGAGTTCTTCACCTGGAAGTGGAGCTTGCAGCCATGTTGACGTCGACCGATATGATGAAGCTTTTCCTCACCAGTCCTTTGCTCTCTGAGCTGAAGATCACGCTCCCCGCCAGGGCAGAGATCGATGCAGTGTATGAGATACTGATAAGGACGGCAGCGAGCGGTGAGCGATTGGAAACCTGGATGATCAAGTCGAACGACGGTTATGCGATATCGAGTCGGTTGGAAGGATTCAGCCAAGTCGACGAACAGGACAATCAAGCATCGCGAGAAGTAGAGACAGTCGAGCTTCAAGTCTCAGGATCTCAGTGGCCTCTTTGTTTCCGTAGCTCTCATATGTCGAGACTGATGGTATCGCTTGGACCCAAAGGCGTCGACAACAGCGTCAGCGGGATGCTCGGCATTCTGTCGTTGGCGGATCGACAGTTTTCCCGTTTGAGCTACCTGAAGCTCACCTGCCCGATCAACAACTTTTTCGACTACTTGAGGGGCGTCGTAGCGATTAGGACGGTGACTCAATTCGACCTTCAGGACTCCACTTCCAACAGAACCATTCTTTCGTCTACTTTCGGCGCTGCTCCCGTTGTCATTGCCTTCCTCTCCGAAATCTCGACTGGGGATTTTCTCAGCACCTTCAGAGGTATCTTCTCAGCGTATCACTTGAAGGTGGAGATCGGTTTGTACGAGGGAGAGCAACCGGAGTTCAACGTTTCACTGGATCGTCGCGCTGAGGATGAGGATAACATATTTGGACGAGTTGTGCTGGATGCTAGGAGGGTGTCGTGCAAAGAAGTGCTGGAGTTGTTGGACGTCATCGGTAGCATGGGAAGAGTCAATGGTGGTTTGGTACTCCTATTCAAGTGGTGGACCGAGCGCACTTCCAGCACAGGACGGGATGACGAAAAGGGTGGAGAGCAGCAAGCGATTACCGACGATATTTTAGGCGACAGCGAGACCATGGTCGTGTTGGTCAGGTTGTTGGCCTGGAGAGTTACCGAGTTCGACATGAATTATGAGACTATGATGGCACTGGTTCCTTTGGTAAAGGCAGAGGTTGAAAGAGAATACTTTGGGTGGTTGAAACCCTTCTCACTTCTCCGTCACTACAATGTCGACTGCGCGGACGAGACTTTGCGATCGGACTTTCTAAAGTTCCAGTCGCTAATCCCTAAGCACGCCAAAGGCTCGTTCTGCGATCCGAAGTCCGTCTTGCGTCGACATAACCTATCATCCTCCGAGGTCTAGCCTACTTGCGCTGCACATTTTCGTGCGTTAGGGAAGAGAAAGTTTTTGTTTTCATAATATAATTTGCGATTTATTTCTTACTTTTTATCCAGCAGGATAGCACGAGATCGATTAAAATTCCAACATTGATGTACGGGGGCGCCAAATGTCGATGCATGAAACGGAGAGAAGGCGAGGAATTGATAAAAGTGAACAACGAAACACAGAAGCGCATTGACGACTATCGCCTTCATGATGCTTTTGTGTTTTGCGACCCTGACCCCGATGCTCGTGTTCTTATGAACCAGTGGTCCAGCTTGCTCAAAAAAGAAAATCGACACTTTGCGATATTCGCGCGTGTGAGTGGGGTGTGCGTGTAGTGTATATGGTGTGTGTGTGTGTGTGTGTGTGTGTGTGCGTGTCGTGTAGTTGGTCCTGCTGCTCTAGCTGCCCATGCTGCTCCAGCTATTCCAGCTATTCCAGCTATTCCTGTTATTCCCGCTGCTCCCGCTGCTCCAGCTGCTCCAGCTATCCCTGTTATTCCTGTTATTCCTGCTGCTCCTGCTGCTCCTGCTTCTCCTGCTTCTCCTGCTGCTCCTGCTGCTCCTGATGCTCCTGCTGCTCCTGCTGCTCCTGCTAATCCACAATTGCAACGAAGTTTATAACTGCGGATTAGAGCTGCGGATAGTTCCACTTCCCTTTAAATCTCCACTGCCACCAATCTCTCTTTCATCATTTTACCAGCATTTCCTTACTAAGCCACCTACCTTCCTTCGTTTCCGTACGCGATTGAGGTGGCCAGCTGCTCCGTATTTGTACCATTACTTCATTTCTCTCTCGTCTTACGCTACCCTAACCCAACACCTAATATCATGGCTGCTGAAATACGGCCTGCTGAGTTACCGCAAGAGCGTAACATTACTGCTGAGAATCCAGAATCCAATCCTATTGACGCCTGAGCCATGATAAAAGATGAAAAGACGGCAACAGAGAAACATTCTGTGCCGTTTTGGGAGCTCTTTCGCTTCGCCTCCAAAAAGGATTGGATTTTCATCTGGTAAGGTACCAACCCCATTACTACATGATAAGTTATCTCCACTTTGAGCTCTCTTGTGGCAGAGATGAGGTCACTAGGTTTCTATATCTAGGAACAATATCACTTACATTTGGTAATCCTTCATTTTATAGCTGGATTGATTACTCTGGATAACATGGACCTCAAAAGTTATAACGTTACCTTCCTCCGCGATATCATCGGTATTGTCTCTCAAGAACCTGCCTTGTTCAACGTCTCTATCAGACACAACATCGCCGTGGGGATTCGTAAGGATCAGTTACCACCTCTGCCTTGGATTCAGAGTCGGAGAAGCTGGTTCAGGAAGCCTTGGACAAGGCCCGTAATGGCCGTACAACAATTGTCATTGCTCACTGTCTGTCAACTATCCAGGATGCCGATCTTATCCTGGTCGTCAAGGACGGTACCATTGTCGAATCAGGTCATCACAGCGAGCTCATGGCACTCGGTGGCGTGTACTCTGAGCTCTGCAGGAAACAGAACTTGGAGGTTACTCACTAAACGAGCATTCTTCGCAGTCGATGTTTGGAGATACAGCTTATTACATGGGAAGCACCAGTGATATGGTTCTTGAAACTCTGTTGTGCCTTTTCGTAGAATTAATTGTCTTTTTGAAACACTTTTCTCAAGAAGATCCGCGCCCATCGTGGTCTTCGTCACTACTGGGGCGTCCGTGTCCATGGTCAGCACACCAAGACCACTGGTCGTCGCGGTCGCGCCGTTGGTGTCTCCAAGAAGTAAACTGTAAGTTTCTCCAGGCCTTGATGACTTATTAATTTACTGCTATCTTTCGGGAAAACGCGAGAGTCAGATCATTGCCTTTTTTTTGTTACAAATGATGCTTAAAAACGTACCGACATCGTCCGAAACTATATGTCGACAACCTTCGTTTCCTGATACCTTTCAACAAAACATTTCAATGGGCGACGGACGACTCGTACTCGTGCAGACAGTCAGACAGCAATCGATGGGACATCAAACGGCTTCATGGATTTTGTTCCACGTGTCTAACCTTTGCTTCGACTTTTTTTCTGCCTATTCTGTCAATAGATCTCTCTCGAGATCACCGTCATTCCTGGACTTTAGTTGTAATTTTCGAGGAAATAAACAACTTGTCATTACAGAAAAAAAACATAGAATTGATCAATGATTGTGTGATCTCAGTATTCCCATTTTCCCTACTACGTCGCCCATTGTGGGACCTGTGCTTGAACAAAAGGGCTATCGTTGAGCATGAACAAGACGAAACATTAACGTGTCTACAGGTTATATAGTTGGCTAGTCTTGCTACCATCCCATCACTTTTGTGTGGTCAGGATCGCATTCTGAGCCTTCATGCAGTGGAGACCTGCATCGTTAGTGATAGCCCAGCAGAAGGCTGATATGATGTGCTCACTTCGACTTCTGCACTCAGCTAGCCCCCCTACTCATTTTCAAAGATTATTTCCTTTTTTTTTGGAGGATTTTTTTCGCACTTCAATCACCACCCGAGATAATGATCCAGACCTTCTCTTCGTTACGTGAAGGGATGGCAGCGAGACTGATAGTTGGCTATGTTGCGTTCGCTTCTTCCGTACGAGTGAGCCCCTTGTTGGCACTGCTCGGTGTCTCCAAGATAGATTTGAGCACCAGAGTCTTGATCGGAGAATAGGGCGAGGCTCAAATTTCTGCTGATTTTTTGTACGAGTGGATTGGAGTCCATTGGAGAAAGCTGTAACCTCGGTTAGATTATATTTCTGTAATTGCATAATTGCACAACCGTGTCCGCATGGCGTCTCCATGCTTGACATCATGTTATCGATAAGATCACCCCTTTTTTTTAACCCACCCCTCTTTTCTTTTACAAACAACAAAAACTACAACAGGAAGCAATAAACAACAATAGCAACAACAGCAAGCAACAAACAACACCAGTAACAAAAAAGACATCCATCAGCATGGCATGGACACATAAGAGGACGCAGCTTGGCATGGACAGACATGAAGATGCAGCTTGGCATGGACAGACATGAAGATGCAGCTTGGCATGGACAGACATGAAGATGCAGCTTGGCATGGACAGACATGAAGATGCAGCTTGGCATGGACAGACATGAAGATGCAGCTTGGCATGGACAGACATGAAGATGCAGCTTGACATGGACAGACATGAAGATGCAGCTTGACATGGACAGACATGAAAATGCAGCTTGGCATTGTTGCGGTACGGGGTGGTTTATTAGTTTTTTTTTCTGAAAAAGTGCACCAGAATCATGATGTTAACACCAAAGTGAGAACGTCACTATCAGAGCAGGTTGCGTTGAGGTGCGAAAATAAAAGATCCCTCTCTTTCTTCCCATTGACATATTCGACCATACACCATACTTTTCAGCATGGACAGACATGAGGACGCAGCTTGGCATGGACAAACACGAAAACGCGAGCACACAAACCACAACGAAGAATAAGAACGAAGAGGACACAGATGCCATTCTACTGAACGTGGTCAGTGAACAGTAGGGTAACGGTATGTCCTGGCATAAGGAGAGTGAAAAGGTTGTGTTAGTTCTTTGTAGAAAAGCGTAAGCGTCTCACAGTTATCAGTACCGATTCTCTTTAATCCTCGACCACATTTTGACACATCTTCTACAGTCTCAAGTTTCATCCTCTTCAAGATGGGCAAACCATCCACGCCTCTTTATACCTGTACCGGTACCCGTTCTTCCACTGCTGCTGCAAAGTAAGCCCATGTCAGTGTCAGTATGCCACTATGTTCTTTTTCTATGTTCATTTCTGTTCATCCCTGACCTTTAGTATTCTTTTCCTAATTATCGCAGGCAACAGTCCTCTTTGAGCCCTAAGGTCTTGGTTCGGCGGCTGCAGCCAGCGCATTGTAAAGGGCGCACCACTCTCAATAATCGCAGGCGCTGCAACACAGACGATGCGTAGAACGACAATGCAACTATCGTGAATGCCTCTTATCCAACCCCTGATGTCCCCGTTAACAACATGACCTCTGATATCGACAGCAGAAGCATCTTGATCTCAACGACTCCTGTTCATGACCCTGTCCCCGACGACATTACGTATTTTGAGGATGCGTATACACATCTCCGGAGTTTCAAGCCCAAGGTTGCCACTGTTGTTCCCACCCTCACGCCAACTTCAAAGGTGAGCGGACGTCGATTAAGGGTCTTTTTCAGGTCCGCCTCAACTCAAGACCAGAAGCAGGAGCAGGAGCAGGAACAGGAGCAAGAGCAGGAGCAGGAGCAAGAGCAGGAGCAGGAGCAGGAGCAGGAGCAGGAGCAGGAGCAGGAGCAGGAGCTTCTGCAAAAACCGTCTCTGCCAACAATACACCTACTGTCGCCGTCCCTGTCACTGGTCAGGACACGGACAAAGACTATGGATTCAATGACGACAATGATTTCATTGACGCCCTGAATGATGTGCTGACGAATGACGACTTTGACAATGTCTTTTCAACAGCCATTCACGATGCCTACCAAAACGTTACCACCAATAGCGATCGCCCACCCATTGTTGGGACATCCTCAGTTAAATTGGACAAGCGAGGGCGAATGATTGTTGAAGAGGAGACTGACGAGGAGTCGGAAGCGGCACCATCGTCCATCGCCATCACCACCACCATCACCACCAGCACCACCAGCACTAGCGGTACTAATGCCAACGCCATCGTCTGCGGCTCCAACAGCATCACGAACACGCGCACGCCAGTTCCCACCTCCAGGACTCCAGGAGCATGTGCACCAAGTGTGGATGTGAAGGCTGGAATCCTGTCGGCCACCTTGGCCCTCCTGCCAGGCCTTTCGGGATTAAGAAGGCGATCTTGGATACCTGTGCCTGAAGGTGTAACCAAATGGAACTGGCCGATAATCTCCCGACAGAGATCGACAATAGCTGGGTCGTGCTTCACAACTTTTGACTGGGAAGCAAGTTCAACGCCCACCTCAATGTCGAGATATGTTCGTCGGTCTGCGGCGAAATATTGGTACGAGTACATCCATAAGGTATGTCTTTTGTTCATGCCCCCCTTTTTTTTATCAAAGCAAAAGAAGAAACAATGGTATCGCAGCACAAAAGTCAAAGCATCAATGGACATACATAAATTTTCATTTTCATTTTCACAATGGAACGGACCGAGCCAAGATCGCCCTCGAAAAAGAGAAAAGTCTTCTGTTTGCCTCCCCTGATCAATCTTCATCGTCGTCTTTTGCATCCACCGGCACCAGCACCAGAACCAGCACCGCCACTACTGAAGGCTCAATCACTGCAGACCAAAAAAAAAATGCAGCAAGCAAGGAGGTATTTCTTTTGGGCATTTTTTGTTTGTCTGGTCCTACGAATGTCTGGCGTATTTTTTCTGTAACCATGGTGATGATGGGAAAGTATCGGAGTAGGAAAGTGCGGATGAATAATGAACGAAAAAAGAGTTGCAAGGACAATTATTGGATAGAAGTGGGTGGGAAGGGAGAAGTATAATAGGGATTGTGTAGGGTTCTTTTTTTGTTGTTGCCTGTTGGTGTGTGTGTGTGTGTGTTATTGTTGCGAGTGGTAGTGCTGTTTGAAGGTGAATGGAGAGACGAATGACGATGCAGTTGTGGAGGAAAGGAGAGTTAAGAATGAACGAATGATTGGGGTAAATGAGGTGGGGAGTAGAGATGAAGCAGAAAGGAGTAATGAGTGCGACGAAGAAGTTGTAGAAGGGAAGCAGTGAGAGGGGCAGGGGCGAGAAAAAGGAGGGGAGAGTCCAAAGGAAAGAAAGGAGGAGGAGGAGTAGAAGCGACTGGGAAATAGCGGACGAGAGAGGAGAAATGGCGCAGCCGTAAAATACAGTCAACATAGAAGCCCATCCGATAGCTTGCTCTCAGCTTTTCTCTGGTTCTTCTTCGCCTTGGATGTGGGTACAAAAAATCGTATCAGAAGAGAACAGGCATGCAGGTTCCACCTCCAATGGTCGGGTCAGACTTTTCGTACCTGCAGCATTACTAACTATCCGTTTGTAAACAAGCGCCAAAAATCAAGATAGTGTGTTTTCCACCTTGCTACGACAGCCAATCATCTTTGCATTGTTTATTCATTCACTCTCGTACTTGTTGAATGCCTGCAGAAAATAAAGACCTCAGCTGCTAAGCCCAAAGAGATCTAAGCAGTTTTGTGGCCTAGGTCCTCATCCCTTGGCGGGATGGAGGATAACGTGGTATGTGTACACTCTGTTCATTCAAGGTGTGTTTAATACCCGTAGACTGTTGTCTTTGGAATTATCCAAAAACTTCATTTTACACCTCTACATTGGCCCGAGCCTAAGCACTGTCTTTGCGTTTCACTGACAGCCTTCTGGACGGCGTTGTTCAAAAAAGCAACAATAGTACTGGATATTGCACGACTTCAATCTCTAACTTGCTGTAGAGGCAAAGAGGGGGATTCCTGGTAGTGGACGGACCTGACAGCATGTTCTTTTTATTTTTGAAAAGATTTATATATTCTTCAAGATCAAGTACGCTTTAGAATAAATTCGCGATCGCGATGGTTGCCAACGGCGAATTCATACTCGGAGACTTTGTCGAAGCCATAGCGGGCATATAAGCGTTGTCCACCGTAGTTCTCAGACCAGACACCAATATATAAAGGTTCAAATCCCTCATCTCCAAGCCAGGCTAACATTCTCTCGAGTATACGACTGCCTAGCTTCTTGCCTTGGTGGTCTGGGTGTACATAGAGGCGTTTGATCTCACCTGCGTTCGATTCGAGGTTTGGTACAGGCAGCTTGCAGGCTCCAGCCCATCCGAAAGCCATGGCTTGGCCATTTTCATCCTCCACCAGCCAAAGTGATTCACGGGAATCAGTTAATGGAATGAGATGTTGCTCAACCGTGTATGTTGTCGCAAGGAAATCCTGCAGGTCCTTGGATGTGTACAACTGCCCAAAAGTGTGGGTGAACGTAAGAGCGCCTAATTCGCAAAGCACAGATGCATCATCTGGAGTGGCTTGGCGAAGATTCATGCAGGACATCTTGTGGCAATCTTGATTCGAGAGGGTGGAAATGAGAAGGTTGTCTTTCTGTAGCAAGCTTGCTTAATAAGATGATGAAGGAAGGAAGGAAGGAAGGAAGAAGGAATGGATGAAAGATCAGATGCAATGTCTATTAGTAAATGGGAACAACAAAGTGACTGCTTGTATAGCTCTTACCTCGAGATGATGGATGCAGGATGATGCAAAAAGACAAGGAGGAGAGACTATGGCTTATAAGTATAATTTGATTGGAGTCGTGGGACCGCAGCAATAACCCTTATCATCCTGAGTCATATTGGATAGCTTGATACAGGGTGATATTCGACAGCTTCTATAAAAACATATGGAGTTTTCGAAAAAATAAGGCTTAGACGTGTTATTGTTTCAGGATAACAGGGTCACGGCAAGATTAGAGGATAGCTAAAGGAGACAGGTCTATAGAATATCGAAGCAACGCTTGCCAATATTGACTCTGCCTCTCTGTACTGTGAAAGAGACAAAGAGCAATAAGCAGAAGAGACATCATCGCGTCCAGATAAAGGGGCACGGATTTTGAAACATTATCAGACTTCCTTCCTTCCCTCACACACCTTCCTGCTGCATTTTCATACCTTTCTCCTCTCAATTCACGACATGACAAAGCCTTACACTCTGCTGGCACTGCTAGCTCCCCTCGCTCTTTACGTTGTGCAAGCACATGTCTACTGTCATAGCTAGGGCGCTAGTCATAGCCATAACTGATTGAGATCAAGTTATGAAGACGAGGACAAAACAATGCCTTGGCTTGGGAACAGTTCCTCAATTCAAGAAAATGAACAACAGAAGCGTTGTTGTGTACAGAATCTGGCCTATGAGGGAATGGAGTAACAACTGACATAAGTGCTGTGATGTTGCTTCAACCACGTCTACCGGCCCGATGTGCTTTGAAGCAGCTTTGAACCCTTCGACCCTTTCACCCCGTCACCACCCTGAATAAAACCTTACACCCGTGTTATGTACAGCGCCGTTGCAAAAAGAATTTGCCTATTACCTTTTTTTGAGTAAAAAAATGCTCATATTTTACCCAAAAAAAAAGTAGTAGGCGAATTCTTTTTGCAATGGCGCTGTACACTGTCTCTGACCCACACAACTCCTGATCTACTCTAGAAGGTCTCGTGGACGATAGCAGAGAAGGATGCCTAGGTCCAACAACTCACCATAACGTGGCACGGGTACTCTTCTGTTCATTCATGGAGTTTCCTACCTGTGGATTGTCGTCTTTGGAACCATCCAAAACATCTTTGAGTTTCACTGATAATCCTCTATGTTCGAGATGTTTCATTGGCTCACGCAAAATGATATGAATACCAAAGGTAGAGAGAGTAGAAAAAAGCGACATGCAGAAGGATCAATGGGCGCATAAATTACGTCACCGTAGACACAAACCAACTCTATCAAGACTGCAATTGTCCAATTTGTTTCCTTTCACAACCATCAGTCACCATCATCTCTCATTCCAAGGTAAGATGAACCTAATGCAGGCCTCATCCGAACTTGCAAAGTCCACACCGATGTTCTTTGGAATGAGAGGGACCAAGGCTTGTCTTTTCTAGAGAGTGCATTTCTTTTCTGCTTTTTCTTTCAGAGCATCGTTCGAGTCCCTGTGTCTTAATACTCTTTCGTGCACTTGATATCTCAATCATTGTTAGAACGCGTCTTTATTAAGCCATTATACGTCCACGATATGCCTACAACGAGCGACTTTCAACTACTCGACAACCAGACCAATGCTGTCGAGAGCGGGAAAGAGTACTTTCTCAAGCTGACCGATCCTAGCATGGAGCACGATGTCTTGAGTTTCGACTACTGTCTTATTCTCCATGCCTCAAACGAAAACGAGGAGGCAATAGTGACGTTCGAGTTCATCGATGGCATAACGTATCTAAAGCACAACAACGAGTTTTTGTACATCCACGACAACGGAAGGTTTCCACAGATAGGGTTGACATGCAACGTTCCCAAAAAGCATGAAAGGCTGCGACTTGTTATATCGGACGACGACAACACATTTCGAATCTCCCTGTGGGATCGAGATCTTTTCGCTTACGTAGAATGGATCAAATGCGCTTACGGCGCTTTTTGGTTTGAGGGAAGTAGTAGTGAAGTTGGTGAGAGACTCATCCTTAGCCCAGTGTAGCAAGAAGTTAGTTTTCAAAAGAAACACATCAACATATCATATCGAGTCGAGTAGCCGTTGTTATTTTGAGTCGCTAAGATTATTAGAAGTCTTTTTGAAGGACAGATTTGTTCGAAGAAACTACATTTTCATCTTGCGCAAGGGGTCGATGACATGAAACTGGGTTGAGGCAGACAAGTGTTTATAGCGACGTTGCTTTTTGATCTCTCGATGTCGGCTCGTTCAAACCTAGCTTCATTATAATTCCAGGTCACAGTGTAGATGCTTTGTGCATTTGTCAAAGCAGACATATATTTCCCACTGTACACCCATGCAACGTATTTTCTTTGCATCCTTGTTCCATGTGGATTGTGTAAAAGCACGTCGAATCAGTCTTGATTTCGACAGGAACAATGCGGTCAATAATATGAGTTTTAAAAGTATACATGTGATCAAAAGTCAGAGAAGAGAAGAACGGCCAATCGAAATATCGTTCACGTCTAGATTAACCCACCGCTTGAAAGGACATTGCTGTCAAAGACGTAGTACGTCGGCTGCATTAGTGAGCTATATTTCTCCCTTCCGAGATGCGAACCTCTTGATCGATGTGACCAGACTTGACGCGATGTACGGTGCATGTTAAGATACCTACCTTGGCTTCAGTCAGAAGGCCCATGCCCAACTGTAGTGCAGTGATATCGAGTCGGTTTTGTGGTAGCTTGAATCGTCCAAGGCTCATCGGAATGGAAGTGTTTTTACCGCTTCCGACTCCGTCTGCTGCTGCTGAGGTCTTCCTTCCAAGGATATCGATCCTGTGCATCGACTGGCTGACAGCATAGTGTGTGATCTGGGGCTCTCCCTCAATCCTGCTCACCAGCTCGTTCAAGTTCTCAGGGGATAGATGACAGAAAGAACTTCAAATATGTCTACTATGTATCAAATGTATCAAAAGGAATAAAGGAGAAAAAAAAGCGTAAATAATACGAAGGTAAAAAAGGAAAAAAGAAAAATAACAAAGATGACAGACCTTTTGGTAGACGTATCCGTTTTTGGGTCCCCATCCATGGACTTTGTTTTCGGAACGGACACCGCTGACGGGGGGCTGGGAGCTCATGGTGAGGTATCCAGGCTCGTTGAAACGAGCAAGCTGACCGTTGATCGCCTCGGTCCCGGGTTACAACGAGCTCTCATCACTCCATGGGATGGATCGAATCTCGTCATGGCAGTACTTTGCAAAGAGAGAAGAGAGATACAACATCATGGGGCCTCGAGGGACGATCCCACGATTCCGATGCCTCTTTGGCCGCAACCTCAAGCGAGGTACCCAACAGTGACCATCGAGCTCTCCAAAGGCGGGCGAACGTTGGAGAACTCGTCCCAGGTCTCGGCTCTAGAGACATAGGACTAGATCATAATCTTCCAGAAGATGGGACGCACATTCTTCTCGCGCTTCTCTGATAGCGAACGGTTCCAGGGCAAAGGACGAGTGCTTGTGCGGGGAGCGACAAAGTCAAATCCTTCGAGGATCAGGCAGGTTGGTTTTTCAAAGTTCAGGATGTAAACGTGGAGTCCGCTGATACCTCCTGCCTGCATACCCTTGTACATCTCGACCGCCAGTTTGACTCCAAAGTCCTTCACCGCCTGGTCGTCCTCCTGATGGATGCCGTTAATCAATATGCATCAGCGAGTGACAGGTGTGAGTCTCAGTAAGAGAATTCATTAGTATTTTTCAATAGTCTCATTTATATCTTTTTATCCTCGTTGTGAATAGTACGCTTTCTTGCCCTTCTCCTTCTCTTATTTTCCTTTATCTTCCCTTGGTGAGTCTAGAGTTTGGTGTGTGGTTCTTTCCAAGTGAACAGCCATGCTTCTGTTTTCCCATTGTCTGAAACCGAAATGGTCAAATAAATAAAAGGCAAACGAAGATCACCTAGATAAGAAAGTGTTGTTACTTTGAAGGGTTCAAGTGCGTTCTTGATGCGCTCGAGAACAAAGGCATTGCAGCGACTGGTCATACGGCCGAAACCGCCGAAGCTCTCGATGGGCATGATATTTGGAATGGTGGGAACGGCGATACCGCGGGTGCGACACTCTTTGATCCAGTCCAGGAACAAGACCATGCCATAGAAAAGCTGGGTCACAATGAAATCTGCGCCTTGGTCGACCTTGTACTTGAGCCACTTGAAATCTCTCCCGGTCAGTTGAATCCAGATGTCGCTCTGTGTTTGCGCCTCCATCGCTATCGCATGTAAGTCGTCATTTATGCCGGTCTTGTAAACAGTATTCGTCCAAAGTTGCAGCAACATTATTGCACCACCTCGTCCAATCCTCCCAAGGCAGAGAGGTCGTCTGTTAGAACTGATCGTTCTATACAGGTATATCGAGACAAGAAAACGGAAACAAGGGTATGTAGAAAGAGAGCAATTTATTGAAGGGACACTGAAAGCGATACTGAAGATGGTACTGAGCAAAGTGGTGAACTACTGAAGGGGAAGAGAGGGGATTTCATAGAGGTTGGCGTATGATGGGATGAATTCTTGAGTGTCGCATAGACATAAGGGTCTTGAGTGTCACGTATGCATAAGGAGACTCTGACATCGTCCATAGATGCTAGAATCACGATCACGCATCGCTGCCATCAGCATCCTGCTCCACAGCAAAGCCGAACGTGTCACAGTCTCCGTCATCGATTCTTTCATCTGTCCCCAAAGACCAAGTCGTGTGTAGTTGCACACGGTACTGAGATGTGGAGCCGATGGCCCAGAACCCAGGCACAACATCCGGCTTGCGGCCTGTATACTTCTCAAACGCGCTGACCAAGATCTCTCGGGTGCCTGCTGGCATAAACGCATCCAAGTGCTTCATGCTCTTGCACGAAGCCTGGTATCGTGGGATAGTGTATGGGCCAATGGCATATACCGTTGAGAAGAGCAGCTCCGTATCCGCAAGGCAGATAATCGCACCATGATACTCATTGTAGAGCTCCTCTTCGGGCTCCCTTTCATAGTGCTCGTGCATAAAAGTCATCAGCTTGAAACCCGGCAGATTAAACGGCTGTTGCAGCGCTTCTTTGGGAACAGGAATCGCGGCAGCCGTCATGCTACCAAATTCATACCAGTGGTGTACCATAGCGTAAGTCAAACAAGAAAAGGTCAGAAGAGTGGTGCCGGAGGCGAGCGCAATAAAAGGGAAGACAAGTAGCGGGTGGGTGCGGTGAGAGATGAAAAAGAAGCTTTGGTGACAGAGGATGATATGGATGAAGGGAGGATGAAGAAGGGAAGAAGGAAGGAAGGGAAGAAGGGAAGAAGAGAAGGGCGGTTAAGGGAGAAAAAAGGAGAGAGCAGAGGGAGAGAGAGAGGGCGGATGGATTATATATGCATGAGCGAAAATGCAGGACGGTGTCCACAGCGGCGCTGAGAGCGTCAGTCTCAACGGACATCCTTCAATATTCCCTTGATGTATCTGCACTTCCATGGACAGAGCTGACAAGGGTCGTCATGAAAACTGAGAACAAAAGAAATCAACAAAGTCACATGGATACGTGTGGATGTGATAGCGTGAAAGACAGACAATAGGGCATCGGCTGGAAAGAGACAGAGACAATAGAAATGATGGAGGGGCGTAGGAGTGCGCAGTCATGAAGACAGTGGCAAATGACAGCGATGACGGAAGAAATAGGGAGCGAGACAGCGGCAAGCGCGGGAGCGGGAAGACGTGAAGACTGAACTGAGCTTGAGACAAAAGGGTAGGGAAAAGAAGCTGAGAATGGATGCGTTGAGGACAAATGGCAAGCGTGGGAAAGTCAACTCCTTCACAAGATGAGCTTCTCACGTCCCACCGCTTTTGTGATCAGCTTTTTGTTCCTCCCTGTTATCCTCTTACCAGGCATCCTGTCTTTACTCGCGTGTTACTTCTGGCACCTTTACCCAATGACTATAAGCTAGTAAGCCACCACAGGAAACCTTGCCGATCCACACATATAAAGCCCCTCTCTTGCCTGCATTGCGACGTCCTTCCTTTCCACACACACTTTCCTGCAGCATTTTCATACTCTTCTCCCTCTCTCAATTCACAACATGACAAAGCCTTACACTTTGCTGGCACTGCTAACTCCTCTCACTCTTTATGTTGTGCAAGCAGGTGTCTACTATTATAGCTAGGGTGTAAGTCATAGCTATAACTGACCGGAATAAGTTATGAAGACGGAGACAAAATAATCCCTTGGCTTGAGAACAGTTCCTCAATTCAAGAAAATGAACAACAAAAGCGTTGTTCTGTACAGCATCTGGCCTAAGAGGGAATGGAGTAACAACTGACACAAGTGCTGTGATGATGCTTCAATCACGTCTACCGGCCCGATGTGCTTTGAAGCGGCTTTGAGCGCTTGAATCCTTACATCACCACCCTGAATAAAACCTTAAGCCCGTTTAATTTTCACTGTCTCTCACCCCACACAACTCCTAATCTGCTCTAGAAGGCCTCATGGACAATAGAAGAGAAGGATGCTGAAATAAAGAGCGCAACCCTTGGTGGGTTGATTTAATTCCAGATTTGTGGTCTAGATCCAACAACTCACCATAGTGTGGCAGGGGTACTCTTCTGTTTATTCATGGAGTTTCCTACTCTGGATTATTGTCTTTGGAACTATCCACAAACATCTTTGCGTTTCATTGATAACCTTATATATGTTCGAGATGTTTCACTGGCTCACGTAAAAGGAATTCAGGTCAAAGATGGAGAGTATAGAAAAAAGTGACAGAGTAGAAAGCAGTAAAAATTGAAGTATCTATGGGCGCATAAATTACGTCACCGTAGACACAAACCAACTCTATCAAGACTGCAATTGTCCAATTTGTTTCCTTTCACAACCATCAGTCACCATCATCTCTCATTCCAAGGTAAGATGAAACTAATGCAGGCCTCATCCGAACTTGCAACGTTCACCCCGATGTTCTTTGGAATGAGAGGGAGCAAGGCTTGTCTTTTCTGGAGAGCGCACTTTCTTTTTTTTTTTTTGCTGTTTCCTTTCAGAGCATCATTCGAGTCCTTGTGTCTTAATACTCTTTCGTGCACTTGATATTTGCACATTGTAAAACGCGTCTTTTTAAGCCATTATACGTCCACGATATGCCTACAACGAGCGACTTTCAACTACTCGACAACCAGACCGATGCCGTCGAGAGCGGGAAAGAGTACTTTCTCAAGCTGGCCGATCCTAGCTTGACGCACGATGTCTTGAGTTTCCAATACAGTCGTGTTCTCCATGGCACAGCCGACCGCGAGGACCCGATAGTGACGTGCGAGTTCATCGATGGCATAACGTATCTAAAGTACCAAAACGAGTTTTTGTACGTCATCGACAACGAAAATATGGCAGAGATTGGGTTGACGGCGGATGTTCCCAAAAAGCATCAAAGACTGCGACTGGTTGTATCGGACGAGGACAACACATTTCAACTCTCCATGTGGGATCGAAATCTTTTCGCTTACTTGGAATGGATCAAATGCGCTTACGCCGCTTTTTGGTTTGAGAGAAGCAGTGGTGAAGTGGCCGGTACGAGAGTCATCCTTAGTCCAGTGTAGCAAAGAAGTCTTCAAAAGAAACACATCAACACATCATATCGTGGTCGAGTAGCCGTTGGTTGTTTGATTCGTTGAGATTACTAAAAACCTTTTTGAAGGGCATTGTTCAAAGAAACTACATCTTCCTTCCTGCGCAGCCTAAAATTAAGGAGTCGATGATATGAAACTGGCTTGTGGCTAGACAAAAAGCAAGCGGCCGGGCTTTCCCTTAAGCTAGGCGAACCAAGCGTTTAGTACCTTGCCTGTCAAACAAGCGGTTAGTGCTTTGCCTGTTAATCAAGCGGTGGTATTGTTGATGCTTTGTTTATGCAACGCCCCAAGACACGCCCGAATCTATGTGAGACCTGCGTCCTTATGCTACTCAGTTCTTGCTCTACTCTTTTAAGCATCATTCCCGCCCAGGAGCACCTTGTTGCAGGTGAGATGGCTGGACGATAAGCATAAAGAAAAACTCCTGAATAGACCAAGGTCTTGCATCATCATTGAGTTGTTGTTGTTACAAGGCTTCGACTTTTGATTATTTTACACATATGGGTCAGCAGGCTAGTCAATCCCGCTCTCATTTTCCTCCGCCTCTCTGCCAGTTCACCAGCTGCACCGCACTGGACTTAAACTGGCCAGTCAGTCGAAACTCAAACAAACGATCCATGCTGCTGTCCTGACGAATGCCCGTCATCCTCAGTCGAAGAGTCCAAATCAAACACTACATTCTTTTTCAACGGACTTTTGGTACCCTTGACAGGGCTTCTCACAGGACTCCGCCGTGCCGGCGAAGAAGGCGCTGACGCAGACAATGCAGGCTGCAGCTCATCATCATCGTCATCCTCCAGCACATACACGTCCTCATCATCATCCTGATGTTGCTGTTGCTGTTGACCACGATCCTGTTGTCCTTGTGCACGAACATCTCCCGTGGCATCTCCCGACTTGGCATGAGATCCAACCTCATCATCTCCAGAAGAACCTCGACCATGCCCGCGCTCTGCTTCGTCCATATCAACCATCGCCAGACCAACATACCCTCCTGCACCAGGTCGACTGCTGGGACCGCCACGACGTGACGATCCTCCCGAGAAGGTACCCTCCATAGGTCCAGGTGTCGAATCGTCTTCAAAGATAGCGCCTGTCAGCACCGCCTCGTCATAGGCAACCTTCCACGCCAAGTACAACAATCTCAACAGCACAACCAAGAAAGGGCCATTGTACAGCGTGATGTCGACAACAATCTCCAGAGGAATCAGAATGTGTCTCGTGTCCCGGTGCACGTTGCAGAGTTCCAGCAGCATGTAATGGACAGGCACGTACAATATGCACAAATACCACTAGTAATTACGAAGTGAAATAACAGAGCAGAGCATGTTAGCATCTTGGCTGCAGTTTGATCTGCATTTGGCATATTTCCTGTGCTGTGCTACAACACATGCATGTCCATTGGCTGAGTAAAGTAGGGCAGGCACAGTCGTCCTTTTTGCGTTGTAAGATGTAGTGTCCGAAAAGGCGGTGGTGGTGAATGGAGTGATCGACAAGCGTTACGTTGTTATCGTCGGCAATGCAGTACATCCCACAACGCCAAATGAATGTCTCTTGGTTGAGTAAATTACAGTAAGCACACTCCTCACAACAAACACACGCGTATCTCTCCTGACTGAGTAAAATACGGCAAGCAGAGTCTACACATCAAGAAAAAACAAGTAAAATACCTTGTAGGACCAGAGGTCTCGGGGGAACTTTCCAAAGATGACAACACCGCTCTGAGCAGGGCGGGTGACAACATGGAACAAAAAGATCATCCCGATCGCGTACCAGATCTGACTGGTCATCCAGCGCACGCCATCCGAAAGCCAAGAGAATGACTGTGAGGATTCGCCCTTCCAGCCACGGAGCATGTACAAGATGTTGGATACGAGGGTGAGAAGAGTCGCCACGATGCACACGCCTCCCATGAATCGATAGTTCCTTGCCACTGGTGCTGGGAGTAGGGCTATTTGGGATAAAAAGGAAAGGTCGTGTCAGTTGTTGTCTGCGTCTGCGTCTGCGTGTGCATCTGCGAGGTAGTCCTGTGACCCAAAGGGTCTGTGCGCCCAACTAGAGCGTCGACTCAACGTGTGTATGTGCCTTTTTACCTTTGGCAATCGACTCGTTTGTGATATGCATCCGTGAACTAGCAAACACAAACAAAGGGGAAAAAAACGATCGTTAGTTCAGTGCACAGGCGTTATCACGCAAGGGAAAGGGAAAAACGGCTATTCTTCCCGAGATCCGAAACTTGTCCACCCATGTTTGCTTCCTCACTCACCTCTTGCGCCGGCAGTAGACAAAGAGGCCTATCATGACAATGATATCAAAGACGGGTCCCAGTACCGAAGATATCTATCATTGACAACAAAAGGGGGCTTTTGGTGAGTAAATGGTTTGGCGACGTCCATGCTTGATGGCGTGGCGATAGAGTGGGTGGGTGGGCTGCGCTTGATGAAATTTGAACTCCTCCCTCCAACGAGCCGTCAGTCCACTGTCCATGGGCTTTTTATTTTCCTTCCTTCCTTTCCGTTCTATTGAGTTCAATCAATGTGATTACGATGATGGTTTGCTCTCACCACTTTCCACGTTGCATGAATCGCTGGTCCTGTGCTCTGTCAAATTGATGTCCTTTTCCGATCCTTCTATTTGTCCTGTCCTATCCTGTCTTGCCATGTCCTTGGTGTATCAATAAATTAGCTATTGCCACTGACAGCATAACTGGTCCAAGGAAAGGGTCATAAAGAAAATTAAAGAAAACCACCAAGGTTCTTGGGTTCAAGTAGTATAAATTCCAAGAAAGGGGACATATGCTGGGTCGGGCTGGGTGGGTGAGGTAAAAAGAAGTTGATCCTGATCCACACTACACACACACACGGTCAGAGAGGGACACGTTGTCTCTCTCTCTCTGTCTCCTTTGTGTTCGCCACATTAATAGACGAAGATGAAGAGCATTGTGGTCTCTGTTTCTCTTTCGCCTCTTCTCCTCTTGCTATTATGGGAACAAAAGAGACACACTTACAAGACACCCTAACAACATAAAGAAGTGAGATAAGTATCAGCAACAGAGTTTCGCTAACACACGCACACATACACACAAGCCAAGCGAGAGAAAAGGGTAGCAAAACTTACAGACGATGTAACCACCAATCTCCCAGCGGCCCATTCGCATGCGAAGGAGGACTTGGTTCTCCATAACAAGGACTCCGATGCCGAGAAGCATGGATATGAGGGAGACATAGCTGCGCCAGTCGTTGAAGAAGGGTTTGAGGAAGGTGATGACGGCGTGGATGTGCTTTGACCATTCGTTGTAGGGTTCGTTGCTGTCCATTTCTGTGAAGTTGTTTTGTGCGAGATGTGAGGAAGGGAAGAAAGAGAGAGCCGGGAAGGCCTATTGAGGTTGTGAATGTGTGGAAAGGTGGTGGTTCCTGAGTTGTAGGTTTATACGGTTGCTGGTTGCTGGTCGTTGGTAAGTGTTCCAGCACAGGTATATGTCGAAAGTGTCGAAGGTGAAGAGAAGTGAAAAGTGAAGAAGTAAGGAGAAGAGGACAGGAGTAACGGGAGTTTTGCGGGAGTTTTATCAAGGGCCAAGGGTCGAAGACAACGAAACACATAAGGTGCACGTGACGATTAGAGACATTGCATTGGAATTCCCAGAGAAACAAGGGAAAAAGGAAACAAGGAAGGGGTTCACACACGGATGATACTCAAATGGAATATTAGAGACGAGAATAATCGTTTATTTGGTAGAGGAAGAAGGGTATCGTAGGAATGGCGGAGGAGAAGGGAGAGGGTAAACCAACGAAAGAGGAGAGAGAGGGAGGATGAATGATGAATATGAAGGTGGGAGGTAGGATATACATGAGAAGCAGACGCTTAAGCGGAGCAGATGGTCTTGATCTTGGAGACCTCCTTGGCAGAGATATCGATACAGGCCTGGGCGCAAAGGTCAATAGCGGCCTTGAAGTGGACAATAATCGACTCGGAGACCTTGACATCGCCAGAAACGCTAATCTTGACCAAGAACAAGTTGACCGAGAACTTCTTGATCTGGGCTTCAACAGCGGACTTGATCTTGATGTTCAACTTAGCAGCGAGCTTATCAGAGATCTTAACGGATGCCTTGGTGGTGATCTTGACGGCATCCTTGACAATGTTCTTGGCCTGGAGCTTGATGCAAGCGGCATCATGGGCGGGGCAGCGCTTGGTGATGGCAGCAGCGAGGTTGGCACGGAGGTTGGCAGTGAACTGGGCCTTGATGGTAGCGTCGACCTCGGCCTTGACGGAGGCCTTGATTGAGGTCTGGAGGGCAGCAGAGAGCTTTGATCCAAGACCGAAATCGATGTTGACGAGGCCACTATTATTCCAGGGAGAGCATGAGCAAGTTCATTGGTTAGTTGGTTTTGTTCGTTGAGTGTTCAATGGGAGTATGGATGGTACGAACATCAGGGAGAAAGAGAGAAAGTAACAGAGAGAAAAAAAGTAAAAGGTTTGCTGCGTTGTAGAAAGAGGCACACGCAGTCGGCTCATAAAAAAGTAAGAGCTGTGGGGAGGAAGAGTTGATTTTGGGCTAGACTGAGAAAAATGATCGCTGCTCTTTTTGGTTGCTGCTCTTCTTTCACTGTTCAAGGACATGTCGGACCAAATGCGGCTGGCATCGATACTCCGCCACTGCAGGGCACAGGAGAAGGGTCGTGCTTCGTTGTATTTTCGATCGGGTTGAGGGAAGGAAAAAAGGAGGCAGGGAACATGTCGAAAAAAGGAGGCCTGGCAAGCCAATAGCCAAAAACAAAAAAAAAAGAAAGAGGAAACTTACGTGACCTGGACGCGGAGGTTGGATGAGACGGCAGCGTGAATGTTGGTATCAGTGCAGGTGTCAGCATAGGCCTTGAGGACAATGGTAGAGTGCTCCTTGACGAGCAAGTCAAGGGTGGCCTCAAAGGCAGCACCGACGACGGGCTTGGCAGCGCGGCGCTCAAGAGCAGTCTCGGCGGACACGGAGCCGCAGAGCATGGCGAACATGGCCATGAAGAAGGCGAGGATAGCGAAGGTTCTCATTGTGGATGGTAGCTGAGGGGGGGTGTTGGAGGTGGTAAGGAAGTGGTAAGGAGGTAAAGGTGTAGGAGTGGTGTCTCTGTGGAAGAGTGTGGGGGGTGAGTGAGGTGGAGGTTGGTTCGACAAAGAAGAATCAGAAAAAGTTGTGGGTGCCGGTCTTCTTTTATACACGCAGAAGAATGAAGATCGTTGAAAGCGAATAATGAAGGGGTTCAGTAGGGGGAAGGGAGAGGTAGAGGGGGAGCGAACTCTATTAGATGCAGCATCGCAGTGGTTTGGTTGAATGATGGTTATGAATTAGGTGTTGTTGGGTGGTTAGGAAAGGATTCCTGCGATCGATCAATGGCCTTTGGGTAAATATTATTTTTGTGTATTCAGGCACCAGAACAGAGACCGGGCGAGATCGCGCTGGTTTACTTGTACCTGGATACAAGTACTTGCATTACTGTCCTGCCAAGCAGAGGAATGGACCAGGGGAGGATGGCTCGTGTCTGCTGCATCTCTCTCTACTCTGCATTGGCTTGCCGATACATAATCGAACAGGGAAAATAACAATGTTTATACTGGAGGGTTATCAGGTGTAAAGAGCAGGAGGGAGAGGAAGGAGACATAATCGAATGACCCGTCCCTGTGGGTTGTGGAGCAATGAAAGCAGAAGGGCGAATAAAAATACAATGTCATATGGGACGTGTGTTTGTATCCGTTGCTGCATGGATGAGTGGATGAACTGCAGAGCACCACCAACTCACCACTCACAGCTGGTTTCTCTTTTTTTATGCCCTGTTGTTGTGCGTGTCTTGTCACTCCCTCTATTCGCTCTCACTTTTCTTTTCTTGAGAGCATATTCAACGATACTCACAACACAAACACAATTACAGAACCGTTTTCACGTTTGTTTTCCGATTTCCTTTCTGTTGCCCGTTTAAAAATGAGAGCTCTTTCTTCTTTCTGATACATATGGTTTTTTCACCTCTTAAAGCGAAAGGGAGGTACAGTACCTACTTTGTGTACTTTTTCCTCCGCTGTTCCTGGCCCGATGGATGTGTGTCTGTGTGTGCTTATCCCACTCCCCTGCTCAGAAAACATCACACCGCATCGAGAGTCTGGAACACGTCGTTGATCGAGTTGGCTGTTCCGTTGTTTTTCCAGCCCCCGGAGGCCTTCTACTTCCATCAAATGGCTGTCTCATACTTTTACTTTCCTTCTGATGTTCGTTGAAGGAGTGGAATGTGTACTAGTAACACTCCCACCCTCCTATTTCTCGTTAGCGTTGAGGTAAATGCCTAATGAGGGGAGAGGAGAACACATCGGGGATGTGCGAAAAGAGCAAAAGAGAATAGAAGCACAGGGCAAGAGAGGCGAGAGGGATAAGAAGCACTAAAAGTCTAGCGCTAAATTCAACTTCACCGCACGAGGCTCCTCAATCCAGCATGCATGACCAACTGGACAAAAAAAACAAATGCTCACAACTCTTATTTTGCTCTTTGCTACATTTGTAGAGAGGATCTTTGCAACTGGTGGCAGCCGAGGGACTTTTTCACCCGGAAGCCTGTTCTTTCTGGTTAGCTACTGTGGTAGAGATACCTACCCCCTGGTTTGTTGTGTCTTCCTTAGCCCTTTTGTTGATAAACAAGCTACTTGTAAAAATAGCAGCCGTTTCCCGCATATACACCCTACAAATAAGCGTATTATACTCCGTTTGTTGGTATTTGTTGTTGTGGTTGTTGATGCCATGGGTGTTTAGGATGGTGGATCATTAATAATAACAATCACCGTTAAGATCCTCCTCGTCTGTCTACAAAGGGCTACTAAACAACAACAAACAGAAACCATCATCAGTAATTACCAATAATCGAAATCGGAGAAATTCACTCTCCACCCCAACCTTAGCTTAAAGATCTCATCGTGAATAATGACATGACGGATGGAGTATGCACGAGAGATACCTTGCACCTAATACAGTTCAACTCGGGCGCGCGCTCATCCGCCCCGTGATACTTTACTCCAACCAGCTTTCAACGGTCAAGATCAGGCACATCAGGCCACCGCCACCTTACCTTCTCTCCGTTCTTATGCTCTCGATGGCCTGCCATCTCATTCTTCAACCTTCTATCAGCTGCGGGGTGGAGCTTGCAATGGAAGGCTCTGAAGAGGGGCGTGTGGGCTACCTGACGACCAACTTGTCTACTTCAGCATGCCCATCGGCCGCACTTGTTGTTTGTGGAGAATGAGAAGAAAGATGATTGATAATTGCATATTAATCGGTCGGTAGGTATGTAGGTTGATAGACAACAACCGTACCTGCACGTCAAGTCGCACACATCCACCAGAGTCTCATCGACATTCCTTTCCTTGTGTGTTTAGCCGGGCGAACTGGAAGTTTTTATATACTGGACATATCGATCGAAGGAGGACAGGCCTCGAAAACAACGGTCTTGAAGGAATGTGGAGGGTCATGATCCCACCACGAGGAGCCACAGGAATAGAAAATGAAATATTACAAATAGAATCTTACTGGTTCTCCCCTCCCTCCTTTCCCTTGTTCGTTCCCCCTTGACAGACTGATCGAATAATAATTTAACCCAAGCACCTACCTCCTTTCCCTTCCTTGTTTTCCCATATGTTCGCGTGTCGGGGAGAGAAAGAGGGAGGGAGAAAGAAAAATAGATGAAATGGAGGGTTGCAGCTGACAAAAGACGCATACCCACCAAACAAAGAAAAATCAATCTTTTGTATACATATCTCGGCTGGCTGCTTGGCTGCAGCCCCACATGCTGCTCACTATTTTTTCAACGATGCAGAAGAGAGGGAAGGCAAGGAAAGAAGGGAGGGCGAGGTATGATGGAGGGACTCATGCATTCCGTCAATGGGGGTGTGTGATTATTGTTCATGGTATAAGACATCTCCGCTCCTTTTGTTCTTTGGAGATATCTCATCATAGAAACAGAAGCATGCATGTCCCATCCTTATCACCAAAAGAAATGAGTCGAGATGGAGCTAAGAAGAAAACGAAAATATTTTTAGTGCCCCCTCTACGGCCTTAAACTCTATCGGTGACAGAAATCGACACTAGAACCAACAGCAAACGCACTGTTAGGCTAATTGAATGGGGCTAACCATATCCATGCCTTTTCTGTCCACTCCCTTTTTAGTTCTTCCTTCACAAGAGACAGGTTTGTTGGCAACTTGATTCCCATAGGCAGCTTGATTTCCATAAGCAGCTCGCAAACAAAAACAACGAATATACCAAAATACTTTGAAGACTTCTGTTTAATATCGAAAAAGAACTATAGTACACAACTCCAACCTCTCCCTCTAGGCAGAGGCAATGGTCTTGATCTGCGAAACCAACTTTGCCGAAATATCCGCACAAGCACTCGCAACAAGCCCAGCAGCATTCTTGAACCTCAACGCAACACTGTTCGAAACCTCCACATCTCCCGTCACATTAATCTTGATCAACCACAAGTTCACCGAAAACTTCTTGACCTGGATCTGAATCGCTGCCTTCACACGCGTGGCGAGGTTGACAGAGATCTTGTCGGAGATCTTGACCGAGGCCTTGGTGGTGAGTTTGACGGCGTCCTTGACAATGTTCTTGGCTTGGAGTTTGATGCAGGCGCCGTCGTGGGCTGGGCAGCGCTTTGTGATGAGGGCGGCGAGGTTTGTGCGGAGGTTGGCGGAGAATTGGGCCTTGGTCTCCAGGTCGACTTCGGTGCGGACTGTGGCTTTGATGGATGAGCGCAACGCGGCGGAGAGCTTTGTACCGAGACCAAAGTCAATGTTGATCAATCCGCTGTGAGAGGTTAGGGGAAGGAAAGAGAGGGACAGAGAGGGACAGAGAGGGACAAGAATGTGGGTTAGTGAGTGAATGGAATAGGTGGAGAGCATAGAGCATTCAAAATAGTATCCAGTCTAAAGTGTTCCCCGTGCTCAATTTTCCTCCCTCCCACATAAAACAACACTCCATACCTGATCTGAACACGGATATCGGTAGTAATATCAGTCGACAAGTTAGCATCAGTACAAACATCCGCAAAGGCCTTGACGACAATGGAAGAGTGCTCCTTGACAAGCAGGTCAATGGTACCGTCAAAGGCAGCACCGACGGGCTTGGTGGGGGCGACGCCACGGGGCTCGAGGTCGGAAATCATCTCAGCCGAGGTGGAGGAGGAGAGGCCAAAGAACATAGCGAAAAGGGCCATGAAGTAGGCGAGGAAGGTTGCGGATCTCATCTTTGGAGGTTTGGGTGAGAAAGAAGGATGGGAAACAGCGAGGGGGTATAGGGTCAGAGAGAGGGAGGAAGTAGGGGGTGAATGAGGATTAGGGAAAGGACGAGGGTGACTCTGTGGAAGAGTGGTGAGGGGTCGGGTGGGTAAGGATGGAGGGCTGGAAGGCTGAAGAGAAAAATAATAGTGGGAACCCCAATTACTTTTATACATCCTTCTAGGAACAATGAGGTACGTTTAAAGTGGAGTGGAGAAATCATTACAAAACACAGAACGAGTACTGTTGAAGGAGGGTTGCCAGGGGCCCCTTCGTTATTTCTCTCTTTCTCCAACGAATAATTGAATAACCTAATTATATGCATAGTGTACTCTCTTGGTTCTCGTTTATTGTCTCTGTGGGTTGTGCGTCGCTCTCTTTCCCCTTGGTGTTTTCTCGTAAAAGCGTGTTTGCTCTCTCTTTTCTCTTTGTTGTTGCTATTGGACCTCAATACCCGTTACCCAGGAATACAAGCAATCAGTGAGTATATGTAAACAAACCGAACAAACCAAACAATGAACAACGAACAACAAACAGAAATATAGAACAAGAACCCCCTTCTCCTCGTTTGTTTTGAATTCCTCAACGAACGGGCAAGGTCTGCATTGTCAGATGTCAATTATGAAGATGTACTCATGCACGACAGCCTGTACATTGGAGAATGATACATTTTTTCTTGTTCCACAGCGGCGCATTGATAAGGTAGACTCTACGACATGGTGCGATATGTGCTGCGTGCTGTGGAGAGGTAGAGGGAAGGGAATGGTGCGAGCAGATACCGTTCTGTGCACTCTCTGACAAGACATGGAAAAAGAGGCGCATAGTCATGCACAACGCAAGACACGAAACAGCCAGCGCACCAGCAACGTACCTCTACAGCGAGAGCAAAGAAAAAGAAAAAGTTGAGAGCAAAAAGAAAAAAACGACGAATAACGGGCTGGGACTGTGTCCGCATTCATTTGATACCAACGACATCGCGTCCATTCCTTTTCCTTACCTCACCCACCTCCCCCCCTCCTTTGACCTTTACTTGAGAGCCCATCTCTTCTTTCCCTCTTCCTTTTCCCATTTCCGTATGCTGGTTGTTGCACATGGTTTTGGTCCTTGCACCTGTCAGAAGACGATACAAAGAGCCCTTTACAACTCGAGAAAACTGCCAACGCAAGAAACAGATAAGCATTCGTTTACAACACCCCCCCCCCTTCATCGTAAAAATAAACATCCAAACCGATCCCCCCTTGCATCCCCCTCTTAAAGGATGAATGGTCAACCTGGAATGCCACCCACCTACACACGTTTTATTACCCCCCCTCCCATTTCCCCCCACCTTCGTTCTTGTCGCCTCTCTATAATCTTCCTTTTATCTCTCCATCCCCCAAGAGCGAGGGGTGCGCAAATTAAGGGGTATGATGGATCTTTCGCACTAATCCCATGTAAACCGAGCGAGCGAAGGCTCAAAATCGGTCACTCACCATGTCGCAGTCATAGCGCTTTAATTATTGTCGAAAAGAGGGAAGTGGGTGTAAGCATCGCATTTTCTATGCAGGGGAAAAGGGAAGGCAGAAAACGGTGTTTCGTTGGTTATTTTCCGGGATATATCGAACGCCAAGTAAAAAGGGGAAGGGGAAGGAGCCAGGTATGTTATGAAAGTGTCCAATTGCTATTTCTGTTCTGGCCGGGACCACGCTAGTGTGCCATCTTCACTACTGTTACGAAGCAGGGCTTTTTTATTATTGATATTCAAACACAAGAGGGAGTAAGGGAGAGGGATGGCTCTGAATGGTGGATGTCTCTGACTGGTGGATGTCTTTACGCTTACGCCTCTTGTATTTTCATATCAAACAAGAAGTGGTAGAGAGTGAGGGGTAGAGAGGAAGAAAAATGATAACCGTATTTATTCTACAAGATGAGAGAAGAAGAGGGAGGAGGGGAAAGGGGAAAGGAGAGAGAAGAACTAGACAACACTTCGTAAATCTAGGGAATATTATCATAGAGCGAGAAGGGAGAGTTGGACACGCATCCTTGTAGTTACACAGTCTGCTCTACGTCCTTCTCCTCACTGCTGCTGATCCCATCCACCGTCTTAAGTTCCTCAACAATACCCTTGAACTCAATAGGATCCTGGTTCGCAGCAAGGAGTACCACAAACACCAGCCCTACAGCACCCATAACAGCCATCCCATAAAACGCCGCCCGGTACCCATCCATAAACCCCGTAGGAGTCTCGCCTGTCGTATACTTGTCGTTCACAATCGCGCTGATTGCCAACCCAATCGGTCCACCTAGCTGGATGGCGACGTTGAAGACGGCGCCGACAACTCCTTGGTCCTCGTCGGGTGCGTCGGCGACGGCGTTCACTTGACAGCACATCCAGGCTAGGGGTAGGCCGATACAGTTGACGATCAGGGCTGGGAAGGCGTAGTGCCAGTACCCGGATCCTGGTACGATCTGGGCAAAGATGATGGCGGAGATGATAACGAAGAATAGACCCACTATCATGAGCAGTTTTGTCCGGACGACTGCGTACAGTTTGTTGAGAGAGAATAGTCCCAGCCCCAGTCCGACTCCATGGACAATATAGCAGCATGCCGTGATAAGTGGGGAGAACAAAAGGACGTTCTGGAAGGTGAGGGAAGTGTAGAAGATCAAAGTGTTGTAGGTGGTGGTGACGCAGATGACGATCACAACCGATGCGCGGAGGCGCACAGAGGTCCAGATCCGGAAAGGCATAATGGGGTACTCAATTCGATACTCCCAGAACACAAAAAAAACCAACACCGCAACGCCCACCAAGAACGGCGCCAACGTCTGTGCACTCCCCCACCCGGCCGTCGTCGATTCCGATAAGTAATACACCACTGCAATAATACCCAACACAAAACTGAACACGCCGATGTAGTCAACCCTCCGGTCGGTGACATGGATACCGTCCTCGGTCTTAGGGACAGTTAGGAACCCGATGATGCCGACGAGAGTGGCGAGGATGGCGGTGATGTAAAAGATCCAAGGCCAGCCGATGGTTGCGTCGAAGATCCCGCCGATGAGGATGCCGATGGTTTGACCCGTGCATCCTGCGCCTCCAAAAACTAGCATTGCGAAATTGCGTTCAGGGCCTAGGGGGTATGATGTTGTCAACAGTGCCAACGCCGAAGGACTAGCTCAGTCATGAAAATGAAGACAAGAAACAAAAATTATTAATACAAACACCAAAATGCCACGTTGGGAGATGAATGATATTATTTACAAGGACATGCAAGCTATATTACATACATCGTAAGGCCGGCACCGGCGCCTTGGAGACCACGCGAGATAGACATGAAGATCGGGCTCCTTGCGAACCCACAGATCAACGCCCACAGCGCAAACCAAAATACACCCGTCAGAAACATACGTCTATGTCCAAACAAGTCTCCCTATAGTACGAAATTTAAAAAAAAAAGTCATGGTAAGTTACAACCACCAAAAGGAAACAGACAAACAAAATAGCAACTAGTAATTTTCTGCAGATAACTTACCATACGACCGCCGACGAGGAGGAACGCGGAGTAAGTAAGAGCATAGCTGCTAATGACCCACTGCAACTGGTTTTGCTCATAGTGAACATCGCGGAGTAAAGATGGGAGTGCAATGGTGACGGAGGCAATGCTGATGATATCCAGCAACTGTGCACAGCTGGCGACGACAAGCAGGGTATTTCGGTTCTGGTCCAGGCGCTTGTACCATGGTAGTGGTTGTATCTGTTCTTTGGAGGGTGACGTGTTGGGGCTTGAGGGCGTGATTGCGAATGAGGCGAGGGTTGACTCGTCGGTGTCAGTCATATTTGATGTTGTGTCAGAGTATAAGAGGGAAGGCTAAAGGGCTATGTGTCGTGTAAAGATAGGAAAGGGGATAGGTGAAATTTAAGGTAAAGAAATGCAATGGAGTAGAAAGGACATGGGGTGAAGAGATGGGAGTGGAGAAAGAGTAAATATAGAGCGAGAGGGATGAGATCGACAGCAAAGAGAGGTAAGGAACAACAAAAAAGAAGAATGAAAAGGGGGGCGATGACCTGCTCTATTATATGTGTTTCTCCTCGCCTCTTACCGAGCAACCGCCTTTTCTCAACTTTCCGACAGAAAGATAGCCAGAGCGCCATTTGTTGTTCTCTACCCTTTTGGATACTCAGATATCATTTCTTGTTGGCTGGGTCTCCAACCAGCACAAAGTGTAAACAGAGCAACTAAACAAATGAAGGACGAAGAAAGATTCAGCGCAGCGATGGAAATGCCTTTAACATGGCTGTCGATAACTGGTTTACTAATCCTCTACCATGCAATGGTTCGAATTGTGTGAAGAAAAAAAGGGGAAGGGAAACTGTATTTCTCTGAGGGCGGGGTGTCAACAATAGACACAAACACAGAAAGAGGGAGAAAAAATATGTCGGGAGGCAGAACTAGGAGAGAATACTTTGCAGTCAATTGAGAAAGATGAGAGTGACGAGCAAGAGAAGTAAGGGAGTGCTGACAAAAGCATCCATAAGAGGGCGGAAGAATTTCCTTAGGCTTTTTTCCGGGTGCCGGTCTATTGGCATGTTTGTCGGTCAATGAATAATGTCGTGGAAAGGGACCCTCTTTTTAGCATCATCCAATAGGAATGCAAAGGTCGTTGGCTCAAGAGTGCCGCCGCGCGTCTGTGCGACCATTGGCCTGGAGCATGCTTATCCATCGTGTACAGATCCCCTTCTCGGTACCCTGTGCTCTTTTCCTCCTCACTTGCTCCCCTCTCTTAACACTTTTTGAGTTTTTTGCTTGACTGCGGCTGGAGAGTCATCAAATGCACTCTAATTTGTCTTAGTGCCCTTCTGTCAATTTGTGAATCTTTCTCGCTGTGCTAGAATGCAAGCGCGATAACAACAAGGATGGGGAGATCCAAATATACCTATCCATCTGCTGAATAATAGCCATAAAGAGGTCACTTTTACGTGTCCGTGCGATTATAGGCCAACTGGTCCTGCTTATCTCTTCCAAATTAGCTTCATCCTAACACACGCCCCATTGGCCACACGATTTTTTTTCTCCTAACCTTGGGGTCAATTTATTATCCAGCCCCATCCGCTACTACACGCCCGCCGTCCCTTCACCGGAGGGAAATCAAAGCGACTAAGAGCTCGGCGGTCTGCAAGCAGAGGGTCCATTTTGCCACCAATTTTCTGATCAGTGAGAAGTGAGACTGATACGGTTCCAAAAAGTGATAAAACCAAAATGACCATAGATCATTATCAAGGCACTAGGAATTGGGATGCATTGCTTTGAAGTGAACTTCCGAGACGAACCTTTCCACGCTTTTTTGTCACCCCACCCTTGCGAACAAACCCTCGCCACTCAGATTTTGATTGCAAGCTAGCTTGATCCCTTCACGGGCGCCACAATTGTAACTTCTAACAAAGCCATCCTGACCTTCACCATGCCAGGACCATTGGCTGCCGGGTTCTAAAATTGCTTTGTCCACATGGACATTTACGTCCAAGATGTAGAGGCTGTGGACGACGTGAGACTGATATTGAATTTACTACCTCTACCTCGCTAAAACTATTGATTGATAGCATTGCTGCTGGTGCCAATGCGGCTGTCGAGGTATGCATTACGCTATCCAAACGTTGAACCTGTTGAACGTGCTAAGAAAGTAATTTTAAATTAGAGATATAGTAAATAATAGAGAACGATTTTGTGTCCCTCATTCTTCTCACGCATACACTCACACTCTCTTTCAACACACACATTCTTTTTCTTACACTCCACGATAGAGCCAGAGAATTTTAGACAGTAGACTGCGGTCGAACAGACATTTCTCTTTGGGTTCTTTGATTTCGCAGGAAATCAATTAGCAATACCGTCTAAGTGTGCAGTTGCTGTTGCATCCGCTGTTGCATGATAGTAATCATGTCCATCGCCCTTTGATGTTGTTGGTGTTGTTGTTGGTGTTGTCGTTGTTGTTGTAGTCGTTGTTGAAATAGTTCACGTTGATGCCGTCGTTGTGGTTGGTGTTGCTTCTTTTGCTTGTCTAATATCATGTCTACCAGGTGTTGCTGTCGTTGCTGGTGTTGTTGTTGTTGTTATTATTGTTATTGTTGTTGTTGTTGTTGTTGTTGTTGTTGTTGTTGTTGTTGTTGTTGTTGTTGTTGTTGTTGTTGTTGTTGTGGAGTCGCATCTTCTATAACGTTGTGTCAAACAACCACCTGAAAGTCTTGATTGAGCCTAGACTCGACTCAAGCACTGGATGCAGGTGCGACTGGGGCAATGGATGTAGGCTGGAAAGAAGCGATGGACACAGGGATCACTGAGGCATTGGGTGTCGGAGTATTTGGCGTAGACTCGACTGGAGTATTGGATGCAGACACGGTAGCAGAGATCAATACATGTTATTTATGGTTATACTCATCTGTAGGTCCGAAAATCGGGAGTGATGTGGGACTGAGAGTCGGGACTGGTTGAAAGAAGCTGAACAAACGGTTTATGAACTTCAAATCAAAGGGGCCAAAGTGGAATACTCCATCATGCAAATGCCCGAGGACATAACTGCCTGGATTCCTATACCAAATGGTGCCCATGAAGGTGGATCCCAGCGGTATAAATCAGATACTCAATGGCAGGCCATCCGCAATAGAAACGCATCTGGAGGTTCAGGGTTGGTGACACCGATAGCGGCAGTGCCCACTCCAAGTAGGACAACAAACCCCTTCACTGCGATAGCTAACTTGCTACTGAACGCCTTGGACCCAAGGTTTAAGAGTTTTTGGAAGTTCTAAATTCTAACTAATACCCATGTGTGGCTTGTGGGCTATCACGTGTGGTTTGCTCAACAACCCTAACGCTTCACCAGCTCCATCAGTCACCTTCATCACTCATTCCAAGGTAAGATGAACCTAATGCTTGCATGCCTCATCCGAACTTACAAAGTTCACCCCGATGTTCTTTGGAATAAGAGGGAGCAGGGCTTGTCTTTTCTGGAGAGCGCACTTTCTTTTTTTTTTTGCTGTTTCCTTTCAGAGCATCATTCGCGCCCTTGTGTCTTAATACTCTATCGTGCACTTGATATTTCGATCATTCTTAGAACGCGTCTTTTTCAAGCCCCTATACGTCCACGATATGCCAACAACGAGCGACTTTCAACTACTCGACAACCAAACCAATGCTGTCGAGAGCGGGAAAGAGTACTTTCTCAAGCTGGCCGATCCTAGTTTGACGCACGATGTCTTGAGTTTCCAATACAGTCGTGTTCTCCATGGCACAGCCGACCGCGAGGACCCGATAGTGACGTGCGAGTTCATCGATGGCATAACGTATCTAAAGCACAACAACGAGTTTTTGTACATATTCGACGACGGAACTACGGCGGAGATTGGGTTGACGGACGACGTTCCCAAAAAGCATCAAAGACTGCGACTGGTTGTATCGGACGAGGACAACGCATTTCAAATCTCCATGTGGGATCGAGACCTTTTCGCTTACTTGGAATGGTTCAAATGCGCTTACGCCGCTTTTTGGTTCCAGCACGGTAGTGGTCAATCCGGCGGTGAGAGACTCATCCTTAGCCCAGTGTAGCAAGAAGTTAGTTTTCAAAAGAAACACATCAACATATCATATCGAGTCGAGTAGCCGTTGTTATTTTGAGTCGCTAAGATTATTAGAAGTCTTTTTGAAGGACAGATTTGTTCGAAGAAACTACATTTTCATCTTGCGCAAGGGGTCGATGACATGAAACTGGGTTGAGGCAGGCAAGTGTTTATAGCGACGTTGCCTTTTGATCTCTCGATGTCCGCTCGTTCAAACCTAGCTTCATTAGAATTCCAGGTCACAGTGTAGATGCTTTGTGCATTTGTCAAAGCAGACATATATTTCCCACTGTACACCCATGCAACATATTTTCTTTGCATCCTTGTTCCATGTGGATCGTGTAAATACACGTCGAATCAGTCTTGTTTTCGACGCGAACAATGCGGTCAATAATATGAGCTTTAAAAGTATACATGTGATTAGAAGTTAGGGAAGAGAAGAGCGGCCAATCGAAAAATCGTTCACGTCTAGATTAATCCACCGCTTGAAAGGACATTGCTGTCAAAGACGTAGTACGTCGGCCGCATTAGTGAGCTATATTTCTCCCCTCCGAGATGCGAACGCCTCTTGATCGATGTGACCAGACTTGACGCGATGTACGGTGAATGATATTGAAGATTAAAATGCGGAACTAGAAATCACTTGTAACACATGAGCATAAAAACATAAACAAAATAATGCATGTTAAGGCACCTACCTTGGCTACAGTCAGAAGACCCATGTCCAACAGTAGTGCAGTGATATCGAGTCGGTTTTGTGGTAGCTTGAATCGTCCAAGGCTCATCAGAATGGAGGCGTTTTTGCTGCTTCCGACTCCGTCTGCGCTGCTTCTGAGGTCTTCCTTCCAAGGATATCGGCCCTGTGCATTGACTGGCTGACAGTATAGTGTGTGATCTGGGGCTCTTCCTCAATCCTGCTCACCAGCTCGTTCAAGTTCTCAGGCGACAGATGACAGAATGAACTTCAAATATGTCTAGTATGTATCAAAAGGAATAAAGAAAAAAAAGCGTAAATAATACGAAGGTACGAAAGGAATAAAGAAAAATAACAAAGATGACAGACCTTTTGGTAGACGTATCCGTTTTTGGGTCCCCATCCATGGACTTTGTTTTCGGAACGGACACCGCTGACGGCGGGCTGGGAGCTCATGGTGAGGTATCCAGGCTCGTTGAGACGAGCAAGCTGACCGTGGATCGCCTCGGTCCCGGGTTACAACGAGCTCTCATCACTCCATGGGATGGATCGAATCTCGCCATAGCAGTACTTTGCAAAGAGAGAAGCAACATCACGGGGGCTCGAGGGACGATCCCACAATTCCAATGCCTCCTTGGCCGCAACCTTAAGCGAGGTACCGTAACCATCGAGCTCTCCAAAGGCGGGCGACCGTTGGGGAACTCGTCCCAGGCCTCGGCTCTAGAGACATAGGACTAGATCATGTTCTTCCAGAAGATGGGACGCACATTCTTCTTCTCGCGCTTCTCTGACAGCGAAAGGTTCCAGGGCAAAGGACGAATGCTTACGCGGGGAGCGACAAAGTCAAATCCTTCGAGGATCAGGCGGGTTGATTTTTCAAGATTGAGGATGTAAAAGTGGAGTCCGCTGATACCACATCTCGACCGCCAGTTTGGTTCCAAAGCCCTCCACCGCTTGGTCGTCCTCCCAATGTATGCCGTTAATCAATATGCATCAGTGAGTGCCAGGTGTGAGTCTCAGTAAGAGAATTCATTAATATTTTTATTCGTCTCCTTTATATCTTTTTTTCCTCATTGTGAATAGTACGCCTTCTTGCCCTTCTCCTCTTATTTTCCTTTTTTTTCCCTTGGTGAGTCTAGAGTTGGGTGTGCGGTTCTTTTCAAGTGATGAGCCGTGCTTTCGTTTCTCCCATTGTCCGACACCGAAATAAACAAATAAATAAAAGGCAAACGAGATCACCTAGATAAGAAAGTGTTGTTACTTTGAAGGGTTCAAGTGCGTTCTTGATGCGCTCGAGAACAAAGGCATTGCAGCGACTGGTCATACGGCCGAAACCGCCGAAGCTCTCGATGGGCATGATATTTGGAATGGTGGGAACGGCGATACCGCGGGTGCGACACTCTTTGATCCAGTCCAGGAACAAGACCATACCATAGAAAAGCTGGGTCACAATGAAATCTGCGCCTTGGTCGACCTTGTACTTGAGCCACTTGAAATCCCTCCGGTCGGTTGAATCCAGATGTCGCTCTGTGTTTGCGCCTCCATTGTAATCGCATGTAAGTCGTCATCTATACTGGTCTTGCAAACAGCATTCGTCCAAAGTTGCAGCGACATTGTTGCACCACCTCGTCCAATCCTCCCAAGGCAGAGAGGTCGTCTGTTAGAACTGATCGCTCTATACAGGTATATCGAGATAAGAAAACGGAAACAAGAGTATTGAGAAAGAGACCAATTTATTGTAGGGACACTAAAAGCGATACTGAAGAGGGTACTGAGCAAGGTGGTGAACTACCGAAGGGGAACAGAGTGGATTTTATGGAGGTTGGCGTATGATGGAATGGATTCTTGAGTGTCGCATAGGCAGAAGGGTCTTGAGTGTCACGTATGGATAAGGAAACTCTAACATCGTCCATAGATGCTAGAATCACGATCACGCATCGCTTCCATCAGCATCCTGCTCCACAGCGAAGAAGAACTTGTCACAGTCTCCGTCATTGATCCTTCCATCTGTCCCCAAAGACCAAGTCATGTGTAGTTGCACATCGTACTCAGATGTGGCGCCGATGGTCCAGAACCCAGGCACAACATCCGGCTTGCGGCCTGTATACTTCTCGAACGCGCTGACCAAGCTCTCTCGGATGCCTGCTGGCATAAGCGCATCCAAGTGCTTCATCCTCTTGCACGAAGCCTGGTAGAGTGGGATCTCGTATGGGCCAATGACGTATACCGACGAGAAGAGCAGCTCCGTATCCGCAAGGCAGATAATCGCACCATGATACTCATTGTAGTCCTCCTTGAGCTTGTTGTCATAGTGCTCGTGCATAAAAGTCATCAGCTTGAAACCCGGCAGATTAAACGGCTGCTGCAACGCTTCTTTCGGAACAGGAATCGCAGCAGCTGTCATGCTCACAAAGTTATACCAGTCGGCTCCCATAGCGTAAGTCAAACAAAGGTCAGAAGAGTGGTGCAGGAGGCGAGCGCGATAAAAGGGAAGACAAGTAGCAGGTAGGTGCGGTGAGAGATGAAAAAAGAAGCTTTGGTGACAGAGGATGATATGGATGAAGGGAGGAAGGGAAGAAGGGAGGAAGGGATGAAGGGAAGAAGAGAAGGGAGAAAAAAGAGAGGAAGAAAGGAAAGGTAAAGAGCAGAAGGAGAGAGAGAGCGGATGGATTATATATACATGAGCGAAAATGCAGGAAGATGTCCACAGCGGCGCTGGGAGCGTCAGTCTCAACGGACATCCTTCAATATTCCCTTGATGACGTATCTGTACTTCATGAACAGAGCTGACAAGGGTAGTCATGAAAATAGGAAACAAAAAGAAATCAACGAAGTCACATGGAAGGTGAAGATTAGCGCGCGAAAGACAGACAAGAGAGTATCGGGTGGAAAGAGACAGAGACAATAGAAATGATGAAGGGCGTGGGAGTGCGCCATCATGACGACAGTGGCAAATGACAGCGATGACGGAAGAAATAGGGAGCGAGACAGCGACAAGCGTGGGAACGGGAAGACGTGGCAACTGAACTGAGCTTGAGACAGAAGGATAGGGAAAAGAAGCTGAGAATGGATGCATCGAGGAGAAGTGGCAAGCGTGGGAAAGTCAACTCCTTCACAAGATGAGCTTCTCATGTCCCGCCGCTCTTGTGATCAGCTTTTTGTTCCTCCCTGTTATGCCCTAATCGGGCATCCTGTCTTTACTCGCTTGTTCCCTCCGGCACCTTTTCCCTATTACTATTAAGCTAGTAAGCCACCACGGCCAACCTTGCTGATCCACACATATAAACCCCCTCTCTTGCACGCATTGAGACTTCCTTCCTTCCTTCACACACCTTCCTGCTGCATTTCCATACCCCTCTCCCTCTCTCAATTCACAACATGACAAAGCCTTACACTCTGCTGGCGCTGCTAGTTACCCTCACTCTTTACGTTGTGCAAGCACATGTCTATTGTCATAGCTAGGGCGCTAGTCATAGCCATAACTGACTGGATCAAGTTATGAAGACGAAGACAAACAATGCCTTGGCTTGGGAACAGTTCCTCAATTCAAAAAAATGAACAACAGAAGCGTTGTTGTGTACAGCGTCTGGCCTAAGAGGAAATGGAGAAACAACTGGCATAAGTGCTGTGATGATGCTTCAGTCACGTTTACCGGCCGATGTGCTTTGAAGCGGCTTTGAGCGCTTGAATAAAACCTTACACCCGTTTAATTTTCACTGTCTCTGACCCCACACAACTCCTGATCTGCTCTGGAAGGCCTCGTGGACGATAGCAGAGAAGGATGCAGAAATAAAGATCACAACCCTTGGTGGGTTGATTTAATCCTAGATTTGCACGGGTACTCTTCTGTTTATTCATGGAGTTTCCTACCCACTGGATTGTCGTCTTTGGAACCATCCAAAACTTCTTTGAGTTTCACTGATAACCCTATATGTTCGAGATGTTTCATTGGCTCACGTAAAATGATTTGAGAGAATAGAAAAAAGCGACATGCAGAAGAACCAATGGGCGCATAAATTACGTCACCGTAGACGCAAATCAAACCTTACCAAGACGATGTAATTTGTTTCCTTTCACAACCATCAGTCACCATCATCTCTCATTCCAAGGTAAGATGAAACTAATGCAGGCCTCATCCAAACTTGCAGCGTTCACCCCGATGTTCTTTGGAATGAGAGGGAGCAAGGCTTGTCTTTTCTGGAGAGCGCACTTTCTTTTTTGCTTTTTCCTTTCAGAGCATCATTCCAGTCCTTGTGTCTTAATACTCTTTCGTGCACTTGATATTTGCACATTGTAGAACGCGTCTTTTTTAAGCCATTATACGTCCACGATATGCCTACAACGAGAGATCTTCAACTACTCGACAACCAGACCAATGCCGTCAAGAGCGGGAAAGAGTACTTTCTCAAGCTGGCCGATCCTAGCTTGGCGCACGATGTCTTGAGCTTCGAACACTTCCGTGTTCTCCATGGCACAGCCGACCGGGAGGAGCCAATAGTGACGAGCGAGTTCATCGATGGCATAACGTATCTAAAGTACCAAAACGAATTTTTGTACATCAACGGCGACGATAATATGGCAGAGATTGGGTTGACGGACGATGTTCCCAAAAAGCATCAAAGACTGCGACTGGTTGTATCGGACAAGGACAACACATTTCGAATCTCTATGTGAGATCAAGACCTTTTCGCTTACTTGGAATGGATCAAATGTTCTTACGCCGGTTTATGGTTTGAGAGAAGTAGTGGTGAAGTGGGCGGTATGGGACTCATCCTTAGCCCCGTGTAGCAAGAAGTCAGTCTTCAAAAGAAACACATTATATCGTGGCCAGTAAGCGTTGTTGCTTTGAGTCGCAGAGATTGATAAAGCCTTTTTTGAAAGGAATTACATCTTCTTCTTGCGCAGCCTAAAGTTAGAGTCGATGACATGAGACTGGCTTATGGCAGGCAAGCGTTTATAGCGACGTTGCTTTTTGATCCTTCGATGTCGGCACTTTCGATATTCATTACACCTATATTTCCTATGAAGTAAGAGAAAAAGCAAAATTTGCAAACTTTTACAAATACCAGGTTTTCTTCCTTGCCATCGAGTTGCAAGGTTACTAAAACTCACCTCCTATCATCAACCTTCAAAAGACACCGAGACTCCCCTCTTTATATTCTTTCTCTTGTTCCTCTCAGCGTTTATTCGATCACCAATATGTCCTCCTTCAAGTGCTTATTTTTTTTCGCAATTTTCTTACCCTTTCGCGTATGCTGTTCTGGTTCCTCAAATGGGCACCCTAAATCAAGGCAAATCCGTTTGTCGGCTCTGGCGGCGGTCTCGGCGATTCATCGGGGCGATAGCGTATCAACTAGTCATTCCCATACCGAAGAAGGCGAACCTTGTGCGTTAATTACCATAGTCAGCAAGTCATCTAATCATCGACCTTAATAATTATCCACAACAAAAACGTACCAGAATTAGTGAGAAAGAAGAAAGGGATCCCACCTCGAGCCCATTATTATTGTCTTTTACACCCGCTATTTCTCTAATTTTCCCTTAAGTATTCCATTTATTGTGAAGCTGATCGAGGCATATTGAGAAAGTGGAAGGAAACTAAGGACTGTATGACACAGGAGAGTGGGGAGATGGTATACGGTCAAGGAATGACGGAAGAAACCAAAGGATGCCAGAAAACGATCAAGGGACCCAGAAGAAGATCCAAGGATGCCAGGAAAACAAATTAAGGGATGAGAAGAAACAGGGGATTGAAAAAGCAAATGCTTGGAAGCACCTAGTTCTAATGATCAAGTACAAGCAAATGAGATGGCCAATAAATAATATATTGTTTTATTCGGTATTTTCTTAGTACGTTCAAGGTATCCTAGGAAGACGACGATCCGTCCTTGGCACCGCGCTGCTTGAGCAGTCTCTGGTTCATCGCACTGAGACCAACCGCACTAACTACAACTGCGTCCGTCGCGACAAAGACAGAGTATCCCGAGCTCCATACCGATCTTGCAGAAAATCGGCCATTCGACTCTTCAACCAGCTCCCAGGTTTGAACAGACCCAGCTCTAGTACCAGTTACAAACTCCAATGCACCCGGTCTCCAAGCAATGCTCTCAACGCCTTCAAGAAAGCCTCGAATGTTCTGAATACAAATCCACTCCTGCACCGAATCTCTCAAGTACATGCGCCACAGCCACACCGAGGTACCAACGCCGGTGGCAATCCACTGGCCGCACGCTGAAAATGTGGCGATATCTACGCCAAGCCCATTTTTCAAAGAATGCACGGCCTCCACACTCTCCTCGCTCCACAGATCCACGTCTTCGGTCGTAAATCGTCTTAATGCGACGTGTACACCAGTTGGCATGTGTGTTACGGCCATGGCTGGAATACGGAGACCAACATCCACATCGACTCGTGATTCACCAGTACTCACTTCCCAGACTCGAACGGTTCCATCTTCGCTCCCCGATACGACCTGCTGTCCACACGGCGAGAACGCCAAGGTTATAATACCGTTATTATGACCCGAAAGCACCAGGCCAGGCGTTCCTGAACGAGCACACCAAAGGCGCACAGTGTTGTCCCAGCTTCCCGAGGCAATCCACTGGCTATTTGGCGAGAATATAACTGCGCCGATATTATTCGTGTGTCCTCGGAGGGTGACCTCGGCGACGCCTGCTTCCACACTCCATATCTTGATAAAATCGGAATATCCGGCCAAGGCAATTCGACGACCATCTGGCGAAATCGCCACACAGTTAATTTGGAGAGGGCCGCATCGAAGCATAAGGCCGGGCTCTCCTGTTATCGCATCGTATTGTCGCAACATTCCTGACTTGCTGGTAGCGATGAGGCTCCTCCCACACGGAGAATACGTTACATTCCTGATAGGATGGGATTGATCATCACCCAGGTCGAGTCCTGGTCCAGTAATCGTTACTTCCCATAGTCGCGTGGTTTCGTCCGTGCTTCCTGAAGCCAACTGCATACCGTTTGGTGATAAGACAATGCATTGATCAGGTGCAGAATGGCCTGCAAATGCTGAGACGAAGGCTCCTGTGTGTGCATACCACAACTTAACCGTACAATCTTGACCTGACAAGGATATCCATTGGCCGTTTGGTGAAAAGTCGACGGCGTATACCTCGGACGGATGGCCTTTCCAATGTTTTGCTGATTTTCCAGTTGCTGACTCCCAAAGCTGCAACATGCCAAGGCCATCTCCAGCAACGACCCACAGACCATCAGGAGAATGGGCTACGCAATGCACTCTTTTGGTCCTATCCTCCATAACCGAGACCTGCAGTCCACTGCGCGTATCCCATCTCCGTATCGTACCATCAGCGCTTCCTGACATAGCGTGTCTCCCGTCAGGCGAGTATGCAATACTGAAGACCTGCCTTCAAGACGAAAAGACTGGCGCCTGTCCGAGAATCCCACAATCTCACGGTCATGTCGCCGCTGGCTGGGGCGACTTGGCCGCCCAAAGGCGAAAATGCTACGGCCTCAACAGAACCCAAGTGCCCATGCATGGTAAAATCAATCGATCCTGCCTGGGAAGTCCACAATCGCACGGTATAGTCATCGCTGCCTGACAGAAGTTTCTGACCAGAAGAGGAGTAGGCGAAAGCCGAGACTTCTTTCCTGTGGCCGAGCAACCTGTGAGTCGTCCTCGTCCAGGTGGCGGTGTCGTAGATGTTGATGATGCCATTCCCCAGTCCCACAGCAAGGGACTTTCCGTCCGGCGAGTAAGCAGTTGACTTCACAGAGCTGGCCTCCTTGAGAAATGGCAACTCCCCGAACTGCACTCCCTCCATCCGCGCCTCGCTGAGATCCGCCAGTCGAATGCAACTCTTGGTGAGGTCGACTCCTGTCAAATCGGCCTCTTGCAGCTGAGCCAATCCGAAATGTCCGCCTGACAAATCAGCTCCTGGAATTCGAATCGCTCGAAGGTCAGCTTCGTTGAATGATACTCCAGCCTTGACCAAGATCGTGATGGCGTTGGCCGCGGCGCAAGCAGCATGGACGTCGGTCTTCGACTGCTCAATGAATATGAGAAGCCGTTGCTTGAACCCTGGGTCCAGCTGCACCCGCTCAGCCAAGAACTGGATGATCGAGGGCTTCGGCACAAGGTTCCTCTGGGAAAGGGGGCGATTGCGGATATCGTTGGAGTTGGAAAGAGGATGCGGAGCAAACTCGTCCCTGCTGTCAGTAGTCTACAGATGGAGCAGGAATAAAAGTCCTCCAGAAGGGATCGATGGACAAAGCGGTACTGGGCCCCAACTCGACTCAACAGACTAGCGTCGCGTAAGAGAGAGATATCGTGAGCGAGACCGAAAAACATTGCCTTCCATGAATCTCTGTAGCGCCTTGGGGTGTAGACGACAATGGGTCTGCCCTCCTGCTCCCGAAAGATTGCCGCTGCAAGGTTCTGTTGAAACTTGATCCCGTTTGACTCAAATCCATCCTCCAGTAACCACTCGAACGCCAAAAGCTTGCCCTCGCGCAGTCTGTGCTCCTCCAGACGACGTTTGTTGACTCCGAGCCAGTGCTGAGTAAAGCTGTCGTAAAGCTGAACGCGAGTGACGCGGAGCCGCGAGAGATCGGACTTTCCCTTAACAGCATCGGGAAGGGCCTCCAGGCAGAGTGTCAAAAGGAAAGGGTTCTTGACCAGATCCATCAGGTTGGGAATGGTCTCTAGCTTGTCCGTGTAATCCCTCTTGACCCAGGTTCGCGGCTCAAGGGAGCGTAATACTCCACATAGCCCTCAATCTGTTCCTTGGAGAATGGTGTGATGATGGCCTCCATGAAGAGGTCGTCCGCTGCGCGATTATACTTCCCCGCTACATTGGGCACAAAGCGTCCTCGGTAGTCAGGTCCAAGGTATTGGGTGCGGCAGGTAATAAGCAACTTGACGTCCCACTGTCCAGATCGGTTGAGGAGGTTCGTGGTGTGGAGGTTGGAGGTGAGCTAGCTCTCGTCGTAGCCATCGCAGATCAAGATAAACCGGCGGTGTTTCTTCAGCTTTCGGATCTGATCCTCCAAAAAATTGTGCGTCCTCAATTGCTCTGCAACCAAGTTCTTCTCTGGTCGCTCCAGGGCTGGCAAATTGATGAAAAGCGGGATACGGCCTCCCGCCTTGTACTCCTGCCAGATCTCGTGCTCCAGGTGTCGAATGGAAGTCGACTTGCCAGCTCCGGAGTCACCAAGAATCAGCATGACCTGCGCGTCACCAGTGAGAAAGTCCTTGACCTTGTCCATGAGAGGAAGCTAAGTATCGTCCGGGGCTTGGAGTCTGAGCTTGGCTATAGGGGGAATGTAAACCGGCTGCTTGTACTCGTCAAGTAGCTGGATTCTCAGAGAGGGTATGGCGACCTTGACACGTGGATAGCCAAAAGTTGAAAAAATCTTCGTGCGCCCCGTCTTGAAGAGATTCTCTACCAAAGAAAGGAGGCGCTTGATCTGCAAAACCTTCTTCTCAGTGTCCGAAGAAGCAGAATCGGGCGAGGTTGGTGGTGGTGGTGAGGAACCGCCTGGAGGCGACGAGGGCGACATGGTTGAAACTATGATCATTGAGCATTCAATAACCGAAAGTGAGCATTCATGTTTCCAAAAATAAAGACCGTCTGTAATTATTTCACTCACGAGGCAATAGGGTTTACCTTGTGCAGGATTGCTGTTAAATAGCCTGGTAGGCGCAGGAACGGCTGGGATAATGAAATAGACATCAAAGTAAATGGTCAGTCAGCCTCATGGAAAGACGATTCGGACCATGCACAGTAATTGCAACGGAGGTTGAGTGTCTTACAAAAGAAGGATGGTGAACTCTTGTCGTCTTGTTTCTAATGGCGGGTTAGTGGCTGAAGACCTGGAGTGAAGGTATAGAATCAGCGCAAAGAAGATCAATGTGACTAAAAATAATTGAAGGTCTTTTCTATGCCTACTCTCACGCCGCCCTTCTATTTATCTTTGTAGCAAATGAGCGCTGGTGCGTTTGTCTGGTGTGGCGGCGACTTGGTTTCGTGGGAGCATATCTATAAACGTCCAATCATGTATTAGGGTCTTGCAACAAAGCGACACTTCCAGACCTGATGAAGGACATACCTCTGACACACTGAACAAGTGTACTGCCGATGGGTTGCCAGCCGGTTCTGAGGGAGAGTTGTTGTTGATGGTGTTAATGTTCGTTTGTGAATAGCGATGAGGGAGAAAGTGAACGACCGACAATACGACTCGCCTGTGTGGAAGCTGATGAATGTCAGTCGAGGAATGAAAGATGGCGGAAAAGAGATGATGAATAAGAAAGGCGAAGTCGTAAGTCACTCTTGCTTCATAGTCCATTCAGGGTTCTGAATTTTTCTCTTCGTGTCCCTTACTTGCTTAGCTAAAGAGGGCATGGATCATAAGAGACAAGAGACCATATCAATATTCATATATGGCGATATTCATTGATATCCTTTCTCACAACCCTAGGCAGCATTCTTTTCTAAAAGATATAACAGAGGCACAAACAAGATTTATTCTACAAGACAAAAAGAAAAAGGGAGAAGAGCAAAGAAAAGATATCATACAGAACCTCTAAGCGATGACAGTGTGGGCAACAGAGACACTAGATCCACCCCTCTTCACCTCCTTCTTCTCATCCTCATCATCCTCCAACTCAGCCTTGCCCTCATCAGCACCCGAGATCTGACTCTCGTCAACAACCTCAAGACCCTTCTCTTGTGCATCTCCCTCCTCCTTCTCGGGAGCAACACCAGAAAACTCAATAGGGTCCTGGTTAGAAGCCAAGAGCAACGACAATACCCAACCAACACCACCAATAACACCAAAAGTGTAAAACGCGGCGCGATAGCCAGACATCAAGGCAGCACCTTCGGCACCAACAGCGGGTTCGAAAGCCTGGGACAAGATGGTCGAGATGGCAAGACCGATGGGTCCTCCAAGCTGGATAGCGACGTTAAAGACTGCACCGACGACTCCCTGATCCTCATCGGGGGCATCAGCGACGGCGTTGACCTGACAGCACATCCAGGTAGGCGAGAGTCCCAAGCAGTTGACGATCAAGGCAGGGAAGGCGAAATGCCAGTAGCTGGCTCCGGGGACGATCTGGGCGAACACGACCGATGAGATGATGATAAAGATCCATCCAATCAACATAATGAACTTTGTGCGCATGTAGGGGAATAGGCGGGTGACGGTGTAAAGACCGATGACGAGACCGACTCCGTGGACGATGTAACAGCAGGCCGTGATCAGGGGAGAGTACTTGAGGACGTTCTGGAAAGTGAGGGAGGTGAAAAAGATCATGGTGTTGTAGGTGGCTGTGACACAGATGATGACAACCACCGAGGCGCGGAAGCGAACAGAGCCCCAGATACGGAAAGGCATAATGGGGTAATCAATGCGGCGCTCCCAGAAGACGAAGAAGATCAAGAGGGCAACACCAACGAGGAAGGGAGCCAAAGTTTGCGCAGAACCCCAACCAACAGTGGTAGACTCGGAGAGGTAGTAGACAATGGCAATGATACCGAGCATGAAGGAGACAACACCAACAACATCGACACGACGATCGGTGGTATGGACATCATCATTGGCCTTGGAGATGACAAAGAAGCCGAGGAAGCAGAGGAGGGCCGAGATGATGGAGGTGATGTAGAAGATCCAGTACCAGCCAATGGTCGCGTCAAAGATACCACCGAGGAGGACACCGATGGTCTGACCGATACAGGCTGCTCCTCCGAACATCGAGAGAGCAAATGTGCGCTCAGGACCGGGGGGGTAGGATGTGGTTAACAGTGCCAATGCACTTGGACTAATGAGCAAATTCAAGGGAGGAAAGGAGGGAGAATAGGGGTTGGTTGGTTAATAGAATGTAAAATGAATGGGTACATAGAGAGTAGCCGGATGAATGCGATGGTACGTTGTGAGGATGGATGGATGGACAAATGATGGAAAGAGAATACTTACATTGTGAAGCCAGCGCCTGCACCTTGGAGACCACGGGAGACAGACATGAAGATGGGGTCCCTTGCGAAACCGCAGACCAACGACCAGACTGCAAACCAGGATGTACCTGTCAAGAATACCCGGCGATGTCCAAACAGATCGCCCTATTGTGAGCAAATTTTTCAAGAAACAGGAGAAGGCAAATGGGTCAGACATTTGTTATTTTTTTCAGGAACCATAAACGAACGGTTGTACAAGAAAGAAAAAGCAAAATGCAAATAAGCTTACCATACGACCACCAACAAGCAAGAAGGCTGAATAGGTGAGTGCATAACTACTCACAACCCATTGCAGCTGGTTGGGCTCATATTTGACATCCCGAAGGATAGAGGGGAGGGCAATGGTGACGGAGGCGATGCTAATGATATCCAGCATCTGGGCGAGGGAGATCAGAAAGAGTAGGATCCCTCGTTGCTGGTCTAGGCGTCTGTACCATGGTAGTTTCTTGGATAGACTTGAGGTATCGGTATTGTGGGGAGAGGGGACCACGGCAGAAGCGAGAGTAGAAGCGTCGGCATCAGTCATCTTGGATGTTGGTTCTTGAGGGTTAATGGTTTGAATGGTTGACAGTAGGGTAGGTGCTTAAAAGCGTGCTTTATCTTCGTTATTTTAGTATGAAGAGTGAAGGTATGTGCAAGTGAGTGTAAATGCAAGCAAAAGTGGAACAAAAATGCGGCAAAGAATGAAGTAGTGAAGAGTGCAAGTAGTAATGTAGCAAGTGAAGGTCTTGTTGGTACAAAAGAAAAGAAAAGAAAAGAAAGAGAAGAGTAGCGTAGAAGAGATGGATTGAAGAAAAGAACGAAGAAAGGAATGAAGAAAAAAGAAATTGAGCGGGGGACCGCTCACGTTTTATAGCTTTTTTGCGCTCTTTGCGTCCTTAAGATTGTCACTGTCTTTTCCCATGTCCCCTTGTTCCTTTGTCTCGGTGTCCTTTCACTATTCAAAAAATAAAAAAATCACCTATTCGCCGTGTTGTCTATCGTGTCCTATCTGGTTCATTTACTTGCTTAAGAGGCACTTCGCAGAAACTCCGTTGTTGTTGCGGACATCCCCTTCATACCGTCATTCGTCCTTCGAGGGCACTCATTGGCTGGACAAATGTGTGTTTGTAATTGAAATGTCCATCTCATTTTCTCCCTTTGGTAAACACACGGCATGCGAGAGAAGGCGAGTCAGGGCGCTGCGCTTAAATGTGAAAACCTTTTTATTTTTTTTTCATACTGCGCACGGGAACCAACCCAAAAGAAAAAAAATCTCTTTTCGAATCCGAATCGACGACCAAATCTGGGGTCTCCTCTCCCTCCTCTCTGGATGGTTTGTATGTACCTCTCCTCTATCACTTTGTCACTCTATTCATCCACGATGGAACAAACACAAACGTACATCCAGGTCTTTCCTCTACACCGTCCTGCTTCTCACTCACTCACCTCTTGCACACGTAAGGGGTGGACGCGTAAGTCTCCTTGTTTTTGGCGTTGGTGCAACATTCAACCTGGCGCAACCCTCTATCCACTCCTATCCCGGTACTTCCCTCTCCTCCAGTTCCCCGTCCTAATCCCCTATCCTTTCCCTTCCCTTCCTTCTCCATTGCTCACTCTCACAGTTCTAAGTATGGGATGCTCAATTCCACCACCTCCTCTTTCCTCCCTATGCATCAGCGCCATTTTTCCTTTATGTGAACGTCCTTTGACCTCCTGTGATAGGTTCACACAAAGAACAAAGCACGCCCATCGAAATTCAACACCAGGCGTTTACTTTTTTCTTCATTGCTGAGAAATCAAAAAAAAACTGTTATCGTCCCACCTTCTCCGATAAAGCAAAAAAAAAAAAAAAAAAAAGACATCTTCCCATTACCCCACCCTCACAATAGCATTGTACGTGGACACTGGACCTCTATTGCCAAGATGATCCATCATAGCTTCTATGGCGACATCGTTGTGTATAACCCTTTCCATCGACCCTTTGAGCGATGGGCGTAAAAATAAAACTCAAAACGACATGGGTCAAGCTGATTATGGGCTCATTTTTAAGGATGTGCTGAATAATTGTTGTGGTTCACAAGCATGAGGGAAGTGAACAAAGGAGAGAACGGACGGACAGGCGGACGGACGTGGCACAAACTCAAGGACCCGAGGATCTCTTGGTTTTTTTTTTTGTTTATTGTGATTTACTTACTGACCCCTATTTTGCATTCATTCTATGCACTTCACCCCTTTGACAAATAGAGGGAAGAGGGGCGAGGGTGCAGATAGTGGATATGACCGAAAGCGAGCCTGTAACCTGTGCGGTGTCCGTACCCCACCCATTACTTTTACAACCAGCAGTGAACGATGGAAAACTCAATCCTCATTGGTCGAATGCTTACCTTTCCCTTTGATCCTCCATTTGTCATCTATGAGAACAAAGAGTCCCTTCTTGACGATTTAGGCTCCAACCGCAAAAGTCCGCTTTGTTGCCTTTTGCATGTGTCCCTGTCCACCTCCTGCAATCCTTGGTGAATTGAGCAGATAGGCGAAATACGACACAGGAATAGGACGGGGGATCCTATCACATCTCTTTTCTTTTCACTGGGCAGAAGCTCTACACAAAGAGACCTATGTGGTGAAGAGCGTATCTCGATATGACTACATAGGAGTAGGTATCCATTGAGTCTGCTCGGGATTAGTCCGTTCCCCGATTCCACATGTTTCCAACAGTTTATCCGGTTTATCCGCCCCGTCTCCTGTAGATCTAGGCCTCCTCTGAGATCTATGCCACCTCAGAAGAAGAATGTGAGTACTCCGAGAGGAGAGAAAGTTCAATTGACCACCACCAAAAAGCCGAAATACCGACGTTTCCTGAGCCGCAGTAAACTCTAGTGGATCACCTCGCATGAACTAGCAAGCACAGAACCAACATAACTTATCCTCTGCCTTTTGTTCTCAATTGATAATCCTCGCACATCTAATCTGAGTTTAATTTTTTTTTTTTTTGATTTTACTTCTCTTCTTTTGCGCAGTGTCCAGGAGGATCATTTCTGCTCAGTCGAGAGTAAACTCCAAAAAGACATGGTGACTATCTCCGACCCACGACCCACTGTGTTTTTCTGCTGTCGTCATCCTCTAAACCTATCTAACTTTCCAGCAAGTTTTGGCCTGCAAAGTTGTTTGACCTCGTTCGTTTGCTTATTACGCAGTCGAAGATAGCGCAATCGCTCATGCTGCTGAGAAATAGGTGAGAGGTAAGCAACAATTACAAACACCGTCCATCTTGAGTTGACGTGCTCCACCACCATCCTAGGTTTTTTTCTACCATTTGTCATGATTTAGTTCCTTTCATTTTCTCTCTTCCCCTCTCGCGTTTTATTTTGGGACTTCTTCGCCCCCTCTCCCTCATCTGAAGCCATCAGACCCCAAGGATCAGGGTCTGTTGTGTGATCAGAATGAAAAAGTCGCCACTCATCATTCAGGTACATCCTCCCTCTTTCCTATCACAAGCCCAAAGTCAGGAACAAATTAACGAACTACACCTCAGGTCAAGTCAGGGGGTAGACGCAGGGAAAAAGAAAGGATACAACACCGTCTTGATCAATTTACTCTTGCATCACTTCTTTCTCCCTCTTCTCCCTCTACACACACACACACACGCTCCCTCTCTCTCTCAATGTACCCCTTGAGGTTTGCTTCCATTCACCCTTCCATCATTTCTTTTCTTCTACCTTACTCTTTTTCAGCCCTGCCCAGCCCTAACCCTGAGAAGCAGGCAGGGCATATGAAGTCTCCTCGGAATAAAAAACCCTAAATGGCACCTTGGCTACTCACCCCCCACCCCCCTCAAGTAAATACACCATCGCAGTTTTTGTTGGTTTTTTTTTTTGTTTGTTTGTTGGTCGTTTATGCACCTTCGCTCCTTTATGCCCCCTCATGCAAAGGACATCGCTTCCAAGTTCAAACACGCACCGCCGCCGCATTGTTTTATTCACGCGCAGAAAGAAAGGCGTGATTCCTGGGTAATGTCATCATCATCAATAGCCTAGCGCGTCATAGTCTACAAAGTTCCCATAAACCCCTCACAAGAGCTCACACACACACACACACACAGGACACACATGCAAAAAGCCAAAAAAAAAAAAAAAAAAAAAAAAAAAGCGAAGCTAGCAAAGTAGTCTATTATTCATCTGATTGTGAAAATGGATTAACAATCATCTCAAAACATGTAGTCCTTGATACAAAAAAGCGAACATCAATCATAAGGCATAGGTAATGATGCTAGTTTGGATGCGAGTAATAATGAGAGCTCTCTCGATCTTTATGAAATAAATGCTGGGAATGAAGGGGGGAGTATGTTACAGACGAATATGTACTAATGGCAAAAGTGAAATATGATACAAGGTAGGAAAAAAGGAAGAGAGGGCATCATAGCGCGAACACGCAAAAAAAAAAGAAAAAAAATCGACCTCAGAAGAACAAGGAGGAAGAAGATAGAGGACTTAGTAGTTGTGGCAGGTGGAGGGAAGAGAGTTGGTCTCTGCTGGCTCTGAAATCTCGTTGTACCAGAGGCGGGGATCGGTTTCACCCATACAGGCACCGACAGGCATGATGTCCATTCCCAACGACTGCACATACTCGACCGCCCAAACGCTGGTCGCCTCTTGGTAGATACCACCCATCATCATCGCATCGCGGTCCAATGCCATCGAGGGCACACCGCGGACGGCCTCCGCCCACTTTGACGAGAATTCTGTCTTGGGCTGATGACTCTGCGACGACGTTGAAGAGGAGCCAGAGCCCATGGGCTGCTGGTTGTGGTAGTTGCGATCCCCGCTCTGGGTCAGCGACGAAGAATCTTCCACGATCTTGTCGGAGGAAGAGGATGATGAAGTAATCTGATCGACATCCCAGAGGATCATAACATAGCCCATACTCTCCATGATCTTGCGAACGCGTTCTGAGTGTTCGCCATAGGGGGGTCTCATATACTTGGGTACAACTCCAAGGATGTCCCGGAAAGCATCCTCGATCTTATACATCTCTTGGCGGATCTCTCGTTCGGAGAGTGTCTCGAGATTACGGTGCGACCAGGGGTGGGATGCAATCTGATGCTGGGCATTGAAAGCGCGTTTCAGTAGACGCTGCGACTCTGGGCCTAATTAATAAGATATTACAATATTGGTATTAGTCAATATGGCTTGTTCAGAAAGGAGTGAACTAAAACGCGAAAGCAATGCCGATAATACATGATGTACATGAAACTTGGCACAAATACTTACGGTAAATACAGTTCCAGTTGTCGCCGTTCATAAAGAAGGTCACCTTGATCCGCTGCTCATCCAAATAATCCAGCAATTCATCCGTCAATTGCCCAGGACCATCATCAAACGAGATCGCATAAGAGTTGGGGCGAGTACAGCTATCAAGAACTTGACCAGGGTGGTTCAGCGATGCGGGAGTGGGTCCGCTGACTTTGTAGGGGAACGAGGCAGGGAGTTGCACAATGCTGTTGGCGGGCGTTGTTGACGAGGGTATTGGCGCAGCCGAGACTATTTTTTTTTTGGTTATTTTTATCGATGTGCGATTCACATAGTGGAACAGACAAAGAAAGACGTGGAATGGGTCAGTGTGGGCGTCTGTAAGGGTTAACGTATGTGTGTGGAAATACAAACAAAGAAACGGGAATAACGCAAGGGTCTCAAGGGGGTGGTTGTGGTATGTATGTATAGTAGAAGTAGTTGGGCTGCAGGTTGGCGTCGAAGAGAGGGCGTGTGATCCGAAGAGGAAAAAGTGAATTGCCATTGTCGTTGTTCTTTGTGATGTGGAAGGAGAATGAGTTGCTTGGTGATCAGAGCCGTGGGTCGAGTCGAGCTCAGCTGAAGTAAGAGCCCTCTGTTGAAAGGGTGTTCCTGTCGTCAAGTTGAATCGCTCCCTTGGTATGTAAAGAGTAGGAGAGAGAAAGAGGTGGATGCATACCTTGATATGAGATGGTGAGGATGGCGGCGAGTATGGAGATAGAAGAGAACCGCATTGTGTGTGTATGAGTATGAAGGAATGTGAGTGGAGAGTGTTGTTGGTTGGTTTAGTGTGAGAGTGGAGAGTGTTGTTGGTTGGTTAGTGTGAGAGTGAAGAGTGGAAGAATGCAGTCGAAGTCGTAAGTAAGGCGAATAGAGAGAGAGTTGGGCCGAGGATGAAGATGTGAGAAAACAGATAAGTGAAGACAAAAGATAAGGAAGGGAAAGTGGGCGTTGACTGATCCCTTTTATATCTACCCCTCCCTTATGTCATGTACCCATGGTCATGCAAGGGCTGTAGTTCGCCACACATACAGCAGTTTACACAGTACAAACGGCACCCTGAACCAATCCATGACGCGCATTCGAAAAGGAAGAGTCGACAACAACAACACAAAAAAAAAGGGGAGTTTGAAGAAGGGGGCAGTGCGGAAGACATCATTCGGTACAGCGGTGGGAGAAGAGGGCTGGCTGACCTATTCTAAAAATAAAAATAGAAATCAAAAAGGAGAGGAATGACGCCCTCTTTTCTTTTGTCCCCTCTTGTCTCATTCACTTCAAAAGGGGCCAATCGCACCGCCACGAATTCGCCCATTCCTTTCCCTTCAATCGTTCGCCGCAGCCACCCCTCCTCTCTCTCGTCTGCCTCCTAGCCTTTGGCTGTCTACATTACCACTATTTGCTTGCCACCAGATAATCTTTTGCCACCTCTCCCTTCTTTGCTGCCCGACAATTCCATTGCTCCTTTGGGATGCGATGTCGAACCATGTTCCGTGGGCACTTGACTGTAAGCAACAGACACATATTTGCATATAACTCAAACAGGACCCCTATCCATTTGTCCACCTGCCTGCCTGAATGACATGTCTCTCGTTAATTATCAATAAGTTTTAAAGGGTCATGCCGAGACACAGGGTCAGCCTCTTACCTCAATTCCTTCCAATAGACCATAGAGACATCACCTGCCACTACCTTATTCCTAGAGACGAACGCCACATAATCATTTACAGAGTTCATTGCATGCCCCACTCGGTTGGCAAAGGGTAGTTGACATATATAATAGAAGAAGGTTTATTACAAGGCGGAGAGGATGGTGATCATTAAGTGTTTGGTGTGTGTTGTTGTTGTTGTTGTTTGTATGAAGAGTGGTGTGAGGCATGTGTGGAGGAGCAGAGATGGGGGTACACATGCTAGACGAATTAAAGATTGTCAAGCAAAAAGAAGAGAGAGCGTTGAGAGATAATAAAAAAGAGCACGAATCTGTCCAGCACACCAAAATCCAGTTTCCTTTGTCTTCACCCACTCACTCCTTCGGCTCAGGTCTTATTGCTTGTTCTCCTGTCGTTGTTGTTCAGTTGGTGTCGAAAAGAAGAAAATGGTGGGCGTACAGTCCTGCTGTCGATACCCGCCTTCCTTCAATTCCTCAGTAGAACAGGAAACAGACGCAAAGCTCAGCTTAGAAGGTTGGCTCGGTGCTGGCGCCAAAGAGACGGAGGACTTCAAAAATGGCACCCCCGCAGAGCATCAACAGGACGCATCCAACAAGCATGGGAGAGGCAGTAGGCTTCTTGGCAACCTTCTTTTCGGCGTATGCTGAGGTCTTTGTCTGGCCGCGCTTTGTCACGTTTGCCTGGTACTTGGCTAATTATCCGTATCATTGTTAAGAGAGAGAGCGAGAGAGGTGTTAGGTTGATCTGGCCTGGTGGGTTTGCTAGTCCGTTCCTGTAAGCCCTTTTGCTTTAGCCAAATTCATAAGAGTGGAGGGGGGAGGAGGTAAGAGAGGGGTGTGCTTACCATTGCGGGCACGGATGACGGGGGAAGTAGAGGTGGCCATGTTTGTAAAGTTGCTGTGTGTGTGTTGCGTTGGGTTGATTCGAGTCGAGATGTGTGGTGTCCTGAAAGGTGTGCGGGTGCTTGGTCTTGAGTGTTGGATGGTTGGGTGAGTTCTTGTTGAGTGAAAATGAGAAGAGAAGAAGAAGAGAAGAGAGAAAAAAGAAGAGTTTTATGAACAAAAAAGTGAATGAGTCTTGTGAATGAGCTCCATGTCGTGGAGCAACAAGAGTGGAGAAAAACAGAGAAGAGCAAAGGGGTCAAGGAGAGGTTTGTGGGTTGTAAACAAATGATTGGCTGAGAGGGAAGCAAAGAGGTGGAGAAGGAGAAGGGTATGAACTTTACCTTTTAAAATAAAACATGCTCTCAACCTTGTCACAATTCTCACTCGGACAATTGTCTCCTCTCTCCTCCCTCTCCTCACTTGACTGTCTATCTTGAATCTTGCATCGCACAGCATATGAATAGTAGATAGACACATGAAAGCAATTTGCCAATGATACACAGACTCCATATGCTCTCAACGACAGAGAACCTGTTGGTTCAACAGAAGTCGAACGAACAACTGTTGTTTCCTACTCCCTCTCTTCGCGGTGAACAAATGAAATGCATTCGATCTTTCTTTTTGCATCACTCACCATGGCGCCCATAAGAAGACAAACGGAGGCCTTATCCCCTAAGGTCAAAATGATCAATGCTTACGACGAATACAAGCGTGACAATGTCAAGGTCAACTATCGAAGCCTCGGGGACAAGTCTGTAGTTTTCGAGGACACGGTAGTAAGATTTATCAAGGACGAGGATCCCATTCTTACGTATCATCGACAATCGCCTAAGATTGCAAAACCAAAGAAGAATCTGTACCCTCTCAACATGCTACCAATCGAGGACGCGCTCGCGGAGTGGTTTAGAATGCAGCGAGACCAAAGTGAGTGAATGAAGAGAAAGAAGGGATAAGTGTCCATCCTTGAGAAGAACCTCTGGGTAGAGGCATTGGTGACCTGGACAACTATGAGTTGACACGACGTTGGCTCGGCTTCTCTTGGCATGGAGTAACTGTCTTCGTCGCTCAATCTATCTACTTTTCCATGTTTGCCCTTTTCCCTATTCTTCCGCCTCAACAGCTATCCCACTCCCTTTTTCTTCCGTCATCGTTGTCTTTCGCCAGCATAGAGCACTTCCACGCCCCACCATCATTTCTACTGTATCAGTTTCTTTCCATCGAACCGTGCCCTCTTGACTGTCTTTCGCGCCTTTCTCACATCCATGCGCATCTTCTCGGACTCATGTCAGCTCTGTCCATGAAGTACAGGTACGTCATCAAGGAAATATGAAAGACGTCCTTCAGCATCTCAGTTGAGACTGACGCTCCCAGGCCCCTCCCTGACATTTTCGCCTATGCATATTAATCCATCCCTCTCCTCTCTCTCTATTTACCTTTTCCTTTCTTCGTTACTTTCCCCTCTTTCCTCTTTTCTCTTCCTTCACCACCCTTCCCTTCACCGCCCTTCCCTTCTTCCCTTCTTCCCTTCTTCTTCTTCCCTTCATTTACATCGTTCTCTGTCATTAATAGTTACTTTTTCATCTCCCACTCGCTTTCCTTGCGCTCAATCACCGCACCCACCCGCTACTTGTCTTCCCTTTTATAGCGCTCGCCTCCGGCACCACTCTTCTGACCTTTCTTTGTTTGACTTAAACTATGGGAGCCGACTGGTATGAAATTGTTAGCTTTGCAGTAGCTGGGATTCCTGTGCCCAAAGAAGCGTTGCAGCAGCCATTTAATCTGCCGGGTTTCAAGCTGCTGACTGTTCTGCACGAGCACTATAATGTAAACGCCGAGCTCGAAAATATCACAGTGTATCATGGCGCGATGATCTGCCTTGCGGAGACGGAGCTTCACCCCACATCGGTAGAGGTCATTGGCCCATACGGCATCGAGGAGCACAAGGCTTCGTGCAAGAGGATGAAGCACTTGGATGCGTTTATGCCAGCAGACACCAAAGATAGATTGGCCAGCGCGTTCGAGACGTACACGGGTCGCAAGCCAGATGCTGTGCCTGGGTTCTGGGTTGTGTGCGCCACATTTGAGTATCTTGTGGAACTGTGCACAGTTTGGTCTTTGGGGACATATGATAGCATTGTTGATGGAGACAACTGTCACAACGTCTGCTTCACTGTGGAGGAGGACGCTGACGGTAGCTCTGACAGCAGCTCTGACAGCAAGGATGAGTGATCGGTATTCCAGCTTCCATGGTCGATGCTAGAGTCGTCTCCTAATGCATACGTGATACTCAAGACCTTTATGCCTATGCGACACTCAAGAATCCAACCCATCATACGCCAACCTTTATAAAAACCCCTCTCTTCCCTTTCGGTAGTTCGCTACCTTGCTAAGTACCATCTTCAGTATCGCTTTCAGTGCCCCTTCAATAAATTGCTCTCTTGCTACATACTCTTGTTTTCGTTTCTTGTCTCGATATACCTGTATAGAACGATCAGTTCTAACAGACAACCTCTCTGCCTTGGAAGGATTGGATGAGGTAGTGCAACAAAGTTGCTGCAACTTTGGACGAATGCTGTTTGCAAGACCAGTATAGATGACGACTTACATGCGATTGTAATGGAGGCGCTACATAGCGACATAGCAATGGCAGAACAACGAAGATATGATAAGTGCAGTTAATTCAGCTTCCGTCGTCCTTACTTCAAAAAGCCAGTTCAAACAAACCAGTGGTGTATTATTTGACTTTTGGTCGTTTACGCTGAGGAATGTCGCCTACCATCTTTTTGATATAAGGAGGGAGTCTTCATTCTTTTTGCCCCAATTCCACTGAGGGTGACAAGAGGAAACCGCTGGTGCTGAGTACGTCGACAATTGACAGCACATGCGCAATGTTATTTTCAAAACAACTGCAACGTCGATTAATATTATTTGTTCATTCTTTATTTTATTTCTTACGACATAGACAAGAATAAACCAAGAGATCTCTCCCCTACGACCGCGAACGACGTCAACTATGACACTAACAGCCAATGGGTATATGACCCCCCCCCGTTTTCACCAAATGGCTCGGGGTTCTTGACAACGACATGTGGTAACAGCAACGACATATCGCCCTGTTGGTCCACGGAGCCTCCAGTTATGGCGCTTCAGAGAAGCTAAGCTTGACCAACGTTTCAACCATTGAACTTCCAGCTATAACAACCTCTATCACTCAGCCATCGGATTAAGGGATTATTCGGTCATTTAAGGCACATTACAGTCAGGCTATGCTTCAAATCACCAGTCAAAGGCGGTTTAGGAACAGTAATTTCAGCATCGCGGTATTAATTAGCGAGCTTTGGTTATGCTTTGCGCCATCGTGGAGGAAGGTCAGGGAAGGTTGCATTCGAAAGTGTCTTCTTTCAAGCCCCTCCGTCTTGAGCCGACCTCAATCAGGGGATCTCAAAGCTCATGATGTCGAATCTGTCAAGAATCAGGCGGAGAACCTTCAGAAGGAACTTACCGACAGGTGTCACCATTTAGAGGATGTCATATCATCACAGAACGATATTGGCGTGCAAACTACACTCCGTTTGGCAAGAAAACGCAAATCCTTACTGAATTAAAAAAATATAACGATATTATTCAGTCAGCCTTATCTATGCTTGGATTTACGAATCGAAGGTGAAGTTGCGGTGGACAGAAAAGGAAGAATCCGTAAATCCAAGCCTAGATAAGGCTGACTGAATAATATCCTAATTCAGTAAGGATTTGCAATTTCTTGCCAAGCGGAGTGTAGTTGGATATGCAGGCTTTCCGAAAGTCTGTCACAGAAGACAAGTACAGAGAGATGTCTGTGCGGAACACTGGAGATGACATTGATAGAGACGACGAGGATGATGAGGAGACTGAGGATGAGGAAGTAGAAACACTGGAAAAGGAGGGTGGATTGTAGGAAGTGGAGGAGGAGGAAACAGACAAGTAGGAGCCGTTGTAAGATCACATCCCAGAGCCATGTAAATAAGCATTAACAACATGCTAAGGACATGAACTAGGAATTATGTTAACAGAGATAGAGTTATTTTTGAAGGAATGAAAAAAAAAAAAGCCAGACCCAGTCTTGCCCCCAAGTTCGGTTGTTAATACCGTGCGGAAACAAAGCCAGACCCGGCTAGCCACCTACGGCTGGAGAGCCTAGCGCAGGCTTACACGCTGGGTTACTTTATACCCTTTCCTTCTCTCACAAGTGAAGGATACTTCCATGGGGGTTCAATGAAAACAACGAAAATGCACAAAAAATGAACACTAAACAAGTATGAAATCGGTCAACAGTCAATTCTTTAATTGTGCCATATCTTGGGCACAGGCCCCTCACGTCATTCGTGATTTGAGAGCACAGAAAAAAGACATCCTGCCTCATCCATTTCTTTTCATCCTCCATCCTTCTTCCTTCTTTTTTCATCCCTCTTTTATCATCTTCACCCTCCCTCTCCCTCTCACTCGACCAATATACACCTAGCAGGCCACCCCCATCGTCGTTTCATCAGTTGGTCCAAGAGCGAGCGCTTCATTATTCTCTGTAAGACACCTTATGGACACAGCTGCTTTTGAGTGCCCCATCGCCTCTCATGGTGACTGACTGACTGTGTTGTCTTGTTGTCGCTTTCATTAGCCAAGTTAGACTTCCACCCAACCGTCAGTTCTATCGCAATCCCGACTCAATAGCTCTGGAAGGAGTACAAGCCTGGAGACTATACTCCCTTGTTTATCAACCTGCCAGCCTTGGAGCGACCGGAGAGGGAGCTGGTTGCAGAGCATTTGAGGAAGTACGACCACGGGTGACCAGATCCGTGAGTTGAAGAAGCACCGCCAGTGTATCTTGATCTGCGATGGCTACGTCGAGAGCCAGCTCATCTCCAACCTCTACACCACCAACATCCTCGACCGATAAGTTCGTCAGGACGTGGAATGCCGAGTCTGGTGCTATCGACTTTATGCTCAAAGGTCACACGAGCAACATCGAGGCCATGGCGTTCTTGCCGAATGGTCAGTGGATTGCCTCCGGCTGAAACGACAATACTGTGTGCCTTAAGAAATCATGGGTAGGTACGCCTGGCCGCGGGTCAAAGCAACAGCAGTATGATTGAGCACGTGACAATTTGCCAGTCTGGAATAAGTGTGGACAGGTCGCATTAATTAGGGGTGAAAGTACGGGGGTAGAATTGTGGGAGGAGGAGAGTAATGAGCCCTTGCAAGTCCTAGAGCACTATGGCGATGCTGTTGTCGTTTCCTTGTCACCTGCAGTCAATGGATTGCCTCCGCCTTTGGTGATGTGATGTGGCTATGAGATTTGGTCAGGAAAGGTACTGAACAGGAGCGGGAGCATGTACTGGTTATTAAGGTCTTTCTCAATGGGGTCTCTTGCGTTGCTTGGAGGCCGGACGAGCAGGAGGTTGTTGCTGGTTCGAGTTCTGGGTTTGTACAAGTATGGAGGCCGGTTAAGGAGTCGGATGGTAAGTTCTCTACGAGGTTGATGTGGACTTCGGGACGCACCACGTTTACGGCCATGAATTCTATTGTAGTCGACGCCGTTGGTCTTAGTGAGGCGAACCAGAGATTGCTGAAGCAGCGCGGTGCCAAGGACGGATTGGAGACTATCGACAATACTTTGGACGAGAGACAGGACGAAAGCCAGGACGACTACTCGGACGAGGGATGGGGAACGATAACCTTCTTCATCTCCTATCCATCTCGATGCACATGATAAACTGGACAACAGTCAGGACGAAAACGACGCAGTTGAAGGAGCGACGCAGAAAACTCGCAGAAGGGGTCCCATTTTCGGTCGCAGAAACTAGGGCAAATAAATATCTCATTTCAAGGAGCACGGTGGTGAAGATATGATGTTGCTGTAATAGAGCTATGTACGTCCATTGCCTTGAGTTGTCAGTTTATCATTTTGGTTGTTAGAGATGCAAGCATGTATGCAGCACGATTGAGGATCCACAAAAAAAAACACAAGGTGCTTATGTAAACCGATCTAAATGGTTTGCTGGTTCTGTTTGGACCATTTTTTGTGCCCTAAATTCCGCCCATCTCATGGTACTTTTACCCCAAAGTCTGTTTGTCATCAGCGTGCTTTTTACCTCAACGTAGATCCTCCCTATTCCTAACCCATCTCTAATTTTCGTTGATCTTCAACTTGCTCCTATCCTGGAAGTAAGTGCATAAAGGGAACAAAACAGCGGAAGACCTAAATTCGCCTGGGTGAACTCCTACGTTGGAATGTGTTCGCTCTTCGTATAAGCGGCCAAGGTTCAACGCCATCTTTTTTTTTGCTAACGAACGGCTCCATTAGATGTTCAAGGCATACATCCTCCTCGCTATGCTCATAGTCGCCACAACGGCCAACGCTCTTACTTGCCAGCTCGGCGGCATCTTCTTTGCAAGCGACGCCGCTTGTTCTGCCAGCTGTATCGCCCAGAACCAAGGATTCCATGGTGGACACTGTAACGACAAGCAAGTCTGTATCTGCAACTACTAAGTATCCCCTCCTCTTCTCCCTCTTCCATAACTTGTACAGTCAGTTTTGGTGAACGGACCAGATGCATACCGAATAAAAAACAGCAATCGTTCCCTTTTATTTCTACATACTGCATCCTACCAAAACACAAGAAAAGAAGAGCACTAGCCTCACCTAGCAAAGAAGACACCCCGGTCTGTAATCATCTCGACCAACGCATCGTTACGTCCCTCATCAACCATATCCATCACCCCTCCCATCCAATGTAAATGCTCCCAGTGGTCCAGCATCCACTCAACATCCTCAGTACGCATCCATTGCTGAGTTCCGTGAAAATGGATCCCCTTGAGCTCGCGAAGACTGGAGAGCAGCTCGAGACCTTTACCTAACCGAAGATCTAACGACTGTATTGGGATCTCGCGCGTGGGGTCGCTGAGACTGAAGGACTGGAGCATCTCTAGACCAGAGATGCGCTCAAAGATCTGTCGTTGTGTCCTTTCTAACGCCTCCTCCTCCACCTCCTGTGCTGCAGACGAGCCGTTGCTCATGTCGAAATAAATCCAGAGTTCTCGTAGAGAGCCACAGATCCAAGGTGGACTTGCGACAAGGTCTTTGGCTGACACACATCCAGCTGCAAACTTGCGCAACTTTTTACAAGACGCCAGCACCTCCACAATCATCAGACTCGTCACCGCACTGCAATAGCTTAGATCCAGTTCGATGATTCCTGAAAAGAAGTGTGGTCGTAAGGCCTCAAACGAGCGTGGTCCAAATCCTGACTGCGAGACACCGAGGATCATAACCTTCCTGCGCATGGAGTCCAGAATGACCTTGATGTCCGAGTCAGTGTACTGGTCCAATCGTGCTAGTGTCAATCCCTCGAGGTTCGGCCACGTCTCTGCTCTGCAGCACTCCAAGAACTTTTCGGGGGAGAATGCTTGGTCCGGGATCCAGTCAAGGGTCTCCAATTGCGGGCACTGTGTCATCAATCGGATTTGTTCCGACTCCATGATATGCGCCCCTTGCGAGACCTGGAGCGAGAGTCGCCTCAACCTCGGAAACACGAACGGTCCACTGGTCCCATCATCGCTGTTCCCAAATCGTAGTGCCGACTCAAAGTTGACAATCAACACCCTGAGGTTCTCGGTCGCCTTCCAGAATAGCGGCATGGTCGTGTGTCGAATCCGCATCCGCGGAGCCTCCAGCAACTGCAGATTGGGTGCCTCGGCCATTGCTTCCCAAAACGTGTTCGGCGCAGGTGAACGACCCTTGGACACGCCCAGTTTCAATTGACTGATCGTCGGGTTTTGCTTGATGAGTCTCGTCAACCCCTCAAAGGCCTCTGCACTCGGGTCGGAAGACTCAGGTCTCTTTGGCCAGAAATCGACAGTCTGAAGGATGGGGAAGGAAATATCATAGTAGTCCGTAAAGATGTCCGACTGGATGATAAGTGTCTTGACGAGCCCTGCATTCTTTTGGAGGACGTCAAGGGGAACGGATATCTTTTGGCGAGACAAGTCGAGGACTTGGTCGGTGTCGACGAGGGTGACTTTTTCCCAGAGGAGGGATGTCATTGAGGAGTGCCATTGTTTGTTGATGAGGATGGAGTTGAGTCTGTCTGTGTGGTCGAGGAAGCTACCGATGTGTTCCCTGATCTCTGGTAGGTCGAATGGCGTCGGGTCCTGAGTTGTTGTCATTATGGGTTGGAGAGGGGGTATGTTTGTTGAAAGAGGGAAGGAGGGTGTGAGTGAACAGAAAAGAAAAGAAGGCGTCTTGGTCTCCTTTATCTCTTTGGCCTTGGTCTGGACTGTCTGGAGGCGTCTCTTCGTTCCAGTTCAGCCCAACTGATCAACCACTGTGTCGTTTTGACGTTGAAATAAGTCCCCTTAACAACTCAAACAAAACGACCAAAGGACTTACCCAATTTGCTCAATTGACGCTTTTCTCCCATTCCCTTTTTTCCGTTCTCCTCTTATTTTACTTCCCCTTGTTTCCTCAAAACCCCTTTCCCCATTCTCCTTCTCTCTCCAACCCTTTCACACAAACAAGCAATGGATACCCTAATCAACATCCTGTCATCACACCCAAGTGTCAAGTTCGGCGCTCTCCTGCTCGCTTACATGGGCCTCGTCCGCCACCTCCGCTATCGCCGAATCAACGCCCTCCTTCGCAAATACCCAGACCCAACCATCCCCCTCCGCAACCTCTCCATCGCCTACGAAGTCGCCGCCAACGTCGGCGAACTCGATTTCCCATATGTGAACGTCGTCGCGCTTGAATTCGCCCTCTTCAAGACCTATGCCATCCCCTCCATCTCCAAGATTCTCGCCGCCACGAAACAGTTCACCAACCACTGTCTCCGTCGCACCGATGATACTGTCTTGATTCTTCTCGAGATAAATGAGGGGCATTCTAGGAACGTCAGGAGGACGATATTGGAGGGTGGGAAGGTTGACGAGGAGGAGGTGGTGAATGATGAGAGGCGCAAGGTGATTGCGGCAGAGAGATTGAACTTTCTGCATGGACACTATAACATCAAGCAGGACGATTACTTGTATACCCTTGCAATGTTCATTCTCGAGCCTGCTGTCTTTATCGACAAGTTTGAGTGGCGAGAGACCACCCTCCTCGAGAAAAACGTATGTCGCCTTGCAGTTTTGTTTATTATTGTTTTTTTTTAAAAAATTATGTTCTTTGTACTACTCTCGGTGCGCCGGCATTAGTGCGAACACGAACCGATGAAAGGAAGGAGGAAAGAAAGGCGGCCGAGTGGACCTGATATCTAATGCCGCTCGCTCTTTAGCACGATTTTCTAAAATTAATTCATCTTTTTCTTCCCGTACTTCTTTTCCTTTTTTCCACACTTCTTTTCCTTTTTTCCATACTTCTTTTCCATCTTCCCATCTCATTTCTCTTTCTCTCATGGTCTAATCTCGGACGTGTAGGCACTGCTGGCTGTCTGGACTTTCAATGGAAAGAACATGGGTATCAAGGACATCCCCGAGACTCTGGACGAACTCAAAGCATGGGCCGATGTATGTATATAATTTTCGTCTTAATATGGTTTGTTTGTTTGTTTGTTTATGCGCTTGAGTGTGTAAGCCGACGTTTGGTGTGCCTGAGAAAGATCATATTTATGTCTTGCTTGTGCCTTGTGGGGTTGTGGGTGTTCTCACAAATTGTGTCCCTCTCTCCTATTCGTTCGGTATTTCACGCCCAGCTCCAGCACATGCAAAACAGTAACGGAGGATACATGCAAGCCTATGGACTATTTCCGTCAAGAGCAATCTTCTTTCTTCTTCAATTGCTTATTCCCACACTCAAAACATCCCTTCCTTTTACTCAGACAAAACCCACTGACATTCTTTTACCCCGACAATGACAAATAGGCATACGAGGACAATCTCTCACAATATGACCCTGCAAACACAATCATCGCCGACGTAACAATGGACATCTTGCTGGATCACCAAGCCCCTAAATTCATGCACCCCTTCGGTAGAAAAGCCATCAGCTCCCTCTTGACACCACGCCTCCGTAAAGCCTTCGACATGCCCGCACCACCCGTAGGACTGACAACCATTATGGAGTCCGCCCTCAAGGCCCGCGGACTGTTTATCAGATACTTCATGCTCCCCCGTAGATTGCCCAGGGTCCGGACAGCGTTGAGGGCGAACAAGGACGGAAAGTATGTTCCTGCGTTCCACAAGTATGGAGTTGTTTATGGAGATGGATATAGAGTTGAGGATTTGGGACCGGAGAAGTTTGTGGGCAAGTGTCCTATTTCTTTCCATCCTTCGGGAATTACTCCCGCCTCTGGACATCCTTCTTCACTCCAGGATCTGTAAAGACGAGACTCTCAGGAAGTGCATCCTAGGATACCAATTTTTCGAATAAAAACGTAGACCGAGTCGAGAATGGATACCATGCTCAGGATCATTGATGGACAGGGAGGTTGTTGTTGCAATGAGTATAAGAGCGCAGAATACTTCGTTGTTGTCTTCCATGCGCTTACTCGTATTTGAAGATAGTAGATCGCAAAGGCAGGTGTCGGTGCTGCATTGGTCAGAGGAAAGTGAGACTGTGCCACACTGCTTCATTGTACGTAATAAGGTGCATGCATTGTGTGTGTGTGTGTGTGTGTGTGTGTGTGTGTGCATATTTCCTAGGCAACACAGTCGGTCGCCAGCAGACATGCCATGAGAACCTGCCTTTTGTCCCTGATCCAACCGATCACCAATCAATCAATTTTCAGGAACGAACGCTGATTGTGAGTGCTGACAACGGTATGAGTGATGATGAGATAGATACAGATCAAAAGGGTGTTCCATCACAAGTCACAAAAGAGAGGGCCAGCACCATGCGCACTGTTCTCCTCCACTTCACCTCTCCTACCTCAAGTCATCTCTCTTCTTTCTTTTTTCTTTTTCCATTCATCTCTTCATTCACACCCTCCTTCAACTTTTTCCGAAATGACTGCCAGCACAATCGACTACCAGCACTTCCTCAGCGAGTCGTCTAAGGCCAGGGAGCCTAGCGCAAGTACGACACGACACTTGAATTCACTTCATCAAGCGGGCCTTAGTACCGCATTTTTTTTTCACGCCGGAGCGCACTCTTCTTTACCTAACAGGACTCACATTGCTACTACTGCCATTTACTACTAATAGTCAGACGCCTGATCCCCCTCACAAAGATCCCAGGAATGGTTCGTCTCTCCCCCCCCCCCCCCTTCTCAATTTTAGCACACAATGGGCAAAGTAAAAATCGAGTCACCCTAAACTAACATTTCCCTTACTTTCTGATAATCTCACTTTAGATTTCGTTGGGTGCCGGTGCTCCTAATGGGGACCTGTTCCCCTTCGAAGGGATTAGTATCTCGCTTAAGAATGGGCAGTCCCTCCAGGTTGACTCTAAAGTCCTCAACGAGTCCTTGACCTATGGCCCCTCTGTAAGTTGTTTTTCTGGATTCAGATGAATCGTTACTCAGGTGGTGATTTGTATGTGTCTGTCAGCAAGTAACAACCACACACGCCGCCTTTTTCATTGTTTACAAGAACAAAGAACAACGCTGCGCTTGCCGTTGTTTTTCTCACGCCGCCCCTACCCTCATCCCCTCGTCGACTAACCCTTTCCCCCACCTCCATAATAGGACGGCATCCCACAATTGAACGGCTGGTTGAAAGAGTTGCAAAGGATCCAACACGCACCCCCCAAGGACTTTGTAGTCTCTATCGGAACAGGATCGCAGGATTTAGTCACAAAGGCCCTACAGATGTTGATCTCTCCTGGCGATAACGTCCTCTTTGAGTCCCCAGGATATGTTGGCGTCATCGCCTTCCTCCGCCACCAACCCTGCAACCTCATCGGTACTATTCTTCTTCTTGATAACACTGGATTTGGACACAGAAAGGAAAATGTGCAATGGTTCCAGGGTAACTAACGACTTTTTTTTCTGTCGAACGTATGATCCAATTGATAGATGTGGACCTGGATTCGCATGGAGTGGTGCCTGCAAAGCTTCGGGAACAACTGGACAACTGGCCCGCAGACAAGAGGAAGCCAAAAATGCTCTACACCGTCCCTGTCGGCGGCAACCCCACCGGTGTCAGTCAGACCCTGGAGCGCAAAAAGGAGATCTATCAGATTGCACAGGAACATAACCTCTTGATCCTTGAGGACGATCCCTATTATTACCTCCAGTTTGGGGACAAGATCCCCTCGTACCTCTCGATGGATGTTGACGGACGCGTGTTGCGGTTTGATAGTATGTCCAAGATCTTGTCGTCGGGGCTTCGTGTCGGTTGGGCCACTGGACCTATCGAGTTGGTGAATGTCATGAACCTCGTTACTCAGGTACCTTTTTCGTTGCTTCATGCTGGCGATATGCATTTTTGTGTCACCGTTATTTTTCCATTCAATCCTTCCTAACCCCGACCAACCCTTTTTCTTAATACATGAAAAAAATAGACAGCGAATTTGCAACCATCAAGTGTGGCACAGGCTATCACATACACGCTCGTAGACTCATGGGGCCACGATGGCTTCTACGCCCACACTCTAAAAGTCGCCGCATTCTACTCCCAGCGCTGCCAACTCTTTTGCTCCTACGCCCGCAAACACCTCGCGGGACTCGCCGAATGGGTCGAACCCGATGCAGGAATGTTCGTCTGGTTCTACCTCAACGGGATTGAGGATTCGTTTGATTTGATTCTGACAAAGGCCGTGGAAAAGAAGGTGTTGCTTGTGCCCGGGATTGAGTTCTTTTGTCATCCCAAGGAGGTTGGACCGGTGCAGTTTGTGAGGGCTTCGTTTTCGAATGTCTCTGAGGAGGATATGGATGCCGGATTGGAGAGGCTTGCTAGTTTGTTGAGGGATCATATTGCTGAGTCTAACAACACCAACACTATCGACAACAAGTAGATATGAACAATAATTAAAAAGATATATTTATTTCAGAGGCCGTGGAAGAAATGACAGTCTAGAAGTAGTGGGGCTGCTCCTTGGGGGCGATCCGTTGCTTCTTTAGGCGACCCGAACTAGAGTGGTTCAGTGAGTAAAGAGCCTTTAGTAACGAGTGTAGGTACTGCATGAGTGGTCTAGGCAAGAGAGTAAGGAAAGGAGGGTTATGAGAGCGGGGCAGAGATATTCTTTATTTTCTATACCTTTTCAAGGTATATACATCTCACACATGTTGAGCGAGTACATAGTAACTACGTCAACCCTAAAACGTGTCATTCCCAATCGCGTTGCATAGTATGTAAGACTTGCATGAGTATCTCTTCGACTATACAGTTGACATGCCAGAGTAATACCAGCAACCAAAATAGAAAGTGAAAGATATGGCGCTGGTTAAGGATGTTCCCATGCAATGGGAGCGAGCGAATTCGAATTCGAATAGGAGTGGAAACGATTCATGCATGCAAACGAAATCATGCGGAGAAGACTCCAATGCGGGAATTGAAAAAAGGGCCAAAAAGGACATGTATTACCCACCCCATAGATAGGGTATGAGGAAAGCGCATCGTGGGATCTGTCCTATCAACATGATTCCACCATTTTTACTATATAAGCATCTCCCATCTTCTAGAAATGCTGTTCACTATCCCTTCCAATCATCTCACAAAAACACCCTCTGCCGAACTCTTGCTTCTTCCTACCCCTCCTCTCTCTCTCTATTCGCCCTTCAAGGTAATTCTATGATTGATAAGGAAGCATCTATCATTCACATGACATGTTTGTGCAGTTTGATTGAACCACTATATCCCTTTCAAATAGGACCTTACAAGCAAAAAAAATATGGTGAAGCCGATTCTTTTGACAGCCGCTTGCGCTCTGTTCCTGGGTGCCGTTGCCGGTGTCCCATTCTCGTCCCCACAAGATAGCTGCCAGGACTTGGCCAAGTATGTCCAAGGAGCGAGCAAGCTGCCTGTCAAGCCAGATGAGGATGGCGTCGTCAGCTACGTCTCAGGCTCAGTAGCCAAGAAGATGTTCCCCGGAGCGGCCGGTAAACTTTCCATCTTCAGGAAGTACACTTTTGTCACCTATTTCAACAAGTGTGAGGCGGCCCCAGCCTACACACAGGCGCAAGTCAAGTCGGGTCCCTACAAGTTGGAAAAGACATCCAAGTTTGCCTACGACTTGGGTCTGCAGGTTGGCATGGAGGCCAACCTCGCCAATGTCTTCAAGTACCTCCCCAATGTCTCTGTCAAGGCTGGTGTCACACGAGGCACCGAGACGGTCGAGATTTCCGGTGTCGAAATCAAGGCCGGCGAGCTCAAGCAAGAATGTATTGTTTCGCCTGGATGGTGGTGCACCGCCCTGGTCCGACTCGATGACTTTGACAGCAGCGAAATCATTATTGATGATCGCATTCGAGACCCCGTTTTCTTCCCTGCGGCGCTGAACGGCAAGAGTCTCTACTCGGATGTCTGGCTCGATGTTCCCACAAGAGGTGGATCTAGCAGCTTCTCGTGGCAGTAGTGGGGTGTCTAGGTCATATAGACTTTCTTTCTTTTTGTTCGCTTCTTTCTTTCAATGAGCAGAGGAACAAGTTGGTGAAAAAAAGGATAACCAATAAAAGGTCATGAAGTATCGTCAACACTGATAGATTAAGAGTGTGCTGCCAGGGTGGTATAATTCGCTTGGATTTTGGTTGCCATTTGCAAACGTGGTAAAAGGGAAGGTGGCGAGAGAAGACAAATAGTCCATGGAGCGAGTACGGAGTGAAGGAAGATCAGGAAAAGATCAAGGAAAGGCAACAGTGAAAACATAAACATGACAAAGGGTACCAAGCCAAAGAAGAAAAAATCGAACGGAGAACGTGAGGTGGAGATTGTGATATGAACAACTGGGAAGAGAAATGGTGAGAATGGGAGTCTTTATTGATCCTTATGATAATATATATAGGAGGACTAACAACACCCTTAATGGAGAATAAATAGAGTGGACAGACACTGAGATGCAACAGTTCAAAGGAATCAAGTGTTCAAAAGGTCGAGTGGTCGATGGCGGATGTGAGTAAAATAAGAAGTGCAATGTAACTGTCAAGATGTAAGCGAATAGGCAGTGTGATGGGAGAAAGACTCCATGCCGTTGGGCAAGAGAACAGGAATAGGAACAGAGTCCTGTAGAACGATACCGTTGTTAGAGCGACAGAAGGATAGGCTGACGATATTACCTTTGGTAAGAATCGTCCTTTGCTACTAATGCAACAGCTTAAGGATATAGAAGAAAAGAAAGGAGGGAGATCCCAAGAGGTGTTTCCGGATGGGAGGTAGTTAAAAGATGTAGAAAAAGGCTGGCAAAGGCAAAACGAAAAAAAAGGTTACCGAGATCAAATGGGTATAGATCTCTAGGCATAAGAACGCGAAGGAGAGGTCTAAAAAAACCTTATATTCCTCAAGGACTCAACAGGGAGAGGTTATTTTTGTGTAGTCGAGTTGATATGTGAATGGATGAAAATTTTGGATGTATAAAAACGGGTAAGTTTGGGGAAAAGTAAAAGTGCTCGAGCATCCGGGTTGGAAACTTGAGGAATAGGGGTAAAATGAGGAAAATGGGGTTTGAGCTATCAGCACGTTTGTGGTAGAAAGGAGTTTTGTGAGATAATGATATTGAATTGAGGTTTGATAATGAAGGTTGGTGTTTGGAAAGAAAGACCATGGTGCTTGTGTTTATGGGTGTGCTGATTGAGAATTGTTTGGTTGGTGAATAAGAAGGGGATAGGATACGGCTTCACTGGCTTTAATGGATCGAAGTCGTCTGGCGACAGGAAATTCTGACAAGTGCACAATGAATTCAAATCGATGCCGACATGTCCAAAAAAAAAAAGAGAAAAGAAAAAAAGGGGTGTTAGAGGAGCGGTCACAGAAAAGAATGGACTTCATCCAACTGCCGATTGATAAAAACAAACAAGAAAGACGAAGCAAGCTTACATGTTCCGGAGCAGTGACGATGCCAGCAGAAGAGCGACGTTCAGGATATGATGAATTGTGTATTGTTGAACGATCTACGTTTTCGCTCTTGGAGGAGGAGGAGGGGGCTGGTTCTGCGACGCGCATGATCGAGCCGGTGGTCAGTTAGATACAGCTTGGCGCATAGGAAAAGGTGTCCATGTGCGCTTCTTGAGGGTATAGTTGGGAAGAAATTCGAATGGTGATGAAGAGGAGGAGGAAAAGGTTTTAGGCGGGAAAAACATTGTCTATCCGTTGTTTGCTGTTGTGTGGACGATAGAAGGTGAAAGTAAGAAGAGGATTGGAGAGAAATGTTGAGGTGAGCAAGACAAGAAGGAAGTGGTCATTTTCCACTCCTTTCTTTTCTTAGAGGCAGAGGAAGGATGGAAGGAAGAGGAGGGGAGGGGGGATAGGAGTAGAGAAAGGACAAAAGAGAGTGAAAAGAACGAAAGAAAAGAACGAATCCTTTGTGCATCCGTCGTCGAAACTCCATCGTCGTCTGTGTTTACGCACGATACGCACAATGGGTGATGCATGTTTCCCGCCTCCTCTCAATGGCGCCCATTAATTGAGTAGGTGCACGTTCTCCGCGCATGGTCCATTTTTCACAAGCATCTCTTCTACTTCTTCTCACTTTCTCTCCCTCTTCTTACTCTCTTTCATTACCTTCTCATTAGCACCATCAACACCTTATCTCTGGAGCAAAGGATACTCAGTATGACAGGAACCAGGACAACAGGAACCAAGAATAGAACACGGACAACAGTCCCCGTCGTCCCTTCTTTTTTCAAAACGACTCGAGGTATTGGTTTGACAGGACACACTGACCCTTGTTACTATTTTGATTCGGGAGCAAAGAATACATTGTAATTATTCTGAACTCTTCCATCACAGTGGAGCAGCCTCGAGGATGTTCGTGAACCACCACCGTGTCTTTCAACACAGATCCTTGTTGACATCCATGTCCAGACTCGTGGACTGGCAAGTTGACTTCTTTCTTGTCCTTCTTCACAGACAGGACTTTGCTTGACAACAAGACCAACGGGGTCGTGAGAAAAAGTACATAGTGAGTGGTTGTCGTTTCAAAATAAGAAACTGCTATCGGACTTGTTCCATTGACCTTGCCTTTCCTTCTTTGTTGTGCCTGTGTTGACAATGGTGAGAGAGTACATCATCCTCATCGTCCAACCCCTGTTTGTGGTCTTTGTGGTCAGCCCCTGTTCCTGTTATCATGCCCTCCCCTTTTGTGCACCCACCCAATAGACAATATTGACAAGCGAGTTGTCGTCAATTAAATAAACATATGCGTAATTGAATGTGTGCAATTAGCTGGGGTTGAGTGACATGAATATGGATTGATGCCCGCTTCGGAAGAGACACAATAATTTCGATCACCACCCACTCAGTATGAGAGTGATGAGGGTGTGGGGCGAGTCAGGAAGGAGAGCGGACGTGAGCGGAGCAGTTGATCCCACATGAGAAAGTGACACTCCTCTTTCAAAATCTTGTCTCCCTTCTCTTTCCCTTTGATTCCACTCCAGACAACCAGATATCCCGGCCGGCTCTTTTTCACACCGACACTCTGTCTTTTTTACACTTTATCCTTCCCTTTTCTCCACTCTCACTTCCCCGCATCAATCTCGCTGTCTCATTCCTTTCTTCCTTTCTTCTTCTCTCCCCTCTCTTCTTTCCCCTTCTCTCTCCCCTTTCTCCCTCTTTCACTCTCATCACACGGACACACCAAACACCACCACCAACAACTATAACTCAACCCAACCCGACACAAGCAAGCTTAGCAGGACTCAATTCAAATGACAACCTCATCCATCCTGACTCCGCCTCTGTCCCCCAAATCAACCCCGACAGACATGCTCCTCTCCTCCTCCTCCTCTTCAAAGACCAACAATCCGTTGACACAGATCCTGGTCCTGTACCACAAGGCAACTTCCACATTCCTCCTCCGCCAACTCGCTTCTGCCTACTCGACCTCCCTCGAGGCCATCGAGCTTCTCGCAAGGACCAACCAGGACTATGGCCTCGACCACTCTGACAACATCAACACCCAACGGTCCTTCTATGTTCTCAAGCAGAAGCTCTGGATCTTGCATTCGACTATCTATGGCGCCATGCTGACCGATCGTGCTGCTTCAGAGGAGTCTAAAGGAAAAACTGGTGGATTGTTGAACGGTGTTCGGAAAAGAGTCTCGGGATCGTCTTCAAAGGATAGTCCGGAAAAGTTAGTCAAGGATCTGTGGAAGAGGCTTGTGGAAGATTATGCTGGATTGGAGGGTGATGTCGATGGTCAAGTCATGGTTCCCTTGTAAGTCTCTTCTTTTTTCTTTCTTTGTCAGCTTTTTTTGTTTTGTTACTTTGTTTATTTCCGAGTGGGTGGTCAACGGGTGAGTGGAAGGAGATGGCGAGTGAATGGTAGGCTGGAAGAGGAGATATGTTGTTGTTTAATTGCGTGCCTTCTTTACCAAGGCCTTTAACTTTACCTCGGGAGAAGGTGAGGGAGGAGGTAAATTTTTATGGTCAATTGCATGTCGGTCCGATACTCTCTTTTCTTGTTTTATTTCTTGCTCGGCTGGCCATGGACCATAACTCATCATCGTGCATGGACAAGTCTGAATCGAATTTGACACTACAAACACAACGCAGATGTTGTATGAATAAGAAATATGAAGGACATGAGAGAATTGGAAGTAGAGAAATTGGTGAAGTGGAAGCAGAGGTATTGAATGTAGGAGGGAGACAAAGAAGAAAAGAATATAATAGAAAACTAAAGGAGACATCTCAATGTACAGAGAAAAGATGGAAATAAGATGATGTAAAAGATGAAGAAGAAAGGAAGCGAAAGATAATTGAAATCGAAGACGACCAATGCAACTGCTATGAACTAATCGTTCCGTTCTCTATACTCTACCTGGATAGTGTGATGATGTGTGTGCAGCAAAAGTTGTACACTTTGGCGAGACAGATCGTGGAGGCATACTTGGCAACAATCCCTGAGGGCATGTTGATTCATCTGGAGACGGCTGCCGGCGTTTCCTTAAACCCTGAGGGACCCAAGGATCCGTTGATGACCAACTATGAACGATTGGTCGAGCTGTACCTTATCCATGTCCTTGCCAAGCTCGGCGAATGGACCTCTGCCACCGACTTTTTGCAGTATAACACCGTCCTCTCTGATTCTTCCAAGAAGGTACTTTATACAGACAGGGAAATCGCATTCAAGGAAAGGAGAGAGAATTACGAGAGAAGAGACTGAGAGCAGAGAACAGAGAACAGAGAGAGAAACCAGGGAACGATCAAAGGGGGGATGTTTTCAACGATACTGACAACTGCATGCTTACATTACGAACATTAATGCAATTAGTCGTATGGCAAGATTCTGGAGAAGCTGCATCAAAAGTCGTTGAGACCCAAAAAGACAAAGTCTTCTCTCCCTTCACTCGCCGACTCAAGATCGTCCAACACTTCTGCTTCGCCCTCTGTTTCTTCGACCTCTGTCTCGTCCCCTACACTCTCATCCGCATCGACTATGGGATCCCCTGCTTCAACTCATACTCTGGAAACCAGGAGCAACGGATCCTTGCCATCTTCACAACAGTCGAGCGCCACATCCGCAGTCACCACATCTGTGACGAAAATGGCCACTACGACGGTTATTGCTTCTTCAGGACGTTCCAAGGTCGCAGTGGGCAAGAAGGGATCAGCAACAGCTGTTCAGGCAACAAAGACACAGGGAAGGTTGATGATTCTGCTGCAGCATTATGTTGACCAAATCAAGGCCATGTCGAGTCAGATGGGAGCGAACCAGTTGATGGTGATCGTGGGATTGGTGGTATTTATGGGAGTTTTGTCGCGCAACCGGACCAAGGCATCGAAATATCTAAAGGCGGCAGCCAACAAAGTGATGCAGACTGTCAAGATGGGCACCACTGTCACCAGTATCTGAGAGCACTTTTTTTGTTATTGGGCATATGCGAACCGATGCACATGGGATTTAGAAGAACACTTGCAACCCAAAAAGAATAAAATAACAAGGATGGCATGAACTCGCGCGTTATGAACACTTAGCATGCATTTCGTCGTTCCTTGATTCTGTTATGCTCTGAATAAGTTACCAGTGGGTTCACGCCGTTCCTTTTAGCAGCCCAGTCCAGCACAACCCGGAACCTGTTCTTTGATCTAATTGAGCTGGCGTTCCTGTGACTGGGGCACCCAAGTGGGGTGATGTTTTTTTGTCTGATCAAAAAAATCCAATCAGTCTCAGTTGGTGATCGATCAGCAGCGAAGTGTGAGTTGCGGGTGATAGAGTGGCCTGTTTGCCTGTCTGCGGAGAAGAGGAAGGTTCATTTTCGACGAATGCTCTCATTCGCATTATCTTTTTTTATGAACGCAGCCGACCCCCATCCTCTTTTCTTTTTCTCCCCTCTTCTTCGTCTTCTTACTTGGCAACCCTTTTCATTTCTCTTCCTTGCTTCCTTCTTTCTCCTCACCTTCCTCTACCTCTCCCGACAACCCCGCTCCTTAAAGCCTTGTTGTTTGCTAGTCGCAGAAACACCCCCTTGCTCCTTGCTCATTACTCCACATCCGTCCTCCCTGAACCACATACACACGCACACACGCACACACCAGGACAACTACCACGCGCGCCCCAGGTACAACTTTACCGTCTGGAGCCACCCAGCAAGCCTTCAAAAGACAAATATCCGCGCAGCCCTGCTGGGTACCCTTTGTTCTCTTCATTGTCCGCCATTCCTTCCTTCACTCCTGATTCTACCTCCATCCAAACCAGACCCCAGTTGGTTCCCCTTTTTTCTTTTCGAATCCATTTTCTGAATCACGCCACTCTGTCATTCCAGTCTCTACTCATCCTTTCTTTCTCCCTCTAACTGTAAAACGCACTTCCTCCTACTTCTCCACAATGAAAAACTCGCCACACTTGACACAAACGCACCAGGCGAACTAACCGCCTCCTTTATTTCTTCTTTCGCCTCTCCTTGCCCTTTATCCTCCCTTTTTTGATTGATTCCCAACAGCATCCTACCTTCACAAATCCCGCGCAACCAACATCTCTGTTTACCAATAGCAAGAAGAAAGAGAAAAAGATATAAGAATGGCGGAGGCCCCACAGTCGCCGCTGGCGATGCTCGTTCTCGTTACACCTTACACCGTCCTCTACATTGTCAACCAGCGTAAGTGTTCGTTTTTTTCACTGGCTGTAATAATCCCCATGCGGCGCACATACCCTCTTACCCCTCTTCCGACTTTCTCCCCACAGACAGCAACAGGTGATGTGTGTGATCATAAAATGATATGAAAACTGACACTCCCGCTTTTTTTTTGTTATGTCATCGTGCACTCCGCCCACCTTTTGCCCCGTCCTTCCCTCGACCACTAGTCTTTTTACAAGGGATACTAGACAAGATCCATTATCTGTTCTTTGAACTCATTTTTGTGCTCGCCTTCCGCAAGGTCTTTGGACTCCCCGATCTTACCGAACGGTTCTTCCCTTCTCAGCAACGAGGCATTCAATCTGCAGAAGGAAAGAAGCCTCTCAAGACCAACCTCGCCAACTACCCTACCCTCAACAGCAGCAGCCTCCCTCTTACGGCTACGACGACGACGTCGACCTCGTGTACTACATTGGCAGGAACACCGCTTGGAATTACAACAGAAGCAGTAGATATGACCAGGACCAGGACGACGACAGTCAAGACAACCTCCTTCCAGGATGGATTCAAGACACCCTACGAGGCCGATATCATTACCCCAAAGACCCAATCCCCAGTCTCGCCCAAGCCCTCCACCCTCGCCAAACCTTCTGTCAAAACAACACTGTACGCACAAGAACTAGGCGCCATGGAAAAACAGCTGTTGGATTATATCAACAGCACCGAGATCTGGGAGAAAGTCTACACGGACCCAGCTTCGTCCGAGATGGCGATCGAAGTGTTTCAGTACAAGGCCCGCCCGATGTGCTACAAGATCATTGCCCAGATGTGCAACACCCCTGCGGTCACGTTTGATACCCTCTGCGATCTGGAAAACCGTCTGTCTTGGGACCCAATGTGTGTCGAGGCCAAGGTTTTGGAGGAGGTTGCTCCGGGGACGACTGTGCAGTATATCAGGACCAAGGCTGTCTGGCCGACCGCGTCGAGAGACACTGTCGTTTTGGGAACGGTCAAGGATCTGGGCGAGCAGGGGTTGTTTATGGTGAATGCCAGTATCGAGTATGTGAACATGCCTGAGAGGGTGAAGGAGAAGATTGTCAGGATGCAGACGGCAGTTGCGGGACATATGATCACCCCCTTGGAGGGGAACCGGAGTAGGCTGACACAGATTGTTGATGCGGATATGAAGGGCTGGATTCCTGACAAAGTTATTCAGATGGGTACGTTCTTGTCTGTATCTTCATCGTTTATGAATGCGTTTTGGTTCACAAGAATGCCTTTTAGTTCGCGGCGCAATATTTATTAATACTTTTAATACCACAATTGCCCTGAAAATAATAGTGTCGACGAAGGCGGTGCCGGATGGTTTGAGAGCGGTGAACAAACTGCTACCCAAGATTGACCCCTACCAAGAGTCCAAGGTGCTCGTCAAGGCAGCCAAGGCCCAGCAGGAAATCGACGCTACTTTAATCGCACCCCGCCTCAACAACAATAACTCTGACGAATCCATGCTCAAGGGACACCTGAACGATTTGGACCAGGATCCTGTGGAGAAGGCTGTCGAAGATCTGTCGACTCTGGATGGCGATGATAACGTGGTTGTTGACCCTAACGGCGATGATGGAGTGGCCAACGAGACGAGGGATCGATCGGGTACACATGAGTTGAGGCGTCAGAGAAGCGAGGGTGACATTTCTTTGTCGACCCTTGCGGAGCGCTTGCGAGCCGTCGAGGCCGAGATTGGACTCGACCGCCGTGGTGTGCGGTCCTGTCGCCAGCAACAACAGCAGGACGCCTCTCTTCCAGACAACAAGGCCAGTAACGCCCAAAAGGGAACCAGCAACTCTGGAGCGGGAGCGTTGGAAAAGTTCAAGTCTGGAAGCACGTTCCGTGTCTTCTGGGAGGGGATCAAGGAGAACTTGGGGTTCGGGACCAAGGGCAAAGGGAGCAAGATCATGGTCGCTGTCCTTATGATTGCGATCCTTGGGTCTAGCCTTGCCAAGTTCAAGCGACGATGAGATGGGGGATGACTTGATTGCAACAAATTCAAGCCCCCTATACCCGCAACACAGCAACCTACCAAGCAACATCAACTGTATACTATAATATCATAACAAACAATAATAATCGCTACACTTAATCACTATGGGTTCCTCTCGGGATCCCGCATTTTTTACGGTGTCCTCTTGCAAGACCATCTTCGACTCAAATACCAGTCATGGGCGAATAACCCCTTCATCCTTAATATGCTTATTCAATTCCGACTACGGCACCTCCGAGACAACACGGACCTAGTTTTTGTGAAACTGTACATGCCTCGATAGGTTCAGACAGGACATGATAGGGATATGTTTTCTGGGAACACGAATAATGGACGTGAAAGTGTCTGACTGACCAGGAGCTGCTTTTCCAATCAATTGATCAGATATAGGAACGATCAGATTGACAAAGCCACAGGACCTTAGTTATTCTGAGCAAGGTATAAAAGGACACACTTCCAGACAAAACATTATACCTTTACCTCTCATTCACGCAGCTATACTTCTTCTCACACCTAGGAAAAAAAAAGTCGGCGAACAAAGTGTGAGAACGGAAAGAGAGAGTAACCTGTACTCAAATATAACCCCTATTGACGTCGCAGCGGGAAGAGAACGTTTTCCAAGTTGAATGCATGCCCCTATTTTTTTGGCCTCTGACTTCAATTGATGCTCAGAGTGAGTTTCAATGCGCAATAGGAAAAAATGTCCGCTCTCACGGTCGAAAATGCTATATGCGAGGCGATGAATATTAACAATGGCTGGATGGATGGGTGGATGGGTTGATGGGTGGCGACCCCATCCATATATTCGATCCCTGGTTCATGGTGAACTCCCACTATGCAAAGAAAGAGCAAAAAATGTTTTCGGAGGTAGTGTTCTCTATCTCAAAGCAACCACGGGATCTAACAACATCCCTTTTACTTTGAAAGATGGGACCCATTGCTTTCTCTCTGCTTTTTGCCAGTACTTACTATTAGTGCTCACCACATATCGCACCTTTTGATTTCTCAACTAAACGTGGAGAGTTGGGATTCTCTTCAGTTCTGTATTGAACAAAGAGAAGGAAGAACTAAACGACCATCCAATTCATAAATCAACGCACACACCCACCCACTCTTCCTGACCCAAACGCATTTACCGCAGAGAAACGCCGATTATCTGAGTTGCGTAATGCATGCTGTGCAGAAAAAAAGGAAGCGAAGTGAACCAACCAAAGAGGGGACAGGCAATGGCCCATGCTTTTTTTCTCATCTCATGCCTTGCTTTCCCATGTATCCATCCTCCCTCCCACGACCGACTCTTTTGCATGCAACTCCATTGTTCGTGTCTACGTGCAAGTGTGTGGTTTGCAATACCAGTGGGGTGATGCGCGCATGATAATAGAAAAACGACTCTCGGTTGTTTTTCTTTGTTTTGGTGGCCGACCAACCAGCGCGATGGAGTAAAACAACGCGCTTACAGAAGGGGTGTGGGAAGGAGAGATATCTCTCTCCCTGATATACATATGAATGGTTGCATTGTGCTATGTCTGCTCTTACAATGAAGGTGGAAAAGAAAGGAGAAAAAGGCATGAGTACTAAGGACGGTGCGGGTATATAACCCATGCTAGTATTATATTGTTTCTCGCTTCTCTCTTATCCTTCTCCACTTGCTACCGGCAGCAACAACACCTCATCCCACCCAAACTTAGGTAAACAAAGTCGCTTCTTCCAAATATTTTCCAGCGCTCAACCGCCACTTGGCCTTCCATACCATGCCCACCAAGCATCAACACTCCTCTAACTGTCCAAGCAAACCTTTCCTTTTACACATAGAACTACTACCATGGTCAAGGCTCTTTCCTTTGTTATTCTCGGTCTCGTCGCAATCGTCGGATCCGCCGCTCCTTCGCGCTCGACACGCCAGTCCCTCGACCAGTGAATCTTCTCGCGTTCTCAGTCTTTGTCTAGCTACGAAAACGTCCTTGGCCACCCCAACATCCGCGGCGATGGTAACCGTGTCCACCGTCGTCCCTCTGGTCCTGCTGGCAGTGATAACAAGGAGACTCTCGCAATCGTCTACTTGCCTCACAACAAGCGTCGCACTAGGCCCGATCTGGATGCAATCATGCAGGCGCTCATTGACAAGAAGTTGACCTTTGACTATGACGCCAAGGCTTACCACGCCAATCTCGTTGAGTCGATCTGCAACGACCCTTCATCGTATTATCAAATCACTGACTGCAAGATCACCATTCTCTCCGAGCCCAAAATCCAAGTCATCCCAACCCAACGACTTTCTGATGACATTGTCTGCAAGATTTCCTCTTGCAAGGTCGCGTACGACGACGTAGTCAGCGTCTGGACCACCCACAGCGACGAGACCACTCTTCCTATCAGAGCCGGTGGCGAGCCCTTCCAAGTCTCAGTCGATCTCCATAGATCACTAGGATATGGCTTCAGCAACCTCGTCCAAGCCCTGGCCCCGATCTACTATCAACTCGATCTTGTTGAAGGCGACGAGGGCTACATCGCCATGGTCAGTGCCGAGATTAGCGCCAAGATCCGTGTCACCGGATGCAAGCGCTACCGTGATGATGTCCGACGCGGTTCATCCAACTCTGGGTGCTCCACATTCATCGATCAGACCGGCCACAACGAGGTAGTGATCACTCAGAATGGTTACGATCCCAAGGCTATTATTGCCTTCATCTCTGCTTGATTGAGCATCCACCCTCCTCAATCTTCTCACTTTATTCTTTTATCTCACTTTGTTTTTACAAATGAGTTCTTGTCATATCATTTCCATGTAAATAAACAAAAGATAACCATTCCTGATTGACTTTCCTCTGCTTTTATTGAATAACGACCTGGATGTGAACAAAAAAAAAATGAGTTGCGTTTAGCACCCAACAAGCCAATATTTTTTGAGGCTTTCCCACAGAAGAAATTGTTTTCTAAAAAGTATCATTGGACTCTTCTTGCCCTTGCAACTCTCGCATCGCGCGCCTTCAAATCCTCCACCAGGCGCCAAGCAACCCAGAGACGGTACACAAAAAATGCATTGAAAGCAATCATCTTGCAAGCACGGAGAAAGGTCACCTCTTCTATCGATTGCTGCCCTGTATTGCTGTCCTTGTAAGGAAAGGGTGCGACTGTAAAGTCCTCGTTCCAGTGCTCCATGCTTGATTTTGAAACGGTGTGGAAGGTGGTGGCGCAGATGGAGTAGAAGAGCCATTGGGTGTGAATGAGGGTCTTGGAGTAGATGACGTACAGCCCTGCAATCCCTTGCATCAAATAAAAAGCCCATTCTGCGTGATGTACTCCGCCTACATTTGGGAGACAATGTCAAAAACAAAAGAAGAGGGACGCCATGTGGTCAGTTGAAAAGGGTGTGGTGTCTGTTTCTGGAAGCTCCAAAATGCGACCATTCTGTTTCTTCTGTTTTGTTTGAGAGCAGAGAATGCCCAGCAGCTCAGAATTTTTCACTTTCAAGGCTTGTTTTCCTTGCCACGTACCAGAAAGGTGAGAAATCTGGCTCATGCCATTGATCGTCCTCACCAGCAGCCAGACGCCTACAAAGAGACGAGGCCACGTTGGCACCCTCAGTCTCAATCGGCGAATTTCGGCCTCGGTCTTGAACCCATCCACCATCGATGCCGACGTGATGGGCGCAGGGAGGTCGCTGTTGGCAGATAAGAGGTGGTTTCCTTGTTGTTCCCATCGAACCTCCTGCTCATGATCCAATTGCCGCCTCTGAATCAAGATGGTCCACAATGCAAATCCTAATACCATATTAAGCGCAGAGGGTATCCAGGGTTCGACCCCCTTCCACACGGTCGCAACAAGGGCCGGTATAGTTATCGACTGAGGTGTTGCTGTCATTGTTGGCTGCTGCGGAAACATCTCCAACGTGTGGTTCTGCTGAAGGGCAGTGGCGTTGTTGACACGCTCCATGAGCGAGGGGACAAAGTAAGAATAGGAATAGACATAGACCATAAAAACTCCACTGAAGAGTGCGCTCACAAGCCAGATATTGAATGCCAACTGGGCTAGTCCTGTTGATGGCTTGAAAGCGACGTGAACTCGCTGAAGCCCAATCGCGACTCCATGGACCATGTAAAAGTATATGAGGTAATAAGAGCGGAGGGAAACATTGGCAAGCGATTCTAAGAAACCGAAAAGGACAAAAAAGTAAAGAGTTGATGAGTATTGAGGAGGGGGTGGGGGTTAGTGAGATTGGCCGTAAGTTCGAGTTGGATACCACTTCTACGACAGGACTGGTTGAGGGTTGTTACCTGAGGGGATGTTTAAAGGACGAAAGAGCCTTTGGACAGAGTAGAAGGGTGAGTAGACAGAGAGAATGATAACAACGACTCGAGGCCAGTAATGCCAAAGTCGAGGCAGCAGGTCTGCTGTTCTTTGAGACATTGAAAGTACAGTGGTGTTTTGGAGTAAATATCTGTGAATGTGTGCAAGTGGTGGGGGCAGTAGGTGAGAATGGCGAGAAGAATGAGACTGGGGTATATAAACAAAAAAAGGCAAAGCAGACGGAAGACTGTGCAATTCCGCTGCAGGCGCCAATGCTCTCATTTGTGGGACGCTTCTCACCGACATTTTGCCACCAAAAGAAACAAAATTCCAAGCCACCCCCTGGTATTCTTCTTTGGGCGAACTGAGGAATGGAGCATACAATAGAGTGTAAAGGAACGCACGTTCAGGCACAGCTCCGTCCTTCACTGCAGATCGACTATAGTCCTACTACCACTATTCTCTTCCTCTTTTCTCCGCGTTCACACGGCCGACCATTCCATTTCGTTGTTGGCGGTCAGCTCATTTCTCTTGCTCTTTTGTCACCATTTTCGATGTTTGATTGAGCTGACCATTAGCAGACCCCTTCTCTCTTTTCTTTGCACTTCATTTTTTTCCTTCCCTTTGTTCATCTTCAACTTCCCTCTCTTCCTTCCCGTGCATTTTTCTCGTACGTTAGCAATGTTCGTGACTAATTTCTTTTGACCGAGTTAACCGATTAACCGATTAACTGAATAACTGATGGGCCGAAATACTGACTGATCAAGTACATCATTGTCCCGAACAAAAAGGTCCAGGCGCGTCTACGATGTGTCTTAAATGAGCAGCGCGCCAATGCGTTCTTTTCCCGTCTCCCTTGCAGCTCCCCTCTTATCCCCACACATCCCCCGCCCTCAACACGCAACAACGTCCACAAGTATGGAACCGCCAAACCATACAAACAAGCGACCATCATCTGATGGAGTGTCCTCACCGAAGCGCCAGTAGCAAGGAGCATCCTCCTTTGCCAGACCAATGACCTCCTTCCCTTCCTCCTCGTCATCTGCATGCTCAATTGGCGCGTCTCTCATGCCTATATTAGCATCAACGACCTCCTCCTCATCGTCATTTGCGATTGGAGCATCCAACTCACCTCCTGGACCTTCGACTCCAACTTCATTCGACATCAGATGCTCGTCATTGACTGTGGCAGCAATTACAACTCACAGCAACAAATACAGTTACCAATCAGGCCCTCAATAAACTCCACGACAGTCGGATTTGATCCCCATTCTCGGCTCATCCCTTAAAGGAAAAGTGAAGGTGATGATCATTGGGATAACGACGATGCAGATGAAACTTCTACAGGCTGATGATGGCGACCAACATCCTCTGAGCGGGTCCTTAGCTCATTCCCTTGAAACCTAATTGAGTCCTACGAGCCGACCTATCAACCAGCCTTACCTTTATATTTAACAAACGCCCCTAGTAGTTAGTAGTGATCGCTAAAGCCATCATAGTATATAACAATCTCCCGCTCGCTTTTCAACGCCATAGCCCTCAGAAGTCCAGCTATGCAGTACAAATGACGTTTTTACACCTTTAGTGTTATAGTCTCCCTTACCCTTTGCACTATTTCGCTGTCTTCCACGAATTCAATTAACTGTCAGCCAATTCATGCCTGCTCTGAACCTTGCATACTTGGCCGCGGAGTAACCGGTTGCGACTTATGACTTTGTCCTCCTTGTAACGAAATACTCTGCGAGGGGTGGTGTTACGCAACTTCCGCGCAAAATACTTGCCCAGGATGTAGTAGAGGCTGTCCTGGACTTTAAGTTCAACGTCACCAGTTAGTACACATTCACACAACGCTTACTGAAGCAAGGATTGAAAGAGGCGACATCGAAGGATAAAAGAAGCGTCGCCACTGTGAACGCCTGGCAGCCGGAAGTCAGCTTTCCCAGCATGGCAATGCAAACGTCTCGTGTCACCGTACCCTCAATTTTTCCTCAGTTCCCTTGAAGTTTTCTTCGTGCAACAACATCAGCTGAGCTCTCACTATTCCTCGGATGTTCTATCCGAATAGAAGTAGACGAACAAAGAAAAAACGCGAAGGAACGGCTTCTTACCTATTTAAACGCACACATTCACTCTCGAACCCACGTTCACTTCACTCCCTTAGCCTTCTCTGAATTTCATAAACCCTCCATCCCAACCTCCTTTCCTCTATTTCTCATATACATTAATTCAAAATCTACCTCAGCTCAGTCCATAATTATGGAGACTATCACCATGGAGGAGAAGATCATGGTCAAGACCTTTTCAATCTTATCTCTCTTTCAAGGACTCTTCTCTTTTGCCAACCTACTCATTCTTTGCACCATTCTTAGCACTATTCTATCCTTCGCTCTCAAATGGCTATTCGATATAGAGTTCTCTATCCTCTTTCTGTTTGGAATCTTTCTAGTTCTACATGTTGTGTTCGTGCACTTCACATATCCCTTCCTGCGTCCCGAGGGTTACCTGTCTGTCCTTGCCATTTACTTCGCAAGTTCACCCAACTATCTGGAGCTCATCAACTTTGGGTCCCTGTATGCAGCCCGAGGTGAAGCGAATAAGTGTCTCGATCTCCTCCGCCAAGAGACGTTAAATGATCCTGCGAAGAAGAACTACTCTTGCACGCTTGGATCTTGCACCGCCATACTCAAGTTCGGGCCAAACATGGATAGCGCCAATAATTCCGCTGTACAAGAATGGATCGACCTATTGGCGAATAATATTGCCCTACCAGGCTTTATCGGAACTGCACGCCAGTCAGTGACAAGTAACGGAGAGTTTGACGCATATGCCAGCCTACACTGCAGAAATAGCTGGGGTGGAATAGCACAGTGGATCGCAAAACGACATTTAAGCAATAGTACACAAGAAGAATTAGCCCCCTCTGACACAACTCCCCTTCTCCGTTGACACGATCATAAATTTTGACAAGAAAATAGCGACCTTTACTGCTTAATAAAAGATAACTCAAGGAATAGTAATGACGGACCTCGTTTACTTCTGAGTCCTTTGTTCGCAGTGCCTCAACTCCTTGACCCATCCGCTTTACGCCTTTGTGCGGTCTATTTTCATAGGGCGCATTTGCAAGACTAAATGTATCCACATATCATGCTTTACTCCCAATCTGGAAACGAAGGATCAAAAAGCAACGTCGCTATGAACGCTTGGCTACCACAAGCCAGTTATCCCTCTTTGTTTTTAGCCTGTCCTTGATTTGTGATTGCCCTTGATTTAAGCCTTACTCATGATTAACTTTTCTTTCGTCTCTTTGGTGCAAGGTTGGTGGCAGCGTACACTTGGACTGGCGGGTAGCGTATCATATTTTTTCATCATCTTCAACCTTCTTATAATTTTCCCTCTGTCTCCATTTCTATTACACCAACTGACACGAAAATTATATCCCTCATCATCAGTCTTGTTGCAACTGCATGCATCGCAGTTCAAAGTAAGAACCAAGATAAACCGTGCTCTGGTATAGGAGCAAGAGTGTTCGATGATAGATGAAATTGCGTGCATGCGATTGATTTTTTTCTTTTAAAAACCCTTTCTTGCTTGTAATAATAGTCTATCACAACCATAAACTATGAATCTACTTGTGAATTAACAACAGTGCCACTCGAAAAGCTTGGATCACAGGCAACGGCAACTTGCAACTGTGATGAAGCCAAAAGGGTACCTTGGGTCAACTGGCACTTCTCCAGGGGTCAACAGATTTCATAGCCGCTACTGTTCCTATAGTCGCACCCATTAGCTGAAAGGTATAATGGCCCAACTGAAGAATTCGGTCGCTTCCCATATTGAGGTTCCAAACGGATCCTCCTATGCCACGGTCAACCTCGCTTTCAAAGCTGCCGTCGCCACTCTAACATCCTTTGCGTAACCAAGCTCACCTCATGCACCAATATTCGCGTTATGCGTCGAGCTCCTGAAGGATACCCAGTCATATGCGTTAGATGTCGACAGGTGCTCGTCAGCCGCCATGAACACATGATAATATTAATGTTGAGAATGTCATTCAGCCTACCACTTTCTGTGGGTACAAGAGCACCTCTCACGAGCTACGATCAGTAGTCTGGACAACTCTCAATCTTCATTCAATTCGCGCAGACAATTAAATCTGAGCATCTTTACCGCCCAACTCTACAAAGTAAATTATCGTTCCTTTAAGCAACGCCTATGTAACAAGACAACGATCCCAACCGACTGATTGACTCAGGAAGGATCCATCAAGAACATTCTGATCAGCTCCCTGAACCCTTCTAGAATAACCATGTAATGCAAAATCGGTGTTTTTGACATTATCAGAGGACAAGAGAGGAAGAGGCAAGGGGAAACAATAAGGAATGGGGGACGAGGGCCAAGGAAAAAATAAGTAAGAACGGTGAAGTTTTTTTTTTTTGATGTGTGTTTTTGTGCAGCAGAGGTTTGTCTTCTCCCTCATATGATATCATCATACAGCACATCGCCACACCACCAGCACACAACACCATCAAATCGCTATTCTGGACTCTGCGAACCCCACAGAGCTCATGTCGTTACGTTTGCTGCTGACGGCACTGATAGATAAATCTGGTGGCATGTTAGAACCCATTGTTCAAGTTTTGTAGCCACAAATTGCGACAGCCAACAGTGACAGGCGGGTTGACAGGTGTTTACGATTTGCGCAGCGAGTGAGGCGTCTGGACAGACAAACAAACCAAAACCTTATTTCTTTCCCTCTTCATGGGGTTGGATCTGCTTGGACCCCATGGAGTAAAAGCTTAGTGTAGTGTAATGACGTCATGGCCATCTTGAGGGAAAGAAGCCGGGGAGAACGTATAAATACCAGGATAGGCGCACACACTAAACCTTCAAAACAACAGACAACTCACCCATTCCACAACAACCATGCTTCAAACTCCAGTTGCTTCCACCAACCTCAGCTCTGGGGAGCTCTCTGCCCTCGCCGCATGCATCGACAGCAAGTTTGTCTTTTCCTACTTTTCGGTATACATTGACCTCAACTGGAAACATAGAAGGCCCTGCTTCGCTCCCTCTTTCGTTTTCTTACATATGCGTATATATATCTTCTTGCTTGATTTCCCTTTCGCCGACTAGGTTCATGGTCAAGCCCTGACCACCCGTGCCCTGCTGTGCGTAGCCGGCGCCGATTGGGAGGACAACATGATCCCGCTCGAGACATGGTCCACGGAGCACAAAGCCAAGTTTCCCTACGGCACCATCCCTGTCCTGCACGAACAGTTTCCCAATGGCCAAGTCCTCGAGATTTGCGAAATCGCCGCCATCGAAAAGTACATTGCCCAAAAGTTCCACATGGTTCCTGATAGTCTCTGGGACCAAGTCCGGCACAACGAGGCGCTTTCCTTGTCCGAGTCATTGTTCAAGTTGTGGATCTTTCGTGCCTCCCCCCATATGGATCATAATGCTCATGTGGGGATTCTCATGCTGCTCAAGACCCACACGCTGCCCGACTATATCCATGTCATGGAGAAGCTGTTGATCAAGAATGGCGACAATGGACATCTTGTGGGCGACAAGTTTACCCATGCAGATGTCTTTACGAGTGTTGTGCTCGACTACATGATCAGCATGAGGCCCTTGAAGGACGTGTTGAACAAAGAGTCGGCCCCCAGGTTATTCAAGTTGAAGAGCTTGGTTGATGCCCATCTCAAGTATGCAGCCTATCGCAAGAGCGAGGCTTACGCTGTCGCGTCCGAGGGAATGAACAAGAGGTTTTCGCAAGGCGTGTTCGACATCGATTTTTCCAGAACCTTCAACCTTGCTTTAGAATAAAAAAGACGTGGAAAAATGCGCCATCCCATGTTTTTGTCAGCAACAGAAAACAGAGTGAAGGATGTCTTGTTGACTTGTTGACTTGCATTCCTGCTCGTCCTGGCTCTGAACCACAATCGCAGCCGCATTGGTTCCCCTTGACGACCTGTCCTTGGCGTTGGTCTTGGCTTTGCGCTTGTCCTTGTCACGGCGAACGCCAGCCTGCAGGGTGCTCCCAACACAGATGACTTGTGGGGACGGGTGTTGGTGGTAGCGATATTGGAGGTTCCAGCAGCGGAAGTACTTATAGCGGCTCGAACATGATTCTCAGTTTCTTGTTTCCTGCCATCAACGTCATCTCAGCCTCATCACCCTTGTCCCTTGTAGTTCAGATACAACTATTCAAAGTAAAAAAGCCACTTGTGAGGGTTTTGCATAAAAAGACGCCAACGTTACTCACAACTATATTTCAACCTGCCCTGACAGCCTTCATGATCTTGACATCATCAATGTCGATCTCTGGCAATTCTGGCTTTAGTCCGAGGGCGTGTTACTGTGAGATGAACTCGAACATGCGTTTCGTCGCCAGGGTTGGGGCAAAACCGCCATTGACGGCGATGAGATCGGTAATATCCGTTTTAGTGATGTCACGAGCGACAAGCGCGTTGATGCAAGCTCGTCTGTAGTTCGTGAAGAGGCATGCCAAGCATGCACCATCGACCTTCCAGCAGCACAGATGTTGATTGGACTCTTCAACGCTGCGTAGTAGCTCCTCACAATCACAATCCAACAGCAGCTCTAGCTCTGAAGAATCCACGAACTCTTCAAGTGAGGTCGATGGTGCTGATGCCCGAGGATGATAATACTGGATATGCAAATGTTGCCGCAGATGATGATGTGGCAGACGACATCTCTAGAGTCGAGCTTCCTGGCCCGTTGGCTGTTGAGTTATGTGGCGGCGAGGCTTGAGGAGTTGTTGATAAGTCATCATAAGGCGGGCACACTTCAAGGTCCGAGAGATGAGTTCCCAGATTTGCCTTCACTGTCGGCGCACATGCTGAGGATGAAGCCTCGGATACCTTGTTCTCCCGAAACAATTCCTTGGCTACATGCTCACCCTCAGCGGCAAGCTCACCAGCGGCCCGTGTTGTTGATAACTTTGCGGCTTGAGACACCCAAAACCTGGAGCCCTCGTTGCGTTTCCAGATTTCATATATGCTCAGTAGAGTTGCACTTGTTGTATGTGAAACGAAGACTTTTGACATGAGGGTTGTGAAAGCGTCATGGGTATCCATTTCGCAAAATCGGGAATGACAATAGCTTCCTTCTCGGCGGTTTTATTCTTTAGTCATTGCGATTTCGGGTGATTGGCGTTTCCTGAAATCATTGCTAGCGGTTCGACGTTGATGAACAAACAAGAACAGGTCATTTAATGCATTTCTGGTAATAGATGGGTATCCCGCAAAAAACAAACAAACAAACAAAAAAAACAAAAAGGCAGATGACCACTCCACCACACTCCACTTATCGACTATCCTCCTGCCGCGAAATAAACAGGAGCGGGCTAAGAAAGCACCAGTGTATGATGGACAGATGTCATAGTCTTGGCCTGCATTTATCATTCAAACATTGAACGGACTTTGTGTATACATATGTAAAAACGATAACGGGTGTGCAAAAGGCGTGGCAAGGATGAGGAAAGTAGCAGAGAAGAGAAACAAGGGAAGCGAGAAGGGGGGGGGGAAGGACAACAATGAGTCTGTCACGAAAACAGCGCTGGGTGTAGTAATGAAAGTGTGCGAGGTAATGAAATAGGCGTAGGAGCGGGGATGGGGTTGCTGTGCAAGTGATAAACGGGCTAAAGAGTGACTAGCAAGTACAACAGTATCATACGTCTATGGTGCTAAACCTCTTGCTGCATAGTGTGTGCTCGTACACGACATCCGTCCTTATTTTGTATGGTCTCCCACCATCCGCAGTGAAATTTGCAGTCTCTCCGGGAGCTCAAATGGCTTTTCCTTCGGGACCAATCCGAGCTGGATGAGCTCCTCATCGGTGACGTCGGGCTTGTCGTCCAAGACCTGCTTTAACCTCCTCGCCTTGTCCGTTACATCCTCGATTTTGACAATCATGTGCTCTACCCAGTCCGAACTGATAGCTCTGGGGATGCCGATCTGAATGCTCCGATACTCCAACTTGTGTAAACGGATCGTGCGTTCAGGATCCCATTGAACCTTCACATCGGATGACTTCTCGGCGCCTGCTACATTATGATGAACTCGCCTACTGGTGTTATCAGAGGTTCCGTCTGACAGTGCTGGTGAATTTTCGCCTTCCATATTTGCCATTGTTCCCCCTCTATCGTGGGTGGTAAGAACTGCACGTTCGAGGAGATTGATGAAGGTGTCGTGTTTCATCTTCAGAGCCAAGATTCGTTCCTGCCCAGGGTCTTTGTAGGAATATCCTGCCCGGTAAAGCATCCATGCCCAACTGGGTTTGATCCAGGTCATTCGTGTAGTGAGGAAATCTGGTGACGCATTGAGCTTTTGCTCGGCGACGGCCGCGCTGGCGATGGCGTGTTTATATGCCTGGTAGACGGTGATGGTCTCGTCGTCGTAGTCGGCCCGTACTTGTCTGAAAGGCGTCGCCATGGATGTGGGTAGAAGGTGTCTGTCATGGAGATGCTCATCTCCATTCAATACCACATCTCGAATCTTGTCTGTAACGTCACCAAACACGTGATTTGAATTTATTCGGTTCTGTGACCTGCTCGACATCGCGAACTAATTAAGACCTCCAGCATCCGCACATGGGAACATGGGCGAAGTCCTTCTTTACTTCTTTACTTTCAGAACAATCCTTCAGAACACTCCTTCAGAACAATCCTTCAGAACAATCCTTCAGAACAATCTTTCAGAACATCCTTTGACTCTTTCCAAATAGTATCGATGTTATCGTGGAGGATTCCGTCGCTGTAGGTTCGCTCAGTGCTGTATCCTACTTTGAGCAAATAGTTGACGTAGGCTTGGTGCTTTGTGTTGTCTCCAATCCGCAAGGTTTTTGTTAGCTTGAATATTGTGATGTGGCGCCAGGTATCTGTCGCGTTTTCATTGATGAGTTGGTGATATCTTGTTGTGTGCCATGTTGAACGATGGTAGAGTTTGTCGAACGGGTAGGGGTTCACTCTCTCCATGCCGATTGGGGAGGAGTTGTGACAATGCTGTTTGGCGTGGCCGCCCGACCTAACTCGAGTTGGTGGCCGGGACATCTGCGCTGAAGCTACCTTTGTTCCTCCTCACCACAGGATTAAGACTAAGTGGTGTTGGGAAAGAAATAACTTTGTTGACAGCTTTCCTATTTCGCATTATTGTCTTTTACTCCGCAATTTTGTTTAGCTACAATGGATACATTCATTGCATGGGCAAAGGAGGACAGGAAGACCGTGGAGGGTCAATGGTTTGAACATATCAGTTTCCCGTCGTTCGTCAAGAACTTTGCGCTTACGGACCAGAGCGGTTTACTCGCCGACTATGCAGAATTACCGACATCCAGTGCAAGACGTCGCCAAGCGCTCTAGGGCGCACACAACGTCTTCACGCAGAACCGCTAGCCTGATTTCTGGACGTCATGGACGCAACAGCTGTCAGTCGACGAAGCCCAACAGGAGCTTCACGCATGTAGCTTATCAACAGCGAAGAATACGGCAGTACTTGCACAAGAAGCATCACTCCGCGAGTCAGCGAAGAGCTTTAGGGCGTTGGCGAAAAACTGTGATTCGTGACTTAATTATTACAACATTGATTTTATCTAGCAGCTACTGATGGTAAGCAGTATGACGTCGATACAGAAACATACGGTAAATGCGGACGCAGTATTTCTGGATATCGAGTCAGCGCATATAGCAAAACGTTGCTTGGTGCTCGCGAAGCGCTAGCGGCCACTTTTTATCTGCATTCTTCGACAGAACCGCGTATTGTACTGTCGCCTTTGTCGAAAACTCACCCGTTCCACCCGTTGATATCATATATGTTCAAGACAGTATGTGAAATGCATTTTTTCTTCGTTTCGTCCGTTGATCACGACGTTGTGAGTTACCATGCTAAAGCCTTCGTTCATCTCTCTTATTGTAGGCTCAAGGTCAGCGTGCGGGTGTTACTATCGTCGGTACACAATGGCCTCTCCGGTATACTGCGGGAAATGTACTCAGCGGCTCTCGAAGAGCTTGCCAGCCGGGCCCAGTTGTTACCAAGAAGGACGTTCTGTATGTCAAGTTATTATTTGGCGTTGAACGCAATGTCGCAGAGGGTAACCAAGTGGCCTCTCTCTAACCCGCATACACTTTCATTTCTTTCATTATCCTTAGCGTTTTGTTGTCTAGCATCATTAGCACTGTAGCATTATCTGGCAGGAGGTTCTCTATTTCCAAGGTGATTTCGCAAGGGTCCCGCCTTCCACCTTCACCTTTGGACACGAACTCGACAGATTATCAGAGCATCAAAGCCATGCTGGAGGCTACCTTCAACACCAGCAGCATGAACAACAGATGCAAACCCCAGCTGCAGTCACTCAAGAGGCGGGTATGCGGAGGTAGAGGAGGAAACTGCCAAGTACTCCATTATACAAATCGTCTCGCAATTGCTTTTGTGGATTGAACTGGGTCTGTTCACATCACCAACGTCTGAACATATTTTCGCGTCGAGCTGGTCCACCCTCTTCAACATCCTGCTCTTTGATACATCTCTCCGTGCTGCTCCGTAAGTATGCATGATTGCGGATATTTACTACGTTTATTGGGCTGTCATTGCGAATTCATGAGGGTTAGCTGATGATATTTAATTGCCGTGTACTATCGTTCTCACGTAGGGGCGAATTGGTCTCCAAAGCGAGTACTCAAGCACGGCAGAAGGCGGAGAGCAAAATATGGATCAACTTCGTCGACAGCATGCGGTCGAAAAGTCGATATGTCGATCCGGGTTCGCCTTGATGACAAGTGACGGCATGAAGTGGCAATCTTTGAATTCAAGGCAACAACGGCAACCAGGGCTGTATGCGAAAAGCAGCAAAAAAAAAATCTTTCCGGTTTGATGCCGCCATCCTGCATGATCTTGAAGCCAAAAGATTGGACATCAGCAAAAGCTATCCAATAATTACTGAGGGCCAGGCGCTCGGTCTCGACTTCTACGCCCTGCTACGGTATGATGAAGTATTGGTACAGGACGTTCCACCACGAAGGGCATCTCCCTCCCCTCCCATGTCAATCAGCTCAAGGCGCATTTCGAGTCCGAAACGATCTTTATCCTCCTAGCCTTCGAAGTAGGTGTTTTGACCTGAGATGGCTTCGAAGGTTAACTGCAAAATTCTAGAGATCTTTCATTTCCCATGTAGGAACACTTACGGCAGTAGCCTATGCGGCTACGGATGTCTTGGCAAACTCTGCGCCTACACCATTTGTATACGATCATGACTATGATGGTGAGTACGACGAAGAGTACGCAACAACACCGAACCCTCCGTCTCGACCCTCTACCCCACCGCCAAAGAAACGCCGTCCGTGTGCTTCCGTGCCTTTTCGCCGTCCAAGAAGAACAAGCTCGGGTCACGTGCCAAAGGACACTGGCAGCTGGGACGACAAGGACCATGAGGACTACTACGGAGGCACTGGCCCAAGCGACTGATGGCAACGCATAGGACTTTCCTTACATGAAAATAATAAAGCACCCGCCCTACACTCCTTTGGTCCGTCAATGAACGATTGGATGTATCACTTAAGTTAGGAGACAAAATGTATTTGACTAAGGAAGGTAGCAATGCTACAAACAGTATGTTTCCTATTGTCTGGAGAGCTAGAGTTTTCCACATGGCGATCGGTCTTGCAGTAAACTAATACTATTCACCAGGCTCACCTTCAGGCTGATTCAGAGGGACCTTGAATTTGTCTTTTTTTGACATGCCGTGAAGTTGAATCTCAATGTCACCCCTTGGTGTTGTCCCTTGACGGGCTTCCTTGAGGTTGTTGCATGGAGTTGTTCATATAAATTGACACTTGGTCTTGTCCCTTGATCTTCCCAGTCCTTTATCCTTTGTTTTGTCCCACTGTCATCCCAGTATTCCTTGATCTTTTCTATCCATTGGCATGTTCTCAAAAGTCTAATCACAACTGGCGCGTGAACAATCCAGTACTTGCTGAAATATATTTTAGCATGATGTCTCCTTGATTTGTACTATGCTTACTTCTCATACTAAGTGTTCATCACGTTTGGACCACAATATTATCAATCTACTAACGTCCCTTGTTTGCTCTACACTTAGCCTATTCCACAATGCGTGTCAAATACTTGCTTTTTCTCAGCAGACTTTTGAGTTTTGCGGCTGCTACTACGAGTGCTTCCGTATGCAGCGCGCATGGAGGGGTACAAGCTTGCTGCAATAGCGAGCTGCTCGGCTGCCTCGTCCAAGTTATAGGTTCGAATGCAATAATTCTGCCTATTACTGCGATAGCGGCGGATCCGCAGGTGACTTTATAAATGTCAACCCACTGAACTGCGCCAAAATATTGAACTAGTGGAAGGCACGAATCCTCATCCTAAACCAGGCCAAGAGAATGTCCGGAGACGCGGGGCTCATTTCTAGGTTCCGAACCATATTTTTGTTATTTTCCCGACACTGTTACGTGTTAGCCTCGGTCACCATTAATCACTAGCTAGAGAATGAAATCCCCTGTGTAACCTCGAGGACCTTTTGGGTAGATGCCGTCATCATGTTTGCCGAGTGCACTGAATAGAAAGACTCCTTTTGTCACGGATAAAGGCAATGGCCAGATAGGGCAAGAGTGTCGCTTTTGTAATTTAAATAAGTGAAAAAACAATACCAGTAGTGGTATCTTACTGGCACCGAAGATCCCACTTATTCAACACCCCATATGTCTTTTCACAATGTCAAACTAGAGTCAAGCTCAATAGGGTCTTACTTCTCCGCTAATTTTGCCAACCCGTTCCCTTGGCTGTGGTTTCGCTAGATAGTAGACAGGGGCAGTGGGGATATCGTTAATCCATTCATGCGCGTCATTAATTAGATGGCGAGGCATTTGGTTACCTTAAGAGAGTCATAACACTCTCGCTGTTTACCCCCGCTTGGCTGAATTGCTTTCCTTTGATGTTCAGAGCACTGGGCAGAAATCAAGTTGACAATTAACATTGCCACTGTATTTTTTGTAACCTTAAATTATTGGTGATCCCATGAGGCCTTGTGACTTTTCACGCTTTGTTGACATTTACACCCCAATACAACGATAAGGCGCTCACACTTTTCATTGGCTCGGGATTGTAAGCGAATGCCAGGCGGTGAGAAGTGCCAAGATATCGCGAGAAAAATACACACGACACTCTGAACCTTTGGACTGCAACACGTTTTCAATTGTGTTTTAATGTTCAGTTGCGACCCATTACCCTTCATTGCTCTCCAATCTTGGAATTCCATTGGCTTTATGTCATTAATGTACACCGTGGAACCGAAAGTAAAGCTAGCTAGCTACACACAACAGGCTGCAACCAGCAAGCGAGATTTCGGCTTAGACAACAGGCTTGTAGTCCCAATTGTGGTTGGTGATCACCATCACGAAGCACTGCTTAGCATAGGCGCGACACATCCATTTATATGTGCGTCGATTGTTCGTCAGTGTGATATGCAGAGAACAACGCTGAAGGACATATCCAAGTTACACACAAATCGGTCAGTCAAGCTCTGCATAGGCGAAACAGATCACACTGAAGTGGTGTGTGGTCAAATCGTTGTCTATGCGGCATATGAATTGATGGAGCACTCTCTCCTACCTGGTAATCCTCGTAAATTAAACTAAATCTCGAGGGAACAAAGAACATGTAGGGTAATTTAACCTTATCGCATGTTGTGTCCCGATACGCGACCATTAAAAAAAATGTACATCTACCTGAGGACAACTTTCCTAGGTTACCGATCCCGAAAGCTATCATGAGCTCACCGCATTTATGCATTACAACAAAAAACATACATTTAACGGGAACCATTTTTATTTGAGTTTCTATGTCAATATTTATGATTCCTTTTATTCAGTTTCGAATGGGAACCAGGGCTACCTCACATGTATATAAGTACTGGAGTTGTCCCCTGGCATTTTTTTCCTCACCAGTCAGTCTTTAGCTTCCACATCTACAGCACCCAGTCCAACCCTCCACCAAAAATCTATTATCCAGAACATATTTTTTTCAACATGAAGTTCCAATTCGTCACTCTCACTGCCGTCTTCGCCACCGTATGCGCCGCTCAAAAGCTCAACATCCCAACTCGATCTGGCAGCATCGTTTCCCTCCCCGCACCAAGCATTATCTCTGGAGTTAAGGACTTTGGCAACAAGGAGTTCGACCGTGGACACCCTTGCAACTCTGACAAAGACACTGGATCTGCCAACGCTGTCTTCATCCTTAAGAATGGTGCTACTTTGAGCAACGTCATTATCGGAGGAAACTCTCTTGAGGGAGTTCATTGCGAGGGTGCTTGCACTCTTAAGAACGTCTGGTTCCGCAAAGTCTGTGAAGGTACAAACATTTTCATTCGCTGCATTTACTACACACATTCTCATTCGCTGCACACATTCTCATTCACTGAGCCATGTCTTAACCACAAAAAATTGATATTTTCTCATTTAGATGCCATCACTCTCAAGGGTACCGGAAGCGTCTTGATCCAAGGAGGCGGAGCTCAGGACGCCAAGGACAAGGTTGTCCAACACAACGGAAAGGGGACAGTCACCATCAAGGACTACACCGTCGTCAACGTCGGCAAACTCTTCCGCAGCTGCGGTAACTGCAGCAAGAACGGTGGCCCAAGAAACGTCATTGTCCAGAACGTCAAGGCCAACAAAGTTAACGCTGACCTTGTCGGTATCAACTCCAACTACGGTGATGTCGCTATCATCTCTGGATCGTGCGGAACCGGTATCAAGCATGTCTGCCAGGAATTCAAGGGTATTATCAAGAACGGTAAAAAGGAATCTCCAAAGGTCAAGACCACCGCTAACTGCCGCGGCGCTCAGGCCCAGTCCATCCCCGCCTGTTAAGAACGGGCTATGGAGGAACCTTTGGCCATGTATGGTGGCCTTCCGGGCATCTTGCATGGAGCGGAATCCTAGAACGAAGAGATTGAAATAAACTAGAATCGTTTAAAGCGAGAATGACAGTAATAATATGTGGTTCTTGATCCTTTACATTCCGGACCTTGTGCTGACTGCCCTTGACCTCGCACCTCCATGGTGTCCCTCCCTTCACCGGCTACTCCTTGGTTCTTCCTTCTGTCTCCCTTTCACTTTTGGACCTCCTTTCTTTTGTGTGATTTGGCTATCTCACCTACCATAGGAGAACTGTCTCCCTGATTATGTTCTCCCTGACTGACTCCTTCCTGCCTCAGATATCCAAGCGAAAATAGTTGTCTCCGCGTCTTTCGGATGTTTTTTCATCCTCAATCCATGGCGCGGAGGAAAGTGTCGCCTCCCGTCTTCGCCATATACCAGTGAGAATGGTGATGTCTACCTTCACTCGGGCGCACACACACAACACATACGCACCCTCACTTTCTCCCCTCATCATAAGCGACCTTCATCATGAACGGTCCTTCAGACATACAGATTGACAAACCAGTTATACTGAAAGCTCCTCCTTTTTTTGTTCCTTCCTAGTGCGGTTCTTTTCTGTCATCGCTTTATAGGTTAGCTTTGACGTTGCTCGGGCAGATGCGAACAGGGCAAGGTGCTCCTTATGAATGCCGGGAAAGAAGAATGTCCATCCATCCTTAATCTAGTGACGCGGCACAATGCTGCATTCCTGCTACTGCTCCGCCCTCGAGCATGATGGTGTTGTCTCCCCTCGCCAAGACACCCACACACAAATGCCCACATATACACAAAATACAGATGTACATCTCGCCTCTCTCTCTCCCATCACAAACAGAAATACAGACAAGCCGGCATACGGATGGATATGGTCTTTTTTGCTACGGTTGGTTTCCATGTCCCCGTCGCTCGCTCGCTAGCCTTTTTGTTACCGCACAAGATGTTCATTTCTGAAAGGTCAGAATATATTTTCTTTACGCTACCTATCCTTGAAGAGGCAAGGTATGCGATCTTCCTACGTGGCATATTATGTTTCAAGAAAATAAAGACTATACCAACTGTTCACACGAACCGTCTCCATGGCGACATCCACTTTCGCAGCAAGCATATGGTTTTGTGAAGTCCTTGGGCTTCTCGCATGTGGACTTGATGGAGCATCCCGTGTCTGCGACATGGGCAACCATCCGGGTTAACCTCGAGGCAAAAGTCGGCACAGAAGTGGTAGGCCGATCGAATGCTGCAATCACCTTGAACCAGAGATCCATCTTCACAGACGTTGGCCAAGCATAGGATAGCGGTGAGGGCAAGCACGGTGATGACTTAGGCCACTTTTCCTGATTAAAGAGTTTGGCTGGTGAGGAAAAATTGGTGTCTTGTGGGTGCTTGTGAGATAGAACAGTTCTTGAAGAGTGTGGTTTTGGAGAAGAAACTTCAGTACCAGTGGACGCAGGCCGTGTTGGTCTGTTGGCTGTGTGCAATGAAAAGCCAAAGAGAAGCACAAGGAGAAAGAGGAGGTATGAGCGATGCCCATTGACTTGCTCTCCCACCTGGGCCTCAGACATCCAAAGGAAAATTGCTACCCCGCTCTGGTTGTTCCCTTGTCCTTAGTCCAACTCTGACTAGTAGGGATTGTGCCTCCTACGTTTCTTTTTCTCTCCCTTGAGGGTTTCTTTCTTTGCCTATATGCCAGTGGTAATCGTGTCTTCCCCTCATTTCTTACTCGCCCTTTGTCAACTCTAAAATTTCAATGAGTCGTTGATCATTCAGTGATACAGAAGTTTAAACAAACCAAGCGAGCGATTCAGACCTCGATCGCAAACAGATGTTGAGGGCCAGCAATGACAGTCATCATTGCCTTCATCTACCTCTGATTGAGTCCAGGTTCTCTCCCTCCCTCCCTCTCCGGTCGCTTCTCCATTTCTTTCCTGTTTACTATCTTATTATCCCACCTCCTCAGCGTATGCCAAGAACGGATTCGAGCGTGCTCGCAACTGGCGCTCGACCATTGCTTAGGCATTCTTTTCATTATTTTTGGCATTTGTAAATTTCTCATTTGACATGGAAATAAAGATTCGACCAAATAGGGTCCATACATGTATCATTCTGCCACACTTAAACAACAACATCACTAGGAAGAATACATACAAGGAAAAAATGCGATTGGTATTCATTATGAAAATGCGTAAAGGATGGGAAGGAGGTGTGTGTGTGTGTGTGTGTGTGTGTGTGTGTGTGTGTGTGTGTGTGGACGTATCCACATCTAATCATCGACGATAAGGAAGGAAGAAAAAAATAACAATAACAAGGCGAATCGCTCTTTACTCGCGAGAGACATCGCGTCCAAAGACCTTGGACTTCATCCAGTCTCCAACAACCAAGAAACGGTTCCTGAAACTGAACATGTTAGAGATATAGACCGAGCGCCAGAAGACATAGGTGGCAACTCCTCCGACAGAGACATTGCCGTTCAAGAAAGGCAGATCTGCAATAGCCTTGTCCGATCCAATGTACGCCAACGATCCCTGGTGAGAGTACTCAAAGGGAGTAATCTTCTTGTTCTGACCGTCCTCCATCCTGGCCAAGTTCTCAAAGACCGAAGCCAGGTAGAGACCCTGCTGGGTGGCGACTTGGGCAGTGGGGGCGTACTTGGAGAAGGTGCAGTCTCCGATAGCATACACGTCGGGAGCGCCGGCAACGCGCATGTAGTCGTCAACAAGGATACCACGGGGAGAGGTCTGCGCCTCCTTGACGCGGGCCATCAGCTTGCGGGTCAAGGGACGGGGGCAGTTTCCAGTAGCCCAGACCAAAAGACCATAGGGAATCGAGACCAGGTTCTTGTTGGCATCCATGACCTTAATCTCCTTGTCTGCGACCTCCTTGACCATCGTCTTCGTCAAGACCTCGATCTTGTTCTGCTTGAATGTGCTCTCGGTGTATTGAATCAACTGGGATGAGAACATGGGCAAGACGTTGGGAAGAGCCTCGACAAGGGTGATCTTGAACTTGTCTGCCAACTCGGGGTACCAGACCTCCAGATCGTCCTTCAAGAAATCGTGCAACTCTGCGGCGTACTCAACTCCGGTGGGACCTCCTCCGACAACGACCATGTGCAACAGACGGTCAACCTCCTCGGGGGCCTGCTTGGCGAATCCTGCAGACTCGACACAGTCCATCAAGCGGGTTCTGATCTTTTGGGCATCCCAAACCTCCTTCAAGAAGCAGGCATACTCTCTCACTCCGGCCATACCGAAAGTCTGGTTGTCTGCTCCGACAGCCATGACCAAGTAGTCGTAGGGGATAGTGGTGTTGCTGACCGATCCCTTGATATCCGACACATCTATCAATTGGTTAGGAAGGAGGATACAGGTGAGTCATTGAAGTCCATTTTTTCACACACACGCTTGATACTTTTATGTATCATAGCCTGGAACTAGCAAGAGAATAAGAAAACTTACCAGTGATACTGATGGTCTTGCTCTCGGGGTCGATATCGGTACATTCACTCTCGTAGAACTTGACGTTGCGGGTTTTGTGTTGGGTAATGAAGCGGATGGGCTCCATGATGGAACGCAACTCTATGGTTCCGACGGTACAGCTGGGCAACAAGGGTGTGAACAAGAAGTAGTTACGGGGGGACACGACCATCTACAGAAACAAATGGTTTTGTATGAGTGAGTTTACAATTGATCCAGATAGTCCATAAGGTGTTCCTTTCTAGCGCTCTATCCCATGTTGTTGTTGTTCACGAGCGAATTAATCCCGACTTGGACATAAAACACATACCACATTGTAATCGTCGGTGTTGATGGACTTCAAGAAGGAGACGGCACCCCATCCACTTCCGAGTACGACAACGGTGCGCTTCGTGGGGTCGAAAGGCTTCTGTTCCAAGGGGTGACGCTTGCTGTAGATCTCTACAAGAATTATAATATAGAATTTGTTGAGTATCGATCATCTCCGACACATTCGCTATGACATGACTAGTACCTGTGCTCATTTTTGTTTGTTCTTTCCCAAAAAAAAATGGATGACACATATCACACACAGACAAAGACATACCATATGAACCGTATCCGATAGCACCGACAGTTCCAAGCTGAACAACACGCTTCAAGGCACGGAGACGGGACCAGCGCTTCTTGGGCTGAGGGGCAGCAGGAGTAGGGGCAGCAGCGGTAGCCTTGCCAGCAGTGGCCATGGTGGCTCCAGCTTTGGTCGAGTTGAAGCGAGCACTGCTGATCATGGCGCGAGACGTCATGATCCTTGGGGCAGCAGCAGCAACGCGGACCGCTTGTGCGGCTATAGAGTCATTCAATTGACGATTATGACACATTATGTGGATCGTGGAGAGTGTTGGTTAGTTATGGGTTGGGTACCTTCGGTTGTGGTTCATAACGTTGTTGGTGCTGTTCGGGTATTCTTCTTGTAATGGTTGTACGATCTGCCTGCCTGGCTAATGTTCACGGAGAATAATTCCGTCGGCAATGGTGTCCGTATTGTCCGTTTATGGGCAGTTTGCTCTCTCTTTTTCTGGGGTATCAGCGATCACCATCATTCATCCTGTGCTTGCAGCTCGTGAATAGATAAGAAACACTGTCCCTGGCCACTTTGCATACACACAGAAAGGTATGTCAGAGTGAGATCTGTCCCCTGTCCTGAAGTCGAAGGATGGATCGCACTCCTGAGTGATGGGGTGTCCCTCTCTCTTTCTCTATTCCAGATCTACCCACGCACGCTCTCCTGGCCATACGCATGTCGTTTGTGATGTGTGTCGAATCAAAAGAGAAGAAAGAAACGCCTGCAAAGTGATTCCTCCAAGTCGTAGGTGTGCGCGTGTCCTGTATATGAATGTTGTCTCAGGAAGGATGAGCACAAGAGAAATCAGATCTGGATCAGAGGGACGCGTGGAATCTCGGGAGGGAAGGAACACCATGCAAGTAAGAACGTGTTGCTCCAGCAAGTGGGTGAGTGATCCAGTATTTTTGTTGAGGTGGGGTCACTCGTTGTTGTTGTTGTTGTTGTTGTTGTTGTTGTTGAAGGTGGGTCCTTGTCCTTGCTTGGTATGCTGAGGGAATGAGCGCTGGCTGTTGGTGTTTACCTCTGATGAACGACATTATGTATAAAAGGGTGGTGAGGGTGAGTGGAGAGAGGTCGGTTGATAAGAAAGAAAAGAATGAAAAAGAGACAACAAAAGGGAAAAGGGAAAAGGGAAAAGGGGCGAAAGGAGGTTCAAACAAAGAGAGACAGGGGATAACATGATTCTGTCATATCTCAGCACTCACAGAACAGACGGACGCTGATCGGACATCGATATCATAGACTCTTCATGCACACACACACACACACACACACACACACACACACACACATACACACACACCTTCTTAGCTTCTGCCCACTTCGCGTACTCACTCACCCTCTCTCTCTCTCTCGCTGGGAAGTCGACAAACAACAACAACATACTCCTCCTAGTGTCCAACTCGGCCAGTTCTACCAAGAACCAGGTTACCTTGTTGTCTCTCCTTTGTCACCTCCGCCACTTTCGTCGGGACTTGGACTATTCTCTTCTCCTTTCTTTCCTTCGTTCCTCACAGCAAGGACAACAAACATATTCCAGCTTGCTGTTGACCTCCTTTACACTCCCAGATCAGAGTTCAGACCCTTATCTTATCTTCACAACCACTATTCTTTTCAACCACAGCTACCAACAAACACTCCGAAAAGCCGACCGTATCGGTTCAGCCAGAAATGCCACGTTTGTCTTTTCATAACATCATTCATTCTTCGAATAGGTCAAAGCTGCAGAGAAAGAGATAATACACGACTAAAAAGCGCAAAAGCTCGTTTCTTACCAAACTGTCTCGCCTTTCTTCTCCACAACAAATACACACCAGATCGATCCGAGTCGGTCTTGCATGTGCCTGCCTCAACACGTCCGTACCCCACATTCTCCATTTTTTTACGGCAACAACATTCCTAATCGATAAGGTTCCGTGTACTCGTTCATGGCGCAACGTGGAATCTGGGGTGTCTTCTCGTTTTTCATCCTGGAGCAGAAGGTGGGTGACTTTTTTCCTGGAGACTCTTCGGGAGCGTAATTGCTTCTATGCATATTTGCGGGGCGTAAGCACTCCGTAGCACCTGCGACCGAACGCTTCTTTCCCAGTCAACAAGCACCAAGGGAGAAGACGCGCCTTATTGCCTTATGAATCAGAGGAACAAACTGCTAACAAAAATGACGGTATTTGTACGACAGCTTTGTTTTCGTCTCAAGGGGTTAGCACAAAAAAAATGCGTTTTTATTCCTGTGTAGTGTGTAGCTGACAACCGGATTCGTCAGAGGGAGATAGCCCCGTCTGTCACCCTCCCATCTGTCCAGAACGCTTTGCCATGACAGTCATAATAAACAACATGTCGTGCCTCTCTACCAAGCGACAGCTCCCGTTGACAGATCTCCCATCCTGTAGAACCCAGTGCTGTGCTGTAGAAGACAACCTGAAGAAAAGAGACAAATCCGAGTCCAAAGAGGCGGTGGATGGTGACGATATGCTCAAGGTAGGTCACCATAGCCATGATCATATATCCTGGCTTCTTGGTCATGGCGGCTGATATCCCGAACATCGTGCTTGTGATGGCCATCGCCAGACTCGCAAACATGAGGTGTTGACCTGATGCTAGAAGGCGTATCGTAAGTGAACGTAATGTTAATTTATGGGTATGACATAGAGTTGAAACGAGCAAAAAACCGAGGCAACACTTAGCGTTACCTTGTGAGGTAGCATCAAGTTGAACAAGCTGAGGCGGTGAGAGTTGTGCAGTTTGGATAAGAGTACAGAAACAGACAGCAGCAAGTATAAGGCTGGGCCAGTCAATGGCGGGAGAAGAAGACAAGGATATGGACATCGTGTGGGTAGATGTGGTTCATGAAAGAAAAAAAACGAAAGGTGTATAATGAGTGAAGAGGTTGTATCGCTCCATCTTTTTATTTGTTCTTCATCCCCCGTTTTAGTGGTATTGTGCCTATTGTGATTCATGCGACCCACAGGAACAGTTAAGGGATCGACCTCAGGCAAGTAGTCACTCAGATCCATCCCCTTCAAGAAGGAGAGGAGGGGACGTAAAGGGTTGTAACGGCTCTGGGCCAAGCCTAGGAGTGCCTCCTCTTGACACCTCCACTTGGCTCCGTAGTTCATCCTACTGTGAAAATACGAACACAGTGTCCATAACACGGCGGCGGTCCCTTCCGCTTTACTAGAGAAGGAGGATACAGGTCACAATGGCTTTAATACATTCCCATACCTGTTTCTCAATCATCATTGCGCCGAGACAACATCTATGCATATTCTATCTACTCTTCGTCGTCTCTTCAGCAACCCCTGGCTAAATCTCACCCAGCCATACCCGTGAGCAACAACCAATTGCTTCGATGGTTCTAGCTCGTTCGAGATGATTGGGAACCCATCATCACGTAAACAATCAGAGGGTTAGGACCTGTTTTGGGACCTAACTTGGACCTGTCTCCTCTGATCAGTTGCTCAGTTGCATTGTCAGACAAATAAGATTCTTGATCAGCTAAGCCACAACAAAGCGGCTTAGTCAACTCACCTTGACCCCACTGCGACCTGACAAACCACGGACAGAAATCAAAGGAAAGAGACATTCGGAAAAAAAGGATAAGAAGGACCACCTTCAAGCACAACTCCACCTTTCTTCTCAACAAAAAACACAAATCTCATTTCTCCCTTATCAACAAGAGTCCTACTCTTTCATCATACTACTTTAGTCTCACTCCAACAACTACTCATACCTACATCAATAATGACAGCTTCTCCCCTCTCTCGTCTCGCCCCAGCTCTCGCTGCTCGAGCCTCCCGGACCATCACAAAGGCCGTCCTCTCCAAGGAACAATCAGAAGGTGTCGGTGCCCGTGTCCGTCGATCCATTGGACGTCCTGAACTCCGCAACCATGACCCCTTCCTCATGCTGGACGAGTTCAACGTTGATAAGAACGGCGGCTTCCCTGACCACCCCCACCGCGGCTTCGAAACTGTCACCTACATGATCGAAGGTCAGTTCCAGCACGAGGACTTTGCAGGACACAAGGGAACCATTGGACCTGGAGACTTGCAATGGATGACCGCCGGCCGTGGTATTGTTCACTCCGAGATGCCAGTCAAGTCGCAGACCCGTGCTCATGGACTCCAGTTGTGGATCAATTTGCCCAAGGAACACAAGATGTGCGAGCCCCAGTACCAGGAACTCCTCGACGGTCAGATCCCACGTGCCACTCCTCAGGACGGAGTCGTTGTCAAGGTCATCGCAGGAGAGTCTCACGGAATCAAGTCCCAGGTCTACACCCGCACCCCCACCATGTACCTCGACTTCAAGATGGACAAGAATAAGACCGTGACCCAAACCATCCCCTCAACCTTCACCGGATTCATCTACATGCTCAAGGGTAAAGCCTACATCGGCGACAAGGAATTCGAGGGCAACGCACACCACACTCTCACACTCTCGGAAGACGGCGCAGAGACGGTCAAGATCGAGACCAAGGACGAGGATGCACACTTTGTGTTCATTGCTGGCGAACCCTTGAAGGAGCCTATTGTTCAGCACGGCCCCTTTGTCATGAACACGGAGAAGGAGATCTACGAGACCGTTATGGACTACCAGTATGCCAAGAACGGATTCGAGCGTGCCCGCAACTGGAGCTCCACCATTGCCTAAACTGAACTACTTTCTCTTCCTCTTCCCCTTGTACGATATGTAAATCACTTGTAACAAAAAGCAAACAAAATAAATGAGCATAAACAACAGATCATCGCAATGCGAAAACATGTGTATTCAAAGGTTTTATATGCTGTGTCGATGCGCTTTCAGTTATGTGAAATGATTATCAGTAACAACATCATCAAAAGGCTGTTTGCTTCTCCGCAAGACCTCGTTCCCGCAGCTCTTGCTGCTCCCTCGCCCTCGCAACCCTTGCATCCCTTGCTTTCAGATCCGCAACCAATCGCCAAGCAACCCAAAGTCGAACTGCGAAAAAGACGTGGACTATAACAAATACCATTCCACGGAAAAACTTGAGTTCGTTGATAGTCGCCATTTCCCCAACACCGAATGTCTTCATAGGAAGTTCGATATCTGTTTGATTAACGTTCCAGATTTTTGTGCCGAAGACAGTGCACATGTGCAGGGTTGTCACGCAAATCGAGTAGAAAAGTCGTTGGGTTAGGACGAGTGACTTGCGGTAGAGGATGTATAGTCCTGCGAGACTCTGGAGGATATAGAACGACATCTCTAAATTGGCCCACACTGCATTGTTTTGATATACGTAAGCAAAGAAAGCGGGCGCGGGGGGTCAGTCAAAAGCAACGAGAATGGGCGCGGGGTCAGTCAAGAACAACGAGAATGGGCGCGGGGTCAGTCAAGAGCAACCGAGGGTCAAAGTAGAGAGTACAAAAAATCATCTCTATGCCGTATGGCAAAACTCTACCTGATTGAAACGATGCCAAATATCCACTGATTCCGTCGAAGGCCGCCACCAAGAACCACACGCCCACAATGAGACGAGGCCACGTAGGCACTCTCAATCTCAATCGACGGATCTCTGCCTCGGTCTTGAACCCCTCTACAGTCGATGCTGACGCAATAGGCGCCGGGAGATCGCTACTCGCGGCGAGGAGGTGGTGTCCCTGCTTTTCCTGTCGAACTTCCTGCTCATGATCTAGTTGCCGCCTCTGGTTCAGGATTGTCGACAATGCGAACCCAAGTACAATGTTGAGCACCGAAGGCATCCACGACTCAATGCCCTTCCACACCGTCTCAACGAGGGTTGGTGAGGTCATCGACTGTGTAGCTTGTTCTGGCAGCAACACTGGCAATGACTGATTATGCTGAGAAAGTATCTCTGACACCTCTGCTGCGAAGGTGGCGTTGTTGACGAGATTCTCGAACTCTGGAACAAAATACATGTATGACCCTGCGATGATGTAGACGAGGGCAATAAAAGCTGTCCTGATCGACCAGATTTTGAACGATAACTGAGCCCCTCCGGTTGTGGGCCTGTAGGCAACATAGAGTCGATGGAGGTCGACTATTGAAGGCACGACGATGAAGGCATAGACGAAGACGAAGTAGTGGTAATCATCAGGGGTCATAGCTAGATGAGGGACGATTAAAAACAGGGAAAGGGTTTAAAAGTCGGCAGAAAACAAACAGCTGAGGGTGTGTATTATTGTTGTTAGTTGTATGTACCTGGAGGAGGTGTTTGTACCCGCAAGGCACCGCGGATAGAGTAGAAGAGAGGGTGCAGCGAGAGGGCGGCAACAACAAGTCGAGGCCATTGACGCTGAAGTTCAGTTGGCAGCGTCATTTTCTTTTGTTACTATTGATGAACAGTGGGAAAAGCAAGGTCGGGTTTGTGGGTAGGGGAGGAATGGAGAAAACAGAGAAAAAGAAGGAAAAGAAAAGGATAAAAGGTAAGACATGAAGTAGTGAAAAAAGAGTGCTGTGGTGGAAGAGGGGAAACGGAAATGATATGTACTGCTCTCAAGGACAAAAGGGTCGCCATGGGGAATGTGTTCGTCACACACTGGTCCATTTTTGCAAATGAGAATGGTGCTGCGGACCTTGGACTATGTATTTGCCTGCAAGAGGGCGTCATAGCCATTAAGCCATGAGAGAAGAGGCATTCTGGTACATGGGGCTTGTTTTCTCATTGTCTTAAAGTGCCCATTGAACCCTTTGCTACGAGACTATCCGTTATGCGTGTTGATGCATCTCCAAGTATTATTCTCCTGCACATCCACGGTTCGGGGTCTTCATCTCTACATTCCTTTCTTTCTTGAGGGAATGATGATCCTCCTCGACCATGTCCAATCAGATATTGCACGAGACTGGCAGGGAAGGAAGGGCAGACAGGGGAGAGAACGCGCTGTTCAGGCACAACTCTTTTTCTTCTCTTCAGTCAACATGACTCTCTTCCCACCTCTTTTCCCCTTTTGCCTATTACTACTACTAAAACCTTTCTCTTCTATACAGTCATTGATACAACTGCTCATCCCTGTACACATGCTATTATTACAGCATCAATAACAACGCCGAGAAGCCTACCCAATGTCGACAATTCTAATCCAGCGTCACCATCTTGACAAAGTATCTCGTGCACTTGCGCCATTGCCTGGATGAACATCAATTGGGCAATTGGAATGCGCATCAATGGGCGTATGGCTTCTATAGCTTCCATCTCGGTGGCACAAAAGTTGATGCTTTCTGTTTAAAACTTTAACTGCAGTTAGTCCAGCTGCCGATTGACCATTCGACTTTATTTTGTTTACCGAGACCGAGTTGACTATTACGATCATCCCTGACGCTTTATTGCTCCCACTCTCCTCCTCTTCTCTTCTCTTGTCTTCTTCACAAACACACACCCACCTACACTCTACACCCTCACACTCATGCTGTTTAAACTGCCCACTGCCCTCAAGAAAATAAAGTCAAAGCCAACACCATCTGGACTCCTGCTTCCCCAACTCCTCGAACGCGTCTTTGATTTCATTGACGACGACACCATCCACGATACCATCATCCTCGTCTGCCACCTATGGTTCTTAATCACCCAGCGCCGTCTCTCCTGAGAGGTTACTCGGAACGACTCTTCAAAGACCAGCGGTGCCAGGCGTCTCGACAAATTCATCTCGCGACTCCCCAGTGCGACACGTCTGAAATGGACCACTAGATACAGCGATCTTGTATCTCCAGACGACCAAAAAATTCTCCAGGCACTTGAACGAATCAACAACAGCAAGGACCAGAGTAGCATCGCAGACAACGGCGGTCTTCGAGCAGCAGACCTTACTGGATCGGTTCCCTTTATCCTCAAGGCATTGCCTTATCTTCCCTCTATAACCGTCCTGCGGCTTTACATCATGCAACACAGCTCCATCGACATGGGTTACATTTTCCGGACTTGTATCCGCTTGCAGTATCTCCAGTTGGGGCCACCCTCTACGTTGTAAAGGAAGCTGGGTCGGCACAAGTAACAATAACAACACTGGATCGTCTATTTCTCCGCTACGGACTCTCTACCTCGAGAACACCTGCTTCTCTCACATTAGCCTCGAGTCCATGCTTTAGGCTGCTCCCTATATGAAGCACTTGTAACTCATCAACCTACGCCAATAAGATTGTGGAGAAGGTTACAGCTGGAATCGTCTCTACAAGTGCCTGGTCTCGCTCGCCCTCTCACCACAGTCTATCCATTTTTCTGTCTTTGGACAGCAACCAGCCGACGACGGTCAGGAAGCTCAAGAAAAAGTCTTGACGGTTTGTCTCCATGCAACTGAGTGGTCCTTCCGATATTCCGACTTGACTCCCATTCTTAGGCAAAGTCTCCAGCAGCTCCCCAATGTTATCACAACCCTGAACTTGGTCACAGAGAGCGTCAACCAGCCCAACATGGCTATCGCCTTGCACTAGTACCTGCGCGAGTCACCTAACCTCCTCCACCTCAAGGCTAGTCAGTCGTTTTGCCTGATCGAGAGAATGGATCTCTTTGGTCGCTGGATGCCCCTGCCCAGATACGGGGAGGACGCCTACCGTCAACCAGGCATCCGGATGTGTCGCCAGCTCCAGACTCCCCATATCGAGGTCCATAACCTAGGCTCAGCCGATCGTCAACTATCACCTACCTGTAGTCATTTCCTCTTTGGATACTTCTCCAGGTTGTGCCCCAACCTTCGCGACATAGAGACTTGGGAACCTGAAAACATTCCTGGTTTATTTCTCGAGCTCCCTGGTGGGCTCTGTCTGCTGGTCCGTTTCCGCCTCTTGGAAACCCTCCATATTGGGTCTGGCAAGAACCCGCAGACCCTCATGACTCGCGATGATAAGTGACTGACCAAGTCTGGTCGCTCTCCAACCAGCATGCTGGAAAGAAAGGATGGCATGGGCAGTTGGCCAGGGGCGATCGTCAAGGAAAGTCAACGCGTGAATGATCAATGGGAATGACTTGGCAGAGGGGAAGCACCAAAGTTTGTTCCGCCTCAGGGAGTAGAGCTGGAGCTGGTTTCACGACCTGAGGAAGCTGGGGTTGTTGGTGGATGTAAAGCTGATGCAGGACCAGATAAATTCCAAGGCAGGGTACGATAGCCTCCCTCGGTTGCGGTCATTGTCGGTCTACAGCGATGGTGAGACGGGTCTCTCGTCCAAAAAAGAGTATCGCAGAATGAACATAAAGCCCCAACCAATGACGCGATGATATACGGCGGTTGGGGCCTCTTAGCAGTCGTTTTGTTTGGTCAACACTTTTTTTTCCTACAATAAGATGCCTTCTTTCTCATGCATGCATGTCTTTGTTTGTATTCGATTGCTCATTGTGCATCGTGCTCAAAACCAGAGGTGGACTGTTGTCTTTTGTGTTTGTAGTCACCTCGATATACAAACAACATCCATTCGTAATGCTTTGCCATATTGCTCCATCATCTCCTGCAACCGCAGTGCGAACTTTAAATCGAAGAAATAATGGAAGGCGCAACGGAAGGGAAGATGGGCGCTCGTAAAAATACAAAGGCAAAGTCCGCCGTTTTCCTTTTCTACTCCTTTTCTTCTTACACCCTTTCTTTTCCCATCCACATCCCTTTTTTCCTTCTCGTTACCCATTCTTGACTCCAATGTCAACTCAAGCTGACTTGTGGTGGTATGGTCCTCGGATCCTAATTGGCGCCGTTGCCATGGCCAGCATCTCCTCAGAAATCACTACGTTCCTCAAAGAGATGGAACTCACCAAAGGTAAGCATTCTGTCAAGTATTGTCGATGAACGAGTATGCGGTTATTCTTGCAAACATTCAGCATATTAACCAATCTCCTCCCCTCCCCGACATTTCTATTTACCTCTCCTTTTTCGCCTTTGTTAATGCATGTCTAGATTTACCTTCAGATGCTGTGATGGCCCGCTTCAGGACCATGATTTTCACAACATTCTTTTTCATTGGAATCCAAGTCCAACGAATCACCACTTGCTTCACATCAACAACCTTCCTCGCCCAGCTGACATTCTATATCTGCACTGTCGAATGCCTCTTCAAAACCTGCGTCATCTTTGGCTCTATCGCCCTTCTGTCCTTCGACAAGGATTTCGAGGACAAGATGAAAGCCATAGATAACGACTTCAAGGCAAATGCGGCCAATTCTGAACCCATGCTTTGGTTTCTGTTTTTTGGCTCATTTTGTGTTGGCGTCGGGCTGAGGATGATTCTGAACGAGTTGCGGACGCGGGACAGGGAGGCGGAGCGTCAGAGAGAGGCGCTTCTGAGAATTGCAAAGGGTATGGCGCCCTTCCCTGGATCTTCGGACGGTGTTCAAACGGAGGAAGCGGCTCGGAGACAACTGTTACGAGTGCGGACCTGGCCTCGTGTAATCACCGCTCTCCTTCTTTGGCCGCTACTGCATTACGCTATTACAACCTTGTCAAGCCGTGAACACGTCGCCAGCCTCCACCGTAAGCCACCAAGGTTGATTCTCTTATTCTCGCGCACCGTCGATTCATATGTGACATTTTTAACAACTCTTCTCCGATACCTTTCGTCCCTCCCGCCCTTCATTTATTAGGGCACAGGTTTCTGGAATGCGTCGTTTACGCGATAAACGTATGCGTTACGTCGTACGCACTTTATCGCAAGTCCCTCCGTCTCACCCGAGGGTGCCTCTGTACCTTTGTTGGCCTTGCCTTGCATGGGTCATACTTCAGAATCAAGAGTCTCGTAAAGTTGTACCGCAACAGCATTCCCTCGGGTACCAGCACGGTCACTTCGCTCATCGATGCTATTTCCGCAGACGACCAGACAGTCCAGGACTTCCCCTTTGCAAACGCTGTTCTAGATGACATCATTGATATTTCCTGCGACTTGCTTCTCATCTGGTCGATGTGGCAGATTGTCAAGGATCTTGAAGAGCGAAACGACAGGATTGCAAAGGCCAGGATCGAGTCGAGAGCAGCAGCAGCAGCGGCAGCAACAGCAGCAGCCTTCAGTGCCACCTTCAAAGATGAATATGGTGCCCCCATCTACCACGTCTACCACGAAAGGGGGCAACAGTCTTCTGCTGTTGGGATTTGATTGTGGCCGATGCTTACTCTGCCTGTCATTGTTCCCATGAAATTCTGTCTGATAATCCCATACAAACTGCGGTGCACAGGGCATTTGCTTCCTATACACTCAACAATAAAAAAAAGTGTTTGTTCGATATAATAGTCCTGTTAAATAATTGACAAAGTTGTTTAATATTTCCCTGACAACTACACAGCGACCCTGCGCTGCTTAAACAATCTCTGGTTCATCGATCATTGAGTGATCGGTGGTTTGATATCAAGTTGAGACTAAACGTTATCATCGTCAGGACCACGCGCAAAAGAAAGGGACTCCCGCATTATAGCGGGAATCAGATGTTTGACTAACGCACTTTGCTCCATGCATCCTGCACCAATTGTCCTGCTGATCTGCTAAGGTGAATGTAGCGAAAGAAAGAGATTTCCACAAAATGACAAAGAAGGTGGGGGTTGTTGCCAAGCTTGTTAATTCCAACCCAATTAGGATGTAGTGAAATTTGTGCTGTGCAAGGGGGTGTGAGTTGAACTTTGAGACCTTTTGTTTGTCCTCCAGCTTATCAGATTGCAACATGACAACTGGCTAAAACCAAAAGTCTTCGTCTCTGAACGCGAATGCAGGAGACGTTTCCACTGTGGGAATCCAAAAAAAAAAGGTTCTCGGTAGTAGGGAGACTTTTTTTTGCTCGAAACTACGGTCGGACTTTGAGCTGTAAGGATCGATCATTTTCTACAAGTTCACAAGTTCGGCACGGATCATCACAATAATTTTCACAGCTGGCTTGGCTGGACTAGTCGTTCGCATTCATTTTTCTCTTTCTGTCGTTTTGATTGCGTGTTCTTTGCTTTTTGTCCTCCTTTGCATGTGTCGTTCGCTAAATGCAATTCTGCCTTGGTGTTTGTTACACAAATTGCCAACAGACAGAAAGACATCCTCCTCTCTGCTTCATACTTTCATTCTAGTACCTATTTCATTCATGGACTACGTGGACATCAAAGAAGTAGTTCCACCGGTCAAGTTCACTTTTTTGCCGACTAACATCAAGACTCAAGCATCTTCATATGACCATCCCTTTTCCCCCTTTTTCGTTCAACGAAAGAGTGTTATTACTGGGGAACGAGGACAACAATTGGGTGATCGGGGTTCGGGGGGGGCTAAACCTTCAAAAAGTCCCAGCTTTACTCATCATTTTTGCCCATAAATGGCCCATTCGAGTCTTACGTCCTTTCAAGTATTTGCCAAGCTCAGCTCTTGCTTGATGACGATATAGACTGTGATAGCGCACAAGCTTGGAGAAGAGGAAACATTTTGTTCTTATCGTCCAAAGAGTGTGACAATTGCCAATTGCCTCTTCCCACTTCCTAGACGACATGAAGAAGGAATTTTATTGATGCATATATACTTGTGAAAATGGCTTGGCGACGTAGCAGAGCGCCAAAAAACAACGTTGTGAAAGCAAGAAGAGTAGGGGCTGCACTAAGAAGTAAATCTTCAGTTTGGCACATGCCCCAGCCCAGGCACACAAGCTTCGTGCCTGCCACGGAGATGAACTGTGTCTCTGAATAAACGAGATTAACGGGGCTTGGCTTTCTGCAGAAGATAAGAAGTACAAAGTCCCCCAAAGAAAGAAGACGCCCGGGGAAGGACAGAGAGAGAGAGAGGGGAGAGGGGGGGGGGGGGGAGTCGTGTATCTACCCCTCTGCTCAGTGGAGCCATGTGCCTCCCCAGCCCAGCGTGGGGGAAGAACTCACATCCTTTCCTTGTCACAAAACGAACACAAAAGATATAAAAGGAGAGAGGCATTTCTTTTTGTTCACTTTATCTCATCCTCCTTCTCCACTCTCCACTCTCCACCTTTTTTTCTCGTTACTCTGCACATTCCTCTCCCGCCAATTTGCTCTTCCTCCTCTCTCCACCCTTCTCCCCGATCCAACACTGCACAACAGATATGGCCGCAGCAGCAGCGGTGTCCAAGGGCGACAACACAAAAAAGTCGGTCCCCTCCAAAACACCCTTCTCAACCTGGTTCATCCGCTTCCTACCAGCAATCATCTTTGCATCCTATGTCTATTCCACACGGGGGCCCTTCCAGTCCCGAGCCTGCCTTGCCTTTGGTTACAACTGTCGAACCTTTGACCCTCTCAATGTCCAGGGAACCATTGACGCCGACCGATCTGAGATCTATGGCCCCGTAACAGACTATTATTCCAGCCTCTTCACAAGCCACGAGGATCTTGGAGGATCACTTGCAGTCTTTGTCGAGGGCAAACCCGTCATCGATATCATTGCCGGATCCAAGGATCTCGAGGGTCGTGTTCCCTACGACAACCAGACCCTGCAACAGGTTTACTCTTCGGGAAAGGCGGTCGAGGGTATTGTGATCGCCCGTCTGGTCCAGAAGGGTCTCCTTGACTATGAGACCAAGGTCAGCCAGTACTGGCCCGAGTTTGCGCAGAATGGTAAAGAAAACGTTCGTCTAGTCGATGTGATGGCCCACGAATCCGGAGTCTTTCATCTCGACGACGACAATTGGGACCTTACCTGGGCTTCCCTCCAGGACAAAGAAGCCTTCTCGGCACGACTGGCCAAGCAGGGACACTACTTTGGAGGAGATATTAAGCGCGCCTACCAGGCCATCAGTCGTGGATGGTACTTGAACGAGATTGTCCGCCGCGTCGACCCTCAGGCCAGGACTATTGGCGGCATCGCCAAGGACGAGCTTATGGTTGATTACCCTGACCTCGAACTGCACTACGGCCGTTTTGACAACGATGATGACTGGGAGACCAGACTGTCGCCCATGGTTGAATATCCGGTTCTCAAGATCGTCGCTCGTCTGCTCCTTCCCCGATTCCTCCAGATAAACGAGTACATTGGTCACCCCGACATTGAGCCTCTTCATCCGCTTGTCGGCCAATTGGTCCGCAAGTGGTCCATCTCCTCAAAGGCCCTCACTCCTAGAATGGCCCCCTTTGCCAAAGACTTTCGAACCAAGCAGGCCCATGCCGTCGAGAGCACCAGTTTCTCTCTCAAAACCAATGCCCACTCGGTTAGTGTTTTTCTCTCTCCTCTCTTATTTCGTTTTTGTGTTCCCAGACCCTCGGCAAATATTGAACCTCCCAAGTCTCACCTCACTAACACAAAACCTCTTCTCCCCTCCCCCCCTTTTTATTCCTTAACCAGTTGGCAAAACTCATGGCCATGATGGCAAACAAGGGCGCATCCCTCCACCCAGGACAAGAGCCCGACCTCCTCACCGCCAAAGTCTACACCGAGGCAACAACTTACCACTCCTCCCGCCCCTGCATCATCACCCACGATGTCCTGCCTCTCTCCCGCGGAGGCTGGGTCAAACATCGGAATTTCCATGGCGACGGAGCATTGAAGGGCGTTGAGGTCCAAGGATGGGGCGGGGCAGGAGGTTCCTTGGCACTGTGGATCGAGGACCTCGATATTGGCTTCTCATATGTCACTAATGCCTTTGGTGCTGCCGAGAACATTCTGGGCGACTTTAGAGGAAGGACCTTGTTGGAGAAGGTTGTCTATGCCCGTAAAAAGGAACTGGGTCTCCTTCCTTGAAAAACACTTTTTTGCATCGACCTCCAATACAAACAAACCATTTTCATAACAAAAATAGCTGACCTCGGGTGGTGAAAATGCGTTTGGATTATTTGGGGAAGAAAAAAAACTACGGGCAGAAAGTATATTACAGATGTGGAGTAAGGCAGCCTACTCCCAGTCGCTCCAGTCATCCTCCTCCTAAATAATGTCAATCCATCCACGTAAGAGAATACAGAGTTAGGTGACTAGGGGGCCAAGATACATGAAAGGGCAAAAAGTACGACCAATACTTAAAAAATGAAGTTTCAGGGTATCTGTACCTTGGAATCGGCAGGCTTGAGCTTGCTGCTGCCAAGCTGGGCAGGGGTGCCGAGAACAGGCGAGGCGGCGGAGGACGACAAGGACGTGACATTTGCCAATGGAATCCTGATGGGTGTTTCCACGCCATCCACGACCTCATACGCATCCTCACTTGTCCTGGTCGAGCTCAAGTTGGTCGTGGGGCTCTTGGAGTGTGCACCGGTTGTCGAAGACTTGATCGAGAACGACTGAGCAGAAGGCGATGACGGAGACTTCAAAGACCCGGATCCCCACTCTTCGTCGTCCGATCCTGAAGCCTTGACGCCGTCAGCTGCGTTGGACTCGCTGGGGATAGGAAGCGCCGAAAGTGAAGAAGCCAGTGCCTCGGCAGTCAAAGGTTCACGCTTAATCCTGGAGGCAGATTCCTCAGCGTTCTGTTTGGACTTGGGCGTCACAGTATCGAGGGTCTTTTTTTCTGCCTTGGGCGTCACGCTCCCCTGGCCACCCGAGGTCTCTCCCGACTTCTCGTTGCCCTCGTCTTCATCATCCTCGTTGTCGTCCCAGGTGAATTCGTCCTCGGCAAGATCTGCTCCGACCTCTACAAGTAATTGCATAGTTATAATCGAACCATAATGAAGGCTGTGTTAGTATACATTCCTAAAAGTAGATGAATACTGCAACGTAGGCAAGGCGCGATCGCGGTTGTTTACCTTGAACAAGCTTCTTTCGTCTCTTTTCTTCCTCTTCAATCTCGTACAGACGGAAGTGGTAACGGAGCCAGAACAGTTCTTCGTCAGCAACATCGATAGGAACTATGACGAAGAAAAATTAAACCAGCATGCGATAATTAATTATAATTGCCAACACTGCCTTTGATCCCCCAAAAAAAAAAAAAAAAAAAAAAGTAGCAGGGTGGACATACCCAGCTTGTTCATGAGGGCCTTGAGTTCGGGGTACTCGTTCAGCATCCTGGAGATCCTCTGCTGGTACTCGGCCATGTTGAAGGTCTGCAAAAAGTATTTGTACCTCTCCAAGCCCTTAATGTCGTTGTCGGCAATGGTTGTCATAGGATCCACAGTGTAAGTCTCTGGGTCCATTCGCAATTTCTCCAAAATCGCAGCCTTGCGGTCAAAGCTATTGTCAAAATAAGAAATGAGCACCAAAAAAAAAATGAGCACATGGTTTGTCTGTTGTTGCGATAAGAATAATAAAATAAAGAGACTTACACCATCCTTTTGCTGCGAGTTGGATTGACCTCTTTCTCCTCTGGAGGCGAGATAACGACGGCATTGTTGATAAAGTTGGCCATGCCCGCTCCAAACTTGTTGACGTATTGCTCTGCCAACAGTCCGTTGGTCTTGAGAGTCTCGGTCGTGCTCCTCAGGAGGACGTCAGCTTCGCCCAGGTGCTTCTCTGCAACAGCTGGGAGCGTCTTGAACAGGTTGTTCGCACTTGAACTGATCTCCTTAGTGCTCGATGTCAAAGTCTGGGTAAGACTGCTCGCTCCAGCGGTGAAAAGACTAGCAGTGCTAGCAAATGTACGCGCAGCCGAGGACGATGCTGAAGCCGAAGTGGGTGCTGCATCGCGGGTTATCGTTGTTCCCTCTGGTGCTGAAGATTCTTCAGCGGCGCCTGTCGAGTCGCTCGTTTCTTTGCCTTCGTCCTTTTTGTCAATTGCCGACGTGTTTTCTCCTGCTACTGGCGCTGTTGCTGGTTCTGTTGCCGTTGTTGGGCTGGTAGCTGCCTGGGACGAGACTCCAGTGGCAGCTTCTGTAATCTCCTGTTTGAGTCCTGCGACAACGTGCGACATTTTGCCCAGGATGTCCGACGACGCGGTATTAACAGATTCGGGCAAGGGAGGCAAGCTGGTCTTGAGACCCTCGACCCTTTTATTCAGAGTCTCCAAAGCGGTAGAGCGCTCCTGCTGGACAGTATGGGCGAGTTCGGTGAGGTCCTTGCGGGTGACATTGACAAACTCGTTCATGTCTTTCTTCCCGATTTCGATAAACTTGTTGAGGGATGCGCCCCAGGCCGACCACGAGGACCTGGACGAGGCAGCTGCAGGCGAAGAGGGCGAGGAGGCCTCGTCTGTGGCGGGAGCAGAAGCAGGAGCAGGTTTGGTGCTGGGTCTGTCGTTTGCATTGTTGGTGGCGCCCTCGAGCGGGCTCATGAACTGGTAGAGGTCGTCCATGGATGTATACTAGGTGTGTTTCCCTGTGGTGTTTGTGTTGGGGATGGGAGAGGTGTAGCTGTAGCTATGGATGTAGTTGTTGTGGTTGTTGTTGCTGTTGTTTTTGTCGTTGTTATTGCTCTTGCTGTTGTTGGTAGGTCAAGACGTGTGAAATGGAATGATGAAAGGAAGAGAGAGAGAGAGAGAGAAAAAGGGCGTGAAGGGTAAGAACAAAAAAGGCCGCCCACCATCATCTTGCCAGACTGTCTTCCTTGTCTTCCCTCTCGCGAACACGAGACAGGGAATTTCTCTTTTTTGACTGCTATTTATTTCATACAGAAGGAAGCAAAATCACAGCTTGCGTCGGATATTCCTCGGCTTGCCAACGCCGCCTTTCCTCTTCTTAAACACTGCTGACCCGCCACCCACGCCCTCTCCCTCTCCCGCAAGATCATCATCGTCCAATGGATACGTCTTTTCTACAATCTTGAACCGCCGCAGGTCCTCAGGGTTGCCCGCCACATCTTCGTCCTCATCCACTATAACACCATTGGAATCCTTGTTGTTCTGTTGTGAAGTCTTGGGTGCCGGTGGTGCCTCCACGGTCTCCCACTCTCCTGCCTGGCCAATCGTCTCGTCCTTCTTGGCTTTCACAGGCTCGGGTGCTGCAACAATCTCAGTACCCGATCCAACGTCCGTCTTTCCTTCTCCCGATTCATTCGCTGTTGCTGTTTCTGTTGTCGTTGTTTCTGGCACCGGTGCTGGTGTTGGAGTAGAGGACACCTTAAGCAGTCCTGTAGGGGTAGGTTCCGAATTTTTTGTTGATGACTTGGCCGCAGATAAAGTTGCTTCTGATTGCGCCGCCTTCATTGCTGCCAAGGGTTGTACCAGCCCCGCTTCCACATCCAGTTGATATTGCTTCATCGCCGCCTAGTTTCATACCAATAACATGAAAAAGTTTAGACCTTGATCTTTCAAAACTTACTGGCCTTCGATATACAAGAATTCCCCAAAAAAAAAGTTCGTCGTACCTTTTCGATGGCATCCATTTGCTTGTCCATCCTGGCGGATTCAACATCCCTGTCACGTCCACGCTGGTTCTGCTCGCGTAAAAATCGTTCCACATTCTCCTTGTGCTTCGTTCCTTGGTCGTGAATATTCCTCGTCTAACAGTGACCACAAAAACAAAAATTAAATAATGATCAACAGCTGTTATCAATTGGAGGTCAGAAAACCAAAAACGAAAAATGCAAGAAGGACGTACAGACTTGTTGTCGGTGATGTAGATCTTGCAGAAGCGGCAAAAGAACTTTGCATTTGATTTCCAGTACTCGGACCTATTGTTTGAATCATCAATCAGAATAGAATGAAGGAAGGATGCAAGGAAGCAAGGAAGCGTGTTAGTCAACTATACTCATTTCTACAGAGTACTGTTACTTGTCCAGTAGTCGACTAGGGGTTCTTACATTATGTTAAGAGAAGGAGAGGTGTGAACGAGAAGCAAACCACGATCACCGTAGCACTTTATGTACTATACAAAGAATGCAGCACATGCGATAACGAAGGGATTCGACGCCACCAATTATTAATTCTGATTGGTGGCAAGGAACTGTTTGAATAGGCTGCCTTGATGGCGTGTAGGTCGCTTGACTGCAACAGGATCAAAGGCACCGGATTGGCCCATGTTCACAACACGGGGCTCTTCATCGTCATCAACCTCGTCATTCGCGCGAGACCCCTCACCGTGCTGTTCTCCACGTTGAGCCCACCTCTCCTGCATCTCCAGCTCCGCCAAGTCCAAAAGATGTCTCATTGTAGGACGACCGTGCGGGCAGTTCCATGGTTGGTCTATCTCGCCCATATGCCGGACGATGCGCTTCATCTGCGTGTGGTTCAGCACATGGCCAATCATCACCGACCTCCGACAGGCCCGCGACGCAAAAAGGGCCCGCACCTTGGAGCATCGAACCATCTTGTCCTGAGGTGAATGTAGCTTGTGCTTGTGATGATGTCCTGACTCACACTCATCGTCATCACCTTCGCCCTCCAGGCTGCCATACGAGGATGTTGTCTGCTGCGAGAGCAAAAACACAAGTTCCTCGAAATCCTGCAGATCAAAAACGACTTTCTCGCTCACCGGTAGCGTCACCAACTGGAGTCGATGACTGACTTGGGCCTGAGGATCATAGTCGAGGTAGAAGCCGTTCATGTTGAGCACCTTCATATGATCTACAACCGTGATCTCCTCCTGGGCTGTCAGATGCAGTTTTTTGGGTTGAAACAGTCGCTGTGTCGAAAACACGGTCTTGGCCTGCAGGGTCTCAAAGTTGTACTTTTCATCCGACGCGTGTTGGTCAATAACAAAAATGTCCGAGCTGAGAAGTGTCCCACGTCGGTGATGGCGCTTGGATCCAGTTGTCTCTTGACGCTCGTTGTTGTCCTGCTCCGTGTTGGCATAGTTGTCGAGTCGCACCACAATAAAGGCCTTGTTGAACTGCCCAAGGACCTTCATCCTCTGAAAATCCACCTTGGAGATGACTCTGCTGAGAGACTGCTGAGCCTTGTCATCGTCCGTGTTTGCAAAACTGGCGTCAGACAACTTTTGACTTCTTAGGCGCCGACTCCGTCGAAGTGCTCGTTGTGAATCCTCAGATTCCATATCTCCCTCCTCGTTTTCTCCCGCCTGCTCTTCAGGACCACGAGTGGACGTCTCCCCCGTTGCTGGAGCAGAGCGCTGTAACTCCAAGGCTCGAGCCTTGGCCCTCTCTTTCCGCAAAACTGCGCGCTGTTGTTCTAGGCGCCTAGTTTCCTGCAAAATATTCATCCGCAAAGCTCGTTTCCTGCGATGCTCATCCATATCAAATCCAACTTCGATCCACTCACGATCGCCATCATCTCTGACCACCGAGTCCAGGACAACAACACGCTGCGGCTTCGTAAACTGTAGGCGATTGGCGAATTGATCAAGATCATCCTCGCTGTCACTGACATTGTCCTCTTCCTCACGGATCTTGTCGTCCAGGGGGTCATACGTTTCCAGCACGTCCAAGGGGCTACCGGGAGGTCCTTCTGTTCGACGATCCAATGGTGATTCCTCGTCCTGGTTCCATTTCGATCCTTCCCCTTCAGCCACCTTCTTCTCAACCAAAGCTTGATCGATCCTTCGCGCCGCACGGAGATTGAATAGGGGCTCTTCTTCTCCTTCAGATCCGGAGGCATGTTCGCTTAATTTCCGTTTCCGACTATCCAACGATTCGCCGACACGCATCCTTTCCGTGAGGGTTGTTTGCTGAAGTTTCGTTGCCATCGTGGCTGTAGAGTCAGGCGAAGGTCTCGGAGCTGAGCTTGTTTTGGAGAGAGACGTCAAGGTGACGGTTTCGACGCGAGCAGTCGCTGGACGACGATTTGAAGCTATGGTTGAATGGTCTCGCACTATGCCCAAGTACTCATCCTCGTCCTCATGCTTCCCCTCGATGTCTTCGTCTTCATCCCGTGATTCGCCACCATCGTGTGGGCTGAAAGCTGCGCTCGACTTTAAACGGGCAGTGAGGTCGGGCTTCTTGGCGAGTTGGCTGGCTTGACTGACAGCAAACGTCGACCGGCTAGGCTCAAACAGTTCCGTCAGCTTGTTCCGCAGTTCCTCAACAATCCTGCGCTCGTTGTGGAGAAAAATGGTCCTCTTGTCGGGACTGACATTGACGTCATAGGCTGCTGTGGGCAGAATGAGGTTGGCGACGAGGAAGGGCGATTGGTTGGTGTTGAAAGAGTGGTAGACCTCGTTGATGACACGAGCGATCTTGGGCAAAACACAGGGCCGTCCATTGATAAATAGGTATTGACGATCGGTGGAAGATCTCCCTTTTCCGAAACTTGGGGATGAAATGTGACCAGTCAAGAAGATGTCCTGGTCCTGCTCGTCGTCATCCTGGTCGTCACCGTCGCCTCCTTCCTGCTCTCCGTCGCTGCTGGTCCGTTCGTTGTTCGAGGGTGACTTTAGTTTTCCCTCGACAAGCTTCAGTTCAAAATCGACTAGATCCGGCATGGCCTTGGGTCCAAACACGTTGATGATGTTTTGTCTGACCGTCGCATTCCCGCTTGTCGCTATGTATGTCACCGCCGGTCTAGAGTGAAAATAAATATGGCGATTAGTTTCCATTCCAAAGCATCGGTTACACATGATGTCAAAAGAGTCTTTGCACGAGAGTCAAAATGACTTTGGGAATGTGCTCTAAATAAAAATCATGTCCAGTTCCATATGTGTACACGTCTTTTAAACATAAGATGACCTGATAATCGCTCTCTTGCATAAGAGAACAAAATAAAGCTTACTTTTTGTCGAGCTGAGAGATGCAACTGACTCTGACGTTGGTGGCGATCAAGGCATATGCCTGGACGAGTCCGATGCACTTGTTGTACTCTCGCTTGATGTTTTTGACAAACTCGCTCCTGCGGACAGGCATGCCCTCGAACAGATTGCTGATCTTGACGATGGTGCCTTTTGTCATTGGGGCAGGTGTTTTGGATTGGATGAGGCCGTCCGAGTTGTATTCAACCAAGAAACCTGTTGGGGCAGTACCGGTCGAGGTTGTGACGGTGACATGGGCGAGTGCGCAGAGGGACGACAAGGCCTCTCCTCTGAAACCAAAAGAACGAACGTTAGCCAGGTCGTTGAACGAGCTGAGCTTCGACGTGTAGTGTTTCAATGCTATTAGAGAGGCGGGCCAGTCAGTGGTAATGGTTTAGAACGGGTTAGAAAGCTCAATAAAGCAATTGAAATAGATGCTTCGCAAGAACACGAAGAAGGAGAAAAGACGAAGAGGATGAAAGAATAGCAAAAGGCCCCTTCGTCCCCTTGTCCCCTTGTTCCCTGGCCTTGCAAAAAAATAAAAAGTATAAAAAGTATGTTGGCAATTAAATGAAATTTGGTGGCAAAAGGCGTTCTTTACAAATACTTACCGAGAGTTTCGAGATTGGCATCAGTGATCCCGCAGCCGTTGTCGGTGACAGTGATGTACTCGAGCCCACTCTGCTTGAACTTGACCACTACCGTCGCCGTCGATTGTTATTAAGCACAAAAGGAGCGTGTCAGTTGTGCATTGTATTTCTGTTTTTTGAAAAGGGATGGATGCATGAAGATGGAGAGGAGAGAAAAGTACCGATGGATGTTGATCCGGCGTCGAGGCTGTTTTCGAGGAGCTCCTTGACGGCGGTTGCCATGTCGAGAACGACCTGTCCGGAGCATATCCTGTGGACAGACTCTCTGTCTATGGGCTTGATTGCGTTTCCGGATGCCATTCGAGTGGGGATAGAGAGAGCAGTAAGGAAGAAAAAGAAGGTGTGCGTCCTGATAGCTCAGGCACCAGCCGTCCGTTATGATTATGTGGTGTGTGTCGGGACACCAAAAAGCCACTTTTGTCTTTATGTCTCTGTCTTTGTCTATGTCTGTTTCAGTGTGGTGTGAAAGTGGTGTGAAAGTGGTGTGAACCCAATTGCATGTCTCTCCTGCCTCTGCAACCAGCCAACCGACTTGACATAACATAATACCTTTGCCCTGTTTCCACACACCCTTTTTTCTTCTTGACCCTTGACCACACTCCTGTCCTTCTCTCTTTTCTCTCTCTCTCTCTCCCTCTCTTCTTCTCTCCTTCTCTCCTTCTCTCCTTCTCTCTACACCCCCCTCCTTCTTTCTTTCTTTCTTTCCTTCCTTTGCTACTCCCTCGCTCCCCCTCCTCCCCCCTCCTCCCCCATCATCAACCCTTCAAGGACATACTCTCTTGGAACCTGGAACTCACATTCATACACACACCCCATCACAACTACACCATCTACTCTTCACTTCTCTTGCTCCTTCCATTCTAGTCATCTTCCCTTCCCTTCTTCATCGACTACAGGCCTGTTGGAACCCCGCGCCTGTTCAATCCTCTATTTTATTCAACCCTACAACAACAGCGTACTCAAAGAGGCAGGACACATACACACACCTTGTCACTTTTCCACAACCCTCTGTACTCTCTTCCACTTCCCCCTCTTCCTCCTTTTTCCTCAGCGTCGTCCACGGTGTTTGAGCTGCGACGATGCAGAGTCCCCAACGTGAGTGTCTGCCCTGCCTTGCTTAATACACCCAGTTTATGCTGCATCCTCGTTGTATCATAAATGAAATTCAAGGAAACGGATAGCCAAAGGGCGGACAAGCATATGCTGGACGAATGCGACGACAATCAATGGATCTCAGCATCTGTTATATCATGAAACAATCGATGGATCTCAAAATATATATTACCACAAAGCAATGAAGAGGAATTGACGGCGACAATCGATGGACCAAATGACCTATATTACCACGAAGCAATTGCAAGGGAAGAAGGGACACCGTTGGGACAGATATATGCATATCATGCATGTTTATCTGCCATTTGTCTCTTTTTTCTCGAGACCGATCTGTCCTCAGAATTCACAGGGAAGCCTGTCTCGACCTTCACTTTGACCTGACCTACCTCGACTCGGCAAGGGATCGACATATGAAAAAGAAAAAAGAAAAAAGAAAAGAAAATAATAAAGAGCGATCGATCCGCCTTGCACCCTTGGATACCCTTGGGTACCTTGGATTGACAACAAAACGACAGGGGCATCCTCCTTTCACCCTCGTTCTCTTCCTTTTTTTTTTGCCGCCTTTACTCACTCACAACTCGCTTTGCTACATTCCAATAATAGCGTCAGCATCGCATAGAAGACGGCAGTCAGCGCTAGTGTACTCAACATCAAAGCTCGACGGATCCTTATCTCCAAATAACCGGCTAGGACCAGACTATGGATCGACTAGCCTCACCAATTCACCGTCATCGCCTTCCATCTCTCAGCATCACCATCAGACCCCCCAACCGCCCGCTACGCCACGCTATAACAGCCATAATAATACCAGCTATAATGATAACAACGACGAGGATACCAACAGGAACTCGCTTGGGATCTGGAATGGGTCCAAATCAGCAGCCAGCACGCCCAACCTGGTAGGGAATGTAGGGAGGTCCCCCGCCGCCGAGTTCTCGTCATCGTCAATCACAGTTGGGTCCAACAACTCGACCATGCACACGCAGGCACAAGTTCAGGCGGGTGCAGACTCGGGGGCCAGCATGGACAGTCAGACAAGTCCGTCGTTCCAACAGCGGCGCAAAAGGAGCGAGAGCACCGGTGGCTTCAAAGTAAGTGTCTTGTCTCTATATAATGATGAGCACCATGAGTAAAGGCCCACTGAGATCCAAGGGGGGGAACTGAAGCAATTTGAGCCAAAACAGCGACACAGTAGAGAGCGGGACGAAATAGCTCTAATTGCTTTTTGAGAGCACAGCGCTTGTTGACGTGTGAACATCATGCAACTGGTGGACTTTTTTTTATTTTTTATTCTAACATTTATGCAAAACATTCATATATGTCCTCTTTTTTTATGCTGCTCTCGTGTATGCTTTCCTTGTCCCTTTTTTTCTTTTCTTTTATGCGTCCGTCTGAACCTTGCATAGAACAACATCACTCGACTTGTCAAGAAGAGCAGCAGCAATTTTCTCAAGAAACTCGTCAAGGTAAAAAATAATATGACACATCCACCCCCTCCCCCTTGCTTGTTTTCATACTGTTTTCTTACGTACAACCTACTAGCTTTTTGCTAAAAGCATCAAAAACCAAGCTAAAAAAAATGATTTTCTCTCTGGAAATAGAACTTTGATGACAAGGATGCACCTCCAATCCCTACTGCTCAGACTTCACACATTGCCGCCTCGATGAGCTCACCCTCTCCCCGACACCAAACTCACAGGAGCGCAACACATCCTGATCTGCCTACACTCGCCTCAATCGCTCCAGGACAGACCCAACTAGGACCCTTGTCGACACCTCCACCTTTGTCACCCTTGATGGGTCAGGACCTTGTCTCGCACTTTGCCAACTTCGCCCCGCCAGGATCGACAGGAGAACCCCTCCATATGTATCAGCATGCCGCACGCAACCCCAACATCCAGTCATGGCTCCAAAACACAGCATCAAATGGAGCTCTGTCCGACACAGTGCACCCTCATGCGATGCCACCGCCATCAGCATTTTCTCCGGCAGACCTCACCGCCAGCTTGGCGATGTTGACCCACGACGACGTCGAATGTGGCGACGACGACGACGATGAGGGCGAACTGGATGAAGACGAAGACGAGGACATGCCCGCCAATATCTCCAATCGACTCTCAAAGCTCTATGAATCTGGATCGCAGCATCTCAATCAATCCCAGACATCGCTGTATTACTCGACAAAGTCGTACCTGTCCGACAGCGAGGCAGCAGAGTTGGCATCAAGGCGGGCTTCTATGGCGCAGGATCCACTAGGATACAGTTTGGGATTATCAAGAGGCAACTCGATCCGGTTCTCACAGTACAGTCTTCACAGCCTTCACAGCTCTGTGGCACCGATGCACTCATCGTCACCACCTTCCTCGCCAGGACTCGAAGGTCGGTCTGGACCGAACCGGAGACCTATGTCCTTGTTCTTGCCCTTGACAACACCTCTGGATGGCGAATGCGATGACAAGACGGAAGTTGGAGAGGGAGAGTCAGCAGGAGAGGCCGAGACAGGGGAAGCCATTGCCGATGGCGACAAACAACCCGTTGAGCCTCTGCACCAGCGGGAGCTGGAACAGGAGCAGGAGCAGGAGGAAAACGAGGTGATTACAGCAGAGTTCGTGGTCCTAGAAACTCCTCATCGGGTTTCAGGGATCGATCAGGACGCAACATCCGCACATGATGGACCCGCCATTGTCTGTCAGAGCCCTCTTGATGCTCCAGAGGGCACGGGTCGCACCCGGCCCTTATCGGCACATCTGAGCCAGCACGACCGGGACGCATTGGAGGAGAGTGTGTCTGAGTTCGAGGATGAGGCCGCAAGGAAGGCATCGATCCTGGCTGCCGAGACCGCAAAACGACTCTTCGACGAGGACGAGACTCTGATGAAACGGGAGGAGATCGCGGCGTACATGGCGACACCCAACGCCTTTTATCGCAGTATCCTGGTGCACTACATGTCGTACTTTGACTTTTCTGGACAACGACTCGACATGGCCTTCCGAACCCTTTGCCAAAAGCTAGTCCTGAAAGGAGAGTCCCAGGAAGTCGATCGTGTGCTGGAGGAATTTGCAGGACGCTATGTCACCTGTAACCCAGGGACGCTATTGGGAGGAGCGGACAATGCCAAGGATGTGGTCCATGCGATCACTTACTCAGTCCTGTTACTCAACACCGACCTCCATGTTGTCCGACAATCGAGCCTGAGCAAGATGTCCAAGTCTGCATTCATCAAAAACACGCTCCAAGTGGTCCAGCAGAGCAACCAGGATCTCTCAGAAGACATACCGTCGTCCTCCTCTCGATCTGCGATCTCTGTCGACCCTGTAGGACTGGGCATGCCTCGGTCCTTGACTGCTGAATCGTCACTGGAGCCCATCTCGCCAACAGGATCCAAAAGACGGACGCCAAGTGTCAAGAGCTGGAAGAGCGGAAACAGTCAACAGAGTACCGGGCCTGTTGGGAGCAACATTTCGACCAACACGCAAACCTACAACAGTAAAATGGGCATGGATCCAAGGGCGAACAACGGTTACGGCAACGGCAAGCTCTGGCAACACGAGATGGAGACACTCCTCAAGGACATGTATACCGCCGTCAAGCAGAACCAGATCTTGTTGCCAACGGCATCAACGCCACCAGTGTCCGCAACAAGAGCAGGTTCAAGATCGAACGCGATGTCCTCGCCCCCTACATCTCCCATAGTCTCTGCATTCGGCTCGTCATTCCTGACGAACCGTGTGAGTCGATTGATCAACCCTTCGTCTTTCTCGGCTGCATCCAACAACACCCAGTCATTCTCGTCCTCGCAACAACAGCAGCACCAGCACCTTCAACTAATGGATTCAGGATTAGGCATGCTGGGATCGAGTGGCAACGGCGGTGGGTTTGGTCTGGGAATCTCTGGAAGACGCAACTCTGTGAGCGCGAGAACCAAGCAGCTCAGAAACGAGGCCATTCAACGACTTAACGCCCAGGCGCACTCTCCCGACGGTGCAGGGGACACTGAGTATGTTGTCGTCTCACCGCCTACATCCCACTCATCGACCTTTGGATCCAGTCCTCAATTCGGCTCCAACTCCAGTATGGCCAACCCTCGCTACAGTATCGCAGGTTCGATCTACAACGAAGCCCATGTCCTCAGCCTCGCCCATCAGCACGATCGGGATCTCAACATCAACCGAGGACCCATGAAGGCTGGTATCCGTGGCAACGAAGGGCAGCAGAGCCAGTTTAGCTCCTCGAGTCGACTCTCAACATTGACTTTGAACACGTCCATGTCAGAATCGACTAATACGACTACCCTCTCGGCATCACAGAACAGTCTGGCCTCATTGCAGTCACTTGGACCAAGAGCCGGTGTCCACCCTGACGACTCGAGCTGCAAGTCAGGAGGAGAGGACTTTATGCTTCAGGATGATGACAGCATGTCGATTCAGGAACAAAAGGACCATTGGCACCAGCACCACCTCCAGACCAGGTACCGCATGGAAGGTATACTCTGGCGCAAACATCTCCTGGAACGAGCGGACAAGAAGGCACAGCACCGTGCTTGGCGTCAACTGTTGGTCGTCCTGGACCAGGAACGCGGCACACTCTCCATGTTCCGCTCGGACGGATCGTTGCCTTCTGTCTCTGCACAACCGCAATCAAATTCCGGTTTACTGGCACCACCTTTGAACGACTCGGATGCCTCAGTGTCGCTCTTTGACGACATTCCACTTCAGCATACCATCACCAACATCCTCCCGCCTCCAGGATACTCGACATCGCGACGACATGTCTTTGCCCTTCAGCTGTTTACAGGAGCCGTTTATTTGTTCCAGACTAAGACTCCTCAGGAGTGCGAGTCTTGGGCACGGACATGCAACTACTGGGCATCGAGGACAAGCAAGGAGCCGTTGGCTGGAGGAGTGGTCAATATGGAGTATGGATGGGGCCGGGCTTTGGATGGTGTGATGATGGCGCTTCAAGCAGAAGAGAGCGCTTCCATTACATCTTCAGGAATGGACATGGTCGAGAGCCCTGGACCTATGCGGAGTCAAGGAAGCGAATACCTGAATTTTCCTCCACCTACGACTCCCACCTCTGCAGGACCTATCGATCTCTCTGGACGCGGTCGGAGTGCCTCCATCAAGTCTGGCACCCGTGGATCAATGTCTTCAGGCACAGGGTCGGTCAATGCGCACATGGGAACGCCTATGCCAGCTGGAGACCGGATTACGCTGTTTGAATGGACGGCGCCCACACCGACGATGAGCCAGAGCTTGTTGACGGAAGAGGGGCAGATGGAGGCATTGAAGCGATTTGTGGCTAGTCTGGAGTCCGAGATGGAAGGTCATCAGGAGCATCGCGTTCCTATGATGCGCTTAGTAAGTCACATGGAGGCCTTTGCTTTTAATGTTTGTGCTATTTATCATTGTCATTCCCCTTGATCGAATGCTTACATTACCGTGTTTGTACCATGATACGTGTATAGTTCCATCCAAAATCCAGCAATTACGCCAAGGCATTCAACAATTGGGAGCGTCGATCACGTCACTTGCTCAAGGAGATGGTCAAGTACCAGATCTATGTCGAGTGTCTGGAACAGTCGATTCAGTACCAACTCTTGTTTCTCCAACAGCAACGTCAGCGAATGAACCAGCTCGAGTCCCCTAACCCCAACCACCACCACCCTCAGCAACACCAACATCAACACCGTCTTGACGAACTACAGCGTCAGAGCGAAGAACAGAGTATGCTTGAAGCCGTTGAGTTGGCCGGCAACGGTGGTAGCAGTCGCCAGTATGGCAATAAGAGTGTCGACGTTGAGGCTGATCTTGAGGCGCTTGTTGTTCGGGAAGGACCACCGCGGTCGTGGAGTCGTGACGGACCCTTATCGACATGAGAGAAGCCCCCTATTCGTCCTTTTTTCTTCCCCTAGGAACTAATTAAAAAATATACCCTACTGTTGCATCATCGATTCTTTGAGGCCCGATATCTCATAGTGCGCCAGAGCACCCAGGCACCATCCATGCTCGTCTCTCCTCTGACATCTGACATGCTGAATGCTGAATCAGATCAACAGAGAGAAATTTCTAAGCCACCATGTCTCTCTTCTAGGGCTTAGTCAATTCCCATGAATGTTTGGAATTGATCATCAAACATATCCAATCAGACACGCGACGGATGGGGGAAGGGGGAACATTCAAAAATGTATAAAAGCAAACGACTTCTGGCTCAACTCCCACTCTCATCTCATCAAAAAAAAACCCCCAATTTCCTCTCCACGCTCGACTACTACAAACAGTCTTCCATTTCACCCTTCATTTTCTCACCACACACTCAATTCTACACCCACAACAAACAACTCAACCTACTCAACATGGCCCCTACACTAGCTCCCCGCTCCCGATCCATCACAAAGGCCATCCTCTCCAAGGAACAATCAGAGGGTGCCGGCGCCCGTGTCCGTCGATCCATTGGACGTCCTGAACTCCGCAACCACGACCCCTTCCTCATGCTGGACGAGTTCAACGTTGATAAGAACGGCGGCTTCCCTGACCACCCCCACCGCGGCTTCGAAACTGTCACCTACATGATCGAAGGTCAGTTCCAGCACGAGGACTTTGCAGGACACAAGGGAACCATTGGGCCTGGCGACTTGCAATGGATGACCGCCGGCCGTGGTATTGTTCACTCCGAAATGCCAGTCAAGTCGCAGACCCGTGCTCATGGACTCCAGTTGTGGATCAACTTGCCCAAGGAACACAAGATGTGCGAGCCCCAGTACCAGGAACTCCTCGACAGTCAGATCCCACGTGCAACTCCTCAGGACGGAGTCGTTGTCAAGGTCATTGCAGGAGAGTCCCATGGAGTCAAGTCTCAGGTCTACACCCGTTCACCCACCATGTACCTCGACTTTAGGATGGACAAGAACAAGACCGTGACCCAAACCATCCCCTCAACCTTCACCGGATTCATCTACATGCTCAAGGGTAAAGCCTACATCGGCAGCAAGGAATTCGAGGGCAACGCACACCATACTCTTACTCTCTCCGAGAACGGCGCAGAGACGGTCAAGATCCAAACCAAGGACGAGGATGCACACTTTGTGTTCATTGCCGGCGAGCCGTTAAAAGAACCCATTGTACAACATGGTCCCTTTGTCATGAACTCAAAGGAGATCTATGACACCTTTGTTGACTACCAGTTCAACCAGAATGGGTTCGAGCGTGCCCTCAACTGGCGCTCGACCATCGCTTAAATTATCTCCTCTTCATTTACATTAGTACCGTTAAATGGGGTTATCGTTGAATAAACATGAACAAAAACAACACACGAGTTGAAGACATGCCTTGCTTTGATTTGATCATCACCGCGTCCCCACACCCCACAGGCATGGCTGTTGTCTCCCAGTCGGGAGTGACAAAAAATAAAATAAAAAAAGGGAATGTTTGTCAAAACGCCGCCCCTCCTACGCCATTTTCCCCGCTATTCGTTTCATGTTCTCAGGACTTTAAATTGGATGGTACCGAAATGCCAATAAAAGCAGCACGGTTTCCTTGTCCATTCCTCTTTTTTTTTTCATCCTTCTATTATCTGGAGAGGCGAGATATGAGAGTCGCCCAACAAGACGCCGGGAGCTGCAAAGAGAACGGTAAGAGGCTATCGACCGTCTTGGATATGATTGTGTCAGAGTCCTCTCTGCCTTCATTCACACATCCTTCTGCCACACTATCCATATCACAGTAATAAAAAAAAAGGGCAAGTTCTTATTTCATCGCATCGTTTTGTCGCCACGGGTTGAGTTGACAAACATATGGATAACATGGCAAATATTTATTTTATTTCAAATCAAAAGGATGAACCTCTTCCTTTGAAGAAAGTTCAACAGGATGTGGTGGGATATCACTACTGAGTGCGAGTCCTAGCCCATTCTGCGGCCTCAGCGCCATATCCACGGCCTCTTTGGCTGGTTCAATTCCTGTTTCCTTTGATTCAACGACCAATGGCGTCCGTTGCGGCACAATCCGATAAGGCGAATTGGGCGTATCATCGTCCGCTAGTCGACGATGATGCCTCCCTGGCAAAAGCACTTCTTTGATCAAAGGCGAGCGCTCATTAATCTTTTTCCTAGGCGACGTCGATCTTGACACAGGCGATGACGTGACTGAACTGACTTCGTTGGCGGTTTCAGCCGCTTCTTTGAAACGCTGTGCATGTCGGTTGTCGAGAAGTGTCGGGTCCATGATCACAACGGGTGACCCCACCGAAGATTTATTGCCCGAGGCGAATGGCTGTGTCAATATCGGAGTCACTCTCAGACCCGGTTGTCGGCAACGACGGTGGTGACGCTGCTGTTCTTGCTGCTGCTGTGACGATGGTGGTAATTCTGTAACTCCTGTGATCATGGTATGTGCTGTTGCTCCTCCTGGTTGAAGACTATCTCCAGGTAAGACCGAATTCGGACGAACTCCTTGTAACTGCTGCTGTCGCTGCAACTCGATCTGCTGCAGCTGTATATGCTGTTCCAACTGCGCCTGTTCTGAGGTGACAGCGGACAAATCGAGATATCCAGTACTAGGACCAGGAACCTGCATAATACCTGTTCCTAGACCAAGGCGAAGATCCGATCCATCATCTGTAAGGAATACTGTGCGACCGGGTTGTAGTGGCGGCACTGGTATTTGCATAGGAGGAATCGCCGATTCAAGACTGAGTTTGTCTGTCGCGAACCCACAAGGGTATCCTCCGCCGGAACTGACCAATGTTACTCCCACCAACGGTTTGATCAAGATCGCCAGTAGCTCTATATTATAAAAAATGGAACGTAGGTAAGGGTCAGCTTCAGATACTCCATGCACACCTGTCCACATCCGATCAGAAGAGGACAAAGAGTTGATTACCAAGCTCCTCGATGACTTCTTCCAAGGCGGATGAAAAAGCATAGTAGTAGATGTAGGTGTAATGGTCCTCGCCTGTCTTTGCCTGGCGAGCCGCAATGGCTTGCCTGACATTGTAGATGACCCTCAAGCGGGCCATCCTCGCCGATGGCAAATAAGGCGGCAATGCGGTCTTGGAGGCCAGTGAGGACGACAGTACACTAAAGTACAGCAATAGAGTGCCAACCTAATGGCCATCATTAACGAAAACAAAAGTGTAAGTATCCAAATATCTCGGACCTAATCAATATGTTCAAGGACAAGCAACCTAAGGATTACCATATCGCGACGGTAATAGTTCATAGGCCCAGTGACCAGGTTGCGAACCTCAGTCGACAGCAACTGAGCAGCCATGCGCATCGAGACCATTCTGTCGAGAATGTTCTGGCAGCACTGAACAATCTGCTTATACAACTTTCCAGGAAAGTCCTCCTTCAGCCGGGGTTCCGAGGCAGAAAGATCCAACAATTGACGTATCTTGATCATCTTTGTCTGCAACTGGTGCTCTACGTGCTGAAACGCCAACTGATCCGCATCCAAATAGTACTCTTCTTGATGGCTGTCTCCATCCGAAAGCCCTTCACCTGGTCGATGAAGTTGCTCATCCTGTCGTTGCGAAGGATCAATTACATATCGTGTTGAGACTTTCCTGCCGCTTCCTGTGACCGACTTGGACCCCATGCTCAAGGGGTCTCGACTCTCCATATTAGAACTTCTTTCATCTTCCGCTTCATGCTTAGTATCCTCCTGATCCTTTGATGACCCATCCGAATAGCTGCTAGCCTTCTCATTGTCAATGTCAGCTTGGCGCTCCAAAAGCTGTCTTCCTCTCGGCGTCGACTCCTCCAGGAAGTATCTATTGACCAGTTCCGCGAACAACACGCCTTGTCGACCAATCAACAAAGCAATCTCTTTTCTCAGCCCCCGACGCGCAAGGACCGGCCACAGGAATGTGTTGAGTATGACAGAGATTAAGATGCCGATGATCATGGTGACGGCGACCTTGTAGGAGGTCTCGAAGATGTTGTCCTCTGTCCGCCCATGGTATAGCCCAAACACGATCGAGTTGTACGAGAGCATCATGATGACCCCCATGGTCGGATGTGTCGAAATCAAGATACAATACGCCCCCGTGAACGCTAGTGCATATACAATTATGAAGAGTTGTTAGCGTCGGCTGTTTAGTCTCATAGCCAATGATGCTTTCAAGGAAGTTGTACTTACTGATGAATGGCATCATGGCCAAGATGACAAAGGGGTTCTTGGGATAGGCCAGATAGGTCAACATGGCCCACAGGATTCCGACCAGAGTACCACCAACGCGCCAGGCACAGACACTAAACGTTGCCCCAATCGTCGGTGACAACACCGCGACGATCGTCATCATCACCCACTGTCCCCTGTCCGTCGCCAGCAGCGTATACGTCCACCCAAGCCAAGCCCAAAGTCCAACAAATGTCAATGCCGTTGCCATCTTCAACCCATACCGAACTTCATCCGATTTGAACTCTTGCAAGAACTCCCAGACCCGGAACCGCAAGGACTTTGGTTTGGGCATGTTCACAAATGCCGGCGGTGATGGTAGAGGGAGTGGTGCCGATGCTGCTGATCGGTGCCTCTTCTTCTGATATTTTTCGTCCAGTCTAGAACCTTCCTTTGGATGTCGGCGCGTGAAGTCGGCGAATGCGCTCTGAGTTCGTTTCCTTGGCGACTGTATCTCATACCCCCTGACTGCCTCTTGCTCAAAACTACTGACCTCGCTGTCGTCGCCATCGTCGTTCTGATCTGTATATGTCACCTTGCGAAGCGGCACTCGGCTAGGCCGGTGCTGGGATGATGGATGAGGTTCTGCGACCCGGTTCTTGGAACGTGATGGAGAAGCTGCTGTTCCTGTAACATGCGTTGTCTGGGGGATCCTGTCCAGTGGATGAATTTTTGGTGAGGCGGAGAGGTGTGACCGAATGGTAGCGACCTTGGGTGAAAGTGTACTTGTTAGGTGCATATCGCTCGAGCCGTTATCGGTAGAAGGGCGCCGATGTAGCGAATGATGGCTAGGTATGTCGACGACGGTGTATTGTCCTCGCTGGCGGGTTTCAGCCCCTTCCGCAGTTGAATCATCCTGAGAACCCACCACCTCCAATGCACTTCCGCTCCGGTCAAGTGAAAGTGGGTGTACGGGTATAACTGGCTGCCGCGCGTCCGTTGAATGACCACCAGTTCTGGCATTGAATGGCAGAAGCGTTCGTGCTCGTGCATGACGATTCGTCGTCAGGGCGAATCTTCCGGGTTGCGGAGCAAATTGAGTCGAGTCGCCTCCGTCCCCTTCCAGATCTCCGGAATGCCCTGCTGGTCTTGTAAAGATGGCGGACATGGTCATGGACCTCCTCGGCCAGGGAGCATCCCACGTCTCAGAGTTTCGACTTTGTCGCACCCTATCCCGTTTTTCCAGCTCCTCTCTTCTAGCATTCTCTGCCGCGACTCGCTTCGCTTCCCGCTCTGCTGCCTTCGCCGCCTTAATCACCACGTGAGCTTTTTCCTCCGCAAACAGTCGAGGTTCCCGGCGCTCAGGGTTCCTGGTCGACCTCATCACCAAACCCGAAAAGCCCTCGCTAGCTCGAGCTTGGGAGTAACTTCCCCAGGCGAACCAGTGCTCAAAGTTGCCAATCACTTTAGGCCACCAGAGTCGCTTTTTCGGCTTATTGCGCCCGTCCAACTCCATCTGCAGCTCCTGTTTGCGCTTCATCTCCTCCAGGTGCATCCCGAGTCGTAGCAGCTCCCGTCCAATCTCGCGAAGTGCAAAGATGAAAAAGAAGATGAGGAAGATTTCCTCCCTGGGACCGACGTCCAGGGTTGGGTGGCTGGCGATGAATCCTCGGAGTCCAGCTGCCTCGGCTTGGTCAAAAATCTCGAGCTCTTGAGTCAGGTACTGCACATACGACATGTCGCCAGGAAGAGGTGCGTCGCCCTCATCCTCTTCAATGCCACTTCCAGAAAGTACGCCCGCGTTTGATAGTTGGAATTTCCTGGGGTGGATGCTGTTTGCGGGTATCCCTGACTTCGACACCCTGCGCTTCTTCTCCATGTCTCTCGTACTCCTGACCACATCCACAAAATCCAGTTCGTTCCGCGTCAGATCTGTGGATATCCCGATCTTGAATAGAACTCGCTGCCAAAAGGAGCGCGGGGTCTCGTTTCTCGCATCATCATTGCCAGCATTATGTGTTGATGGGTCTAACGCTGCTCGTCGAACAATCGCATCCCCGTGAGATTTCCTCTTCATAATACGCTCCATCCTGTCCCTCTCCACATTCAACTCCATGACAAGCTCCCGCTCCATCGTGGCCATCGATCTCGAACAAGAGTCGCTCAGTCTCTGCAAGGGCTCTCGTACAGTGTCCAAGAAAGATAAAAACAGCTTTCGATCGCCAAATGCGACCTCCTTGGGTGGGACGTCCTTGGCTGCATCGTCCTCCCGTTCCTGCTTCGCCCATCGTTTGTGTTCCACCTTGGCTCTGCGCTCAACCTGCTTGCGAGACCACTTCTTCTCCTTCATCTTGGCCGCAAACGCTTTGGCGGCCTTGTTAACCTGGTATTCCGACATTGACCCTGATGCGCCGTGGCGGACCTGTAGTTTCTCAAGGAAGCCACCATTGCTAGAGCCAACCCCCGCGCCTCCATCTCCGTGTGCGCCTGAAACTTCCGCTCCTGATGATGGTAACGGTAATCCTGATTCTGGTGAGATTCCTGCTCCCCCACCGGGTCCTGACCGAGCATTCAATGCTTCCACGTTTCCCGACCCTTTCCGCTTCAGTTGACGATTGTCCTTCCCGGAACTGGACTTTTGGTGAAATGAGGAGCGACGTGGTTTGAATATCGCAGTCGAAACTCCAGAAAATAGGCTGTCAGATCCTTTCAGCAGGTTGTCGATGCGATCACTGTCCACTGAGCTTGAACGGCATGAGCCTTGGTCACCTCTAAGATATGGCAATGAGACCGATGACCGTATAATGGGAGCGGCGATGGGCAACTGACCCGGGGAATTAGAGCTCCCACCAGTGCCAGTTGACAAACGAGACTTAGAAACCCTCTCGAAAGCGCCTGCACTACGTCCACCTCCAACGCTACCTCCTGTTCCTCTTGGACTCGATGGAGTTGTAGCCGACTCACGAACGTAATCCCCAAGACTTTGCGATCGCGCGTCTCTCTTCCGCCATTCATCAGTTTCCTGCGATTTGCGGGCCTGTAAGACCGCGTCTGTCGACTTTTCTGCTCGTATGAGGAGTTGCCGGATTCTTCGCAGCTCTACTGCACTCCCTCGTTTGTACTTCATGTCACCGCTACGGCCTCCACGACCACCTCCAGTCATTGAATCGCTCGCGATATCTCCATCACTCCCATCGTCGCTGTCATTCCCGCCAGTACTACGGTCGTCACTACTTGTCGTGTCCTGGCCATCGCCACTCTCCGTTTCCAGGTCATCAATCTCTCGATCTGGATGGCCCAGCATCAACAACCGCTCGTTCTGGACCACAAGACTCATCGATCCTAAATGGCGCATCAGCGCCGAGACTACCACACGAACCTCCTTGTAATCAGCTGGGTCCGTCGTCGCAAAGGTTACCTCATACCGAGCCTCCCGATACGCTGTGAATAGTTTCTTTTGTGCGTTCCTGACCTCTGTCTGTGCGTTCTCAATGACGGACTTTGGGAGAGCGATGGTTTTGTGGTTGAGTAGGAAGGATCGTGTGCTGAGGTTCAGGAGCACTCGTGATGTGTCAAGCGATTCACTCAATGCACGGCTAATTATTTGTTTGAGAAGGATGCGACCGATTAGTTAAAGTTATTGAGTTATTGTACGACGAATGTACGCTAACCATTGTCAACTGGACAAACTTACCCAAGTCCTTCACTGGCAGTCTCGGGCCAGAACACAATACTGACGATCAAGCAGATCCCAACCCCAATCATTATAGGTCCAATCAATGCCCAGTACGCATGAATATTAAACTTGACATTGTCATTCGTCTTGCTGTACCCAAATATGTTGGCAATCGTAAAGATCAGGAACGTGCAGGTCAGCTTTGCATACCGCGCCTTCAACGTCGTCATGATCCAGATCCCCACAAAGAACCATGCCGCCTCAATTGCCCACGAGACATGTCCATCCGCTTCAAGTGCTCCATGCTTTGCGAAAAACTGTTGGTTGTAGGCGGCCACCGAAACTTGACAGGGAATAATCCAGGCTGTTGCAATGATCGCACCAATCACGCTAAATAGGGTCACCTCCAGTTGAGAACCCACAGTCCGGGCCGGGTGCATGAAGACGACAGTAATATTTGCCAGAAAGGGCATGGGTCCCAAGAAGTTGGCGACTGGACGGATCAACGTCAGGGAAGAGGAGAGGTACAATGCGACCATGAAGCGGAGATGACGTTTCAGGACACGATTTGAGAGTTGGTTCCTGAACTTTCTCCAGAGTGAAGGTGTGGATGGAGGTGGGGGTGCAAAAGGGACAGAATTGGTACTGTCCATCGATTCGCTTGAGATGGGGAGGGGTCGAGCGCTGGAATTGATTGAGGGCTGGGTGTATCCAGATGATTCCTGAGGGTTTCTTGCGTCACCTGTTGCCCGAAGGCTTTTAGTCTTCTTGTTGGGCAATCCCGACGACACCAAGTCAAAAAACCTGTTGGAGCAGATGCAAAAGGGCACAATGGTTACAATGTTAGAGAATAATCGTGAACAATGTTTGATAATACCCTGGAATAAAACAGTCATCAAGAGATACTTGCCCTGGTTGCTCTTGGGGTATGAAGTCTCCATGTCCAAAAGGGTTTCCCGAACTACCGCCAGCGATCGAGTTTCGTGAGCGGGTGAACGAGAGAGGGCATGTGACAGTCGGGGCCTCCATGTTTGGATCGAGCAGTGGTTCAGAGCGACTTGACCTCCTCCCACCCTCAGATTGCCGACGCGGTTGCGCCGCCGATCCGAGATCTAACAGTCCCGATGGTGCTGGTAGCGATAGTTTTGAATGGATACTGTAGTGTCGATGGTTTGGACCCGCAGAATGGGGTCTGCAAAAGTCAGACGGGCTGAATTGTTGTCGTCCGTATGCGGCACTGTCAGAGGGCGACGAGATGTTGTTTTCACTCACGACGGCATTGTCGGTTGCATTGTCCTCGTCCAGGAGTGTAAAGTGCAAAGAGGGGGTAAAAGACGCCGAAACCAACTGATTTGGGGTTTCAGAGGGCTGTTGGTCTCTGCCAACAGGCGACAAAGACCTCGCGACTTCTAAGGTTCCTGCCTCATACTTTTTGTCATACTCCTCGTGCTCAGAGTCCTGCTCCATGCGTTGATCGAATCTAGACGAAGTGTCTACTGCGTTGTTGTTGTTATTGTTGTCTAGTGGGAGATGGCAGGTCAGTTGGCTTTACGGCAAAGAGTAATCACTATGAACATTGGGGTGAATGTATAAGGGAGATGGCAGCCTGCCTGCCTTTACAACTGCATCTCTGTCCTCTGTCGCAGTTGTTAAGGACGCTCTGGAACAAGAACTTGTGTGTCCGTACAAGCCGGAATGAGGTGTCATGGTCAAAGGTCACCGTGGAACCAACCATGGAGGCATGTCGTGTGAAGTGCTTTGGACGGAAGCGTGAGTGGGGTTTCGGGTAGCGCATGCAGGGCACGCGTGGGAGTCGGAGAAACAAAGCGCGTTATTTCTGTGAGATGAAGTAGGGCGTTGATTAATGGTACTGGAAGCGTCATCAAAGCCACAAACAAAATTGGTGGCAAAAAGAGCTGTTATTTATCTCCATGATTTTGAATAAAAAAAACTGTATGTATTAGTCCAGTCTCTAGTCAATCTTGACGGCAGAGTAGATCCTCCTCACAAACCAGTACGTGCTAATAAAACCCGCTGTGCCCGTCAAAAGTCCATATGCAGTGCAGACCATAAAACTGTTGGCAAAGTAGATCAAACCTGGCACAAAGTGGTCGATCGACAGCTGCTTGAAGAAATAGATCATGCTATACACAAAGATGTACACCGCAGAGAATGCCGACGCAAGGAAGCTCCTCCACCACCAGTTGTAGTCCTATGTTGAGAAGGGAACAATAAGAAAGAAGAAAATGTTATCAGTCTCGCGTTGACTATCAACGTGTACTGTATATGCACATGCTCATGAGGCCCACGGATCTTACCTCATCACATAACTGGAAATAAACAATGACGAGGGTCATCTCCACGCATGTCACAAGCAAGATCATAAACACCAAGCTCAGGAAGCCAAACATGTAATAGTATTGTCCTTCCCAGATAGACTTGAGAATAAAGAACAACTCGATGAAAACGACCGCAAATGGTAGCAGTCCGCCCATAGCAATCCTAGAAGGTAAAACATGAGTAAAAACGACACGCAAAGTCAGCTCTCGTCCTAAGATATCCGCCAACGAATAATCATCGTATATACATAGTACGCCTCATAGAGAACGAAGCACTTACGTGAAGAGAGGACGGAGGTACCAGACAGGCTCAGGGATCTGGCGAGGGATTTGGTTGGTGCGCCCTGGGTGCTCGATAACCGTCTTGCGCTGTCCAAAGTACGCACCAACCAAGTTCAAGGGCAGCGAGATTCCGAACCACATTACAACCAATGCAAAGAAGGTTCCAAAGGGAATGGCATTGGAAGAGTTCTGCGACCACACAAAAAGGTTTAACAAGAACACGATCGTCATGAGGAATCCAGGAACAAGAGTTGCAGTCATAATGGCGTTTTTGGTCCATGAGCTGCCTTTAAAGACCTTGTACAGACGAGCAGAGTAGTATCCCGCAAAGCAACTAGGTTGTGGTAGAATATACAAATAGGAGAGGTGTCAATGAAGGTGTACTTGTCTGTGATGCACAGTGTTGATGCCCCTATATTAAAACTCCTTACCCTGCAAAGACAAACAAGAACAGGCCGAACGACACAAATCCTCCACGGTACGAAGGGTTCAGCACACCAATAAGCGCAAACACTATTGATGGAATGAGAGAAGAACATATAAGTATGATAGAGATAAGGTAGTTACATATCTGTCCTCAAAAATGTTCGACTTACAAATGGTGGTAAGGGCCATGGCCAGGATTTGGACACCAGAGCCCAAAAGACAACAGAGGAGAGAGGAGTACTTGGGAGTACGGAAGACGTCGCCGTGGACAAGTTTCCATCCAGTGGTATCGTCGTGCTCATCTTTCATCTCCTCCTCATTATACAGAGCAATGTCCTTGTTGAGGGTCCTCATGATAATGATGGCGACCATTCCTGTGAGGAACAGCATGATGACCATCGAGTTGACGATCGAATACCAGTGGACTTGAGTGTCAGTGTTAACAAGATAGAGGTTCCAGCGGGTGCTCCATGTCACCTCCTTGTCCTCGAGCCACAGTACTGAATAGGTGAAAGTAATATCTGTTGTCTTTTCATTCAGTGGTTGAAACTCCTGAAGTTTGCCTTCATCGGGGCAGCTCTCTCCGAGGATTCTAAGCATGGTCAATGGTGAGATGTCAACCCGTCCGTTAGTATCCCGTTATACTCCATATTTGCTTCCCAGTTCACAGAACCTCTGTCAATGGTCAATGATCCTGTAGACTTACGAGAGGGGGTAGACTTCAAACCCAACAATGAGCTTTCCGTCCGGGTTGCCAGGCTGAACTTGATACAGAATGCGGATGGTGACATGGTTGTTGATGTTGATCTTTCCCTAAAAGATGTGTCCGTAGGGTCAATTACAGCAAGCGTTTAGTTTGAGGTGTGATCCTGCCTTACGAGAATTTTGTCCGGTATGTGATTTTTGTCCTTGTCGGTGGGTACCAGGGGGAGGTGGTAAACAGTCAACATACGTATTTCATCTTGCCCAGTGCGAATCCTGCTTCGTACTGCTTGTGCTTCTTGTCTGTCTTGTCCCCTACGCTGTATCGTGTTGCTGCTGGTAGATTATCAACAATCCTATCAAAAGAAAACAGAGAATACACGTAGGAATCAATGCTCAGTCCTAGTCCCGCGTAATGTGTGTTAGGATGTTCATATTGCGAACATCTCCTATGGGCAACGTATAGCTTACCACTCGACAGAGTATTCGTTTGAAATAAAGTCCTTTGCAAGAGCGGCATCCTCTGCGGCGACTGTTTTAGTACAGAGCGTCTTGCACTTTTCGTCCTTGCCCACGATCAACTGTATTCAAGTCCCAAGTAAAGCAATACAACAGGGTCAGACTCAGGTAAATTATGCTGTCCTTTCAGGAATAAGACAAAGGAGCCAAGTTTTACCTCGTAGTTGGAACTTGAGATGCGGTCTCCTCGGAGGACCTCGCCCAGGTTCAGCCAGGCCTTCTTGGCATCCTTGGGCGGTGAGCAGACAAAGGGCAGGTCTGCATAGGAGTAGTCGAGGGGACTCTTTTTGGAAAAGATTTTGTTGACAAAGAGAGGAAGGCGGTCATTTTCCTTGTAGACCGTTGGAGTTAGTCCTGGGATGTAGAATGCCGACACAGGCAAAGGGGTTGAGGCGATGGCTACAAGAACGGATGCCACAAGAGAGCCGATGACTCTCGTTGTAATTGTGACCATTATTATGTTGATTTGGTTAGATGGTGCGCCCTGTGAGTGTCCTGTGGATGCCGTGAAGTAGTGAGAGTTCTTTTTGATGACAAGAGTCGCTGTGGATGTAAGCTGGGTTGGTCGGTTGGTCGGGGTATGTGTTTTTTGGGAGATGAAGAGGAATAAAATACATGTAAAGAGAAAGTGTCACCAAAAAATAGAAAAAGAAGGGGGACGGTTGGGCTGAGTGGAGGGCGACCACCTTCGTCTTCTGCAGAAATGCTCCACTTTCAAATGTCTCTGTGGCTTGAACACAAAATAACCTTGCCCTTCTTTTCTTTCCCTGAACATTGAGCGCGTGTGAACCATCTTCTTCTCCCTCTCAAGGACACTAGTTACTGGAACCGCCAACTATTAATACATTAATAACTACTAAACAACTCAACTGGGAGTAGGAATGGAAAACTCAGGCAAGGGTACCTCTGCTACAAACGGCGGCTGCCACTTGGGCGAGGGGTCCGTCAACCAGTCCGTCGGATCCATCGACATCTTCTTAAACAACACATACGCCTCCGAATAAAACCCGTCCTTCTCCTCCACAACATCCGCATACTGCCCCAGCTTGCTCAGGTAATACGCCTGTACAAACTGCATCCCCTGCGTCTGGGACCTCGACCGCTCCCAGCCTCGCAACAGCTTCTGGTATCCTTCCCGTTGGTGAAAGGCACCCTGGAGGATGAAGCACCGAATAGAGTCGGCCAGGGTCATAAAACACTCGCTGACGGTCTGGAACGGATCCTGGCTCAGACACTGGATCACCGGTCGAAGAATCAGTTCCGTATCGCTCGCAAGGAGAGGGTCCACTGGGATGTTCACAAGACTGGGACTGGCGCTATCGAGAAGCACAAAGATCGCCATCACTACAAACGCGCAGCTCATCAACGGAAAAGGGTGTGCGGCAACGCCTTGATCCGCTATTCGCTCCGACAAGAGCGTCGCATAGATCTTTGTCTTGTTGAACTGGCCCATCTTGGCATAGTAGTACGACAGCATGCCATGCATCACCAACATGTTCATCAGCCGAGCCTTGGGTAAGATAAACCGCTCAACCAAAACCACCCAGCTCTCGGCATCCCTCAATCTGTCCTGGAGCAGCAGATTGGCGAGCGTTGGGATGGCAAACAGAGTCTCGCCCTCGGAGTCACCATTCTGGATAGCCACCGCAGACATGGCGCGGAGCAGTGCGGAGTCCTCAGGGTGGACATTGAACGACCCCTCCCACATCCGGTAGCTGCACTTCAAGGTCACCGATCGGTAATACGTCGCCAGGTTGCTGACCACTCCAAATGACTTGCTCTCGTTGATCGCTTCCGACAGATAAGCGTGTGCGCGTTCCCGATGGCCCTCACAGTACGCCACATACCCCTGCATCGACGGTAGCATCCCCTCGGTTCCCTCTCCAGCGTCGTTGGCAAGGCGAGCCTTCTGCATGTACTCCCGGCAGGTATGATGGTTGCCCTTGAAGTAGTTGAGGATCGCATAGCGGCCCAAGGACACCGTCTGCTCACCCGAGGGAAGACCCAGGCGTCGAGAATAGTTGAGTGTGTAGAGTGTCGACAGCATGGCAGCGTTGGGCTCTGTTTTCCAAAAGTAAATGTTCTGGAGACAGCCCAGGACACGGATGATCCTCTGGAGTGTGATCTGCGTCCTGGCATCGACTTTGGCCTTGACCGACTTGCCAGGAAGAACTAGCCCAGGGGTGGTGCCGCCGTGGTAGTGAAAGATGAACTTTGTCTTTTCAACAAACAACGCCATCTTCCACTGCTGAGAGTTCTTGGGCCAATGGACTCCATAGCGCGCCAGACTGTCCAACAACGCCGGCTCAGCCTCCTCGATCCGCATCCGCTTCGACAGGGCTTCTCCCTTCATGCCGTAGATTTCCGCCAGATCCTCCTGACTGACCATGTTGGCGGCGCCTCGGACTGTATCCAGGATCTGAATCAGCCCTGTCAAACTCTGTGTCGCGTCGGGCAGCATATTACTCTTGAGGTCGAACGCCGAGATTGCCTTGAGGTACTTGATCTTCTTCTCGGTATGGTCCGTCTTGAGGTAGTGTCGGGTGATCAACGGCAAGAGGTCCGAGAACTGGGCGGGCTCCAGGAACGCCTCGTAAAACTGACCCATCGTCAAATGGTATCCTACTCGCTCCTCATACGGGATGGACTCGTAGATATCCTTCGCGGTGGATTCGGAGCTGAACATGTACAGGGTGTTCATCGACAAATTGTCTGAGAACTGCACGTTCATCAACTGCTCGGTGGCAAGCGACAGGAACCGGAACGTGTCGAGGTCGCTGATCAGCGTCGAGAAGGACCGTCCTGGCTCCGGGACCCCCAACATCGTCTCCAGCGGCCGAATCGCTGCTACCTCCGCCAGCGAGAACTGCTCTCCCAGACAGCTGGCAATCTTCAAAAAGTCCTGAAACCGGGCTGTCATCCGATCGTACTGCATCAGAATCATCTTTTTCCTGTCTTGCTTGACCAGCATCTCCTCCATGTTCTTGTAGGACGGCGTTTGGATGGACTCCTTTCCTGTCGTCAGCAGCTCTCCGTCCACAATGTTGACGAAACAAAAGTCCTTGAGCATAGTGGTCATGTTCTTGACAAACTTGGGGTTACCCTTGGTCTTTTCCTGAACTAGCTCAATGACTGCCGGATTGATCCTGGTGACATTCTTGTCCTCGAAAGTTTTGAGCAGCGCCAGCTCAATGTCTCTCCGTTTGAGGCCCTCGAGTACAATCTCCAAATGCTTGGCATGACCTGTGAGGGAGTGAAGGGGGTTGCTGCCGTAATCGCGCTGTGGTCGAGAAAAGATTACCACCAAGACAGCGGGGCATCTCTCATGGATCACCTGAATGATCTGCAGCGACTTGCTGTCCGTCCCTATTAGAGTCAGTAAAGAAATATTCAGTGGCCTCGAACCTTTTGGTATGATATGCCCTATTACTATGCGCAATCTAAGATGGGCTCCTTACATTGGACGTCCTCGAACATGACGATGATTTTGACAAAGGTGCTGGCGTAGTTGAGCATACGCACAATAAAATCCGCCAGCATTTTGTCGTCGCGATCATTCATCACCGGTGCCGAGTTGTCGGACGAGAGTGCGGCGATAATGTCGTGCAGCATATGCATTATCTCGTCGCCTTCGCCCATCTTTTGCAAGGAGACGTTGATGAGCGATTGGAGCTTGGTTATGTACATCGAGCTGCGTTTGGTTGCGGTAGGGTCGCTATACTGACTGATCGCCGGGCCGAGTGACAGGTCCCAAGGGGAGCTGGAGGCCATACTCGACCGGACAGAAGGACCAAAATGTGAGCTAATGGGCGAATAGACGCTGTTGGCCGAACACGGTGTTCCCCCTACGCTCTCGTCCAAACCGCCGCTGACAATTGTCGACGCCATCGTTGTAGGTGTCCAGTTCTGAGATTCATAGTTGGCCTGCCCAATCGCCATCCCGAGATCGAGGTGCGTCCTTCCTGCGTAGGGGATTTCCCGCTTCCGCATGATGTCGAACAATCCTAACAACAAGAATTTGCACAGGTAGTACTCTGTGTTCTTTTCAACCTCGGCCGACGCAGCGGAGCAAACGTTGTAGTTGTTTCTGTCAGCAATGTGACAGATCTGCTGGTAGAACATACTTTTGCCCGATCCTCTGGGTCCTGCAACCAAAATGGTGTTCTTGTCGGGCTCCTTCTCCCACGTTTTGATGAACTGTGAAACCTTTTCCCTCTCGGGCTCGTACCCAATCGTCTCATCCACCATGATATCGTCTGGTCGTCGGATCTGCTTCTTGGCGCCGAAATGAACCAGCCTCCAGACACGTATCCGCTGCATCTTGCCCTTCACAAACTCTTCACCCATATCCTCAAACTCGCAGAGCCCATCATGGTCCGAAGTACAGGCCTCCTTGGTAGCATCATCACAGACAACGGATTCGGTGGCGTAGTCAAACTTGAGGATACGAACAGCAATCACAATCGTGTCTCCGACAATGGCTGGATCCCGACGGAACTCGTTCCCGATCATGCTGGTGAAGATGACGCCTGTGGCCAACGAGATCTTGAATCCATGGATCCCCTCTGCCAAGAGTCTCCGGCGGATCACCCAGGCTGACTTTGCTGCAAACACCGCCTCGCGCTCATGCGATCGTGGATAAGGAAGTCCAAATGCACATAGCAGTGTCGCGCCCTTGTCGTCGACTGCGAACTGTTGAATGAAGCCTGAGATAGTGTGATGATGATGGAGTGTTTTTGTTAAGTAAATGTTCTTGAATTCCTCTTTTTGTCCATTGCACTGCGAAGAGCAGCAAAGCTTCAAAATATATAGTGTGCCTACCTTCATACTCAGAGGTGATTTTGTGAACTTGATAGATGGCCTTTTGACAGGTGTCCAGTCCCTCCCGTGTCCATGGCTTAACATCCCCGAGACTCACAAAGAGAATCGTTACTGTCCTGAACTGAGCCGGGAAAGTGTTATCGGGGTACAGGATAAGTCGATGAATCGCCGACTTGTTAATGTATCTAAAAAAGACGTAGAGAATAGGTCACAAAATGTTAAAAGAACGCCACCAATTTTACCTTACAGACAAATAGAAACAATACCACCACAAGCTGCCATGCTTACTTGTAGTAGTGTGGGTTACTCTCTACGGAGGTGTTAAGCAGTTTGTCGTTCCTGATACGCCTGAGCAAGGGGTCATCATTAGCCGACTGGATGTTCTTCAGAATAAAGCATTGTCTCCGCTCCTCATACCAAGGGTAAGCTGTTGGGTTGACAAAGCTCCACGCCGCCGCCGTAATTGTGAGTTCTCCAGCACGCGCCATACCAAGTGCATCGTCAATTGTCGACATTTGCTCGCCACAAATGGCATACTCCAATCGGCCAGTTGTTTGTAGCAAAAGATTGTCAAGTCCGTTCTCCAGTCCAATGTCGCCAATGATGATATTCGCTATTGCGAAAACATGGAGGGCGAAGGTGATATGAGTGTGCGTTGTTCATCTACATGCTAGACTTATTGGATCAATGCAGCCTCCTATTTGACTCACATATTGGTCCGGCAGACATGGCCATGTGTAGCTGCAGTTCGAACGAGTCCTCCAAGAGATCCTCTGGTGTGATATTCTGACGATCGCTCTGTGAGGACGAGTGCGTGAAAAGATTCTTGGCGTTTGAAAAAAAAGATGCCGCGCGATTGCTTTTTGAGGTTGTCGATCCTGGCCTGCTTGGGGTCATCAAAGAGTCATCCCACTTCCTGTGGCCACCAGCGATATCGAGGTTGTTGCTGGAGGAAAACTTGTTGGGCATTCCGGATGAGTTATTGTTGGTTGGAACTGAAGATCGGCGTGTAGTTATTCCATTGTTGCCGTTGCTGCTGTTGTTGTTGTTGCCATTAGAGTTGGGTCGACTGATGGGCACGCTTAAGAAGGAGCTGGCGCTGATACTGCCATTTCCACTGATGACTGTCGCATTGGTATATGTGTTGTTCCATTGGTTGTTACTGTTTCCACTCTGGTTCCCGTTTGATGGGAAAAGGTTACAGTTGCTTCCGTCATCATTTCCTCCGTATCCTGAGCCATCATCGACATTCGGTCCGGAGAATTTTCGAGAGAATTCTTTTTCGGATAGGTAGATACGGTAATTTGACAGTCGGGCTAGGAGCTCCAGTCCACACTCTACAGCCTTGCGGACGGTGACCTTACTCCTGCGTGATGCTGCAGCAGGCTCTTCGGTGGTGGGTGAATCCATGGGAGTCAGGTTGTTTGAGTCATCTGTTTGATGGTCATCGCAGACAGGGTCGGGTTGAAATACCACCAAAAGCGCATCTCCGAGGAACTTGATTGCAGTGTAATTCAGAAAGGTTGGGGTGTTATTTTTTTGTTAGGTATCTTCATTCCTTATGTGATTAACAGCATTATAAAACGCGAGCCAACATGAGATCAGGAATGAGAGCAACAGAACAGACTGGAGAGAAAAGGGCTTACTTTGACAACGTCGCCTCCATGGTATTCAATAATCCGGATGGCAAGATCGAAATAGGTGCCGATCTGTGAGGAGAGCATTTCTGCACCGACATCTCCCTTTGAAGAAGCGGTACTTGTCATCTAAGGAGATGTGAGAAATGTGAAGGCAAGATGGATGCGAGCGAGGGGGGTGGAGGGAGAGGAAGATATATTAATATTGACGGAGGATATTTTTTGACAGCCAGGGCGACAGACCATTTAGTTGGGAGGTGTCCAAAAAAGGATTGGCGGCCTGGTTAATGTTAAGCCATGCCAGGATGGGACATATATGTTCGAAGGCGTTTGTTTACTTGTGGGGAGTGGAAAGAGAGAGTGTGGTGGGCACATTTCTCTTGGTGAAAATAAACGTTTTTGGGGGCGCAGTTTTGTCAGAAGAATCGAATGAGGGTGGGGGTGGTCTGTGTGTAGAGAGCATCGCTGACTGATCACTCTGATATCGAACTGATGGATCATAGGGTATGTATCAGAGATGACAGAGATGGATTACCTGACTGAAACCGACAATGTCGACCATGAGCACGGCCCCAAACTGCGTGTAGTGGAACGGCATCTCCAGGTTGCGTTCCTCCTCGTCATGCAAACTGCGCACAAACCTATTTTTTTTTTGGTTTTGGTTTGTGCATGTGGATGTTAGAGGGTGGTCAGTGCCGTACCTTTTTCACTTTTTTTCCTCGCCTTTTCAGTCTCACTCATTCCATTCTCCTTTATGCACATTTATTCGTCACATTGCAACATGCATTCGGACTTGCCTTGACATGTAAGGCGCAATGTTGATGGAGGGTGAGCTGCTGCCATTGGACATTGTGAATGTATGAGAGTAGAAGGGAGTAAAGTTGGAATAGAGGATGGAGTAGGGTTTGCTGCCTCCACAAGCTAGTCGGGCTGTTATTGCTATTGTTGTTGGATTAGGAAGAATGAATGCTGCAGGGTCTTCTTTTCATGTTCGAGCGGGAACAGTACTTGGAGGGAGAATAACTTTTTCCGTGTGGAGGAAAGGGAGTTATCGAAAAGAGAAGAGAGAAATATCGCCAAGTGGATATCAACAGCAAAACTGGGAGAAACGGGTAAAGAAACAACGATGAAAGCGGGTGGAGCGTCAATAATAAGTAGGGAGGATGGAGTGAGAAGAAGAAAAAGGGAAGATGAGGAAGAAGACAGAGGGAAGCAGAGAGAGAGAGAGAGAGAGAGACAGAGAGATGGCGGGGAAGGGTCAAGGGAAATGGAATGGATGAGGTTTCAAAAGGATTGGAGGAGACGCGAGGGGGCTGGGAAGAGAAGGAAGAGGGAGAGAGAGAAAAAAGCGAGGAGAGAAGGAGAGAGTAGGATGAAAGAGAGACAAAAAGAGAGGGAAGAAAGATATGGATGAAGGGAAAGGGAAATGGAAAGGCACAACGATAAAAAGATGATCGACTGTAGAGAAAGAAGGTCAGAAGTCAGAGAAAGAGACAGCGAGAATAGCAACAAGAGATCACAAAGGGAAAAGAGAGAGAAAGGCAGAGACAGAGAGAAACGCAACGACAGGCGACAAGGGGGAGCAATGAAGGAGAACAACAAAGAGCGAATGATGTTATGCGAGGGTGGCAATTGAAGTATATAAAAAAAGGAGGCGTGTGTGGTGCAAGGAGTGTAGGTAGTATGCTTGGCTGTTGGATGATGTGTGTGTGTATGTATGTATGTAAGTATGTATGTATGTTTGTATGCGTGTATGCCTGGTATCGTGCATGCACTTAGGCAAGATGTCGCATACCATTCCCCGAGGGAGCATACGTGGTCGTAGCGATACCCAGCGACTCCTTCCACTATCCGTCTCCTCTGCACTTCTATCTACCCGGACGTCTTTTCCTTTTTCCTATGGGCCTCAAGTTGGCTGCTGGAAAGAGAAACGTTCCTTGTCTCCTGATTGGCTGTCTGCTGGATGCTGTCAATTAGACATTCGTAATCAATTACAGAATAGTCACATGACATTGTGACTGTGATCATCTCTGACCCTCCTTTCCTCTTCACCAACCAAACAACAAACAACAACAAAAAAAAAAGAAAAAAAAAAGCACACGCACATTTTCTTCCTTTTCTCTCTCTCTCTCTCTCTTCTCCTTCTCTTCTCTTTCTCTCTCTCTCTCTCCTCATCCTTACCCCTTCCCTTCCCTTCATCTCTCTTTTTTGATCTCTCGAATCAAAAAAGATCTCTCACCCTCTTTCCCTCTTCCTTCTCACACTTTTAACTACAATGGCTTTCGGTATGTTTGTTGATCAGTCTTATTTCACCCATCACTCGCACACTCACTTGACATAACACTCCTCCCCCCCCCTCGCACTCCAATCGATAACATTGACAGCACAGCACCTTATCACACTCTCTCGCAAACACCAATATGAGAAGTATAACTAACAATCCATTGCTTCCTCAAAAATAAAAAAATAGGTGATCGTGGTGGCCGTGGCGGCGGTGGTCGTGGCGGTGGACGTGGTGGCTTCGGCGGTGACCGTGGTGGTCGCGGCGGCGGACGTGGCGGTGGACGTGGCGGTTTCGGTGGTGACCGTGGTGGCCGTGGCGGCGGACGTGGTGGTAAGTTCATGCCCGCTTTGTGATCTCTATCAGAACCAACCCTCTGCAACAAGACGCTTAAAGTCATGACCGAGGAACCCTGAACAGCCTCTAAGGAATCATTCCTAATAGGCAAAAAAAAGTTCATTTCCGTGTCTCCTGGAGACAAAACGGTGCTTTTATGTCTTTTGTGGAATATGAACAACCAGCTGTACAGGGCTGGCAGAAGGAACTCCTTTCCCTTTGTCGTCCTTTGTATTTGCTCGTTTTCATAATCTGATATATAGTGAAAGCGCGATCCAGCTTCGGATCTATATACAATGAGCACCTTTCTCGATCTACCCTCTGGGACCCCCTCCTTTCCTCCTTCCCCCCTCCTTCCACTGCCTCCTCCATCCTCCCCGTTCACATACGATAACACAACACACAAAGGACACTACCAAGATTTGACAATGATGCGCTACACTGTATTCTTTGATCATCCTAGTTCATCTCTTTTTCCACTGCTTCACATCCTCCTTCCCTCTCATATCCCATGATAGATCTTGAATGGGCGCCTTTGTTCTATGGATTTCCGTTGTCTGGGTCGCGCGCAATTTCCGTCGCACATGTATGTTAACAAAACAACCCCCAAATTGCTCATCTTATTCATATTAGGCGTTGCCAAGCGTGGCGGTCCCGGTGGTCGTGGTGGTGCCCGCGGTGGTGCCCGTGGTGGTGCCCGTGGTGGTGCCAAGGTCACTGTCGAGCCTCACAGACATGAGGGTATCTTTGTTGCCCACGGAAAGGAGGATTACCTTTTGACCAAGAACTTGGTTCCCGGCGAGTCTGTCTACGGTGAGAAGCGCATCTCGATCGAAGGCGCTGATGGTGCTAAAATCGAGTACCGTGTCTGGAACCCTTTCCGTTCAAAGGTCGCTGCCGGTGTCCTCGGAGGTGTTGACAACATCCACATTGCCCCCGGCAAGAAGGTCCTCTACCTCGGTGCTGCCTCCGGTACCACCGTTTCCCACGTTGCTGATATTGTCGGACCCGAGGGTCTCGTCTACGCCGTCGAGTTCTCCCACCGCTCTGGACGTGATCTCATCAACATGGCCAAGAAGCGCACCAACGTCATCCCTATCATTGAGGATGCCCGTCACCCCCACAAGTACCGCATGTTGGTCGGTATGGTCGATGTCATCTTTGCTGATGTTGCCCAGCCCGATCAGTCTCGTATTGTTGGAATCAACGCCCATCACTTCTTGAAGAACAACGGACACATTGTCATCTCGATCAAGGCCAACTGTATCGACTCGACTGTCGATGCCGCCACCGTCTTTGCCGGTGAGATCCCCAAGCTCCAGGAGCAGCGCATCAAGCCCCAGGAGCAGTTGACCCTCGAGCCCTTCGAGAGAGACCACGCCTTGGTTGTCGGAAAGTACGTCCGCTCCAAGTAAATCTCTGTTGTATGACCCCTCCTTTTCTTGTATTTTTTTCTTTTCATTCAATTCTGCATAGCCATCTTCTCTGTATTAAAGAACCCATAATCATCTATCCGCTTGCATTGGCATTTTGGTTTATCGTTTTATGTTTTATGTTTCTGCCTTTCTGCGTTATTCAGTGGTTTATTTGGTAAGGTAACCTTATCCAACGGATGTTTCCTCGTTCGCCACATCCTTTAAACCTCCCCAGATTGTTCAGCCAAGCGGTAGAACAAAGATCCGTCCTTCCGAGCCAACAACACATTGGGACTCTCAAACTCGACCACACGCCCTTGCTCCAACACCAATATCTTGTCTGAATCCATCACAGTCTTGATCCGATGTGCAATCGTCAACAACGTCCTGTCTTTGAACTCTGCCCGGATCGTCTTTTGGATCAACTCGTCCGTTTCGACATCTACCGCCGACGTGGCCTCATCCAACACCAGAACTTTGGTTTTTCGTAACAGTGCACGGCCAAGACAGATCAAGGACCGTTGACCGACGGAAAAGTTTTCGCCGTTCGAAATCACCTCGGAGGAGAGTCCACCTGGGAGAGTCTGGATATAGGCCTTGAGATGAGAGCGGTCCAGGGCTTCCCAGAGGTCGGCGTCAGAGTGCTCCTGGAAGGGGTCGAGGTTGTCGCGGATGGTACCTGCAAAGAGGATCGGGTCCTGGGGAATAATGGCCAAAGCGCGACGGAGATCTGACAATCCCAATGTCGAAATGTCGACCCCATCAATCATGATCTTGCCGACAAGGTTGTCGTCTTCCTCTTCTTGGGTCGCCTCACTACCGTCTGGACTGCTGCTGGAATGGATCCATGGGCCATTGGCGGCTTCGATCATCCTGAAAAGGGCTAGAGTAAGAGACGACTTTCCTGCCCCTGTCCGGCCGACAATTCCAATCTTCTCTCCAGCCCCAACCTTGAACGACACATTCCTCAGGACCAAATCCAATCCCTCACGATACCGGGTCGAATAGTTCACAAACTCGATCGCTCCATGCTTGGGAGGCCATGTGGCAGCGGCTTCCACCCTAGGATCCAACGGCAGAGTCTCGGGCGCCTCGGTCTCCATATCGGTATACTCACACATACGCTCAACAGAAACAAGCAAGTTCTGCGTCTCGCAATAGTTCCGCACCAGATTATTGATCTCTTGCGTAATCGACAATGTGAAACTCAATGCCAGACCTGCCGTCGCCGGATCCATATCTTTACCCGCGGAGACCACAAACCCAACTGCGACCACCAAGATCACAAGCGACGACAGAAACTGCAACCGAACCTCGACCCATCGGATACAGTACGAGTAGGCGACGTGGGCGTTCACATGTGTCAACAGCAGACCCACATTCCCAGCCTTGAACCGCTCCTGAAGGCCCATCGCCCGGATGGTCGTCACTCCGCCTAGCGTCTCGTTGAAGTTCTGGAAGACGGGCGACTTTGAGACATGAAAGATCCGCTTGACAGCTCTTGACGACGCCAGGTAGTATTTTTGGATCACTGCAACAGCCACAATAAAGACTGGCAAGGCGATCAAGAACGTTGGTGTCGAGGCTGAGATGATGATCACACTGGCTGTAAGGCGCACTCCCCAATAGATCACCTCATCGATCGCCCAGGGTAACCTGTCGTCGATACCCTGCAGGTCACTCGAGATTCGGTTGATGATCCGACCCAGAGGAGTAGTGTCAAAGAAGGAGCAAGGGAGGCGAAAGATCTTGGAGATCAGATCCCTGTGGAGGGTGTACGAGGCGCGGATTCGGGCAATGGCAAAGCCGACGTAGATCACAATGATACAACTCAAGACGTAGACCGCCGTCAGGATCGTGAAAACTCCAATAAAGACCTTGAGTGAAAGTCCTTTTCCTCCGGTTAGGTGGCTGTTGGAGTTGCCGTCGTCGGCCGTGCCGTCGTTGTTCTGGATCCAGTACCTGAGCCAGAGGTTGGTCGCCACTAGACAGCCATGTGAATTGACATGGAACAAAACCACCAGACCCGCAAGCTTGTATGTACTATGGCGTTAGAAGGTGAAAAGGTGTGAGATGGACATTGTTGGACTGTGCGCCATTGAAACATCAAAACTGTCATGGAACCTTACGCTGCGCGGACATAGGCAAGGCTGATGGTGAAATTGACCGTCCCTTCCATTATCCTCTCGGCCTCGACAAGCTTGCCATCGGATGCGGTCTTGTTGTCGTTGCTCGGAAAGTCAACCTCTTCGGACAACTCGATGGTCGCAGCAAGACTCGAGTCATCATCCAAGTCCGAGCTCGAAGCAGACTCCTCAGCCTGTCCAGCCATGACGCCGTCAGACCTAGATTCAACGTTGTCGGTCCCTGCCGACCCTGCCAATGTAGCACCAGTCATACTTCCTGTATCCTCCCGAGCAGCTGCCTTGCGATGGCTAATCGAATACTCCTTGATAAGCTGGTAAAAGACACTCCTCAAGGCCATCAACTCCTGATAGGTCCCATGCTCTGCCACCTCCCCATCCTTCACCAACACAACTTTGTCTACCTCCTTCAAGTGGTGGATCCCATGCGTCACAAGGATCCTGGTCTTGTCCTTCAGCATTCCCTCGGGCCCCAATAAGTGTTTCCAAAGGTGCCTATCAACATGTGCATCCACAGCGCTCAAAGGGTCGTCGAGGAGGTAGATGTCCGCATCCGCGTACGCCGCGCGGGCCAAGGAGACCCTTTGCTTCTGTCCACCCGACAAGTTGATACCCCGCTCTCCGATCTCGGTCATGTCTCCGGCTGGAAGGATCGCCAAGTCAGGTTCTAACCCGGAAGAGTACAGGATCTGAAGGTATCGGGACTCGTCATAGGGTTGCCCAAAAAGGATGTTATCCTTGACCGACGCGTTGAGGATCCAGGCGTGTTGTGGGACATAGGCAACTCGACCGCGGATGGAGACGTGTCCTTGGAGGATGTACATCTCTCCCAAAATTGCGCTCAACAAGGAGGACTTTCCTTGACCGACTCGTCCGACAACGGATGTGATGGACCCCCTGGCCATGGAAAGTTGGATGTGGCGAAGTGTTGGTCTCCAGTTGGTAGTTGCCTGCTCCGATCCATTTCCCTCTTCCGAAGGCTGTAAGAGAGGTTGCGATGCGTCATCCAAGGCATCCGCTAGGTCCTGGTCGATAGAAGCAACAACAGGAGGTTGTTTGGTCCAAGAAAATGAGGCGTTCTCGATCGTGACCAAGGACAAAGTAGGATCCATGGGTACCGCAGGATCTCTCGAAACGCTCGACTCCCCGATCTCCTCGAGCAACAAGAACCGCTTGATACGGTTGCTGCCAACAATTACATTGATGGTATTCGTCACCGTCTCACTCAGCTCACCGATAGGCGTCCTCAGCATCGTGAACAGGGTCATGCTTACGAAGACCGTCTGGGGTGTCAACTGGCCTCGCGAGAATCCTTCTCCGCCCCACGCAGCATAGACCGAGAGCGTCAGCAACGACATGACCAGCGTGACAGAAGTGAAGACGATTGACATGATTGCAAAAATCACTCCAAGTCTCTTCAGGGCCGCCAGTTCTCGGCCTCGGACTTCCATGATCCTCTGCTTGAAGGCTGACTCCCAACCATACAGCTTGACAATCTTGATCGCGGCCAAGATCTCTGTGGTGAGACGGACACGTTCATCCATGACCGTGAGTTTGTCCTTGAGCATACCATTGTAGACTCGTGCGCGCCAGACCTGTAGAGGAGCGACCAACAACAGAGCGGCAATGCTTGCAAAGGAACTCCAACCGAGCAATCCATACACTAGCAGTATATCAGATAAATGGCTGTCAAAAAAATATTCATTGCAATGTTGGAAACAACAAAAAAAATGGAGTCAAGCAACAAAAAGGACGGATAGACTTACAGAGCCACATAGCAAAACCAATTTCGACGGGCAGAGAAAGCCAGCTGCTCATGTCGTAGAACCCATCTTGCCAGACATCCGCATCAACCGACATGTGGTTCACAATCTCTCCAGTTGTTGACTGGCTCCTTGACGCAGGACTCAGCTTCAACGCCTTCTTGTAGATCATACCTGTCAGAGCAACCTTAGTCTGCAGACTCTGCATGAGCAGCTTCTGCCGAACCACCGCCTTTAAAATCGTTCCCGCAAACGCCGCTGCAAACATTGCCCCGGCCAAGACTAACCCATATGCAAGATTCTTCCTTGTTTGACCATGCACATGGGCCTCTTGCAGGGACTCAAGTAGACGACTGAGCAGCATGGGGATGGTGAACATCAAGCAGGACACAAGGACTCTCAAAAAATACATCGGCGCAATTCTCCCCGCTTGGACCCAAAAGACTGTGCGCACCAGAGATGGAGAGGACGACGCGGCCACATTCTTGTCCCATTCACTCTCAAGTCGTTCCCGCCCAGTCTTTTCCTTCATCCAACCGGGCATCTGGTTCAGAATGTCGTCAGGGGTGATGGTCCTCTGAACTGCAAGCGAGACGAGTGGCTGGATGTAAAAGATTGTTAGCCGGGAGAGGAGATTGGCCTTGTCGTAAGGACTAGCGTCGCTTTGTCTCTGGACCCTGGTAGATTCTCTTGGCCATGCTTCGACAAGAAGTCCGAGGAGGATGCAGACCGACATGGCCACGGCTACCACTAATCGAGAACCAGACGTCAATTCGAGATCGATGAGAGTATGGATGACCAATGTAAGGGTAACGATGGACCAAAGGTAGAATGAGAGGATCCTGTCAGACGAGCGGATCGTGTATCGATGTTCCTCCCGGTTTAGTAGGACCGCGACACACTAATGTTGTACCAAAATATATCTCGTGAGATCTTTGTCGCGTTGCATACTAAAGCATCAACAAATAAAAAGCATTTTCATTACCCATGCAACGGAGAAAAAGAGGTATCCGAGTATAAAAGCAAACGACGTGCTGTCCTGACTCTTTGCTTCAAGGACTGCACCGACAAACGCCAACAAGCTTGCAGCAGTCATGAGGAATTGGGTCGGCCAGAAGATCCAAGCGGTTTTTCCCAGCCCATGAGGGGAACAGTTCCTCCGCAGATATAACCACCGTTGCACAAACATGACTGTGGCAAGTGTTGAAGCCATTCCCAGGAGCATGCTTTTTTGTAGCGTGGGTAAGAAAAGGTTTTAGCAAGAGCATTCACATGGGCAACTGAAACAAATAAAGTGTACAGTGACCCTACGTTTGATCGTACCTGAATTCGAAGCAAAGCGAGATATCAAATCGATCAGGACTCACAGGGCCCTACATGGACATGGTCAAACGGAGAAATTCAAAAACATATGATGCTAGTCAATCGACTGCATCGTGGAATCAACAGGACATTGGGTACAGACTCGAGGCAGAAAAAGGCTGGACCCGGTAGGTAATCGTACCCACACTTCCCCTTGCCCACACAACCCGGTCCTGTGCAAGAGGTGAGGAGTGGGCGCCGAGGGGAATTGGACGCTAAAAGTCAATGGCATCGTTCTGGTTGGTCCAGTCTTAAAAAAAACCACTTATTTTGTCGTATGTGCGAGGGGGAAGGAAGAGGTCGTGTTCTGATTTGCTCTCGTTGCGTGTCTTTGCTTTGGTCTCGTTTTTCGTTTGCTTCTTGTTGTTGCAGCTGACAGTCTCGAATCAAGGGTGAAAAAGAATGCGAGCTGTCAAGGGCAAAAGAGGAAAAATATGAGAGAAAGATGGAAAGAAAGAAGTGAGAGGGATATGGGTCTTTTATTCTCACCAATAATTTCTCGCAATAGAGTTATCTCCTGCGCACGTCTATGACGGTCCAAGGCCGTGTAAACCTTCATCCGCAGCACATATGGACTATTTTTAAGGTTCTGGGAAGAGGAAGGCAAAAAAACCTCTTTTGTCACCGTATGCGAATGAATCGTGTGTGTTGCGCAAATTGCCCCAAAAATGAAAGAGTTCCCGGATGTTGGGTGTGAGGGGATCGATATCTTGGTGAGTGACTGCCTCACGGGCAAATGAGAAGATAAGATGTGCGTGGGATATGGGATGGCAAAGAGAGTTTGAGAGTGCACATCGAATGAAAGGCGGGCAGAGAGTCAGAATTTCTTTTCTCCGTCCCGCTCGTCCGTTGCTCACTCAGAAAAAGAAGCCCCTCCCTTTTTGTCCTCTTCTTTCTTCTTACAAACAAATCTCCCCACTCCTCCCATAACCCTCACCAACATTCATCATGTCTTCCTGGGCAGCACAACTCGGCCAAAAGATCGCCAGCCCCGAGTTCAGGCAATACCTCATGAGGTACACAACTTCATTCCTCCTTCTTTAACCATTTACGTACTCAATCAGAAGCACAGAGATGACCGACAGGCAGACGAACAAACAGACAGACGGACAGACCAACCGACCCTGCGGTCTGCCTCTTCGCCTTTACCTTGTTATTGTTGTGTTTAGAAGAAAGATGTGCTAACCAACTACGTTTCCCCTTCTCGACCCTCATACTCATAGCACCGTAAGGACATATTGCTGATTCTCCGAACGCAGGATTATTTTATACACAACCGGGACACACCTCGTTACAGGCAGCAACATGTACAGGACGCAGTGGAAGAATGCACAAAGACGATGTTGCGAGTCCCTTTGCAAAGATGCAATGTTGCAGCGACACAACACGATTAAATGGGAGCCGAACGATACCCTTTATTATCGCCAGTTTTTCTCTCAGATCGTTTGTTGGACATCACCTTGTAGGATTTATTATCATGGAAGCGGAAGAGGATCGTGGGCAACAGCGTTGGCTCTAAAAAGACACTGCAATCCTACGACCAATTGAACACTTGTGCCTTTGCACTAATCCTCCGTTATTCTCAATGTTATGTGTTATATCTGGTGACCTGACGATCATTAGCACTTCTGGGGTCCCGGTAAGTAACATGAGCAGTACTCAGCTTTCGATAGTATTGCACAGCTCGCTCAGCCATTTCCCAGCAGATCATCTAACCAGCAAATACCCCACGTCTTTTCAAACGTCTTTGTTTCCCGAATGCCACCTATAGTCGCTAACTGGGGTCTTCCTTTGGCCGCCATTGCCGATATCAAGAAGGATCCCGAGATGATCTCTGGAAACATGACTGGTGCCTTGACGGTATACTCGCTCTTGTTTATGCGTTTCGCCTGGATGGTCCAGCCCCGTAACTACCTCCTCTTCGCCTGCCATGCCACCAACGAGACCGCCCAGCTCATCCAGGGATACCGCTTCATCAACTACCACCAGTATGTTTTTGTCCTATCGTGCCATTGTGATTGTCTGAGCTTATTTTCTACTCTCGTTTACTAATACACGTCTCTTTGCCTTTGTTGTCCTTGGTGTTAGCTTTGGCGGTAAGAGCAGTGTTGCACAGGATGGCCTCAAGGTACCATTGGAGGCCAAGGCCTAAAGTGCCGGATGGGTCAGTGCAGGATAGTCCGTGTGTCATCTTTCTTTTGGAGGACGTAAGGAACCGGATAACCGATAGAAGGTCGTAATAAAATAATACACAAAGTAGCATGAATGTATGGGCATCACTTGTGCCAAATGTGTCTGTGTATGGGAATATGGAGAGGGAATGAGAATCCATGCTGTCAAACATAATTTTTTTTCCGAGGAATCTGGTACCATCTCCAAGACTTCTCTTCCGGAGGACAGCTGCTGTGTGTTTGAAACAGGGTGCATCATTCCTTTTCCTTCACACTTGTCAACACATATGCAATAAGCACCCATCTTCTTGCCCTCCAACGGTCGTCGCTGTCACACCCTGGAGCGTCTTTTTCTCTTTCTTTGCGCCCTCTTCCACAAACTCCGGTCCCTGTCCTTTCCCTGGCCGTCCTCCCTTCTCTCCTTCCTCCTCTCTCCCCAGCCCACCTGATCAACTTCTCTCTCTCAATTTTTTCTTTCTCGTTCATCATCATCATCATCTTTTCCTTCAGTCACTTCCATCTTCCTTTTCTTTTCTTCATCATCAGCTTCATCATCTTTCCTTGAAGGTCTACACTTGTTCTGGTGCTGACCATTATTTCTTGATATTGATATTGCCACCCACCTATTCAAGAACATCGACCGTTATTTTCAGGAACAAGAAACAGCACCAAACAGCTGCAACCATCACCTGTCCTTTGTCCCTTCTTGTCCCATCAGTCAATCAATCGATATCGATCCATCACTGCCCCTTTAAACACATCCATTCCTTCTCCTTGGCAGACCCTCCTCATAACCACATACCATATCAAAAAAGAAGAGTGGCATGTCCCAGGTCAAGATTCACCGCGTCTCCCTCCAACCTCGTTCTCCTTCCACCAACACTCCCTCATCCCCTGTCGCATCCCTCCCCCGCGCCCGTCGCATCAACATCAACCTCCCCTCCCCCTCCGTCACCGCCGCCGCCTTTCTCTCGCCCCTCACCGGCGAGTCGACCCTGACCGAGGACATCGTCAACCAAGAGCGTGCCCGCTACACCACCCTTGTCTCCAAAAGCGCCACATCCGAGGTACGTTTTTTTCTGGATTGTCTTTCTGCCACGATATGTCCTAATCAAGTGGATACCAAAGACTAATCCGTACTCCCAACTCTTTCTTTCGTAACAGGCGTTGATGAAGATGCCCAACGTTGCCACCAAACCTGTATCATCCGACGACATTGATCTTTTGGCCATCGTTTCCTCACCTTCCTCCACCTCCTCCTCCTCTTTCTCGACAGACTCGCCTGTCGCCTGCAACCTGCCCCGTGCCAATCCAGCCCCATTCTCCAACATGAAGCTAACCGTCGAGTCCCAACAACAACAACAACCCTCTTCGTTTGCTTCCGGCTATCCCATCCAAGTGAGTATTCATTTTTTGTGTGTGTGTTTTTTCTGATGAGCAAGAGTGTTTATGGTATCTTGTACATTGCTGAACAGGGCAGACAAGAGCAGAAGTGTGTATTTGCTGCGGGTGACAAATAAGCGTTCCCCCCCTTTTCTCTCAACGGTGCAGTGGCGGAGCAGGGGTTGAGAGCTCTTGTGCGAGGGAAGCGGGGGAGGAAGGCAAGGAAGAGCATGTGTGTGTTATAACGTGGGCGTCGTGCGTGTTTGCAGTTGTGAGAGCAGTTTGATCAAGGACTGAGCGTGCAAGTAGACCTTGGTTAGCAAATACAACCTAGTCTGTGTTTGCAAAGGCCCTCATTTTGATGAAAAAGCTGAAGGGTTGGAGAGTTGGAGGGCGAAGAGAAAAGGAAGAGAGTTATCCTTGACCCCGTGACACTACTCTGTGATAGACACAGAGAGACGAGCGCAGACAACAAGTGGGGATGTACGGGACTAGAAAACCGAGTTATGAAGAGGAGATCAGAGCTGATATGAATGAAAACAAGGGCGGATGTCAAAGACAGACGATGGTCAAGGCCTTGAGAGAGATTGAGATGTTATAGATGTTAAGATAGGGAAAAGAGACGTGGTTTTGTGAGGACAAGGAGGTGTGTCGACGAGGATGCAGACACTGGAATAAGGAGAGGAAGAAGAGTGTGCTGCTGTTGGTGCTCGAGTAGAAGGAATGGGAAAAGGAGCAGGAGAAAAAAAGGAGTGCAAGCGGGATGAATGAATGAAATAAGTATAAAGGGAAGGATGAACAACAAGGCTCAAAAGGGGAGGTTCGCATTGACACTGGCCATGCCCCTTGTCCTTTTCTTTTTATTTTTATTTTTATTTTTATTTTTGTCGCTTCTCTCTCTCTCCTTATTTGCGTCCAAGTCCTTGCTCCTCGCGACCCCCTTCATTCAGCGTCCATGCTCTCTACCCTCCGTTTCAATGGATTACATGAAAACACATGTCCCTTACTTCAAAGAGAACGACATTGTCGATACTGGGGCTGGTAGACGGCAGGCCATCTAGTCTATCTGTCATCTCACTCGAGGCCTCGACTTGACTCGACTCGACTCTCTTTCCCGACCGATGGACGATAAGAATGCCAGTGTCAATTCCATGGTCAAATGGAGTCCGATCTTGTTGACCATAGCCGCAGTTGTAGCTACCCACAGTGAGGATGTAGATGGGCTGATCTTCTTGACAACCACCCATACTCCCAAATACCAATTGCCTCATGGTCTTTCGCGATCCTTGTCTGTCATTTTTTCGCTCCCTTCCATCCCGCCCCAACCCAACAGTGACGATGGATGGCATGAGGGAGTACAGACAGTCGTGACCACGAGTACAAGCAAAACTATGTGGCCGATAAACTTGCCAATGAGATGCCATGTGGACACTCAGAGCGGGGACAAGACACAGAGAGCAAAAAAATAGGAAATATATGCAGATGAGCATATCTCAGTGGGAAGTGCCTTTTTTTCCCTGTTTCCTTTGCATGTCTCTTTTTGACCGAGGTGGTTGGGCGGAGAGAGAGAGATGTTCGTATTATTGTTGTCTTGTTTTGCTGTCGTCAGTTATTTGTTGTTTGCTGTTGTTCCCCAACAACACCTTTTTTTACCCTGGTGTTGTTGTTGTTGTTGTTGTTGTTGTTGTTGTTGTTGTTGTTGTTGTTGTTGTTGTTGTTGTTGCTTGTCCTACCTACATTCATTGGGTTGAAACGTACATACGAAAGAGCAAAGCAAAGACGACACTGACCCCATTTTCTCTTTGTTATTATGATTGTAGAGACAGACAACGGGCAGCAACAGAATGCGATCCACAAGCAACGGTAAGAAATCAAACACTGTAAACAGTGGTTTGTCAAATGTGGTGCGGTGTGGTGTATTGTGTTTAGAGTGAAGTGTGGCGTGCAAGTCGAATGGCGTTGATGACACATCGACAGACAGAATGTGTTGTGTCGGCGTGAATAATACTCCTATATAATTCCCTTTCTTCTTTTCCATCTTCACGACTCGGTCCGCTTGTCTCGGCACCAAGACGAGAAAGAAAGACGATAGTATTTAATCCTTGACATAATTGAGAAGAATGCCAAATGAGATAACAAGGGCTGTTGATTGACATTTGGAGGGACGGTCGACATAGGTTGGTTTATGCAACTTGCACAATCACAAGCGAGAGAGAGAGGGAGAGGGCTGGCATTGGTGAAGAAAGAGAAAGGAATAGCAGTAACCAATACTTGTAGCTGTCCACATATCATATGTGCATTCTTGCAATGTCATTGCCATCTACCATCGTCAATGGACATCTTTCACACTATGGCCCATTGTATTTTTCTTGTGTTCCCGTTTCCCTTCCTTTTGTTGCCATTCTCCCTCTCTGTGCATGCTTGCCCTTCCCTCTGTGCCTCTGTGCTGACTTCACGGTGCACCCCTTCTTTTTTCCCTTTTCCCTTTTTTCTCCTTTCGCTTCTTTTCCTTCTTGTTCGCCACCCTTTGCCCCCATCGAAAACGCTCCCTTGTCGTACTTTTTTGTATATCTGTCGCCTTCTTTTTCTATTCCCTTTTTTTTTTTTTTTTTTATCTCTTTCTTCTCTTTTCGTCTTTTCTTTTCTTTTCTTTTCTTCCGTTTTCTTCTTTCTCTTCTTCTTCTCTTCAACCAATATCCCTACATCCACCATTGACAATTCACTCACTCTCCCCACCCCTTGTCACCACCACTGTCCCTCATACCTTCGTCACTCCTTCTATATAGCTGGTCGTACGGGAGAACCCAATCCATATACCCCTCTCCCTCTTCACCTCCACTTCCCACATACCCCATCCCCATTCCTGCTATTCTCACTTCTCTCGTTGTTCTTTTGTCCTCCTTTTGTTTATTCTCCGTCCCCTTTTCTTCATACTTAACACTTCTTTTGTTGCGTGTCCTCCCCTCCCCTGCGAACACAAAGCAGCAGGACCTATCCAATCGCTATCCATCCCATCGACTGCCACATACACAAGGAAACAAAAGAGATCCCTGTGTTTTTTGCTAATCGTACCACACACCCCTGCTCCCATTCCTATCTCTTTCTCCTTCTATCTCTCTTGTGCGCTCTTCGTGTTGATATTCCTCTTGTGTTCGACGCGCACAAAAACAACCACATAACAAAAAAGACCCTGAAAAGGACGATATGAGCACCACAAGTAACAGCAGCAAGAGAAGGAGCATGAACCCCAATGCTGCCGCCTTCACGCCCTCCTTCGCCAAGTCCGACTGTGCTGCCTCCGACTACAGTAACGAGAACAATACCACCAGCAACCGGCCCTCCAGACGCAGTACTGTCGATTCTTCCAGAGTAAGTTTTGTCTCTCGCCTCTTTCACGCCTCACACTCTCTGTCCGTCTTTCTCGCCACTTGAAAAAAGAAAGGAAAAAAGAAGAGCTATTTTTTTATAGTTCACTTTTTTTGGCCGTCCAGTCAGTCAAACTTTGGCCCAACACAAAAAAAAGGAAAAAATCCAAAGAGGTCATTGACGCATGCGTCCTGGTGGGTTATCACCACTTGCACGACATGGTAACACGACCAAACGACAAATGCAAGACGACAAACAAACAAACGAACAAACAAACAACCAACCAACCAAACAAACAAACAAGCAAGCAAGCAAGCAAGCAAACAAGCAAACAAACAAACTACCTAACAGACTACAGACATCAAAACAGAAAGAGTGTTCGTCATCACTCTTCCCTTCCCTCCCTTCCTCGCCCCAGTCGTTTTTTTTTCTTCCTTTTTGCCTCTCGTGTCACTATCCATCCATGCCTTTCACACAAAAGTTGACCCAATTGTGTTTTTTTCTCTTTCTTCAACTTTTATAGGAGGGTCTTATTTCAGGACTGGGGATCTCGTCACCAACAACAGAGGCCGGTGGACTCCGTGGCCAGGGCCTGACCGTTAACACCAATGTCATGTCACCGACCTCTTATATGCGCCAAGAACGCTCGACCTTTGCCACCACCGGCTCCGAACTCTCGCCTATGCCCCTATCTGCTCTCCCTGCCGACTTTAATCCAGACGAGTTCCGTATCAACCTTGTCCGCCAGATCACCGACAAGCTTGAGACGGGTCTCGACCGCCACTTTTCACAGCTCGTCTCGGCCACGACCTCGGCTGCCTTGCCTCTTTCGCCAGCAACCTCCGATCATGACGGATCAGGATCGGCCACTGCAGGAGGTACAGGAACCGACAGCAGCACAACGATCAACAACCTAAAGAAACTCCTCCGAAACACCACCGCCGAGCTGGAGCGTGTCAAGGGCAAGAACCAGGAGTTGCGCGAATCGAATCACAAACTAGAGCTCCAGCACATGGAAGCCAGCCACCAGGTGTCCCGACTCCAAGACTTTGAACTTAACAACCAGTTCCTCCTCTCCCGTGTGAAGGAGCTCGAATCCTGTGCCTCCTCCGTCGACTCTCTCGAAAACTCTTCCGTGAATGGCCAACAGCAGCCACACCAGCGTGCCTCTCACCAGCACCACAACAGAAACAGCTCGACTGCCAGCAACGGAGCCCTCCAGAGCCAACACATCCAGCGGTTGATGCGCGAGGTCGCCACGCTCAAGTCTGAGCGAGACGCCCTTAAAATCCGGTCATGGGAACTCGAAAAGAAGCCTTACGCACAACAACATCAGCAGCGACCCGCTCATTTTGTTGATCTCGAGAATGAACGGAACCGTTTGGTCGAGGAGCTCGGCGCCAAAACTGTTGCTATGGAAGAGCTCTGGAACAAGAACGAGGGCCTGATGGTCCGCGCCAAAGAGTATGAGAAACGTGTCTGGGAGCTTGAGGGTCAATGCGCCGCTCTGGAAGAGGAATGTGCTGCATTGCCCACTCTTCGGTCGGACTTCGTCGAGATGGAGGCCCGTGCCGTGGCTGCCGATGCGCTCGTCGAAAAGACTCAGGACATGGAGGGCCAGGTCGCACTGGTCAAATCTCTCCAGGACCGCATTCAAGAGCTCGAGACCACCAATGCCGAGGTCGACCACCTCAACTGGGACCTCTCTGAGCGTCTCAACATTGCCATCAACCAACACACCCTTCTTACCAAGGAGTTCGAGTCCTTCCGGTCCAATGATAAGGACGACCGTCGCGTCGAGTTCTTGATGAATCGGAACCGTGAGCTCGAGGCTCTTTTGACTGAGCAGGCCAAGATCTCGCCCGATTACAAGGACGAGTACGAACGTGTCGCCGTCGAGCTGGAGAAGGTCAAGATCCGCCTGCCCCAGCTGGAGGGTCAAGCCAAGCAGGTCGCCCTCCTGCGGTCCAAGACGCTCCAACTCGAGAAGCAGATTAAGACCATGGAGGAGCTTGACCCCCGTCTCGAACAGATCCAGAGCTTGAACGAACGTAACCTGTTCTTGGAAAGCGAGCTCGGTGAGCTGGAGCACCTGCGTGCAAGAGAGATGGAGCTCGAAAATGAGCTGGAAGAGTCTAAGGTTCGTCTGATGCAGCTCGAAACCAACAAAGCCCGCATGGCTGGTCTCAAGTCTGCCTCGCCCGGCTCCCGCGCCCGCTCAGGCTCAATGGCGACCGCCCAGCCCAACCCCACGCTCTTCTACGAGGGTGACGAGAATGCTTCCGAGCTGAACGTTCGCACAGGCTCTCCCATCCAGCAACAGCCATCTCACTTCCAAAAGCCCCTGAGCCGCCGCACTTCGCAGTCGATTGGGTCAGCAGACTATGGATATGGTGTCCCCATGTCGCCCACCACGGCCGCCAAGGGTGCCTCTGCCTGGCCTTCAGGTCGCAGCAGCATGAGCATGTCGGTCAACCGTACCAGCACCAGCTCCAACTCGAGCAGTTCTGGACTTGTCTTGACCAGATCTGGAAGCCCGCGCCAAACCTCTGAGGATGAAAAGGTTGTCCTCGCTGCTGCTGCTGTGTTGACAACAGAAGAGCCAGAGTCCCTCTTGGAAGACTCTTCGGCTGCTGTTGCTGTCGTGTCAGCTACTCCTGCCCCTGTTGCCCAAGAGGTCAACTAAGAGGAGGAGGAGGAGGAGGAGTAGTAGTCGTAGTAGGACTTGTCGGTGTCCTTGTTGCTGTCGTTTCGTAAACACACTTCTGTAAAAGTTCGTTTTTTTCCTGTATTTCAAAATTCGCATACTCTTTTTTTTCCCCAATTTCCAAGTGATAAAAGAACACTTTCAACTATCAAAAAAAACTGGCTTGGTATTATGAGTGCGTGCTAATGCTTAAGTAATGCGTGCCTGGTTATGGACCATACTCTCAGTGCTCTCCAGCACCTGTCTCGCCAACCGTTGTCGGTTGATTCGACGAGGTCCCAACTGCATACTCCTCGCTGCAATCAGCGTTGCCAACGTCCTTCGTCGCTGGACTCCCTCAGCGTTGTTCCGCCACCGGACCAGAAGGTTCAAAATCAATCCACGGTTCTGGTTCTTTGTGTCCGTCAACCTGTAGCACCCATCAATCGCATGATCCAACGACTGGGGCTCCGACATGCTAATAGCGTCAATCCAGAGAAAGGTAACATGTTAGCAACTATTGTACTTCTTATATCACATAGAATAACCAATGAATACAATAATAAAATGCCTTTTTTATCCTTTCAAGCAGTCGATACCTCAAGTCGGTCTCAAGGAGAACCTTGACACACTCATATCGTAGGCGAATGGCCGCCTCGGCCAGGGCATTGTTGTTGAGGTACATGATCGTAGGATCCGCTCCATAATCCAATAACGTCTCCACAAGCTGTCCATTGTCGTTCAGAGTCAGCGCCGTCATGAGCGGTGTACGTCTCTCGCTATCCTGCGCGTTTGGGTTCGCCTCCTTCTCCAACATATAGTCCAACACAGGAAACGAATCGTTCGTTCCATAATGCGTCATCAGATGCAGCGGCGTCTGCCCGCTGTCGTCTTCCTCATTCAGATTCAATCTCGATCCAGCTGCCTCACAGAGGAGCTTCATCACCTCCAAACTGCCGCTCATCGCTGCCGCATGCAATGGGGTCCTTCCCGACATAATATCATATCGCTCCATCACATCGGCTCCGTGATCCAGATGCCACTGAATGGCGTCGAAGCTTTTCCTCAAAGTCGCCATGAAGAACTCCCGAATCCTTGTCTTGCCATCCAGAGGAATCCAGTTGTTGTTACTGTTGTTGCTTGTGACACGACCACTCGAGCTAGCGGTGATCGGACGTGCGGATGTCGTGGCAGGAATGGAGGCTTGTTGATATCCATGGAATGGGATATTTGCCTGCCCATATCCTGGATAAGCTGATAGGTCTGGAAGAGCCGGTCGAGCATGCCCATTGCTGGGGTACGGATAGGGTGGATACGCATGTGGGTATTGTTGCTGATGTTGTTGCTGTTGTTGCTGTTGCTGCTGTTGCTGATGCTGTTGAGGCGGATACATAGGTTGAGGTGGATAGGGCTGAGGAAAAGGATGCTGAAATTGATTGATGTGAAATCCTTGCAACTGTTGTTGCTGATGCTGCTGTTGCTGCTGCTGTTGCTGGGGATAAAATTGATGAAGACGCTGCTGTTGCATAGGGGGTGATCCCAAAGGCATAACTGACGGGCTTCCCATTTCTGCCATACTCTCCAAACCCCCTCCTCCCATTTCTGGGATTGTGGGCGAAACGTTGGCATTCTTGGGGCTGTGACGAACGCCTGAAGGGTCATTCAGAGGATGACCCACTCGTGGAGCAGTCTTGACAGGGCTTTGTTGGGGTGGTGTGATAGGCTGTTTGGGCGAGGTTGGGTGAATGTGGCGAGTGCCCATGCCTCCGTTGGGTGTTCCTGGAGTTTGCATCCACACAGGGCGGGCTGGTGTGATGGGCGGCCCAGCTGGTCTCTCGGTTGTATCTATTGATAAAGAGTCCATTCACCTTTGATTAGCACCAATCAAAACTCATAATGACGAGTCGGTATAATCAACGGGAACATTGGGTGCGGTCGCCCTTACCGTCCACTCGCAAACCTTGCATACGATCAACAACGTCGACAGTATTGCCAGTATCTGTGTTGGTCGCGATGACAGGGTGGTTCCGTGATAAGTTATGTTTGGGTACCAAAGGCGATATATTAGCGACCGGCTTTGAAGGCTGGCCTTCAAACGTCGTCTCGATGGCTGGAAGCTTGGAGGTAATCGGAGCAGATTTGCGTAGAGGTTCATATGATACCACGGCTGTCTGTGTCGCCGTTGGCAGCGAGTGAGGAGGTCCATGAGAGTCTTCCAGACGCCGACTTGATCCGTCATTGGGACTACTCCCTCCTCCGTTGGTGCGATTGGCGAGTAGATTGTCAAGGGTGTCCAAAATGATTGAGAGAGGCGGCCGGTTGGAGGGCTCCCCATCCCAGCATTTTTGATACAGCTCCGAGTATTCGACTGGCGTTCCTGGGATGACCTTCTCTCGCGTTCCAGTCGTGATGTGAAAGGCCAGCATATAGTTTTCGCCATCACGGTCAAAGGGCGGGTATCCTGAAGTCAATTCCCACATGATGACGCCCAAGCTGTAAATATCTGAGCTTTTGTCAAAGGGTGCGTTCTTGAGACGTTCGGGTGAGATATATGGAACCACTCCTCGAACGCCGTTGTTGGAGAGTTCCTTGTTGAGGTAGCGCGAGAGACCAAAGTCTGTGATGAGAGCTTTTCCCTTGTCGTCGATCAAGACGTTCCTTGAGTGCAGATCGTGGTGGCAGATGTTTTCCAGATGGATAAAGTTGATTCCTGAGGCTACATCCCTGGCGAGACGCAGTTTCTTGGTCCAGTCGAGCTTGTCAAAATGCTTGGATAGGTAGTCGCGCAGACTTCCTCGGCCAGCAAACTGCAAGACCATGCCATAGTCGCCATTGCCTCGCATCCGTGTAACACCAAAGAACTTGACAACGTTCTCAAAGTCCTGAACTGCTCGATGAATCTGGACCTAAATGTTTGTGGGTCAACGGAAACCGTATTAGTTTATCTGTGTAATTGTATGAGAGATTATCGCGGTTGTGGTTGTATATGAATCTGGGAGTGTTTGAGCGTATGTGAGTTTATTGCAACAGCAGATCGAGCCACGCACGAGTCCTGGTAAGTGTTGCAAGGTCGTACGAAGGAGGAGGAGGGGAAAAAGAAGACAATGACGATGTATTTGTTGTTGTAGCTTGTGTTTGTCCTTAGTGCTTGGGCGGAAAGGCAAACAGGCAACACAATAGGCATACAAACGCAAATGGTCCGCGGAGAATTCAAGTGTGTATTTTTCATATCCTTTTGAGGCATACTGTCGCTCTGGTCAGGAGGTGCCGCCGTGGTGAATGGACCCTCTCTGCCTCATTCTTTTCGCCTGTCTCTTGTCTCTCTCTGCCTCGCTCTCGAACAAATGCAAGATTGAATTTGCCTGCATGCGTGAAAGAAAAAATATGCACACAGGCCCAGGAAAGGTTGAGATGCTCTTCGCCGCTGTTGGTTCTGGAAATGAAGGAAGGGTTGGTGGTGAGGTCAATAGAGTCGATAGTCATCCAACCATGATGAGCCCTCCGTTGAAGAAAAAACGGCGACAACTGCCACCGAGAGTCATCCCAGGGCAAAGGGGCAATTATTGAACATCCAAGCTCATTCTGTCGCATGTAGACAAATATTTCCAGACACGCTTTTTCCATTTTTTTTTATCACATACACAATTGAACCAAGCAACACGCTAATCTTTTTATCATTTCACAATCCCAAGGGGATGGATGCGACACTACATGCCATTGCAATAAGAGTGTAAAGAGCCACTTTTTATAAAAGATTCCACGCCCGACTTCTGTACAGTGTGTGCGCTGTGTGCGCGTTTTGTCCATGTCCGTGTGTGTGCTTTGTGCATATCAAGTGTCTTTTCGCACACTTTGAGATTCGAGACTTTGCTTGGTTCCCCCAAAAAAGACAATATCGCATGAAAAAAAAGGGGGGGAGGGGGATAAAACTGAGAAGTGAGTGAAAGAGAGAAGGGAGAGATGTTCTTACCTCTTGGATAAAGTCGGCGAGGGAGAAGAGGACCTTGATGGCGACTGGCATGCCTCGCCACTTGCCGGCGTGGACGATTCCAAAGCCTCCACTGGCGACACCCATTTGCAGATGAGAGATCTCCTGAAAGTCGATGCGCCGGAGCCAGTGGTTCTCGGTAGCACTGTCGAGCCACTGTTGTTGCTGCTCGCTCAGCAGGACGATGGGCGCTGTCATGTCCGCCATGGCTGGAGTGAGAGGGTAGTGTCGAGCTTGTTGTTATTGTTGTAGTTGGTGATATAGTCGGTTGAAGTTGGGAGTATAATATGGATGAATGATTGCGAAGTGTGAAGGGATGGTTTGGTGGCAATTGGAAAAAAGAGAAGAGTGGATGGATGGATGGAGACAAGGCGGAACAAAAATAAAGAGAGCGATGAATATGGGACGAGGAAAGGGCGCGAGGGAGAAGGGCGGATGGGAAGGGGCGGAGAAGGGGCGGGAGGGTAGTGGAGAAAGGAGAAGGGAGAAGGGAGAAGGGAGAAGGGAGAAGGGAGAAGAGAAGAGACAAGAAGAAAAGAGAAGTGACGAGAAGAAAAGAAAAGTCAAGTCAAGAGAGTGAGGGACAATCAAAGCAACGCATGGTACTTCGTCCATGATGGCCACTGACTTCATGTCCGTCGATGTCCATGATAACACACACACTCACATAGCTCCTTCAGGTATGAAATCATAAGTGTCCTTCAGACCTGCCCTTCTCCTCCCGCCTGTGCCGTGGTAAATGTAAAGTATTTGCCCTCTCGTTCATGCCTGCAAAACCATTGACCATTTTTAATAGAGTGTACAGTAGTCAAGAGAAGAGGAGAGGAAGGGGTAAAAAAAGAAATAAAATAAAAAAAAAGGCAAAAAAAAAAAAAAAAAAAGGAAAAAACAACACAATGACCGGTGAACGATAACTATAAGAAAAATAAAAGTCTTCTACAAATACACAAAAGGAAGTCAGTCAAAAGGTATTAGCAATGATAGAAAATGACAAACGAAAAAAAAGAATAAAAAATAGAATAGAAAATAGGAAATGAACAATAACTAGAAAAAAAAGAAGACAGTTGGCTCAATGTAATTAAGTGAAGTAATAGTGGGAGGAGAAAAAAGGATACAACGAGTGCGTACTTCACTTCGTGCCAAGAGATGATGTCAAGTAACAAACGAAACATAGAAACGAATAGAATCGGAGGTAGAGGTAACAAAAAATATGACTCGCGTCAAATAACGAAAGAAGAAAATGGACAAACAAGAGAAGTAAGTTACCCGGCCCCAGGATGGAGCCCAGAGTTGCCAGCCAAGAGCGTCGCGTTGGGAGGAATGGTCGCGATACCCTCCATCGATCCCATCATCCCGTTGACTGCCACGCCCACACCCTGCCCCACTTGTCCTCCATACCCTACTCCATATCCGATGGGCGGTCCCTGAACTTGGCCAAGGCCTTGTACTGCATGCTGGCCAACCTGAATGTGCCCCTGCATCTGCGCTTGTGCTTGTGCTTGTGCTTGCAGTGATGGAATGTCCTGACCAAACCCTGTCATCAACCCAAGGTTTAATCCTCCGGCTCCTAATCCCGTAAAGTCTTGTCCTGATCCATAGCTCAAGGCATCCGTTCCCGGTTGAAAAACATTCCTTTGGTCTGTCAACATCATCCCATTCGAGCGGTTTCCTGCCAAAGCATACGGTTGGCCATCGGTCGCCGCGTGGCTGCTCATGGGACTGGCGGGAATTGAGCCTCCATCCACAAATACAGGAGCTCCGTTGACGACTGCTCCTTTCAGCACGCCAGCATTAAATGAGTGGATCCCTGTTGCCTGAAACGGTGTCTGCTGTTGCTGCGAGGCCGGCCCATGGAGTGCAAGACCATTCGGTCCAGACACCCCCATAGAATGTCCCACTAAGGACGGCCCTACAGCCGGTGTAGAAAGGCTGGACGTCAATCCAGCATCCAACTCCTGCGTTCCAACGGGAACAGCTCCATGAGTCGCCTTCGTATCAGAGATATCAGCCATGCTCGCCTTGCGTTTGGCTGAAGAGTCCTTACGCCCAGCCCCTTTGCGGCTCCGGGCCGTAGTTGTTCCATTCGTGGTTGACCCTTTCGTTCCGTTGGGGGTCGCTGCAGCCAATGTGGGCGTGGCGGAAGCAGTTCGGATTCGCTTCGCTGCCTTGGCAGAAAGGGGTGCTGTTCCTGTAGGATTGTTGGAGGTATTGGACGACACGAACACAGGCGAGGTGACGGCAGAGAGCGGGGAAGGCACAGGTGAGCCGACTAGATTCAACCCAAGACCAGTCACTACTCCTGGCGTAGACGGACCGACTCCGACCAAAGTCGATGCCTGGCGTGACAGAGGTGTCCCTGCCCCAACAACCATGGTTGCCTGTGGGTCATCAAGTGCAGGAGAATCTCGAAGGGCAGTATCGCCAGGTGAAATCCCGACAGATGTCCTGCGCTTCATAGCTCGCGGCGAAGCAGAGTCGCGCATCTGAGAGGGATTGGAGGCTCCATTGTTTACCGTCGTAATTTGGGAGGCCGCTTGGACTGGAGTCGAGGCGCCAATCGGTACTACTGATGCTGCTGACATGCTTGGCGAGCTCGCCATCTGTTTAGCTCTCATATGGGCATGCTTATCGCGCAACAGTTGAGAGTAAGACGCCAATGACTCTAACGTAATGAAAAGAAAAGTGTTGACAGCGTTAATTAACGGTATCAATATCTGCTGTGTCTACCTCGATAGTCATGTGCCTTGTGACATGACGTTGTTGTCCCAGCGTACCAGCAGGCCCTCGATTTGTCTGTGCAGTGAAGTGGACCAGCTCGTTCATCTTGGAGAACATATCAGAGATCTAGTCACGTTCAAACATGAAAAGTAAACTGCGTAAGTACTTATTTCTGTGTTCAGCAACAGGCCTTCAGGCAAAACAAACTGCATATAAGCAGCGAACCCGCATACCTCTAACAGCTGCAAGGTCTTGGACGAGATACCAAACTCATTGATGACACTCTCAGCTATCACAGGCATGGGCTTTTTTGAAGATGCAACAGCTTTCTTCGAGCCACCCTTTTTCTTTCCTTCCGGTTTTGCCTCAGGAACCGGACTGTTCGATGGATCGTCGACAGGCCGAGGTATGTATTCTGTAAACTCCTGTGCCACGATCTCCAAAAGGTCAAATTTGAGATCGTGAGTAAACGTGGCCTTGAGACTCCCCTTGGTAAACACCTAGAAGGATGAGCGTAATCGGCTACATTGTTAATAATGATTCGATCAGTTTTACAGCGCACTGCCGCGATGAAAAGCTGTCTCCTCCGGTCATTCTTCACGCTCTTCGTACCTTGGATCCGCTGGTGTAATGGTAAACAAGAGACACGTTTGGGTATTCGATTATCAATGGAAGTGTAGACGCTGGTCCGATCGGCGCGTCCAAGATCAGCTGCATCTCTTTTACTCCTGCTTCCGTGTTCCCGAGATAGTAGCGTGGCAGAGATGGCGCCAATAGCTCTATGTATACGAATCGATAAGAAAGAAAAAAGGACGCACGGTTAGTTGATAATATAACAATCCACAGAGACCTCATCTTTTCTTTTTGCAACACAACGGGCGAGGAGAGAACGTACCAAAGATTTTGCTGTCACCTGTGGTTGTGTGAATAAGCGTGAGCCGCATCCGCCCTGCAGCGCCATAAAACTTGGAGACAAAACGCTGCCAGAATTGGATGGTTTCGTTCTATACGAGAAGAGATGTAGCATACGACAAACAGGATTAGGCTCAGTGTAAGCAACGTGACAGCACATACACACGCACACACACACAAATGACATTCCAAAGTACCTCCGGATTGAAACTCAGACCGCGCCCAAATTCGGCCAGCCGTAACATCCCCTTGGCTTGGACGTCCTCCGCAATACTCGACTCAATCACAGTGCTAAAACGCATGTCAGACAAAGGGGAGAGGCGAGAGTTAGACAGCATGCCATCTTGCCAATGCTATGCACCTTAACCAAAACATTCTATCTTCTAAGAACACAGCGGTACCTGAAAGGGGCTTGAAGGCCCACCTGCGCCGAACTTAAAGGATCGCTGGCAGACACCGCCTGGATCCCGTTATGTAGAGGCTGCTGTATTGTTTGATACTGGACTGATGGAGCTTGCTGTTGAGGTGGAATGTGATCGCTCGGTTGCTGGACTGTTGAATGTTGCTGTAATTGTGAGAAACCCATATGCTGTGGTTGAGGTGACAGTTGCTGTAGCGTCTGCTGTTGCTGAATCTGTTTAAGATGCTGTTGCTGCAATTGCTGCTTCTGTTGTAGCTGTAACTGTTGCTGACGAAGTTGTACCTGTTGAACTTGCTGCTGCTCTTGCTGCTTCTGTTGCAACAACTGTTGCAGTTGCTGTTGCTGCTGATGGAGTTGCTGTTGCTGCTTAATCTGTTGTTGTTGCTGTTGTTGTTGTTGTTGTTGTTGTTGTTGTTGTTGTTGTTGTTGCTGTTGTTGTTGTTGTTGTTGTTGTTGTTGTGGTGGTGGCGGTGGTGGTGGCGGTGCTGATGGTTGTTGTGGCTGTGATGGTTGTTGCTGCTGTAATTGCTGCTGCTGTAACTGCTGCTGTAACTGCTGTTGCTGTAACTGCTGCTGCTGATGTTGGTGCTGTTGTTGAGCGAGGGTCTGCGATTGTGGTTGCTGCTGGAGGGATGGCTGTTGAAGCTGATGCTGCTGCTGCTGCGATGTAGGTTGTTGTTGTTGTTGCTGCTGTTGTAGTTGCTGTTGTTGCTGCTGCTGTTGGAGTTGTTGCTGCTGTTGGAGTTGTTGCTGTTGTTGGGCAAGCTGCTGCTGTTGAACCTGTTGAACCTGCTGGCGCATATGCTGCTGCTGCATCTGCAATTGGCGTTGATATTGATATTGTAATTGCAATTGAGGAGTTTGGGCCTGTTGAAATTGAGGCCCAGCCTGACCCTGCCCGGGCGCAATTTGCGAATTCGCTGGAGCAAGTTGACCTTGCATTGTTTGCGTCGTAGGTAATATTGTACTAGGTTGTTGATTGGGATGCTGCTGTTGCTGTTGCTGTTGTTGTTGTTGTTGCTGTTGTTGTTGTTGTTGTTGTTGTTGTTGTTGTTGTTGTTGTTGTTGTTGTTGTTGTTGTTGTTGTTGTTGTTGTTGGGCGAGCTGTTGTTGGGCGAGCTGTTGCTGGGCGAGCTGCTGTTGAATCACAGCGCGTTGGTGCAGCTGTTGGGTGTTTTGAAGATGGGGCGACATTGGTCCTGGGCCTGCAATGTGCTGTTGAAGCGACTGTTGGAGCGGTTGCTGAGGTTGAAGCTGAGGTGACATTCCTTGCGAGAGTTGCTGTTGTTGATGCTGCAGAGTTGCCATGTTTAGTTGTGGCGACATATTCATCCGCGCCTGGTGCTGTAACTGCTGCTGCTGATGCATCTGCTGAACTTGGAGCTGCTGGAGCTGCTGGAGTTGCTGTTGCTGTTGTAACTGCTGTTGTTGTTGTAACTGCTGCTGCTGGGCAGACTGCGGATGAGGTACAGCATGGAGGCTCTGGAGAGGTTCCTCGGCCTCGGAGACGAGATTAGTCATCCCCAGGTTCGATTGAGTACTATACGGTTGAAACGGGAACGAGATTCAGTTAAGTTGGTGTTGTTAAGGAGAGAATAAGGCAGGGGGGAGCGATCGCCAGCGGATATTGAGTATTGGTTCCTGGCAGCATACGGTGGTTAGGTTGAGAGCGTGCCCAGAGAGTGATAGGTAGGGCTGTGTTGCTAGAACGGATGTCGGTTGTCAGAGAGCGCTGAAGTGTAGAAGGGAAGTGAGGTTGCAAACGGAGCAAGTCAGAGGAGTCACTCGAGAAAAAGGAAGAGGTATAGGCAGATGGGTATGATGAGGATGCCAGGTATTGAAGGAACTACAGATGATGAAAGTGATGGCGCCCCTCTTCTTTTTCACAAGTCTTAGTAGAGTAGTCGTCTTCAGTGGATATGTCAGGGCTGGCTTTAAAACAATGGGCGCCTAAATTACGTCACCGTTGACATAACCTAAGCACCTACTGTCCCTCGACTCTAAAAAAATTCAACTGTCGATAGTTCCAGCTCCACTGCCTTGCGCTTCGGTAACCGGGTTTGACTTGGCCGAGGTTGAGTATCGTCGATCGCCTTGCGCTTCCTGGACTGCCGAGTTGGATTTGGCTTGGGCTTGACATCGGTGTCAGACAAGGCGCTTTAGCTGCTTCCGACTCCGTCTTCGCTCATGCCGAGGTCTTCCTTCCAAGGATATCGGCCCTGTGCACTATGCGTCGACTGACTGGAGATAGTCTGGTTTCTGTCGATCCAGAAGGTGGCCGTGAACTACATTGTCATGTTGCGTTCCGCCAGCTCATCCCTGTGGGAGTACATTCTACAAGTCTTGCAGAACAATCTCCGGATCGTACCCTGCGCCACGAAGCCTTGGCAGCAAGGGCTCTTCTTTGAAGTGTAATATTCGTTCACCACGACAATGATATGTCCAAGTGAACAAGCCCAAAAAGAGACAATAGTGATATGTTCGACAAGTAAATAAATGAAATATGCCCTCCTCTAAAAGACTACGCTGATGTGATGAAGCACCAACCAGGCACACAAAGTAGGCCAAGAAGGTTCCATGAAGAGATGTTATTCCTGACCGGTCAGCAAATTGCTCCAACCCAATGCGATAACGATCATGCTGCTGTCATTTCTCTTTGCAACCGACAAACCTCTAATCATGCCCAACAATCGATCTGCAATTTGTCCGTAACTCCTCCTCTGGTATCGTTGTGGTGGTATCGCATATTGTTGTCATTGTAAAATTTGTTCAACTAGTCTTCCACCCTTTGGATCTCTTGGGCATAATCCATAACAATTGCTTCGTGACCTCAGAGAAAGGACAAATCCGACTCGATTTCTTCAATTGACATGGTGACACCTGCAGGGACAATTCACCTCTATTCCTCCGTCCATCGCCGGAATTTAAAAGTAGGCTGAGAGACAGCCTTCTGTTTTACCGACGGATTATAGAAAACCTGAGGCTGAGATGGGCTGATCAAAGTTGTCACAGGGGCCAAAGTCGAGGTGGTCGGTATGACTGTGGCAGTCGAGGCGTCATGGCTCTTTCCCTTGCTGGTATCGTCAGAGCATATTGAATCCAGCAATGAGGCGTAGGCACCCACGACACAGGCTTGACCCAAAACCAGACATAGAATCGTGATCAAAGCAGGCGCACAATTTAGTAACAACCGTGCAACATCCTCCTTGGTCCGAACAACATTGCGAATCTCCGTCAAGTAATAGTCCAGTCCAGTCCGTCCACTGTGGTCGTTAAGAGAGGCGGTAGACGATCTTCCGGCGATCTCCTAAACCAAACCTCTTGAAGTTCCTTCAGCTTGAAAGCTACCATCTGAACACTGAAACCATTAGTCCAAATAGAGCCGCGGAGCACATACCCTTTCGTGGCATATGTTCTAGGGTCGAAGGCTGGCTGGCGGATGGACGAAAGGTGGTCCTTGATTTCTGATATAGTCATCAACTTGACAGCGGCTCGATATCCTGCTTTGACCCTCTGTCGACTCCTGGGACCAACAGGGGCAACATTGGAAAGCAGGACATTGACCACGAAGCCTGGCTCTCGGTCGCGCAACCAGATCTCCGATACTTCGCTCAATGCCAGACGGCCAGGGAACATGTGCCTTGCCCTCTCCATAATCATGTCCTTGAGAATTGATGAAAACGATGCAAAGCCGCTCTTGTTTGAAGATATAGGGATAATCAGGCGCGAGTCTCCACTCATTCTATTGATGTCCAGAAAGTTCTCCACGGCTGTCATTTCTTGGCGAATCTCCAGGTCACGCCCTTCCAGCGAGCCCTCGGCCGTCCTTTTGGTCTTTAAGCTACGATAAAAAAAAAGCGTAGAAATATTGAACACATCGTGTAAGAGATTTGCTTTCAGAACGCTTCATACAAGCTATGTCTTCAAAAGACAACTCACGCGTTCCGTTGCAGTATATCTTCTTGAGTTCCACCGTCAGCTGGGAAGATACAAATCGCACAAATTCGGTAGGCGGAAAAAAGGTATTCTCGCGCAAAGAAGACTGCCGCAAACGATCGAACAAGGCCATTCCCTTGACTCGCTGAATGAATTCGTTGATGGATCGGCCGACACCTTGTCGTGTGGATAATTACCCGAGTATAAGAAGCGCAAGAATCCGTTCAGGAACTGTCGCTGGCGATCGTTTTTGATGTCGTCGTCATCGTCCGGCATCATCCATGGATTGCTGAATCATCCGCCGGGCACCCGCTGCTGCCGGAAACTGTGGTCGTGCATAAGAGTGTGTTGATGTTGGTATTGGCGAAGATGAAGAAGAAGAAGAAGAAGAAGAGGGCTCGACGGAGGTCACAATTGAGATCCTTGTAACCTCCTGCACAGGTAATCGTTGAATTGCTGAAGAGGGGTATCACAATAGAACTCAGGATGAAATTGTCGTTATTATTGTCTAGTTCGTCGAGGTCGTCTTAAGCCTGGATCCGTGCACAGTCATCGGATGGCGAGGAGAATCGACGTAATTTAAAGGTGGTATTGGGAGTTGGTTGAATCGCTTCAAATGACGAAAATGACGTTCGAATCCAAAAGGGTACGTTAAAAAAGCACCTCTATTACTATTGTAGTACAAGTCGTTACATGAGAAAACTAGCAGAGAGGTCCCTCGTGTTGTCCATTCGTAGTGGCTGCAGAGGCTACGCTGTTAATAGTCTTGACGCTCTCGAGCTCCTGGTCCTGGAAAACGTTGTGGACTATGTTAATCAAGTGCCACTCGTCCCGGATGCTGTCAATCACCTTGACCGACTCCCTCGATGGCTCGTAGATCTTGGGCCACTCTGACCACAGCTCAAACGCCTCGTCCTGAATAATAAACAATATGTAACCACTGAACGCTTCTGCATCAATAGCGCAGCGAGATGAATTGCCCGGTAACTTCCAAGCGACTTCGACGGTGGCGGCGGACTAAACAATCTCCTTGTCGACAAAGATTCCGCAGATAACGGCGTAGGGGCCATCATTTCGACTATTGGCCCTGAGATCACCTCACTTGTTGACAGCATAGTATGTGATCTGGGGCTCTTCCCCAATCCTGCTCGCCAGCTCGTTCAAGTTGTTCTAGCTCTGGGATTTATGGCGGTGTGAAGCTTGCATCTGTTGAGACTGTGGAGGACTTGGGTGACAGGGTTGAGGCTTTTGAGGACTTGATTGATGAGGTCGAGACGACAAATAGGGAAAATATGAAATAGCCGATTATTGTCCACTTACTTCATGCAGTTGTTCCCAAATGCGCATTCGGTCGTATGTAGAGAGGCGGCGGAGGCGATTGCGAGCCTCACGGTTTCTCTGTCGCGATGAGTTCTTCAGCAAGTTCATCGCGATCGACGTCCAGATTATGTCAAGGTCGTCGGGATGCGAGACATCGGCTAGTGCACCCCACTGTTTCAACTCAATCTCGTCGCTCTTTGCAAAGTACTTTTTTTGCTTGGAGTTCATGGGATGCTTAACGGCCAGGCGAATGAGAAAGCGTGTATAATGTGGGAGTGGGTTATGTGTGTGCGTGGTGTGTGGTGTGTGTGTGTGTGTGTGTGTGTGTGTGTGAGTGTGTGTGTGTGAGTGTGTGTGAGAGAGAGAAAGAGAGAGAAAGGGGGAGAGAGAAAAAGGGAGAGAGAGAGAGAGAAAGGGAGAAAGGGGGAGAGAGAGAGAGGTCAGGATTGCCACTCGATAACATAGTGTACCGTTGCCCCAAAAGAGAAGAACTACCATTGAGTCTAAGTGGAAGCTGCATTTTTAATCCGAAAGGAACCCTATCGGAGACCACATTCTACCACCAGGGCTTTCTCTTGTCGATCACGAGAGAGCCAAGGCTATGAAAATAACAAGCAGCGGTCGCGTTTGTCACAGACACGGCACGCAGTGCTTAGGTTCTCCTCAAAGAATGTGGTACTACACGTAGACCACAAAGCCCGCAGACAGTGTGGTTTAGTTCCACGAGGTTGTCCCAACAACATGACCAATGATCCTGAGAGCCTTGTCCAGTCTCAATGACGAAAAAAAACAAGTACGCGAAAAGCGAAGGGCTGCTTCTTTAACCCGAAAGGAACCCTATCGGGCACCACATCTCAACACCAAGACCCTCTCTTGTCATTGACGAAAGAGCCAAAGCTATGGCACAGCAGAACTGTGGATGTGACAGTGATGCAATGTCATCCTGTCAACCCAAAAAATGTGGTACAACATTACAAGGCCCGCAGACAATGCAATTCTCCCTTCACAAAGTTACACCAGCAACATGACCAATGATCCTGGAGACCGGGTCATTCGCAAAACATGTACTCGTATTTTCTGTAGCTCTTCTCCTCAAACCTCGTTTAAGCCTGATACCTGCCTTTGGAGTCTTCTTGATCTTGATTGAGTCGTGAAATCGCATGGAGGGGAGCTGAGTGAAATGGATCGAGAGAAAAAGTTGGGTCGTTACAGGTCAACGGGCGCCGTAATGACGTCACCGAAGTGGCCATTGTATATACATCAATTCACAACAAGGAAACAAGAAAACGTACCTGCTTCTTTGCTCATTCTACACTCGAGTCCCCACCACTACCTCGTCCACCATCAGCAAAAGGCCTCTCAGGAATTGGACGACAGGGAAAGACAGCGCACCAACTCAACACTCCAACGCTCACCCAGTCAATCGAAAAATTATAGAGCAGGATGCACAGGATATCTTTCCCGGGACGACCTCTTGTCAGATCGTATCAGCCACCTCTCGGCAAGAACTGCGGCTTCAGGACTTCGGCCTTGGTTTCAAGAGAATACCAGAGACAAATCGAAAAGTCAAGCTTGCTCTCACCGCGCTTATCCAAGGACAAGAATACTCATCGTCACACTGACAAGCACAGCGACTTTTTCGCATCCAAAGATCACTCCTCTCGACAGCCGTTCCTGCGAAGCAAGTTTGACTCCGATCGATCCACCTTTGCCAGGCAAACAGGACCACCACCCAAGAGGAACAGGGACCTTACACCTTCTCAGGAATTCATGGAGGAACGCAACAGAACGCTTTCATGGGCCCGTCAAATGTCGGAGAGAAACGCACGCCAGGACTTGGAGGCGAAGCGGAAGGCGGCAATGAGACTGAAGGACAAGGGCGAAGCACCAAAGCCAGTCTATACCTACCGGTCTCCCAAGCTCGTCCCCGGAGATGTTGCCGAGCTCTTTGGTGCAGAATCTATCCAAAACCGCGCGGTCCTCCCGGGTGACTTCGTCGAGATTCGCAAGTAAGTTCATCGGCTATTGTGATATGTTTGTTTGACAGCATATACACTCGGGATTCATATTCCACCACATTGTAGAACAGGCCATTGGACCAGAGCAACCGGTAGTTGTTGCCTGTTTGTCACTAACAAGCCAACGACAATACAAACTACATAATAAACCTCTAACTTAACTCTCGTCACAATGAAATATTAGAGGTGGAGCTGCAATCTGTGGAATCTACACCCAAAGCTTTGATCAGGCAGAGGACAGGCTACAATCGACCAGTATCGTACAGGGCGATCAAGTACTAGGCCACAGGACTGCAGACGTCGTCTTTCGCATTCCTGGATATATTTTTCGAGACAACGTCAAAGCCAAGCTGGGACATTGGGACATCGCCGCCAACCCCACGACTCCGCCACAAGGCACTGGAAAGGTCGTATCGGCTTTCGCGGATCAGGCCAGCTTGCTGATGGGTACCTTTTATACCCGCTTCAACACCCTCTACGATACCTTTTGGCATGGCCGCAAGCAAACGATGCTCACTACACCGGAGGCAGCTCGATATGTGTTTGGCAAAGAGGACAGCAACAGTAGCCCACTGACGCTACAGGAACTCTATGCCACCCACGTCTTTCTCACTCAGGACAGCAGTTTGACGAGATTTGTCCCATCGGCTGCTGTTCGATGGACAGGAGAGTTTACGATCCGTCGGCCTCAGGAAGTTTTGCTGGCAGAGACAGTAATTGATTGGGTGCGAAAGGACGACCCTCGAGTGTTTCAGTTCATACAAAAGGCCAAGGAGCTGGTGGAAGGCAGCCGGAGAGGCGACAGATCTGGCTGGAAGGCGACGAAGTTCACAGACTCGGATCGTACGCTGATCGAGTTTGTGCGTCAGACGGCGATCAGCGGGTACAGCGATCTGTTTGGTGTGCCACAGCTGGCTTACCTTCCTCGCCTGCTGAGACCCTTGGGCATATATGACGACATTGATCCCAGGACGGCGTTTGAGTTTTTGACGGAGATTGGGGTGTGGCCAAGGTGGTATAACATGGAAATCAACCGATCGGCAATTTCGCTCACCAGCGGAGGTGTGGAAGAGCAGGCCATTATTGCCAGGATTCAAAGCCTACATCCAGAATCGCTGCAGCAAGACTTTGATAAAGATTTGGCACGCCTCCAGCAGGAATCCTCATCAACTAATGCAACAACTCTCAAGGGTGCAGACGTTAGCAAAGGCGAGACCAACAGCAGGAGCCCATTGGTGCTGGAAAGCCCTACGGAGATGTACAAGCATGATCCATGCGATGCCATTCGCCACGACTTTGGTCACCAGCCCATTTACGCCATTGACGACCCCTCGGCTTCGGAACTGGACGACGCATTTTCGATCGAACCCGTGCCAGTGACGACATTGACGCCCGAGCCATCCACTTGGGTTCATGTCCATGTTGCCGACCCAACATCCATCCTCCCTCCGCTCCATGAGATGGCGACACTTGCCAGCGAGAGGGTCCAGACGACGTACCTTCCTGAGGGCACTTGGCCAATGCTTCCTCGCGCCTTAACAGAGGAAACGCTTAGTCTCAAGAACGACGGTCGGCCCAAAAAGGTCATGACATTCTCCGCACGACTTCAGGATAGCAACGGTGGGATTCTGGAATACAAGGTTCGCCCAGGGATCGTCAGGAAAGTTGTCACCCTCAACTATGACGACGTGGACGATGTCATTGCCTGGGATCGAGTTCATGGCGGTCGTGCCGAGGGAAACCGCGTCCGTTCGTCCTTTATGACCATGCCGGAAGACCGTGCGCTGGAACGCACGTATTACCGCTCCACCAAGGGTAGTGTTTCCACCGATGACACTGCATTGGTCAAGGAATTGAACCATCTTCAATCGGTTGCTCAAAGACACACCGATGCCCGACTCCGGAGAGGAGCTTTCAATTTCTCTCTTGGACGACCCATGATCGAGCTCACCCCGTATCCCGTGCCGCGTGTCGCTGAGGGAGACTGGCAAGGGCCAATCGACTACTCGCACAGTCCTCTTTGGCAGGAGCCTCAGATCACAGTTCGGCTCGACCCAGCCTTTGCATCGCCTTCAAGATTGATGGTAGCAGAGTACATGATCATGGCGGGACGTGTCGCATCGATGTTTGCGCAGGAGAAAGGACTGCCGACCCTTTTCAGGAACCAACCTGCACCCGCGGAAAAGTACCGGGAGGCCTTTGAGGAGACGATCCGCACCAAGACTAACCCTCGAACAGGCATCCTGAACATGGTCGATATGCTCCCCTTGCGGCCATACATTGCTGGTGCGGAAATCTCGACGAATCCCTTGGGCCATTGGTCGATGGGTATTCACGACGGCTACTGCAAGGTGACCTCTCCTCTGCGGCGATACTCGGATATGATTGCCCATTGGCAGATGAAGGGTGCTCTCCTTAACAAACATGCGTCATCGTCGACCTCCGCTATCGTCACGACTCCTCCTATCTTCAGTCTCGATACGTTGTCACCACTTGCAGGAGTGATCAGAGATCGGGAGCGCATGCTGGGTATGCTGGAAGCCCGGTCGGTGAAGTACTGGCTCTTTGAGATGCTGCGTCGCCGGATCGATGGTGGCATGTCCACAGTATTCGACGGGATCATCCTCAATCCTACCGCAGACGGATACAACGTGATCTCAACTCTATTGGGCTTTCAGACGGTGGTGAAAGCTGAGCCTGGCGTTATGGGGGCGAGCAAGATTGGCGACCGTGTCATCTTTGAGGTGGATAATTGCAACCCTCAGCGGCCCTACATTGGAGGTCGTCATTTGTCTATGGCATAGGTACTTTTTTAATATGGCATTGTAAATTAAAGTCATCAGTTGTTTTGCACTTTTGTTAACCTGATCGCTTGAGCCCCATGTACACTGTTAATAAGTCTCTATTACCAACTGGGCCTTGAGGCGATCGATGTACGACAGGACTGTCTCGGCACCTGTCCAACCTGAAAACTCGATGTATGGGAAGGCATTGGAACCATACTCCTTGATGCCGTCGCCGCTGCTCATCGCCCAATGGTGAGTCCAGACACCCGGAAAGGACATTTTGACCGAGCGCATGATTCAAAGCAATTAGGAAAAGTGGTGTCGGACTCTGCCTCATCGCAAAGGCGGGGATTATTGTCGGAGGTAGCTTTGATTGGCCCGTCGGAGAGCGCTTTGTCTCTCAGTGATTTAGTGTTTGGGTGGATTTGTGGAGAAGGAGGAAATCGCGGCACATATTGTTTTTTGGGGTTGTGGAAAGTATCCAAACAAACACATGTACATGTACATACAGTGTTTATGTTACCGGGCCAGGTAATCCCACTAAGTACAGCGAATGGAATAAGTCCCTGGCTCAACCCCGACGGCTTATCCTTATTCCTCCACATGTCCCTTTTTTACTTTGTCAAAAAAACCCCCCGATTGTGCACAAATCCTCTGCGAACTTTAAATCGTCAATATTGAGTCCGATGATCGGCATGAACAGTGGAGATTTATAGGCCTCTGATGGCCCTCAAGCCATGTAGTTCTTATCGGCTGTTTGAATTCAAAGAAAGGGAGTTGTTATTCGGTGAGTTAGGTGTTACTTAGTGATACTGCTGTACATATGCACATATCCACACAAATAAGAGACGGACCAGAGGGACCAGATATTCGACACTCCGGGCCGGACGATTGCGTTGAAACCTACTTTGGCCACACATGTATGGTTTATGTGCGTCTACAAACAATGAGCTTTTCCTCAGGTCAGCTAAGCTTGGATATAACATAGAAAAACACTCGCCTGATTGACCGATCGAGCCAAGCCCTGTCGAGCCCGGAAAGGCCGATGTGACCCCAACCAAAAACAAGAGGGAAAAAAGTGACAAACGTACCTTTGCCTTCTTGCTTCTCTCGAAGAGTCCGTGGGTGTTTTTTTTTTATTATTATGACTCGTCAGCCTATTGAGACCGTTCAGTCGTGGAGGAGCTAAGAATTGCTCCACAAGTCTTTGCCACTGCTCTCTCTCTTATCCACATATTCGAACGCAGTACAGTACACATTCTAACCGCCCGTTTAACTCTCATCCCAGCTGACAGGGGCTAACGTTGATTCGATAGCATAATCGAAAGAAGGAAACATCCCTGACTTTCGAGATGGTAGGACAGCACAATGAATCCGCTCTTACTAACCATAAGCAAAGTTGCAAACACAATTCATAAAAGCTGAAGAAGAGGGAGGTGGGAAAAGGTATAAAAGAACTGCACCTATTCGTCCTTTTGCCCACCATCTTCAAGATCACTTTCGTCTTCATCCTCATCCTCCACCACTCACTCACTTCACCCTGCCCTCGCACATTATATATACTTCTTCACCCTTCTTGTATATTCTTTATTATTTATTAATTTCCTCACCCAAGTTCCATCCTCTCAACTCGACTCTTACCAACTTAACATAATGTCAGAAAAGCAAGAGCACGTTGATGTCCTTGAGGAGAAGGCCATTGGCCAGGTTGCAGAATTCGATCCTGACAGTCTAGCCATCCGCACCCTCAAGCGCAAACTCGACTACCGCCTCGTTCCCATTTGGTCGCTTCTGTACCTCTTCAGTTTCCTGGATCGCTCCAACATTGGCAATGCTCGAATTGCAGGTCTGGAACAAGACCTTAAATTGACCGGCACTGAGTTCAACATGACCTTGACCATCTTTTTCTTTGGCTACATCTTGTTCGAGGTCCCTTCGAACATTATGGTAAGGAAGAAGGAACATAAAAGTGATCATTCACTTTGCTCTCACCGGAAATTGAAATCTAGGATTGTACCTGGGACCCTGCATTCATTTTCAAGAAAAATTACCCCTATTCTCCTCCACAAATGAATACTAAAACGCACTTTTCCTTCCTGTTGAACCTTTTCAATTAGCTCAAGAAGGTCGGCCCCAGGCTGTGGATCGCTATCATCATGATCGTCTGGGCCATCATCATGATGTCCATGGCCGCCGTCAAGAACTATGGCGGCCTCCTCGCCGCTCGCTTCTTCCTCGGCCTCGCTGAAGCCGGCCTCGTTCCTGGCGTCATCTTCATGGTCTCGACCTTCTACACCCGCAGAGAGCTCGCCACCCGCAACGGCCTCTGGTTCTCCATGGCCACTTTTAGCGGCGCTTTTGGAGGTATCCTCGCCTACGGTATCTCTAAGCTCCACGGCAAGGGCGGTCTCTTGGGTTGGCAGTGGATCTTTATCATCGAGGGCGCCGCTACTTTAGCCGTCTGTCTCGTCGCTTGGTTTGGTTTGGCCGACTCTCCCGAGAAGGCCATGTTCCTGACTCCCGAGGAGCGTCTCCTGGCTGCCGAGCGCCTCCGCATCGACGCCGGCCCTGCTACTGAGACTGAATTCTCCTGGTCCCAAGCCCGATTGGCCTTGACGGACTGGCAGACCTATGCCTACATTGTCGGATATATCTGTGGCTCGATCCCATTATATGCCATGTCGCTCTTCATCCCCTCCATTGTTCTCCAATTCAAGTATAGTGTTGTCACCACCCAGATCATGACTGCCCCCGCCTTTGCCGCTGCCACGGTCACCACCATACTCTGTGCCATGTCTTCAGACCGCTTCCGCGAGCGTGGCTTGCACTGCTTCGTGCCCTCAGTTGTCGGCTGCATCGGCTTCATCCTGCTTATCGTCACCAAGGACTCATCCGTGGCTGCCCGCTATGTGTCCCTGACCGTCACCTGCTGCGGCGTCTTCTCCTCGGCCCCAGCTATGTTCGCTTGGTTCTCGGGCAACATTGGCGGTCACTCCAAGCGCGCCGTGGCTATTGGGTTGATTGTATCCTTGGGATGCATCGGTGGCGCGATCGGATCGCAGGTGTACCGCCCTAGTGATGCTGCTGGTGGATACGTCCGTGGTCATACCATTAGTGCCTGCTTGTGCGGTGCTGCGGCGATCATGTCCTTGGTTTCCAAGACGATATACACCCTGATCAACAAGCGCCGCGCTAACTTCACGCCTGAGGAGTACGCCCGTGCCTGTCAGGGCAAGAATCTGCTGGACAAGCATCCCGACTTTAGATACCAGACTTAAAGTGTCTTTGTTTCGCTTCCTGTATACCATTTTTATTGTCAAGAGCGAAAATAATAAAGAACAGTTATTTCACGTATCTCCTCAATGTTAGCGAGCTGAGTTCATTTCTCACTGTGAAAGATTCATTCACCAACCTTGAAGTCGAAAAAAGAAAAAATTGAAAAAAAGAGATGGGTAAAAAATTGGCAGCGCTACGTTTTATGTCATTCGTTCCCACAGAAGCACGATCATGGGCGATGGCGCTTTGTATTCGATATTGAAAACAGACCCAACCACAGAGGATCTTTGGTCGCGAGGACAGATCAGCAAGCGTATCCTTTGAGCCAGGCGGTCTCCGACGACCCCAACATGTGGTGTCTGTATCGCGCCCAGATATACTTGTGATATCCGTCGGGTATTGGTTCTTGTAAGTTGTGTGAGAAGGTCGTCTCGTACACGCTTCGATTTACTGGAGAGTCGGCGCTTGTATGCCACCTTGAGCTTGTTGTTCTCGTCTATCTCCAGCGCGAACAGGTCTCCAATCCGTGCGGTGAGGGTGGTGTTGTTGTCATCCGTCGAAGGGAACCACCATTCCAGCGGGTTCTCCAGAAAAGTGGTCGAATCTGGAAGTCCTGCCTGCATGGTGGGTGCCTTGAGCGGGGGGGGAGTGTGCTGGCTGTTTTGACTAGTTGCAGAAGGTGGGGGAAATGTTTAAGTTGTTGGTGGAGTTGGTGCTCCTGGGGGGTTCAGCATAAAGGATAGGCGGAGGGTGGACTTCGTCTTCCAGAGAAGGAGATCCAGAACAATGTCCTTCCCCCAGAATACTGACGTAGTTGTGGCGTTGCGAGGGTGCTTGATGAGGAACGTCTGCTGCTGCCTGGCCGGACCAATAACCCCAAGGCCGCCGTTGTCGAGGGGTGGTGATAACTTTCCATGATGCTGTGGGTTTGAAAGGGCAAACAAATCGTGTGATGGCCTGTCTGATTTTGGATAGGAAGGAGGTAGGGAATGGAGTAACCCACGCGAGGTGCCAAAGGCGGGAGAGGATAAGGGCATTGACGATGGTAGCGCGTCCTAGGACCGAAAGGGAACGAGCTGAATGCATGTTGATCCCTGCCTTGATTTTGCCGAGTATTTTGTTCCAGAATGTTGTTGCCTGCTCTCTGCAAATTTTTTTTGGAAAGCCAGGGTAGGTGAGTGCTTCATTTATTGTGCTGTCGTGCCATTGTAGGTGGAGAGAGGTGAGGTGTGCCTTGAGGATCGGGTCTGAGAAGGTAGACATTAGAAAGGCAACCGTTTTGTTAAGGTTGACTCGTGCGTTTGAGGCGTTCCCATATAAACTTAGAGCCCTGTTCAAAGCCTCTCATTCCTGTACTGAAGCGACGAGCGTCATAAGGTCGTCAGCGTAGGCTCCCAGTTTGACTGGCTCTGGGCGTTGCAACATGTTGATTCCTCGAATGAGAGGTGACGATTGGATATGGGCGAGTAGTGGTTCAAACGCTAGATTGAAGAGGAGGGGGGATAGTGGGTCGCCCCCCTGGACTGAGAGATCGGGTCCGATATATAGCCGTTGATGTGAGAGATATTTGAGTGGAAAAAAAAGAGGGTCAAGATGCTCCTGATGACTTGTTGGGGGAAGCCAAATCTCTCCATCACCATCTCCAGGTAGTCTGGGTGAACCCTATCATAGGCCATTTCCTGGTCCAGTACAACTCCGACATGCTTCAGCTTCCTGTTCCTGCAGTAGTCGCGGAGATTGGTAAGGACCATGCCATTGTCGGCAATATGCCGACCAGCCGTAGATCCTGTCTGGTGCTGGCCCGCTAAAGTGCGTGTAAGGTTGGAGTCGGAGTATGATCAGCTTTGTAAACATCTTGACGTCGCAGTTGATGAGCGACAGCGGACGCCTATTGGATAGTTGTGGGGCTTCGCCTTTCTTGTAAAGCAGGATCATGACCGTGTATTGCCAGGACTGGGGAAAGTTGATTCCAGCAAGGCCTCGCTAAGGATGTTGACAAGGAGATGGCGAGTCCAGGCGATTGTGAGGATGTGGCGATATAGCTCAAAGGGCAGTCCATCTTGTCCAGAGCCCTTGAGAGGGAGGTCTCTACTATAATAGCCTCAAGTTCGGTCTCTGTTATCCTGGCCATTGTCTCTTTGTCCGAGGGGGAGAGGAGGGAAGTGGCAGGAAGGGAATCCAGCAGTTGTTGAGTGGCGTTCCTGTCCGAGGGGTCTGGGGTGTACAACTCCCTATAGTATTCGGCTGCCACTTGTACTCGTTCCTCTGCCGTTGTGGACAAGGAGTTTTCTGTAGGGTTGTGTAGCGCGGGGACGAGGTGCTTACTGTAGCGTTCTGCAATCGCCCTGAAAACGTATCCAGTGTTAGCCTCCCCTTGCTCTCTCCAGGTGGTGCCCGACCGAAGAGCGTGAAGGTCCAGTTCTTCTATCGTTTGCTGTTGGAGGAGTTCCAGTTCGTCTAAATCTTGGGCAAGAGAGGCTTTGGTGGTGCCGGAGGATTGAGGTAGATCGAAGAGAACGGCCTGGCGAACGTTGTTGAGGTCGCGTATTGTTGTATGTTGTTCGCGACGAGTAGAGGTTGATTGTTTGGTGCAAAAACGTTTGATCTCGTCCTTGACTCTGTCCCAGTATTGTTGTCGAGTCCCGGACGGTTGGGGCTCTTCAGGGTCGAGAGGTGTAAGTCCAGTGCGGATAAGAACTTAGCATTGTCCAGGATCCGTGTGTTCATACGCCATAGCCCACGACCCGTCCTTGGCGCTAAGCTGGGAGTCAAGGTTAGCGTCAACATGTCGTGGTCCGAAAAAGGATCCCACATATCTGTTCAGGGTTCGAAGTCTGAGAGAAGAGAGAAAAAGAGGATAGAATATAGTCGATGGTGGTTCTGCTTTTATTTCCAGAGTGAATAAAGTGGGGATGGGAGTGGTATAGGGATGAGTGATGCAGTTGATGAGATGGGTGTTAATCCGAGGGTGGGTGCAACGGCGATGGTGTTGGCAGTTAAGGTCACCCAGGAGGAGGATGTTGGGGGGAGGGGAAAGGAAGAAGGGGAGGGAGAGGCAGTCTTGAAAGAAGAGTATTCTTTCTTTTCTCTTTGCAGGGGGCATACACTCCTTTTTGCGAAAAGGCCCACGTTTCACAGTAAAATGTGGACCTTTTCCACTGAATTGAAAATATAAGGGGTGTTATTCAGTCCTATCTATGCTTGGATTTACGGATCACGAGGTTGACCGAGAGGTAGCGTGGCTTGAGTTCCGTAAATCCAATCATAGATAACTGGACTGAATAACACCCCTTATATTTTTAATTCAGTGGAAAAGGAGTGTAGGTTTTAGGTTTTGTCACTTTTGTGGTTAAGTCATGATGAATAAGGAGAATCCATAGAAAAAGGGCAATACCGCAATGATTGGACAGAGACGAGACATCTTTTCCGTTATATAGTGTTGAAAAATCGAGACATGAAGTCGAGGTGACGAGATGTTTTTACAGAGGTTGGACGTATCGTAGAAACTGAATGAAAAGAACTAATTACGGAGAGGCAGTCGCAACACCTCCGATCAGAGGATTGTTCAAGTGCGACAAATATTCTGTGCTATAGCCCTCTCGTTACATGCTCACCTCAGAAAAATAATTCCCCACACCTCTCAGTTGCATAATTGGTCCCAGCTTTGCACAATGCTTCAAGGTCCATATGCAATAGGCAGGGACTAAAAATCGGGGTAGGGCGAACAGGCTGTCGTTTTGGCTCTAGAAACGTTGGGTAATGATGCTGGTAAAATAATGCCATGGATCTTGACCAACAAGGCGTCGGGGACATTGTTGACTCACTTGTTGGACAGCCCTTCAAGTAACAGTCTGCAAGCATTAACGCGCTCGGCAGAAGGAATCTTCATCTTCGCTAGAATTCTACTCCGATATGACATCATCATGCCACCAACCTTACTTCACCGCCGCCAACATTCGATCCTTCTTTGTGCAAATCGACCATTGGCATAAAAACCTAAAGAAGCTCTTACCATCGTACAAATCGTACCCACCATGCCCCTAGCTAGTCCCTTAGTCTTGGTATGTTCACTCTTTATTAAAGTACGGTACACAGTTTTACAGTAGGTTCCTCGTTCCATCTGTTCTTCCCCCACTTTCGCCCTCGTTCTTAATCAAGCGCGGCCCCGACTTGGTTGCAGAGGAGCGCATAGAAGTTTATTCACGACTGCGTTGATAATTATTAGACGCATAGTACTGTAGTTATGACTGAGGAGGAACTTTACTCACGATTACGTGGTTTACAATGATTAAACGGAGTTGTAACTATGACTGAAAGGTTGTTTGCTAACGATTACGTGGTTCATAGTAGTTAAACGTATTCGTAATTATGACCGAAGAGGTCGTTTTCTTCCTAATTATCGATATATAAATCCCAAGTTCTACAGTCCATCTGCACCATAATACACTCACATTCTTCCATACAACATACAACTCTATAAAAATGGCCGCCAACATCGCCGCCAATGTGGCACAGAGCCGCTTCGGAGAAGTCCCCGTAGTAGCCTCCAACCAAGACAAGGAGAGAACCTCTGCATCCGACATGCTTGCCTGTTGCTGGATGGGCAAGAACAAACTTGAGATGAAGAGAGTCGCTATGCCTGAAATAACTGACGATGAAGATGTGCTACTTCGGATCACAGCAAGCACCGGTGAGTACTTTTTGTTGTTAATTTGAGACGGCGATATAACCTCATAGAACATACAAATTAACAGGCCTTATAGTTTGTGGATCTGACTTGCACCTCTTCCATGGCGAGATTATGCAGCTCAAGACAGACGAGATCTTAGGCCATGAATGTGCGGGAATTGTCGAGAGGGTTGGCAGCAGTGTGACCGCTGTCAAACCAGGTGACCGTGTCGTTGCAGCGTTCAATGTCGCCTGTGGCAAGTGTCAATTTTGCCTCAAACAGCAATTCACTGCCTGTGATTGCACCAATAATAGCTCTGTCATGGAGAAGCTGTACGGTCACCGCACAGGTGGTGTTATGGGTTACTCACATGTAAGTTGTCAAAGCTTGCACTTGTTAGTCAAAGGAGCATGCAACTTGAGATCGTTACCAATACTAACCGAAATCTGTAGTTTGTTGGTGGGTTCTCAGGTACGCAGGCTGAATACTGCCGTGTGCTTTACGGCAATACCAACTTACTCAAGATCCCTAGTGGACTCCCTGATGAGAAGGCTTTATACCTCTCAGATATCATTCCCACGTCTTATCATGCCGTTTGGGACGCTGGCGTTAAGGAAGGAGAGATTGTTGGTGTTTGGGGTCTTGGTCCCATAGGCTTGTGCGTAGTTCAGTGGCTTCGCAATGTCTTCAAGGCATCCCGCATCATTGTTGTCGATAATGTACCCCAACGTCTCCAGCTGGCGAAGGAACGATGGGGTGCAGAAACCGTCAATTTTGATGAATACACGGATGTTGCCGCAAGGGTGAATGAGCTTGTACCAAGCGGCTTGGATCGCTCGATCGATTGCGCAGGGTTTCGGTACGCCAAGTCATTGGTTCATAGGATTGAGCGAGCTGTTGGTCTCGAGACCGACACCAGCGAGAGCATCAACGAGATGGTGCGCTCTACCAAGAAGTTTGGTACTGTCGCTCTCATTGCGGATTATGCGGCGTATACAAACCATCTCTTGATCGGCGGTATTATGGAGAAAGGTATACGACTCATTGGATGCGGACAGGCACCCATTCAACGGCACTGGAACGAATGTCTCCAACATGTTGTGGAGAATCGATTCGACCCTACTGTCATTTTGACGCACAGGTTCCGCTTGGAGGATACGGTGGAGGTTTACAGGTTGTTTGATCTCAAGCAATCCGGTATTATAAAGGTGTTCCTCGAGACCAGGTTCAGTGCTCCTACAGAGCCTGGTACTCCCGCGCTCGTATCCACGAAGGATATAGAGTAAAAACCTGCGCGTCGATAATAAAGTGCTTCAATCAGTTGATCAACCAAAACGCGGTTTCGACTTTTTTTTGGAAATGATCATTCGCCAATGTTCCGAACGGCCCTCAGATTCCTATTGTTTTCTCTTGATTCATAACCTCATTCATCACAACTTGCCTTTTTTGCATGCACCTACATTGGGTCATCGCCGGAATTGAAATGCCCGATGTTGCTTGATCAGTTTAATTGGATTACATGCATCATGGTTTCCTTTTTTAGCTTGCGGGGTCTTTTTAGTTTCTATCTACCTTCACACTTCAATGACTTACTTCCGCAATCCTGTACGATCTTCTTTCAAAGTGTGGAGCTCCTACCCAAAGCCTTTGTATCTGACATGTGCATGACTTTACACGGGTTTAGCACGCACTGAGCTGTTTTTTTTATACCGCAAGCTCAGATATATTGAAAGCAGTTATATACAGACGACATCAGGTGAGACTTTTGATGCGCGAACCAGCCATTCTCAATAGAGTGTAATATCATGACAATATGTGAAATCGTCCTAGAACCATGTAACAAAACCTACCTTAACGATATCTTCTATAATTGATAAAAAGTCCCGCAAGTTTTCTCTTTTCTCCGATGTCTTCTGTATATAACTGCTCTCAATGTATCTGTAGAAAGTGTATTAAGCTTGCGGTGTAAAAAAAAACAGCTTAACGCGTGCTAAACCGATGTAAAGTCATGCATATGTCAGATACAAAGATTTTGGGTAGGAGCTCCAAACTTTGAAAGAAGATCGTACAGGATTGCGGAAGTAAGTCATTGAAGTGTGAAGATATATAGAAACTAAAATGACCCCGCAAGCTAAAAAAGGAAACCATGATGCATGTAATCCAATTAAACTGATCAAGCAACATCGGGCATTTCAATTCCGGCGATGACCCAATGTAGGTGCATGCAAAAAAGGCAAGTTGTGATGAATGAGGTTATGAATCAAGAGAAAACAATAGGAATCTGAGGGCCGTTCGGAACATTGGCGAATGATCATTTCCAAAAAAAAGTCGAAATCGCGTTTTGGTTGATCAATTGATTGTAACACTTTATGGGCTACGAAGACAACGAAGGAAGTCTTAACGTCCATTATCCGAGCAGACGAGCCATGTCTGTGCCCTCCCAACCCTCCCTTTCGTTTAGTTTAGTTTTTCTTTTTCTCTTTTCTTTCGTGCTCGGTCAGAATGATGGTGTGAAGAGATCGAGCAGGCTCATTTTTCTCGAGTGCAACCAATGAAGATTGATTACACAGACATGGCTCGTCTGCCCTAGCTGGATAATGAAAATAGGGTTTGGACATCCTCAGGTTTTTATTAAAAAACAACTTCCAAAAGCACAATCGTCCTTCGTCCCTCGTCCCTCGTCCCTCATTCCTCGTCCTTCGTCCTCTCGTCTTGTTGCACACATCAACAAATACATCAACAGTATGACACCCTGGCACATCCCGACTACACCCTTGGAATCGATGCTATTGATCCGTCGAATTCTAATGACATTGGTTCAGAACACCATCGGAAGCGGCGCAACAGTGATCAGCCGACTTCCTTCCAACCGCCCGTCTATGGCCGCTCGGTATCGTCGCCACAACTCGGCGCTTATCCCTCTTCCAGTCAGCCCCCCTATCAACCAGCCAAATTTCCTGCAACATCGATATGGCCAGACTTTACTCAGTTTCGAAGATATACTGCGCCTTCATTATCGTCCAGGACACTTTCAGAATCGACATCATCCTCTCATGGTCCAGCACAATCCACACTGCATCCTGGGTCAAACCCCAGGTCCATGGCAACACCTTTGACTCCACACAACCTCCGCATAATTGCTTCTGAATCGGTCTTCACCCCTTCCAAGAAGAAAAGAGGCAAGAGCAAGGCCGAATAACCTGTGCGGATCCTACGCTTACAGTCTCTCTTTGGGAGGCCTTTCAGGTCCAAGTTATTATATGGTGTTTGTTACATCTCTGTAGATCTCGACAATATCCATAGCGACTATGGGATGAGAATGTATATATGATACCAAGCATATAAGACAACCATTGTAACATTTTTTGTTTAACTATCCTACTAAACACCAACCTATTCTCCAAACAACAAAGTCTTCTTATTTTTCGCACACCACACTCTTGAATGTGTCCATCTACTATTAACCTGTAACCCTCACTGCAAGATTCGCCAGAGTAGTTCTTGTATGTGATCATCTAAAGCACTTGTACTCTCAACTGTATCTTTGGGGCGAAATACAGAGGAGAGATTACATTTTAAAAATTCTTGTGCTGTCTATTGCTATTTTATTCTGTGTTCTGTTGCCCACTATAGAGAGATATGTCATCTATGAAAGTCAACACTCCGTTCCTTGGGCTTTGGATATTTTTTATATGCCTTTTTATATCCTCTGCACATGAAGGGGCCGCTTGGTGGATCCTAGTTTGGTGCCAATTTTACGCTGACGTACCCCTAGGCCGCATCCCGACCCGCGAGGCCATGACTGCCGTTCCTCCTCTCGAGTGCCTGAAACTGTTGCTGGATGTCCCGATTGAGAAGGCCACGCGCGACGACAGCGAGCTTGGGCATTTTTACAAGAACATCAAAGGGATGGGTTTTTATTGCCAAGTGCCGGTCGGGCCCGACAACGCCAATTCTCCTGATCCCAACGCCGATTCTCCTGATCCCAACGCCCCCGGCGATGCCAACGTTAACTTGGATCAAGACGGTCTTCATCATCCTTCAGCCGTATGCAATCAACATTACCCAAACGCCAATACCCGATCAAGCGTGGGCCACCTTTTGGCAGCTCATTTCAATTTGCGTGAAGCCGTTTGTAATTTTCGACTACTGCAGCAAATGGTCCAGAATCCCGAAAAGTTTGCTGAATTAGATGACGAAACGCCGCGCACAAGTCCATGCCATTGTAAATCAGGAGCAGGAGCAGTAGTAGGAGCAGGAGCAGAGGAAGGTGTGACCAACGACAACAACGTCCATTCGTTTTACCAAGATTTGCACCTTCGAGTTCTCACGGCTGGATCGATCTCCATGAGAGCAATGCAGAGCAAGGAATTCAAATCATTGATGTCATTCTCCAATCCCGTTCTCGGTGTTCCAGGCGAGGATTCTTTGTGGAGCAGACTTGAGCAAAACAATCGAAAAGACAAACTTGATCTAATGCAGTACCTCCGTCAACCAGATCTGTTTGGCTCTATTACATCCGATTCATGGACGGGTAATGGCGACAGGAAATTTCTTGCGGTGACCTACAATTACCTCACGCCACGTTTCACACTGGAAAAGGTCATCGTTGGAATGGAGGAAATAGACAAACCAAGCCAAAAGGCGGAAATTCTTCAGGAACTCCTTAGTAAGTGAGAAATAAGAACAGATTTACTAGGTCCATCCAAGTACAATCCTTTATGCTGGAAAATCTAGTAAAAGCAATGCTGTGAAAGTATCTACATAACATGTTCATTGAGGCACTACATTAACTTACTTCCATTTTTCTTTGTAATGTATTTCGAAGTAAGGTCGCTCCAACAGTGGAACCTTCATGACAGAGTGGTCGCGGCAACTACTGACCAAGGATCCAATATAAAAAGGTGCATGGAGCTTTTTGGGAGGACATCGGAAGTTATTTGGTGCCATGTGCGTCTCACTGCATCCAGCTCACCATCAACAAGGCATGGAGGGACGGCAAAGCGGAGGCCCTCCTGAACAAGTGCAATAACGTCGCCAAGATCTTCAAGGGCAAGGGCGCTGTGTTATACCACCTCAAAACCCTACAGAAAGTCTGGCAAAAACCGCTTACGACACAGGTCAAAAACGACACCCGATGGAATTCTCAGTACGAGATGTTGAAACGGATTTTGGATCTCAGCATCTATATCAACATGACCGTCCGACATTTCAATCGCTGTCCCTCTGAACTACCGTCGCATATCAAACTTCAACATATCAAGGAATGCGAGCTTTCACAGGTGGAGATCGACACACTCCGCGAGCTCAAGGATGTCATGGCACCAGTAGTTGAATTTACCGACAGCATCGGATCATCCGCAATACCAACAACATCGCTTATTTACACGACTGTCAGGAACCTCCTTCCACCACTCCAGAATCTCAATACAAGAGTTGCCAAGGCTGTTCATGTCGCATTGGATCAGCATATCAAGAGGGCATGGAACCTCGATAACGACTCGCCAGCAATCGATGCCATCCTAATCTCAATGTACCTCAACCCCGCCATATTACAAGACAGGATCTGGGACGAACCCAACGGCGATTCGACTCACAGGGCCAAGGCTGAAAGCCTTATCACCACCAAGATCGAGGAGGTCATGATGAAGAATAGGGAATGGTAAAGTCTGCCTAAGCGCAACTTGCGTGACGAAGCAGGCGCGAAGCTCGTCCAGTACAAAGGTGAGGTGATGGACTTTTCTGCCGAGTGCTCTCAGTTTCTCACTACGCCTCACCTTTTTTGGAAGCAGTTTTCTACTGTAGCGCCATTGCACGTCGGTATCTTTCCATTCAAGCAACATCGTGCGAATCCGAACGAGTGTTCAGCAGAGCTGGAAGTATCCTTTCTAAACGCAAAACCGCTCTTAGAACTCCTCACTTTCGCGACATTCTAGTTGCTCCGAGTTATTCTGCTGCTATAGATACTTTTCGATTAGAGATTCGGCATCTACCAGAAGCCATTGTTTAGTCTAGTATTATTTTTTCTTTTATTTTCGATTACATTTGTTAACAAAGATTGAAGTGAAATCTACAGTATACACTTATCAGGATGGTTCTTGCTTAGTGTTTCTCAAGAACATAGTGCATTCGCATTCGCATTCGCATTCGCATCATGTAAAATTAATGGAAACCCCTTTATTCGCATTCGCATTTGAGAAACACTATTCTTGCTCATCATTAGGTGCAGGTCCGTTGGCGAGTGCCGTTCTATCTGCACTAATAAGCCTGTTCGCGGTGCGAATAGTTTATAAGTTACGAAGTGCGTAAGGTAGTGCTGTGACCGACATGGTGAGCGACCGATTATTTTGACCATCGCTTTACATGGGATTAGTGCAGAAAAAATATACTACCCCTTAAATTTTCACGCTCGCTCACATCTGAAGAAGTACAGTAAGGGTGTGTGAGTGTGGGTGTAAGTTGAGTGAGTGAGTGAGTGAGTGAGTGAGTGAGTGAGTGTGGGTGTGAATGTGGGTGTGAATGTGAAAGTGAGTATGTGTGAGTGTGTGAATATGTGTGAGGGGGGAAAGAAAGGGACAAAGATAAACGGCTACATTTCAATGGGCCATGGTGGAGACATTGTTGCAAAAAGATGTGGTGGCTAGGCTGTGGCGGCGATGCCTTAGATTAGCAGTCATACTCTTTAGTAGACATAGCATTAGTAGTGCGCCCAGCCCTCTTGTCTGCTCTTTGTGCTTTTACACATCACTTGGACGAGAGCAGTATTGACAAGAGTTTCGCTGGCGCGCTGCAGTGTATCGTTTCGTATGACTCTTTAGAACGCTATTATCACTATCCCCGACTATCAACCCCCTCTCAACCTACAACCCCTCCCCCCCCGTACCAATTGAGGACTTAACAGCGGTCCTACAACTCTGGCCTTCGACCCTCTCCCCTGAGTAACAACATGTTATATTTTCACTAGAGGGAGGTTGATTAAACTGAAAGAAACCTGTATATTTAGAACTCGCTCTCTATTGGTCAAACCTTCTTTGACCTGATGTCCCGATTTCTTTGACCTGATGTGGGTGTGACAAAAAAGAGAATTGACCTGTTCTTTCAGTTTCTAAGCCACCACTTGACCTGTTATCGACCAAATGTTCCTGTTCTCACATCAGCCCAGACCTCTGCCTACGATATTCGCGATCTCAAGATTTAATCTTGTGTTACCATGCCCCCCTCGATTTTTTTTTGGTGCTACTGTAGTCGATCTAGACCATCTTTTGATTTTTTTCTTTTTCTCCAGCCATTGGTCCTCTCGCCATCCTTGTTCCCGTTCATGCAGGAAGTATACCGCGGAAAAAAAGAACAACGAACCGTCCTGAAAATGATCTGGACCATCTTTTGATTTTTTCTTTCTCTCCAGCCATTGGACCTCTCGCCATCATTGTTCCTGTTCACAATCACCATGTACCAATTGACCATGCAGGAAGTATACCGCGGAAAAAAAGAACGACGAACCGTCCTGAAAATGATCTGGACCATCTTTTCTCCCCTCTCTGGTCATCTTTGGTCTTTTTACTTTGCTCGTAAGCCACAACCATGACCATGGTGCGTGACCTTCGACCATGCAAGAATTATTGCCGCGGACAAACGCTCGAAAAAAACTTGGCAAAGGTCAAAGACCCCCACTGTGGAGAAACCTCTTCTTTGAATACACAGTCAAGTTTATTTTGATCAGATTCACCGTACTCTAACTTCGCCTCTACCAGCTTACCTCCCTTGGACTGCCATGATAGCCAGCAGCCACCTCTCTCTCCCAAAACTAAATTTAGTCTTTGCAGTTGCCCTCGTAATCTAGAACCGACACTGGGTCTGTCAGTATCAAGAAACCGCGTTGTATGGCATACATACATACATACAGTTCAGTACGCCTTCTCTAAATCTCCTCCAAATATAATATAAAAAAAAATCCGCATACATTTCGCATTACGTACTCTCTCGCAAGGGTGCAGCTCAGCAAAATCACATACCAATTTTTCTTTCAAAAAAAAAAAATTAATCTCTGGCCATTAATCCTCCCATTTTTCTTATTCACGACCACCACCATGATCATCACCCATGCAGGAGCCATGCGGAGTAGAAATCTCGGATGCACTTTGGCAACGATCTGGACTCAAATTTTCTCTTTATCTTTGGACACGAAGCCACACCGAGGAGAAACCTTGGATGCACTTTGGCAACTATCTAGACCGAGGCTGCCACTTTCTCTCCGGCTTCTTCGTCCCTCAAAGGTTTCCAAAAATATTTAAAGACGTGACATTCCCCCTTCATCTACTTCCTCACAATCTTCAAAGCTTCCTTTTACATCATCACCCAGCGACACCTACCAAAACCTCCTGTATCAATTTCCATCAAGTCAACTTCTTCACCAAACAATCAAAAAAAAAAAAAACGCCATGGGCTTTTGGGACATTATCTCTGACGCATTCTCCCGCGACGGCTCCGTCACCTGCATCCTTGAAAAGATCCCGGTCGTAGGGTATGGCGTGGCTACCGTCCAAGCCATCACCGGCAACCCCGACCACGCCAAGCGCGCCCTTGCTACCAGCACCAACAGCCTCATCACTACTGCGGGCGCGGTCGGTGGCTTTGTTGTTGGCGGGCCTTTGGGGGCCGTCGCAGGTGGTGCTTTGGCCTCTCAAGTGGGCATGGTCACTGAGTTTGGCATCAGCAAAACCATAGACGACGACAAGGTCAAGGGCGACGTCGGCGCACTATCCATCAAGAGAGCTCTCGTGGACGCGGCTATCGGTGGTGCAACTGGACTGATCGGAGGCGGGGCTGGCGTGAGTAGTGAGTTAAAATGTAGGGGGAAAACTGAAGACGAGAAAGAAGATGGTCGTTGACCCGTTTATTGAGCACACTAATTTATAGAGAATTCTTCGTCAAATAAAAACTAACCCTGTATTTCGCCAAGGGCAGGCAAGACTGTGGGCAAGATCGCGATCGATGCCTCGACGCAAGCGGCGAGAAATATGGCCATAAAATCGGTGGCGAATGCCATTGCCAGCAATACAGGAAAGGAGGCAGGAAAGGCCCGTCACTGCTGCAAGTGTGTCGGTAATGGCGCAGAGCGCCGAAAAGTATGTTTCTTTCTTTCCTCCCTTCCTTTTTTTTGTATGGCGTTTTTGAGTTGTCTCTGAGTAATTCAGATAACATAACTAATGTGTGTTTTTCTGTAAATGACCTTAAACAGAGCTATAGCCAATAACGGGGATAATGATCCCAAACCCAAGAAAGAGAAGATCAGAGTGGTTACCATTGCCCAGGAGTGCGTGGCAAGGCAAGTGAACCTTGCGTGCAAAAAGTTCGCAAAGGATGTTCCCCTGCAGGCCATCGTTGACGCCTATGACCAGTTCGCTCTTTACTGGGATACCTTTGTCGTTGTGGGCAAGCCTTGGTACGAGGCAAACATTGTGTTGAGAGTCAAATCGCGGCGTTCGAAACGAAAAAAGACTTCCTACCGGGACAAGACGGGTAATGGACGAGGGTCGAGAGATAGACAAAGGCGGTCATTCATCTGTACGAGCAACACCTGCCAGTCGACTCATTTCAGCAAAAGATTGTTGATATGTATGTTAACAACCAACCAGTTGGGGAAAGGTATATTCTGGAAAAGGTCATGGCGAACGCTTGGGCGATCAACTTGCAGGTCGAACAACTTCGAGTATTGATGCATGATGACTTTATGGAGAGGGAGTTTTAACTCGTCACCACCGCCCCCGTCACCACACGGCGTGTCTTGTATCTGACTTTAGTCTCTCTGCACTACCTTTCTACCCTTTCTTTCTAGCGGCCCCTTCATGTGCAGAGGATATAAAAAGGCATATAAAAAATATCCAAAGTCCAAGGAACGGAGTGTTGACTTCCATAACTGGCATATCTCTTCATAGTGGGCAACAGAACACAGAATAAAATAGCAATAGACAGCACAAGAATTTTTAAAATGTAATCTCTCCCCTGTATTTCACGACAAAGATACAGTTGAGAATACAAGTGCTTTAGATGACCACATACAAGAACTACTCAGGCGAATCTTGCAGTGATGGGTACAGTTTAATAGTAGATGAACACATTCAAGATATTGGTGAGCGAAAAATAAGAAGACTTTGTTGTTTGGAGAATGTAGTTGTGTTTAGTAGGATAATCGCGCAAGGAATGTTACAGTGGTTGTTTTAAATGGTTGATATCATACATACACTCTCCTCTAATGGACGCGGTGGATATCGTCAAGATCTGCAGAGATGTAACAAACACCATATGATAATTTGGACTTGAAAGGCCTCCTAGGTGGAAGTGTCGAAGACATGTTACATTTTTAAAAAGTTCATGCTATATATACAACCACAAATGCCAACTGTTGACAATTGGATAGTTTTTAAAATATCTACTCTTCATCTGTCTCAACAACTACCAAAACTTTACATCTGGAGAGTACAATTTAGGCAATTCCTCGATCGTGAACCCCATGGCAATTAACTTCTGCTTTTGTTTGTTGTTGGTAAATTTGTCTCGACTATAGTTACTGTCACCGTTTGCAGGTATCTTATACAGCAGTCCAACAATAATGTCCTCTTCGTACCTCTTGAGCAGATGACATCCGTCGAAAAGGTAGTTGGTTGCATATTCATGCTTCTTGTCAAACGAACATGTTGTCCATTTAATTTCGTCTTTATCTATGACGATTATACCCGAGGAGCTTTTATCTTTAGGGTACCTTTTCCACATAACATCCTCAGCATCTTTATCATCCTCAGCATCTTTATCATCTTCAGCATCGTTATCACCCTCAGCATCTTTGTCATCCTCAGCATCGTTATCACCCTCAGCATCTTTGTCATCTTCAGCATCTTTATCACCCACCGCATCTTTGTCATCCTCAGCATCTTTATCGCCCTCAGCATCTTTATCATCCTCACATGTGCTCTCATCTTTCTGTGGCAAGCTTTGCTTATGCTCATGCGGTTTAAATCCCATAGCAAACAACTTCTCTTTTTCCTTCTGGCTAAGAGAATGACATTCTACATTCTCTGCAGCAATATGGTCATCAGTCATCAAGCCGATTACAGTGTCTTTTTTGCGCATCTTGAGAATGTGCATTCCATTTACAAGTACATTCTCGGAATATTCCAAGTACTTGTTAAGTTTTTTCCATATCACCTTGGATTTATCTGTTGGTCCTTCTACTGGTACTTCTTCTTCTACTTCGATCTCCTCGTTGAAAAGCGTCTTTCTCTCTTCATCAGACAATGGTTGAAGTTTCATCTTGCTAAGCATGGAGCGTTCCAAGATATCCAACTCTGGAACATCACCGACACCGCGCAGAGCATCAAGCGTAAACAGGCCAACGTATGTATTCTTTCCAGATAGCCTGACAATGTACTTGCCATTCATCGTAAACTTAGTTGCATACTCAAGCATGTCGTTATTAGGATGAATCATCCATCCTCTGTCCTTCGCACGTGCTATGTCTTTCTCTGATCTAATGTTATGCACCGTTGTGGCCAGTGCAAATGTATGTTCATCTTTTCCATCCTTAGAAACGTCTACATTAGAAGATGGCTCTGCATTTTTGGGCATCTTTGAAGGCCTTTTCTTTCGAAGAGTCTTCTTCTTATCATCAGCAGAAGACTCTTCTATTTTTTCTACATCTGCAGGAGTTGCCTCTTGGAGTCCCATCTTTTGTAATATACGTGCCTCTTTTTCAGATATTTCCGGTACAGGAAGATTTTTGCCCATGAGCTCAGGTGGACACAATACAATGTAGAGATCCTTTTCCTTCAGCTTAATAATGTACTTGCCATTTACAGTAAAGTTCTTTGCATACAGAAAAGCTGGATTAGTTGCATAACGCATCCATATGCCTGTATTAGCGAGTGGTACATTTTTCTTGGACGTTATGTCAACTACCTTTGGACTCAACGGAAAGGAGACGGCAATTTTATCTTCTTCATCATCATCGTCGGACGGCTCTTCATCCTCGGAAGTCATATCGTCATCAGATGATACAAACTTAGAAGTATGTGTCTTCTTTAAAGCCTTGGAAGACTTGGGACGCGTAACGACAGGTGCATTCTTGTTACCACGTTTTATATGACCTCTATCTTGATCTTGATGACGCCCACAGTATGTTTGACCAATTTTGGCTACACTACCACAATTAGCGCCCTTAATGGTTGTGCCTTGACACTTGCGCGCAGGATCGTGGACATAACAATGCATGCCTTCATCGTCAACTTCCTTCATGCATTTACGCTTGGACTTGACGCACTTTGCTCCACAAAAGTAGTATCTCTCCACTTCCTTATCCCCATCAAGCGCCTTAAAAATCTTATTTGCATCTTTCTTGGTAAACTCCACTCCCTTCTTAGAAGAAAATGTCTCGAAGGCCTTGGTGATGAGCTCGATTGTAAGCTGAACGTACTGCATGTTTTTGGATATGAACGATATAGATTGTACTTGTGGTATGGTGGGTGTGAATGACTTTTCAGTTTATGTGTGGTAGATTGCAGCTGCTTAGTACACTGATATAAAGAATTGCAATAAAAGATGGTTGTATAGGTATGGATGGTTGTATAGATATGGATAATGGTTGGTTGGTTACTAGATAAGATAAAGATTAAGCAAGAGGGAAGTGGAGTCCTTTATTTATACTAATTCATGGGACACTGCCATATTGGATATTAATAGCGCTTGCTTATTAACACTGCTTGGCGCTTAGTAACAAAAGAGTTTTAAAAAGGCATCTAAGTGGTTAATAACGTAGTGTTCCTCGTATGACGTAGATCTTGCTTATTAAGACTGCTTGGCGTTAAAGACGGGGTTTAAAAATGGTTAAGAATGTAGTATTCTTTTATGACGTAGGTTTGTACATGTGTTTATGTATTCTTTTATGACGTAGGTTTGTACATGTGTTTATCCTCTTTGTTAAATAAAAAGGAATGTTGTAGAATAGCATAGAATAGCATCCGATCTACTACAATAATACCATGACTTTTAATAATAGATACCGGTGCATATTAGCGTCTAGGCAGTTAATACCGTATCTCAACGCTGACTAAATAGGCTATGTATGACTATTCTTTTAAGAACCTGCAATAAGTCTACAGATTACCATTAACATCCATTTGTCGCTTCGTACCTCTAAGCTCAATGGAAAGACCGGGTTGCATTATTACTGCTTGATCCATTGGTGTGTCCTCATCAACATTAACATCAACATCACCATGAAGATTAATACCAAGAAATTTGTTCTGGAGTTGTGCCATTGTATTTCCATCCTCCACTAGCGCACCAACATCAACATATCCCATTGGTTGCTCAACGTCGTTCTCTGTCGTCGGATACTCGAATCCTTCGCGAAGCCAAGCTGTATGAATTGGTTCTGCAGAAATCTTCAACAAAGCAACCATCTTTTTCATGTTTAAGAGTAACAAAGATAACTTCAACTGCAAATTATATGTTTGTTTCTTATCCACCAACACAGGAGTACGGTTGTTGTGTTTCTCAAATGTGGAACCAAGGTCTGCAAACAGAGATTCCATCTGCGAGCGGAAACTACCAAAGGTGGTATTGTATAACGCTTCTTCCTGTGTAAGTTCCTTGTTCTTCTGTTTACGGTATGGATGAGCGAAATTTTGGACTTTAAGAGTATCAGACTCATCTATAAGCCTCCTTAAGAACTGTGGATACCCTCCATCGAGAGCAATGCAATCCATCTCATGCACTCTCTTGTCCAACGTCATCGTTAGCAGCATTGTTCCATCAGCATTGTTCTTGCAAGATGCAGATTTGGAGACAAATAAAGCCATGCCATTACAATCCATTGCTACCTGTGTGCGTAATCCTGACTTTTTCAGCTTGTAAGAGTACATATCAGCACTACTCTCACCTTTGTATGTTGCTCTTGTATCATGACCATCAAGATGCAATGTAACATGCTTAAATAATGGAGGATTCTTTTCCTTTGCAGACAAAAGGCGTATTTTAATTGTGGAGAACATTGTTGCAATACAGTTGGTGATGTACTTGTTGTGCAAAGTATATTCTTTCTTATAAAACACAGAGTGCATTGCATGAAAACTACTTTTTGGCATGTGTGGTTCCATTGCTTCCATAGACAGTCCTTTGACAAGATGGTAGAGCATTAAAAGACCTTTCTCCACTTCTTTGTATGGACCAGGATACTTAACCTTTGGCCAGATGTCAACAAGAAAGAAGTACACTGGAATAGGACCAAGGCGTCGATTTAGGGTTTCTTTTATTTCTGGCATATACCCAATTTCCTTGCTTACAGTACGATGATTATTACGTGGTGTAATTGTTGGCCATCCAGCGTTGAGGAAAGTCCAATGGTCATCAAGCAGTTGTTGGAAGTGTTTTGTTAGATCCATAATAATATTTATGTATTGGATTGTCATGACGTTAACCAACAATAACAATTTTTTAAAAAGGCTTATACTTAACTGTATACACAACAGCATGTAGGATGGTATCTATCATACAGCAAGCACATAGTTGAGAATACAAATATATTTTTATATTTTATTCGGTAGCGGCCCCTTCATGTGCAGAGGATATAAAAAGGCATATAAAAAATATCCAAAGTCCAAGGAACGGAGTGTTGACTTCCATAACTGGCATATCTCTTCATAGTGGGCAACAGAACACAGAATAAAATAGCAATAGACAGCACAAGAATTTTTAAAATGTAATCTCTCCCCTGTATTTCACGACAAAGATACAGTTGAGAATACAAGTGCTTTAGATGACCACATACAAGAACTACTCAGGCGAATCTTGCAGTGATGGGTACAGTTTAATAGTAGATGAACACATTCAAGATATTGGTGAGCGAAAAATAAGAAGACTTTGTTGTTTGGAGAATGTAGTTGTGTTTAGTAGGATAATCGCGCAAGGAATGTTACAGTGGTTGTTTTAAATGGTTGATATCATACATACACTCTCCTCTAATGGACGCGGTGGATATCGTCAAGATCTGCAGAGATGTAACAAACACCATATGATAATTTGGACTTGAAAGGCCTCCTAAGGAGGCCATCCATGTTCGGCTCCACCAACCATAGACTACAGTATAAAAATATCTGTCAACACCTATTAAAACAGTGTGTTCCTTGAGAGTACAACAAATCTCATCAGCTTTTTCCTTCCACCAGTCTCCATTTTCTACATTCACCACCACTACTTTGTAACATCATCTACTTTAGCTGAGAAAGCCTTGGACATGATCATCTCATATTGGAAAGGAAATTACTATCTGTAATATCCAGGATCCAATATGAGATGATCATGTCCAAGGCTTTCTCAGCTAAAGTAGATGATGTTACAAAGTAGTGGTGGTGAATGTAGAAAATGGAGACTGGTGGAAGGAAAAAGCTGATGAGATTTGTTGTACTCTCAAGGAACACACTGTTTTAATAGGTGTTGACAGATATTTTTATACTGTAGTCTATGGTTGGTGGAGCCGAACATGGATGGCCTCCTAAGCAGATTGTGGATAAACACCACTGTGGTCAAGAAAGAAATATTGTAAATTGTGCAAAGAATGGTGGAAGTTTTTAAAAAGATGGGTGATATATCTGGTGAATCTCATTGGAAGGGACGAAGATATTATTACATGTGTATTCCATATATAAAAGCTTTCTTTGTGCAAGTAGTATATCTACAGTTTTTAAAATTCTTGATCTACTCTTCTGCGGTCTCAAATGTTACTTCAAGAGGCTTCTTTTCTTCCATCGTACTTTTCTCTTTGGCTTGAATACTATCTAATACACTTTGCACTATGGTTTTTCTGTTGTTAGATCCTTCTTTTGCGAACTTACATAATATATCGCAATGTGGTTCGCGGGAACCAAACTTATCCATGTGCCATGTTTCGTAGTTGGAATAATCTTTCTCCAACAAACCTAGGTGAAAAATTAGTTCTTTTTCTTCTGCATTACCATCTGCCAAAACGTATTCCTCGCGGAGTTCTTCTTCGATAGCTGTTATTTTGCTATATACTTCTCCCATTGCCTTCAGAAAATCATGATGGTCTTTTGTAGTGTAAACACTTGAGGCATTCACATTTTCGCTTCCCATAGGTCCACCATCTTCTAGAGTTTTCTTAACATCCAACTCTTGCGCCTCATCATCTACTTTTTCTACAAGTTCATCTAAAGTTTCCTTAACATTCGACTCTTGCACCTCATCATCTATTTTTTCTACCGGTTCATCTTTCTCTGTCGACCTATCCTTAGACCATTGTGGCTTAAAGCCCATAGCGAAGATCTTTTCTTTTTCCTTTTGGTTAAGATTATCATAGTCGACATTCTCTGCACCAATGTGGTCATCAGTCACCAAGCCAACTACAATGTTTTGCTTGCGGATCTTGAGAATGTGCTTTCCATTTACAAGTACAT